AGAAGGAGGGAACCCTTGGGCCCCTTGTTCAAGTATCCAGTCAACTAGAAAGGCCCCTTGTTGCGAAGACAGTCGGTGTTCGTGGGCGTGAGCGACACGTCGATTTGTTGTTCCATTAATGCGTGAACGGAGGGTTGATTCGGCGACGACGTGAGCGCGTGCGGTCGCTCGGATGGAGGGAAACTCGTTGTTGTTGTATGAATTGATCGCGCATTGAATCTTCTGCTCGTACGCAGCCATGTTAACGTTGAATTGGTTGAGTTGTTGTGGTATTGAGCGAAGTGGTTGATAAAGCAGAGCGACGCGAAACGCGCAGCTTCTAGGGGTGCGCAGCTTCGAGGTACTCCAGCTTACTTGGGTGTTTGATCGAGGATGCCCCTCGACTCCGTCCCACCCATTTTGCAAAGCATAGTTTTGACAGCGCTTAGCGTATAACTGCCCCAGCAACATGCATTCCTACTCCTATGCTTGAAGCCTCTTGCATAATTGCTCTTTGACCACTCTTTTCTCCTTTGACCAAACTGTCGGATTTTCTCCTTATACCCATACACTCCGCGACCCATCAGCCTATCTTCCTCATAATCTCCTCTAAAAGTCGACCGCCATGGCCGAAGCCGACGCTACCGGCAAAGATGTCGCCAATAGAGTGATGCGCCGGCTGGAAGTGTCAAAGGTATCCCGAAGCTGCAGTGTTGATGGGCTTGTTTATCTACGTCACTAACACTTGTTCACCTCAGATGACCAGAGCATTGCAAGACAGACTGGCCTTGGCCAATGTAAAGATCAAGCATGGCTGGGAGAACCTCAGCATCGATACCATCGAGCCGCACATCGACCAACAACTCAAGCGTAAACGGACGGCCTCGAGCATCAACGACAGCTATTCGGACACATCGTCCAGCGTCTCCAGCCGCTTCCACTCTGTTGGTGGCATGGCTTCATCGCCCTTGACTGCACCCATCTTCTCCGACGACATGCCTCGGCTGGGAAGCTCACACAGCAGTCTCCATGGAAGCACCCACAGCAGCAAACGTCCGAGGTTCACCGACGCCCATAGATACCCTGCATCGAGCAGTCAGACTGGTCGCAAGACTCGCAGCGCTCTAACTGTCCAATCATGGAAGAGATCCCACAGGCTTCCCGAATCTTCTCCTGTCTACCACAATAGAACGGCCATCTTCCCTTCGACTCTCCACGTTCCGAAGCTGTCTTTCATCTCCGAAGGCTCCAGCTTGATCGACGACGCTCCTTCTCCCGAGCTTTCCGAGGACGACGACACCGATCTTCCCGTGCACTCATTCCAAGTGGACTCCGACCTGTACAACATTCGCTCATCGCCGCCAAAGACGCCACCCCCTCAACACCGCTTCTCGCGAACATCAAAAGACAGCGAGCATGCTCAGAGTCTAATTCTCTTATACCAGTCACCGACTACAAATGGTGTCAACGGTGTTCGAAGCCTTGCTCCGTCCACTCCACCATCCAAGACGACTCCTTTGCCGTCTTCGATGATGCACACACCAGGAGGCAGCAATGGCCTCTTCGGCTTTGCACTAAGCACTCCCTCGAACAACCTCAATTTCGCCGACTTTTGCAACGTTACTCCTAGTCCTGCACAGGTCAACTGGGCGGCTACCAAGAGTCCCCTATCGGCACGCGAGCCACATCGAAAACTGAATTTCGACGGCCTCTTGCAACCAGGTTCCAGCCCTGAAGTTGCAAGACACTCCAAAGATGGCGCTCTAGAGCTTGGAGCACTTCTCCAATAAGCTCACTTTTACTTCACACTCCTTTCACGACGACACGATTTCTAGACAGACGTTTGGATTTCACGACCACCTGGGACATACCCAATCTCGATACCCGCATGCTTTTCCTTCAGTCAATTTTCCTTTGTTCCGATTTCCAGGGGGTGGGCACCTCGACGGTGCCGGGTCAGGGGGATCAAATGAGGCGTTATTCGCGTTGAACGCGGGTCGTGTGTATTTCGCGTGTTTTTGAGTTTTCCATATCTGGAGGGACGGCAGGTCAAACATGTTCAATCATAGGGCAGAAGTTTGCCTAGAGGGCCATTACATAGCTATCGCAATGACATGCCTGAAACACAGGCTGGTGTCTTATCAACCCCGTGTTAATGCAGAAAGATGGTAGTGAAGGAGTACAGGAATACGCGCCGAAGTGAGATTGATTGCGAGTATAGTCGGCTGCAGTTGCCGGCGGCAGGTCCGGCTGCTGGACGATTTAGGGGTCTCATTATTCAGGCGCCTTGAATCATCTTATTGCATCTTGATTTCATCACACACGAGATAATGCGCCCGCGATGAACAACACCACAAATCAACCCCAGGATGCCTTGAGCAATGCCCTTGAGCTAGTCAACCAGGCAGTCGATCAGTTACAGAAGATACCCGGTTCCTCGATCGCTATTCGCTACATCCGCTCCAGCTACCAAGATGATCCTGTGCGCTCGGCCATGGAGCTGTTCCTGTTCCTCTTCGCCGTCTACTATCTGGTCTCGCCGGCATACTCGACAAAAAAGCAGAAGCAGATTCCCTTGACCGAGGAGGTACGACCGACCACGACTACGGATATGACGCATGGTTCACTAATACCAACCACAGGAGATTGACGAGCTCGTTGACGACTGGACTCCTGAGCCTTTGGCAGCGCCTGTCACCGCCTTCGAAGAGGCCGAGAATGAGAAGAGACCAGTCATCGTAGGGTGAGATATATTCGCACGCGCTACCCGAAGCCATGCGCTGACACACACAACACAGTCCCTCCGCGCCCAAATCCAAGCTCGCGAATGGCCGAACCGTGACAAACCTTGCCACCTACAATCACTACAACTTCATCAACTCCGAAAGCATCAAGGAGGCCGCCGTCAAGACTCTGCGCAATTACGGTGTCGGCCCTTGCGGTCCACCCGGTTTCTATGGTACTCAGGATGTCCACCAGACGCTCGAAGCCGACATTGCCGCTCATCTGGGTGCACCTGCTGCCATCGTCTATGCTCAGTCTTTCAGCACCATCTCTTCCGTTATTCCTGCCTTCTCCAAACGTGGCGATATCATCGTTGCGGACAAGGCTATCAACTTCGCCACTCGTAAGGGTATTCAGATTTCACGCAGTACAGTCCGATGGTACGAACACAACGACATGGAAGACCTCGAGCGCGTGCTCGCCAAACTGGTCAAGGAAAACGCTCGCAAGCCGCTGACTCGTCGTTTCATCATCACTGAAGGCCTGTTCGAGAACGTCGGAGATGTCGTCAATCTTCCCAAACTCATCGAGCTCAAGCTGAAGTACAAGTTCCGCATCATCCTGGATGAGACATGGTCATACGGTATACTGGGCCGCACAGGTGGAGGTGTTACTGAGCAACAGAACGTGGATGCCAGCCAGGTAGACATGATCATCGGCTCTCTCGCTGGTTCTCTTTGTGGCGGCGGTGGCTTCTGTGCTGGCAGTGAAGAAATTGTCGAGCACCAGCGTCTCTCTGGTAGTGCATACACCTTCTCGGCCGCGCTGCCCGCCATGCTTGCAACGACTGCTAGCGCAACCACCCGAATTCTGCAAGAACAACCAGAACTCCTAGCTGCGCTGAGAGAGAACATCCGCGCCATGCGCGCCCAATTGGATCCTCGCAGTGACTGGGTTACTTGCACCAGTGCCGTTGACAACCCTGTCTTGATGCTTGTGCTAAAGGACGAAGTACTCGAGAGCAGGCAGTTGAGCATTCAGGAGCAGGACGCCATCATGCAAGACATTGTCGAAGAGGTAAGCAACGTTCCAATCCCTTCCTCATCCTGAACTATTTTACTGACTGAGGACGAACAGTGCCTTGCCAACGGCGTCTTGATCACCAGACTGAAGAGCATGCCTCCACCATTAGGTGGTACACCTCGTGACGAGGGATGGCAGCCTCAATCTGCAGTCAAGGTCTGCGTGACCACTGGTCTGTCGAAGAAGGAGACGGAGAAGGCTGGTGTTGTCATCAGGCATGCCATCACCAAGATCATGACGCGCAGAAAGTGAGACTAAAAGAGCTGCTCTGGATTTGTCAAGCCCTTCTTCCTTCGATGGCGTTTTTTCATGGCAAAGCGACTTTGTATTCAGAGTCTGTACAAATATATATCCCTTGTAATTGTGAAACGCAAGACCTTCGTTAACAGCATCATCGTGGCCTTTTCAGAGCCTCGTTCAAGAATACACGCTTGATGGGAATAGTGGTCGTGTTTTGGAGAGGGTTTGGATGGCGGAGGATAAGCTTACTCTTACGCCCGCTAATCGAAGAGCGATGTGATCAAGGAAATAGAGGGCAAGTGCGATGAATCTGGCACATCAGGAGCTGGGCTTGAGTTGGACATTAAGATTCTGCGATTATAAAGGTGTAAACAAGTACATTTTCACTTTTCCATACCCAAACGCCAGAAAAAGGCACAATGCTATGAGATGTATCGAATGCTTTTCTTAGCCAGTAGCGAATAATTTGTTCCATGCATACCAGCCACCACAACGTCCACTGGTTAAAGCAAGCAATCCTGTAAACTGGACCAATGTTAGCGTATACTTTGAACAAGCGCAGGGAAAACTCACTCGCAAGGCTCATTCTTCCTCACATACTCCAAATAGTCAAAACACTCGTCCGTCTTCGAAGTCTCAACATCAGGTCTGAATTTTGGCGTTCGCTCTACCATCCTCATCAGCAACTCTTGCCCTTCGTCACTGACGCCATACTCCTGCAACTCCTTGACCCTTGGCTGCCAGTTCAGAATGGCTCGGAAGCAAGACATGTACGTCATGTCTTCCAGAAAAGGTACAGGGGTAGAGCCAACGAGTAATTCCCACATGATTATGCCAAGACTCCAGACATCTGTCTTTGAGGGCAGGGCTCCAGCGCCTCGTTCAAATATCTCGGGGGCGACGTAGTCTATCGTATCATCTGCGATTCGATCATTGAGATATCCTCGCGCGTCGATCAGGTCTACACCGCCAAATCCAGTGAGCTTGAAGAGTGGAGGATCAGTGCGAAAGACGATGATTTTACTGGGCTTGAGGTCGCGGTGAGAGATGCCTTGAGATGCGAGATAGGAAAGAGCTTTGAGCGTCTGTAGAGCGAGATCCATGACGGCATCTTCTTTTACTCTCATGGCTTTGTGGCTGCGGATGAAGTCGCTTATGTTACCGTGAGGGGTGTGCTCGACGAGAATGACACTGCCTTGAGGCCATTGCTCGCGGAAAGCAGAGACGACATTTTCGTGTCGGACTCGAATCATGGCTGCTGTTTCGCCAATGTTAATACGGTTTTCCCTGGCGTCGCCTTTTCTGTCCCGTAGCTTCTCGAGGACGACTGGGAAGCCGGTCTTCTGTCTCTGCCTCCCTTTGGCCAGAGTAACAATCATACTGCCAGTCTCGTAATGGAAAGGTCGTGCTTCTTGCCAGATGCAATCTTCCTCTGCATCGAGATATCTCTGACGTGCATCTCCAGGAATGAGCGTTTGACGTATGGCAGGCTGGAGTAGCGACCATACAGTTGTTCTCAGCTCTGCCCATCTGGACCGCATCTTGCAATTGCCCAAGTCGAGGAAGGGAAACAGGAGCGTCAGAGACAAAGTGCCAGCCACGATTGTGACAACCTCGCCCTGATAGATCCGTATTCGCTCTCCTACTCTTGAGAGCAGCTTATCGTCGACCATGGTGCCTCTTGGACTGCAGTTGTAAATTTCCAGCTCAGGGATATTTCGAGTGTGGTCCAGCTGCACTCCAAAGTGTGTTCTATCGATACCGTCTCCTTCTTCTTCACTCAATAGGATGTCACACTTTTGCGGATCTCGTCCGAAGATGTGACCTTCTGTCACATCGGTAAATGAGTCGATGCTGAAGGTCAAGACCAAGCCAGCTTGCGTTTCGTCTTCTTCATTGTAGCCATCACCCAGGCCAGCCATAGGCTGTATCTGAGAAACGAAACGCTCATTCTCGGGCAGTTCCAGGATACCAGTGTTACTTGACTCGACACCAATTATGCAAAACGTCTTGGTGATATCGTACCACCCGAGTGTGCTGCTGCCGGCTGAGAGCGGACTAGACATGGTGGAGGTCGCTATCTCGAATTGAGGGATGGAGCGACGAGGGAATAAGTCTAGCTTGTTGAGCCGCTACGAGTGTGGACTTAGATGATGAAGAGAGATGAGATGCGGCATCGCCAGAATTTATACATGACTTCAGCTCTTTTTGGCCTCCTTCGTAACGAAGCACCGCGGCGGGTATTGGTTGCGAAGCGCGAGTATTTCTCCGTCATTGCAGATGCAAGGTGTCAGTCGTATTGGATCCAACTGCGACCTAAACAAGAAACATCGTACTAGCCGTCGGCGCGCCAGAATCGTCCGGTGGTGATTGGGACCAGCAAAGTCGTCGCGGTAACGCCAACGACGGGCCCAAGGTTATGCTGACGACCGGGGTGATTTCGTCCACTGAGAGAACGCGCAATTTTACTGTCAGAAGGGAACACTGGCGATCTATCGCAAAAGATTCCGACGTTTAAGTCGAGAGATGCAGCGATCCGAATTTGACTGCAAGACGCTTCTTTCGGACGCCTTGAGGACGGTTCGTCTTTTCACTAACCTGCAACCATCTCCCACGACAACAGCAAGTCATCTGCTGCAGACGAGCGGTTACTCACATGACTGGCGTACAGTCTTGCCACCCCGCTTTCAGGTCCAAGGATGATGCTGCTACCCGGTGTCGTACAAAATCCGTTGGCGAAAGCCCTGAGAAAAATATCACTAATGTGGTTATTTCTGAACCTTTTGCTCTTCTCAACAAGGACAGAGTAAATGCTCGATGGCTCGCCACTTCAGCCTCTTCCCTAGTGAGCGTACATGTTATGCATGGGGAGTGCACCATGAGCACTGTTCACAATCTGTGAGAGGCAACAACAGGATCCGGACCGGCTTCTTGCTCTCTTGTCAAGTCTACATGCGTAGATGAGAAGGCTTTATGCAGATTATGCTACAAGCCTGACGGCAGCAGGACTGGGCCTGGGGAGCCGCTTCCAAAAATAAGGGAAGAACAGTCTCCAGTGGTGTCGACAAAATACATGATGCCCCGGTGGATGGCACTTCGTCCAATCGTCGTATGCTTGAGTGTATAGAAGGGACCAGGACCATTGCATGTCTTTTTCATCATGCAAGTACATGTGCCTCGTCTAGGCCCTTGACAAAACTAAGTGTAAGAGCCACCTGTCACGACCCACCTGTTTGCAGAAGAGCTCGTATCGAGAAGTACCTACTGCTTAGCTCTGCGAAGAAACTCTTCGCGCTGTTCCCGCAGCCAACCATCGTGCTGCAGACGTTCATGCTACGAGCCGATGTATATGTTAGAAGTTTACCTCTCTGAAGGGATGACGATCGAATTGTTACTCATGCCATTTGACTTTCGGGTCATGTTTCTCCTTGCGCGAAGGATCGTCGCACTTTGCAACTGATTGAAGGCACGAACCTCTTTGAATATGGGGCGATGGCAGCGAGATGTGTCTCTCAATTGACTCTCTGTGTTAGACTTGTCCATATAGTATATTATCCTGCATTGCTATAGCTCGTCTTTCGTCTGCTCTGATCGTCAATATAGCGTGAGAGAGACAGCATTCAAGGTGATGTAGGAGCTGTAGAAAACCACCAGACCGGAGAGAAGATTAGAGGCCAACCGAAATCTCGTCAACGGGAGAGCGGCCCGTGTAGATGTATTCGTGAATTGAGTACACAGCTGCAAACAGAAAATGATCTTGGAGATGATGGGTGGCATTGAGGTAAGGGTGGCTGTGGTGTTTGCTTTGTTTGATGAACGCATGGATTTTGTTTACCGCCACGCCTCATTCGCTCCTTCTGTTGGTACTTAACAATTACGCCGGACCACGACACGGTAATGCTTTTGACTATGCTTTGGAGAATCTTGTGAGGCTCTTTCCTGCACTAACATCAAGTCTAAGTCGACATCGGGAAGGTGCTTTCCTGCCAATATACCTATGCGCAATCTTCGGCGGTCTACGACGACCTGAGCGTGTGTGTGATGCTAGATCTCGCAATTATTCGTCCGTCATCACTACGATCCTCACTCGTAGTACTCGAGCTTCTAGTCCTGATGAGCAGACTATCCTCCACCGGTATGTTTGTTCACAACTTGATTTGACCTTTCGCACCCGTAAGTATAGTCTCTGCTTGCTATCACTTAGACGCCGTCATTATTTCCTGCTGCAGCTATGACAACCGAATGAGAGACTCGAAGGTAAGGAGAAAAATTCGTTATTCTTAGTTGCTGCTACTCAATCCACAACTGTTGGGATGTCGTAACGAGAGTGTCCAATATTCCGGTCGATTGATCATTTTCTCGCTATCACCATCATCAAATCACGATATATCTGCTCCTTTGTCCTTGTCGGCCACTCTTCCTTCTTCTCCGCTCCATCCCTCACAACTTCACACTACGTAGTCTCAAAACGTCGTCACGGTATCTGCCCTGCTTGTGATTTCAAGCTGTGTGAGGGCTGCTATCTACCTGCCATACTAGTAACGAACCAGACTCTGATACACCACGATAAGATTTCTTGACAGCCTGGTGTGTTCCTTTTTCTCCAAGCCCCTTCCTGACAACTTCACTGCTGCGCTGTCAGTCGCGTCTAGAGAATACCACCAGGCCCGTGCGTTGGAGCGCAAACACAGGGCTCCTTTCCTCATCGACCAGCTCTACAGCATCCCTCCCCGACGAGTTCACTTCCGCGCTGTCAGTCGCGTCTAGAGGATACCCCTAGGCCCGTGCGTTAGAGCGCAAACACAGGGCTCGTCTCCTCATCGACTCTTCTTCTGATCTTGACATCAGCTCCACAGCGCTCCCTGTTCATCTCTGCGCACCCCGCTGATGATCCCCAGCCAAGCATTCAATTAGGTAGAGTAGATGTCAACTATCAGTTCTTCTGCGAGAGATTTTCCTCTCGCCTCGCGTCCTTCCCTTGACTATCACACTCTCCCTTGGCCGTCACATCTACCCCCTTGCGTCAGTCAGCGGCGTCTTCACTCAATGCTTGGACATATTCTGCATACCGGCATATCCCCAAGCACATGCATACTGCCCCGTTACTGACTTGATTCAGCAACACATCTCGCTCCGCCTAAACTGCAGTGAGATTCATTCACCCATCACCCACAGTCTATCCACATCCAAAAAAAAAAATACCTAGAACATCGGTCAGCATGTCGGAGACTCAGAGTCCTATGTCGGAGAAACTCTTCTTCGGAGTTCCTAGTAAGTCATTTCACATGATACTCTCAGACATTGCTGACTGAGGTTGTCGCAGCTGCTGTCCTTGTGCCATACAAGGATCAAGTCAACTCAGGCGATAGTGAGGCAGACAATGAGAACATTGATAAGACTGACAAGGTATGCACCGGACGAGAGATACGGCCATCCATGTATAACTGACACCACACAGGGCTCAAAGGAGAACCCATTCCTTAACAGCACCTCGAATAAGCGTCCCGCCGCGGACGAGGTCCTTCCTACTAAACGCCAAAAGAGACTCAAGAGGGGCACCAAGGTCAATGGTGGTGTTAAGCCCTCGTTCAAGCCCATCACTGTCGATCTTGACGAGGAAGATCAGATCATTGTCGACATGAAGCAGCAAGGGTACAAGGACGAGGTCATCTCTGAGCGTCTGGCCCTTGAGGGTCTCACCCGCTACGAACCCGGAAGTGTCGCCTGCCGCTGGCTGCGTATCCGAAAGAAGACCCAGGAGTACGAGGAAAAGCTACTCGACGAGCAGTTGACCGACTGGCATGTTGAAGAGGTAAGAAATTTGCTGCCTACACGCCACGAGTACCTGTTGCTGAATCGAATATAGGATGACCTTCTCGGAGAAGCCGTGGAGGCAGGTAACCAGAAGTTTCACGCTGAACTGGCCAAGCTTGAGAAACTACGCTGGTCTTGGACAGCCCAGGCTCTCAACAAACGCCTTCCTCGCGAGCGCTTCTCGGCCAATGCCTGCAAGGATCGATGGGAAGCAAAAATGAAGGGAACGGCTCGATGCCCTCCTGAGCTTGATGCTGATCCCGAAGGCCGTGCCCTCGAACGCGAACAGCGTGCCATCGCCTACAAACAGCGCAAGGAAGATCAAGCTCGACTTGAGGCTGCTGCCGCCGCAGAGAAGAAGCGTTCCAAAAAGGACAACACTGTCCAGAGAATTGCTGCTCGCCAGCGCAAAGAGACTCAGGACGCACTCAAGGCTCAGAAGAAGAAAGACGAGAACGAATATCGCCAGGCGAAGGCTGAAGTTGCCACGAATGCCAAACAGCGCAGACAAGACGCACTCGATGCCGCACGTAGCCTTCGCGCTTACCAAGTGCTCAAGCACAAGTTTTTCAAGAAGCTCCACAAACAATTGAAGGGCGAAATGGCTGCCTTACTGAGAGAGAAGGAGAAGAACGGCGGCAATACTCCTAAGCCCGACGACAAGCAAAAGCTCAGAAGCAGATACACATACAAGAATACCGCTGATCAGATTCTCAACGAGAACATGAAGAACGCAGAGGCCTCCCTCAACGCCCGTGCCTCTGAGTTCACTGGAGTCGTTCAGGCTGTGGGAATCGCCACTGAGAAACCCATGACTCTCACCAAGCCATCGGAACACAACGCCAACGGCCCTCAGCAGACCGCCATCCTAGGTGATATATTCACTGGAGAACCCCGCAACATGTGCACCCTCGATGAGCTTTACAACATCCTTCGTTCGCGCGGCATGCTACTAAACCGTATGAAGGAGAACAAGTCAGTCATCGTGTCCCGACTGAACAACCAAGACCGGATCTGTAACGCTCAGGAGATCAAGGATCTGTTGAAGGCGCGTAACGAGGACTTGACTGGTACAAAGGACGAATTGATCCAACGCCTGGCCGTGTCCGATGCGAAGTCCACCCGAAGGTATCAGACGAAGTACACGCCCCGCCCACTGGACGATAACGGCAATAGAATCAGAGTGAAGATGCCTCCCAAGCTAGCCGTCACAGAGACGACCAAGCGCTACAATGCTCGCGAAGTGGCTATCGAGGAGGGCAAGGCTGTCGCAAAGAAGCAGTTTCCCGTGATTGGCAAGAAGAGAGCCACTGCCAACAAGAGTTCCGCAAAGAAGACATCTAATAAGGATATGGAGAAGAACAAATTCATCCCTGACGACAGTCAAGACGACAGTGAGCCCGAAATGGCCAACAAGATTGACAAGAGCGAGAGCAAGCTGCTCCCTGACTCCTAGTTGGCACGTTTGCCCGCCATGAGAGAAAATCGAGATGAGCCACGCGGCGAAAAGGAACTCTATCAGAGAGCGGTCGCATGATGTTCAGAAATGGCGGCGTTCCGGATCTCCTTTTTGGTACGATCTTCAGTTTTGTATCCCAGTACCCCAGACTTTCCAGTGGTCCGGTGCCCAGCACACCGTTGTGATTTGCAACAAGCGCTGGAGAGTGTGGAGGTGGAATAGGAGTTTGCTTTTGTGTTTTCACTCGGTTGTCGTCTTTTCATTGGACAGCGACGACAAAGTCTGCCTTTCTGCCTGCGATTATGTTCCTCAATTTCTAAAATACCCCAGTACCCAGCACAGCACAACATAACATGCATAGCATAGCACTGATAATAATGCTTATCGACTATCAACAGTAAACAACAGTCTTCTAACTATATCGATTCATGAGAGTGAAAGCTTTATAGCCACTGATTATTGGTCGTCGCGAGGCGGCTTCCGCTGATCCGATTTAAGGGCTTGAGTGTTTTTCGAATCCACCAAAATCCCCTAATCGCACAAATTTTCTACCGTAGACTACCACAACTGCTGAGGTGACTCGATGGTAGGTATGGCCTTGGCCAGATGAATCAATAAAGGATCTTGGAAGTTGCTAGCCTCCTTTCATCCTTTCCGGTGGTAGTAAGCGAATTCCGTCTCAGCTGGCGGTAAGATCAACTTGTCACCCTCGATCACGCAGCCAAGGTGTACCCCCATACCAAAGACAGTCTGCAGACTGGTAGGATGGAACGAACGTGTGCCAAAACAGCAGGTTTGCCGGAAGGCATAGTCGGCGCACCTGCCTCACCGAATACTGGCTCTCTGGGGTCTTCCCCGCATCCCCCACCCGACCGTTGAACTCGAATTGCGGAGTCCCCAGTCTCCGAGATGTCTAGATCGTGGGTTAACCTGGGGAACCACGAGAGTGTGCGGTAAAGTTTCTGTGTTTGGAGATCGAATGGTCTCGAGGGGGGGGTAGGACGGTGGTGGTTTGGAAGGTAGGCCGAGCGGAACTGATACCGTGGTATGATGGTCGAAGGATACATATAAAGACTGTCCGCCAACTCGAGAAGAGCAGAAGCCATTTACTATTATCCTCTCATCCAGCATCTCATACACTCAATTCGTCATCATGGTACATCTACGAACAGACATTGGTGCCACCAACCCTGAGGCACCAATGCACCCTGGAGAGAACAGCACGTATGCCAAAGAGCTTGAATGTGATGTCCTCATTGTCGGTGCTGGCTTTGGTGGTGTCTACCTTCTTCACAAGCTTCGTGACGAAGTTGGTCTGAACGTCAAGATCTTCGAGGCCGCCAACGAGCTTGGTGGTGTCTGGCGTTGGAATTGCTACCCCGGAGCTCGTGTCGACACACAAGTTCCCGTCTACGAGTATTCGATTGAGAAGGTCTGGAAGGACTGGACCTGGACCCAGAAGTACCCCGACTTCAACGAGCTTCGCAATTACTTTCACCATGTCGAGAAGCAGCTTGATATCAAGAAGGATGTCAGTTTCAACACTCGTGTCATTGGTTCTCAATTCGATTCTGAGAGCAAGACATGGACAGTCAAGACTGAGGATGGCCGTACTGCCAAGTGCAAGTACTTGATCAACGCCATCGGTTTCGCAGCCAAGCGTCACTTCCCTGACTGGAAGGGTCTGACCGACTTCAAGGGCGAGTTGCACCACAGTTCATTCTGGCCTGACTCAGGTGTCGATGTCAAGGGCAAGCGTGTTGCTGTCATTGGCACGGGCAGTACCGGTATCCAGATCGCTCAGGAGACAGCCAAGGATGCTGCCAGTGTCACCGTCTTCCAACGCACACCCAACCTTTGTCTGCCTATGCGTCAACGTGACTTGACCAAGGAGGAGCAGCAGAACGCCAAGGCGGAGTACCCCGAGATTTACCGGAAACGCCTGACCACTTTTGCCGGATTTTCTTACGATTACATCGAAAAAAACACTTTTGACGACAACGAAGAGGATCGCCAGAAGTTCTTCGAAGAACTATGGGCAGAGGGTGGCTTCCGCTACTGGTTGGCTGGATATAAGGATCTTCTGTTTGATGCAAAGGCGAACGACCAAGCATACAACTTTTGGGCGAAAAAGACCAGAGCTCGAATTGCCGACCCACGCAAGCGTGACATCCTTGCACCCCTCAAGGCACCTCACGCATGGGGAACTAAGCGTCCTTCTCTGGAGCAGAACTTCTATGAGATGATGGACAGAGCTGAGAACGATGTGGTCAATGTCAAGGAGACACCCATCACCGAATTCACCGAGACCGGTATTGTTACCAGCGACGGCAAGCTCCGAGAGTTCGACATCATCGCCCTTGCTACTGGCTTCGACTCCGTCACTGGTGGTATGAAGAACATGGGTCTCAAGGATACCGAGGGCAAGGATCTCGCCGAGAGATGGAAGAATGGTACCTGGACCTACCTTGGTATGACTTGTCACGGCTTCCCCGTAAGTATCCCCACACCCCGACTATCATACAGCATCACTAACCTCTTTCTAGAACATGTTCTTCCTGTACGGCGCTCAAGGTCCCACGGCATTTAGTAACGGCCCGACCTGTGTCGAAGTTCAGGGTGACTGGATTGTCGACGCCATTGCCACAATGCAAAAGACCGGCAAGCAGACCATCGAGGCCACCAAGGACGCAGAGACTGAATGGCATAAGCTTGTCACCGAGCTTTCCGACAAGACTCTCTTCCCTGGCACCGAGTCTTGGTACATGGGTGCCAACATTCCCGGCAAGCCTAGAGAACAACTTAACTTCGCTGGTGGTTTCCCATTGTACGAGAAGGAATGTAGGAATGCACTTGACGGCTGGAAGGGCTTCGTGGTCACGTAAGGAACTGCACGAAGTGGTTGACCTCTTTTACGAATATTAGTATGTAATGTAGCTACGTATATATGAATTATGTTTTTTAAACCAATTCACCCGGTCTTCGTACCTATTCGTCGGTGCTCGAGAGTCTGTTACCTATTCGATAAGACCATCCAGTGCAATCTTTCATAAGCTCATTCGTGGTTGCCGATTGTGATGCCCTGATGTTCGTCGGAGCTTCGCCCAGTGTTTGCAAGGCAATGCCGCTTTGGGGAGCACCCTGACCATTAATTTAGTCCTACACCCGAACCTCAACGCTCGACTTCTCAACCAACTCTCATCGCTACAAGTAATCCGAATAACAGCTTTCGTCATCGGAATCATCAAATATGTATCAATTACGCCTGAATGTCATTTCTGCTCAAGTGATTTCGAAACGCTCGGAGACCGACCAAAGCACAGCAGACTCCACCATATTGCACCACAACTTCCACGTTGACATCCATGATCAATATTTCTGCAACTGTCTTCTTTTTTCGCGCTTGAACGATCTCAGCATCTTCAACAGGAATGCCGAAATATGTGCTGAGATATAAGAATCTGGCATATACGCCCATTTTCTCTGAGCTATCTAGACGACTGCACAAAAACACATGCTCTGTCACGACGAGCGCAATCCGATAAGTACACGTTCACTCCTTCCTAAGTTCCCAGACGCCCACCGAAGCTGGGGAAATGCACAATGTGTTTCCAATGACTGATACGCAAGCGGGAAGTCACTTCAGATTGCAACTTCCCATTCCGAGACAAAACAAGATAACAATCGTCTTTAATTCTGCACGCCAAAACGCCGTCTCCATGTCCTGTTTATGTGGTCGTCAGGGATATGGTATATTTACACTCAAAAGAGAAGTATCAGGTATCGCGATCGCCTGTTCGAAGCTCATCGCTGAGACACGTCTCTTGCTCAGGTAGCAGCTTAGCCACCTTGTCATTCCTCAGGCTCTCGACACCGACACCATGCATGGTAGCCTCTCTCTGCCTAAGGAAGAACTGAATACGTTCTTCTTTGGGCCTGTTCTCCGACATCTGGCGCACACGTCTCAACTCCTTGCTCGCACGATCGTGCACCAGATCTCTTGCTGCCACCACCTTATCGCCCTCGGTTTCCGCACGACTCAGATTCAGCGAGGCACCTATCATAGCGAGTAGAATGACGCAGAGGATGAAGTTGCCGTTGGAAAGATATCGAGGAGCTTGTTGTGTCACGCCATCTCGACGTGCGTAGAACCGCTCCCAATCCTCCCATGTGGCATTGCCCCAGATGTCCGAGTCGGTGTGATGGCGCCAGCCGCTAAAGGGACCTGCGGGTGCACCGGGCCCAGGCCTGCCGCCTACTGTACTTGGAACACCGCTCCATCCAGCACCAAATCTGTCGTACATTTTTCGCTTGTCCGGGTCTGAGAGAATGGTGTGGGCTGCTACGACGAGACGATAGCGCTCAAGACGTAGTGGTTGTGGCACGCTATGATGATGGTGATGTTTCTCACATGCGCCAGAGTCCGGATGGTAGAGTTTCACGAGCTCGTAGAAGCGGCGTTTACTGTAGGGCTCGGCTTCTGTGGTGGAAAGAATTTGGTAAGGAGTCGGATGCGAGTGGCCTTTGGGTGCCTTTGGCCAGGGCATGTCGCTCGCTGGTGGTGCCGAAGATGATGACGGGTCCGGTGAGCCCGCTGACATTGGGTCTCCAGCTATGGTGGCATAGCTTCGCGGCGTCGATAAAATCGACCTCTTGCCATTTCTACGTGCTGGTGCTGGTATCGAAGGTCGTGTGCTGTAGCGACACCATGGTGGTGATGACGTCGACGAATTCCGGGCAGCGGCGGCACTTGGAGTAGCGACAATAATATGGCAGCGACGAGAGAGCGGCGCGGTCAGGATGGTACGTGAGGGGTTGGTAGGAGGCATGCCTCTTGGCTCATCATGTCCCTGTGTGTGAAGTCGGATCGTGCTGGTCTAACATGCTACATGCGGCATCTTTGATGTCTTGCCGATATCATCGACGGGCCAAGCCTGTCGCCATCTCGGAACTTTGAGCCTGGGCCCGATCGAACCATTCCTCTCGAAGCGCCATGCGGGGTCGGCAAACAGACAAGCAAAACGCCCATGTTACGATCCGCGCAAATACCAGAACAGCGGCTCCATCTTGTCGCTTCTTTTTGCAAGCAGTTTCCCACTGCGATCTGCTTGACCAGCGGCCTCAGCTTTTGCTCAGATCTTTCGCGCAAAGCTAATCTTTCCACAACCCAATCTATCTGCTGTACCTTGGTCTGAGCAGTCTCACTTTGCTTACTCGCGATTGTCGCTCATCCGTCCCCTCCCGTTTGTCCTTCCCACGATCGCCTTTGTCGCGCTGTGCCATGTGTTGCTCTCGATGCCCCCACGACCTCCCAGATCCCTACAGATCTTGAGGGAAACGCTTATCCATCGAGTACGAGAGATCTGAGAGCATACCACACATGGGCCCTAGCTCTTCAGGTACGAAGCTGACGTTGGCAGTAATCGTACACTCTTGTACCTGTGATCGGCCATGTATTCCCCCGAGCAAAAAGCGTTCGCACAGGGTCGCTGACTCCTGGACGCCGCATACGCGTTTCGCTGAAAGCCAACCCCTCTTATCGCTCCTCCTCACAAGGCTAAATCTGCGTACCGTGACAAATAGGCATTTGGCCAAACCCCACTGTGCCCAGGTGCAGAAACATGGCAGAGACATGCGTCAAGAATACTGCCACCCATTTGCTTTTTCGTCCATGTCTATCTTTGGTGGCTAGGTGCGAATAATATCATTGCCACTTACAATTCGGTCAATGTTGCTGTGTCGATGAAGTCGCTTCTGAGCCACCCACGTGAACAAATGCGATCTTTCTCATACATCTTGGGTCGCAGTCAAGTCTGGGAGGGTTCAAAACACAGAGGATATCAAGATCAAGTAAGCAATGAGGTGAAAAAATTGACCACTCTGTTAAGATGAGCAGTCGTGTCATTATATTCGTGAAGCTCAGTCGTCACTAAGCCCAGCCTTCATGTCCCATATTTCATGCCATAGACGCCATCCATTAGATATCCTCCCATTTTGAAGCCAAAACCATTATCCAAAAGGTGTCATTAAACACCAGAATCCCCAAAGCCGAGTGAACTTATACAGTAAATAGAAGTGAAGTTTAGTAAGGAACGAGAGCAAGAAGTATGCTCAGTTGACAGTAGCAGAGTTTGAGCTTTGGTCATCCCATGCGTTCGAATCAAGAAGACTCGCCCAATCGTTCTCGCCAGGTGTGGTCATTCCGCTAACGTTGTTGTGCGAGAAACCCTTGATGGGGTCGAAGCTGGAGTCGTAGCCGAATGTTGGTGTAAGAACAGAGTCGGCACCTGACATTGGCGTACTGTACTTGTCCATATTGTTGTCAAGCATGCCAGGGGCAAGAGTCTGGTTGATGCCGTCGAAGGAAGGGCTGCCATCCTTGAACTTTGAGGGGTTGGGGTTGTAGGTGTAGAAAGGTTGGGATTGCTGCTGGCCATAATTGCCCATGAGCATTTGCGAGAAAGGATCATTCTGGTCGAAAGCAGGTCCAAGCAATTGCTGAGACTCGTATGGCAACGAAGTGGAGAAAGGCATCATGTTCATCATGCTAGGGTCGAATGCGGGAGTGGCATTGTTGTAGGAAGGATAAGTCGTCGGCGAAGTCTGACCGGTAGGCGAAGTTTGGCCATTGCCCTGCTTGGCAGCCTCGTGCTTCAGATTGGTGAGGCTGGTGGATGATGAGCTTCGCGATGCGGAGGTCAACTGTGGTGGTGAATTGGCAGCGGTCTGCTGAGACTGAACAGGAAGAGACATGCGACGGTCCTCTGGCTTGATGAAAGCAGCGTTGGGGCTCTGTGCTGGGTGGAAGTTGTTCATGTTCTGCAGCTCCTGGGGTGTAGCGATAGATGCTGAGCGGCCATGCATGTTCTGTCGGTAGTCCTGTTGGGGATAAGGCGACGCACGGAAGGTTTGTGGTGATCTGTTTGCCATTTGAGGGGGAAGCATGGGGTTGGGGAAAGACTGAGGGAATCGACCGAGCTGGTTGGCGAACTGAGGGGCATTTGAGTATTGCTGGGGGTTGTACTGGTCGCCGATAGTCTGGCCAAGTGCGGCGCGCATGGCAACGTGGTTGGTGAGGTATGCGGCCAGTCGACGATCGAAGTCGGCGTTGGAGGTCTGAAGATGAGCGGTGAGGCGGCGGTACTGCATGGGCAGATCGTCGTCTTCCTCTTCGTACATCTCCTCGTTGATAACGTCTTGCTCAGTCACACGCAGAGATCTGCCTGTGCGTCTCTTGTGAATCTCCGATGCACGACGAGCCGACTCAACACGGGCTTCGAGACTGCGGTCACTGCGGCGAGAAGCGGCAATGTATGCTCTGTAAATCTGTTAGGGCAAAGGGACGAAACCAATGAGCTGATGAACAAACCTCTCCTGGTTCTCTTCATGAGTGCGCTCCGTCTTGACGGGCTTGGCAGCGGGGATAGTTCTGAGTGGAGGCATGGTGATATTGTCGGTGTGACTTGTATGGATATTATGCCGAATTTGCAAGGTCACGAAAGTGGTCCTTGAGAGAAAGGGTCTCGGAGAATTATGCCAAAGGCTGCAACGATTGGCTGTGTAGGTTGAAAGAATGCCGTAGTACTGGGATCTCAGATGCAGATGCAAGAGGGGTGATAACCAGCGAGTCGAGTGTTGGTCGTCGAATTGTGATTGTTGATCGAGGTGAAGACTTGAACCCGAGCTTGTCTAATAACAAATGCTCGAGAGATGAGAGATGAGAGATGTCAAAAGGAAGATGAGATTGGGGAGGGCGGCCGGGGAGATAAAAGCCTTGCAGCATCAGATCGGGGCTAGAGACAAGACAGCCTGGGATTTGCAGCCTGGTGTCATTGGCAGAACGCCGCCGAGGTCTAAAGGCTGAGCTTCGATCGCGCCAATTCTTTCCATCCGCTCGGACCACGACGGCCCAGCTCTGGAGTCTGAACCTCTTCGGCTGCTCGGTTTCGTGTCCCTGGGATCCATGGTGATTGGCCGATCTGAGATCAGAAGAAGTGGAGCAACGGGACGCGCGCTCGGAGCATGCCTCAAATCAAGATCTCGGTTATCTGAGAGCTGCACTGCACACAGGCCACGTTCCTCGATCTCCTGCCTGCTTGGGCATGGCTCTGTGAACCTCACGTCACTTTTCTCATCTGCAAACTCATACGCCATGCTCCCTCTGTTGGCGGAGGTAGATCACAGCTTTCCGCCAGCCATTATCACCTCCGTCACAGTCACCATCGGCCAAACTCATTATACGTCTTCCTGATTGTGCTTGGAATGCAACACGCAGACAAAAGAGCTCGCTGCATATTTCTTGTGTTCCTGAGGATCGACAACATGGGCTGAGAACAATCTGACTTGGCTGCTAAGGACAGATGCCGCGATCGTGTTTGGGGTCTAGCAGTTGATTGATCGCCGTGAGCTTCCAAATGTTTGTCTTGGTTGTCGACGCTGGATCTGGCTTGCTCTCTCAGTTCCCGTACGACGCTTGTGGACGCTCAGAAGTACCCGTTCAGACACACTCGATGCAGCTAACCCCCCAGCGGCCGGGGTGTTTAGTGGTTTGGTTTGCGCGAATCGTAGGGTTCCACTGCCAGGCGCACGCACAACGGCCCGCCCGCAGACAGCTTAGCCGCCGTGGTAAACAGCCCTAGTGCTGGTACGCTTTCCGTCATCGTCAACTATCTGGTGGAAATGTCTCCGATTTACTTCGACACGCCGAATTTCACCATGAGTTTTTTCTCGCGTTTGTACGCGACCGCGCCCGGAGAGAATTCTGTAGTTGTGCCTTAGGTAAACTCTAGAGACGTCTGGTTCCACAAATGATATCCTGTGATGGATGGCTCCGTGAACGTACGGGTACGTACCTCTGCACATTCCGGGGCGACAGATTAGAAAGTCGATTGAGTGTGGCGACTGCCTCGCTTATCTGGATATCTCGTACGCCGCATTCGCAAGCTCCGCTACACAGCATGAGACGCCCTCGTCTTGTCCATGCAAGGGTCGAGTGGATACCAGAAGATGCGGCTCACATGACGCCTCAGGGATGTTGACCAACTTGCACGCAGCACTTCGAACCGAAGCTTGGGACCCTGGTTCTCAAGAGGGCATGCTCTTGTCTCAGTGTTGCACAATGCTTTGCCAGATCTTGCAGGTGGATACGCCTAAGCCAGCAAGACAAGCATCACTTTAGATCTGTGTAACTCAGATCTCTGGAACGCAGTACGATTATTCTCCGGGGCAGTGGTGTGAAGCCGTTGACGATATGCGAGATCTCAAGCATGTGTTAGTATTCAGGACAGATCGCACAAGGTAGGCCCGAGTACCGTCCCATGAACATCAATGAAACGCTCAGCTGGAGCACCAATTGCTGCCGTCTCATATCGGCATGCCTGCATCTCCTGATAATCGCGTCACAGATAATCGTACTGCTAAAATGTGAGCATGAGAAGTGCACGAATCCTGGTGTCGACAGCCTGAGCTCTGCGATGCTAAAACTAACAGCCGCGATGTGATAGCGTGGGGTAAATGTTCTTAGCGTGCTGCCATTAATCCTTCGCACGAGGAGCGATCGAAAAAAGCAACGCAGAAAATCCCCGAAGCCCGTGGTCGTTTCCACGGCCGCGAAAATTCGATAACATTGAAGCCAGCCAAACGGCCGTTGGAAACTCGAAATGACGCCGCCAGTTTGCAACTTCCAAGTCGGGCAACAAGATTGACTGGCGTCAGCCGCTATGTCAATTGCACGGTTTAGTGACATTGGAGCCTCATGTGAGGCCAACTGAGCTCCGAAATCATACTCCAATATTGATAACTTGTTCCTTTGGTCGCGCATCGTTGTGCTCACACACTTTGTTCATCCCGCATGCATAGAGTAGGTCGTTTTTTTTTTAAAGCAGATTACTTGATTGGAGATCTGTGGTCGAGCCGCACCGTCCCGCGCGCCTTGCCTACGAATTCCAACCTGCGGCCTCCTGCACTCCACCGTGTCTCTCGATGAGCCGCTATGTAGCATGGCAATTTCCCTACGGGTGCAGTTGCTGCAAGCTAATCCGTCGGCCGCTACTAGCTGCGCATCCGTCTCTCACAGCCAGGAGTTGTGTCCGCAGTCGTGTGCAGTCATGTCTCAACCACGCGAAGGATGTGTCCCAAAATTGTAGTCGTTCTTGGATGTGTTGCCGTGTGGTACTGCTTGCCATGCCTTGTGTGTGAATGCTTCAGCATAGGAACATGTTCATCAAACTCTTCGCGGATGACCTGAAAAGTGGTATCATGCAAGACCTCGCAGCTTTCGCGGCGCATCATGATCGAAAGATCTGGTGCCTAGCGAGATCTTTGTACTGAGGTTCGTGCTGGGCCAGCGGAAGCACCAAAGCTATCCGTCACCCTTAGCAGGACCCATAATCAGTAATCGCTAACACAAGCTTCTCACATACCGTGTCGCGCGGAGCATGCCCACGTGCACCCTTTACAAACACTTGAATTCTGCTCGAACCACACAATTCCCAAAACCCTCCGAAGGATGAAGCTCTGAGAAAGATAAGGGTAGGGATCAAACAAACGCCATGTTGCTTCTGGGCTCACGCCAGCGACCACCGAATAGTGCCAATAAAAGGCACAAAAACGCCATGTTCGGCTCCCCATGCTTTGGCTGCGGCAGACAGTATGTACCGCGAGGGGCAGAGAGATAGAAGCTACAGACAGCGAAACAATTCGAGTGATTTACAGGCCCTCAAACCAGGACATCCTAGCAGAAAAACTGCAATCCCTCCAAGATGTTCGCTCCAGAGCTTGCGTACCTCGTACCCTCTCGAGATTGACACTCGACTCCGCCCAGTGATCATCCCGTGCTCGGGACGTATCTCGTAGAGCTCGCTCGCCACATTTCGGACTTCAAAGCCGCGATAGATAGGCCCCGAGCCTAGCTGTGGATCCCCTGTGGGACAATATTTCGCCGAGAAGGCGACTCTCCTGTACGAGGCAAAATATCACGTTCTAAGCAAACATACAGCATTTGTTCTAGCCGAAGCAACAGGGCCGGTGATTTTAGTCAAAGGTTGTTTCGTGGTGACGTCTGACGGGATTCACATGGTTCGGATTTTTGGCCGAGTTTGCTTTGGACAAAGAATTGAGTATTTGAGAAATCTCTGTGAACCCTTCTTCGCTCCGAGTACCCTTTGATACAACCGTTTCGATATGGAAAAGTCCGGCGGTCCCTCTCTCGTGACCTTTGAATCGGACGTTTTTCCAGTGCGCAACAATCTGGTCCACTGTTGCAAGCTCCCTGCTTATACCACAGAACCTAGCAAGCATATCGTCCAGTGGCTGTACGGCTGATCGTAGAGCAATCGTCCGACAGAAAGACCCTTACCGCTGCATGATGACACCCCCCTCTCATTCGCGTATCTGGTGTGACCAACCTCTGGGAAGGACAAAGTTTCCAAGGTGCAGAATACATGATCCGTGAAGAAGTCCGATTGGGCCAAGAACAAGTGTTAGGAGAATAGAAAGGACCCGTAAGACCAGCTAGGACGGCTCAACTGTCTCCACATCATAGGATCTCATCTCAACGGAATGGGAAGTAGCCTCTCTCTCGTGCTTTGCTTGCAATAAGCAGCTATTCCACACACTCACCATCTACGCTACTTTCATGTGAAAGCAGCTAGAAGTATAGATGCATGGATGTTCTGATACGCACAAGGATGTCGTAGATTTATATCTCTCACGCTCACTGGTTGGCAGCGACGATGGCTTTTCCGACAGCCAGTCTGTCGTGACGGTCGAAGCATTCGCGTCCTTGTTTGAGAGCACCAATCAGTAGGCCGAGGGACTTGTCGTTGAAGTCGCCTGCCGAGCGTATCTTGTCCAGATCTTCGGCAAACTCGGTAGTCATTTGACGGAGGTAGAATGATGTGAATGCATCCTCGGCCTCTGCGTCTGCAACCTGGGGCCCACTTGGTGTCTGATCCTCTTCTGGCGAAGATGATCGGGATGGTGACTGGAGAGGATGTTAGCCAATTTACTTGGTCGAATTTCCGAGTTTTGAGAATGCATGAAGAAGAGTGCTCCAAACATATCTGAAAGATTCAAAGGCGCAGAGATAATTGGGCAAGGCTTTTGAGGTCAGAATGCGTACCCTCTGAACAGTCTTGGTCTTGGGCTTAGCCTTAGTCTTGACAACGCTCTTCTTCTGGGGTGTAGGTTCTGAATCACTGCTTTCAGATTCTGAAGATGATGAGGAGTCTGATGAATCCGAAGAATCGGAGACTAGAAGTCGTTGGTCAGTAGATGCGCGCCCACCAAACTCGATCAAACGCACCATCAGTTCTTGCCTTGCGCTTTCGCAAGCGCTTGGGCTTATCATTTCTTGATTGTCTTTTTACTGTCGGCATTTTGTGCGTGTATGGTTGGTTGGTTAAACAGAAAATGGCGAGCAGGAAAAATGGTCAAGCATGCCAAGAAGAAATTGTTTTGGGCTTGCATGACAGGGTCACGCTACGATTTGAACATGTGCAGTCTCGAAGATAGCCATTCTTTTGTCCATACTTTATAGATAGATATTACAGTCATTACGCATATCCTCAACATCGCTAGACGCCAGCGTCTTTGGGATCAACATTCAGGTTCCAATCGATTACGCCCTCGTCACCATACCTCTCTTTAAGCCATTCGTTCGCCTTGGTAAAGTGACCGCAGTCGAACTACACCACAACGTCAGTAAAACTCTCGCGACTTTGACATGGAAGTGGACTTACGAAGCCTTTGTGAGCGCTCAGAGGGCTGGGATGAACACTTTTAAGCACATGATGCTTAGAGGCGTTGATACCCGCGCATCGCTTCTGTGCAGGACTGCCCCAGGCCAAGAACACAACGCCATTGGTGCGCTTTTGACACACCAGATCAATGACCTTTTGTGTAAACTTCTCCCAGCCCTTACCCGCGTGAGAATTGGCCTCATGGGCACGAACTGTCAAGCAGGTGTTCAACAACAGGACACCACGATCGGCCCACGGTGTGAGCAAACCGCCCTTGTTCGGTGGAGGCTCGAATGCAGGGTATTCCTTTTTCAATGCTTTGTACATGTTTTGGAGCGAGGGAGGAGCGGGAGTAGGGGGTCTGACGGAGAAGCAGAGACCGTGAGCCTGGTTGTGATTGTGATACGGGTCCTGGCCGAGGATGACGGCCTTGACTGTGTTGAGCGGCGTGTGTCGCGACCTGACAATAATCAACAGGATTGCCATTGTGACAGGCATGGATAAACATACCAGCTATAAACATCCTCGGAAGGAGGGAAGATCTTCTTGCCAGCCTCGGCCTCGCTCTTGAGGAATTTCTTCAGGTCAAGGAAAGATTTGGTCGTAATCTCGTCCTTGAGTACGGCAAGCCAACTCTCGTGCAACGTCGCGATTTCAAGCTTGAGCAGTGCTTTCTGCTCATCGCTGAGACTGGCAACCCATTTCTCCTTGTCAAACTTGACAGCAGGAGCAGGGGTAGCGGACTCGGCTGAGCCTTTGGCTGGAGTGGCCGATGACGTTGACGAGGACGAGACGGTTTCGGGAGGACCGAAGAAGCTGGTGATGGAGCTGTTTACCTTGGGCTTCTTGGCCTCGGCGGCAGCAATGTCGGCTGCCTTGCGTTTCAAAGACATGCTTGCTGCTAGATGGAAGAATTGGGTCGCACTCGAGGAAGGAGCAAAGGCATGGCTGCATTAAATTGACTCAGGCGGACGCGCTCACGCGTAGCTGGCTTGTGCTTTCACCCAGGTAGATCTCACCAGATCGGATCGAAGCTTCGAAGCTTTCCCCATTAATGTGGCGCAACGTCAGTGAGCGTCATCTATTGGACGGCAGGAGCGCAAACAAGGACAAGGAATCCTCGGCCGAACTGCCTTCCTACTTCAACTCAACTGCACCCATTTCCTACGCATTCTCCATCCTCTCCTGACCTGCAAACATCGCTTTGACCGCTATACCACAACAATGGCATCCTCGTCGACAGCTCAGATCCCTGGCGAAGCGCCTCCAGCCTACTCCAGAAACGACCCCACTCCTCACAAGACCCGCAATGGAATTCCCCCAGACCATCGCCGCTCCATGGAAGACGAAGCTCGTGAAGTACCCGAAGGCTGGATCAGACAGTACGACCCTCAGAGCAGCCATCAATTCTACGTCGACACGCGCACCGAGCGCGCCATCTGGCACCACCCTTACGATGACGACGAGTACATGGCTTCGCTGGCACCAGAACAACGCGCCCGCATCAGAGGTCTGAGCCGTGTTCCTACAGATGCAGACATCGTCGCTGAGAGCTCCGACGACGATCACGATCCTAGGGGCCCTCCCCAACGTCAAGACTCCAACCCTAGTGGTATGAAGAAGTTCGGCCGTAAAATAAAGGACAAGGTCACTAGCAGCACCCACCCGGAGCGCGAGGCCCAGCGCAAGAAGCGTGCCCAGGAAGAGCAAGAAGCATATAAGCGTCATCTTGCCCTTCGCCAGGCAATGCAGAGGGCTGTCCAGACGGGCGAGCCTCAACTCATTGGCAAGGATCGCGAGGGCCGCGACTGCTACCTCACTCCCCCGCAAGGTGCTCAAGGCTCACGCTACTCTCAGCCCAACGTCCGCACCATCAATCCCTTCGGCCCTCCAATGGGCGGCGGCATGATGGGCGGTGGCATGTACGGTCGTCCGATGGGTGGTTACGGAATGTACGGCCGCCCAGCTTACGGATACTCGCGCCCCTATGGCTATGGTTACGGAGGAGGTCTGGGTTTGCCCATGATGGGAGGTCTCGCCGGTGGCATGCTGCTTGGTGGCTTGATGTTCTAGTAGTTTTCACTCCTCTCATGCACTTTCTGACGACGTAACGAACTATAGCTCAAGAATGATACCCTAATCACATTCCAATCTTTCTTCCTTACCACGAGTCGTCTGAGCCTCCTATCCTTGCTACGGCGTTTCTCTTCTCCCCGGTCGCAGAATACTGTCACACCGTCTCTCCTCGATGATCATCGCAGGGCCCCAGCGAGCTGTAGGAAGGCACAGCTACATTTCGTATCGATGAACGTAGCGCAGGGAGTCGATGACACGAAGCATGTCGATGGTGTTGTTCCAAATTCGAAAATAATGTGATTGAGACAGCTATAAGCGTGACGGCAATTCGCACACGAGAAGGCGGCAAACATATTTCACCAACGATCAATGCACTTTGCCTGACTTGTGCTCGGCTTGATTGCTGATAGTATACATTCTGCAGGATTGCGTCTTCTTTCCATTCGCACTTTCCTTCTCCCCTGATCGATTCCATCTTTGCTTCATGGTCAATTAATTCCTGTTGTTACATTTCCCGCACGAAGATCTGTTCAAGCATTCCGGACTGCTTCAAACCTCGTCATCGTCAGCACCTCCAGCGCCAGCATCTTCCTCGGCAGGCTCGGTCTTGATGGTGACAGTCTGCTTTGAGGGAGTCTCCTCGTCGTCCTCATCGCTATCGGCAGTCATCTTGCGCTTCTTGCCACCCTTGCCCTTCGTGCTCTGGGTCTTAGGGACGGCCTTCTTTCTGGGAGTCTTGGTGGCGGGGGTGTTGGGAGGGGCAACAGTGCCGTTGGTATCGCCGGTGGAGGCAGCGATGTTCTCAGTGAGCTTCTTCTTAGCGACACGCAGCATCTCGCGAGCCGAGTTGGCAGTCTTGGAGCCGCTGACCAGGGAGAGCTTGTCGAAATCGATCTGTAGAAGGAAAGGTGTGTTAGATTGAAGTTCGCCATGTGTGGTTGATGTATTGTGCCTCGATATCAGAGACTTCGATCTTTGGGAGCAACAAGCATTTGCACGCGCTTTTGTGTTTAACACAATGCGCCGAAGATCTGCGAGATGTGGATGTGTCTTACCTTTGGCTCGACCTCGAAGCAAACCCAGGCAAGAGCCAGGTAGCGGTTTTGGCCGTCTGTGAGACCAGTATCCTTGATGTTGGTTGTCATCTTGGATAGTATGAGGTGTTGTTGTTGTTGTTGGTAATTGATTCTGTTAAAGAATTAAAGTCAGATGTGCATCAGATGATGAGATGATGGATGGTTAAGAGACGAACTGCAAGTGGAAGAGGAATACGCAAGATGCGAAGGGTTGAGATGAACGAGGGTGGAGGTTCAACAATGGGCGACAAGTAAGAGAAGTAACAAAACAAGAGGAAGTTGTGATGGGAGAGATCTTGTGATCGAGAAGAGAGTGTTGTCAGTCGTGAATGAAAGAGGATGCAACGCGTCAAAATTTCCGAGATCTGGGTGGAAGATAGAGGAGACTCACTTTCTGGATCGCGCAAGCAACGATTTTGGAGAGTGAGGAAGAGAGAGAGAGAGTTGACTTCTTGCAGATAGAGATAGAGAAACACAATGATGCAAGATGGGAATCTGTTGAGCAATGAGAGTGTGTATGCGTGTTGTTGACAAGAGTTTCCCTCGGCGTGAACTTTGAGACAAGCTCAAATTCACTTCCTCTCTTCTTCACTTCCAGAATCTGACAGGAAAATAGAGCTTCTTCTTGCTTGGACACAGCCTGACCCTCCTATCCAACGACCCAAGACACTCTCCTCGACTGTCCAAATCATCTTCATTAACGTCCGGATCTTTATGGTCCTGTGGGGAGACCAATACGTAGGTTCAATCCGAATCGAGCACCGGACATTCCAACTCACACCAGTGTTTGATGGAGCTAGTTGGCCATATCTCTAAGCTCTCTTGCCCTTCCGGTCATCCCATGCTCGTCCAGTCAAACGTTCGAAGCACGAATCATTGGGGGTTAGACAAAAGAGAGAAGTCCAGAAGTAGCTCTCGTTTGGAAGGTGGGAATTTTAACACCTCTCGAAGTCACTTACTTACTTGACCCCAGCTGTGACTCTAATCCTCCAATCACCTGTGTGATAGACTTTGAATGCATCCTTTGTCCAAGAGGATGTTGCAAAGCCACAAGACAGCCTACGTTGAGTCTGAAGTCGAATTGTCCAATAGGACCAGAGGCTCACCGCTTTGAGAATACAACATCTGCAGTTCGCACAGAATTGGACCAGTGTATAAATGTTCGGATCCAGTTCTCGACGTGTTGAGACCATTCAGTAATCAAGAGAACTTCGGTTGGTCTGTGAGATCATATCAACAAGACCCGACTAGAGGTGGCAGAGTCGCAGATAATTGTAAAAGCGGCATGACGAGCAGAGGTTGTCGTGATTTTATGTCGGTTTTATGCAACTGCGGCAAATTCCCGCCATTCGCAGGTCCGCCTTGTTAGTCGGGCATTGGCACAACTATCACGCATACCAAGTCTCTACATGTCTACCAACCAAGTGAGTGTATCGAATCTCCCAGCAGGCTCCTCAAACTTTAGGTATCCGGCCCCACATACTCTATCGAAATCTCTGAATTGACATTGAAGTGTAGTATTTTTATCTTTCTTTGACTGTGGCACGACAGTGCACTCGGCCGAGTTCTCAGTAGACTGTCTCTCTCATTGGCCAATTTAACGAAAGACGACGCGTCTTTGGCTTCTCAATTCCATGGCACATGTCGACCGTTCAACTCCAACATCGCTATAGTCCAATTGAGTTCAGCTGCACATAGAAGTAGTCGAAGGATTAGCCGCCAATAACTCACAGGATTGTGCAGTATCTGGTGACAGCCATGTCTACAAAGCAAACGGATACCGGCATCTATTAGACAATATCACTGCCGCCAATGCATGTACACAAAAGTAGCTGCATGGGAGATCTGATCGTCCATTTAATGCTGCTGACTGAAATACGAGCCGCGATACAGAGCAACGTTCAAAGCTTAACGGGTCACATCTCATCCTCTGCCAAGAAACTGACCATACCCATTCCTGGTATGGATATAAAGTACCCAGGCGCCCACTCGAATATTGTACACTGAACATCACGGCAAACACATCCATTTAGTACCTAGCCCAGCCTCAATCATGACACTCCCAACATATTCAGATACGACAATCAGCAGAAAGACAGCTTGGTCTGGAAAAGTCCTGATACCACTATGGACGCTCCAGATCGCGGCGAGTTTCTTGAACATCGTCAGCTACTGCATGTATCTATCGCAATACCAGGACGACAGTCACTGGTCTAACATTGAAATAAAGTTCGTAACATCTTTGACTCTTCCATGATACCTTTGAACAAGCTTGCTGATCATGAAATAGCAAAAGCACCAAGACCTTCTCATACATCTCAGCAGTGATTCTTATCTTTCTTTGGGCTCTTGCTCTCTTCATGATCGTCTTCCAGATTGTCAGATTTCACAAGAAGAATCTTCCCGCAAAGACGATGCTTACAATGCAAACCATACTCTTCGTCTTCTCTGTCATTTGTTTCGCCCTGGAACTCCTTGGAATCTTTGTTCTTACAGGTGGATACAAGACGATTCTGGATTTCTTCGGATCCGGCTTTGCAATGTGCGTCCAAGTCCAAAGCGTTTTTCATAACTCCATATACTGACTGTGTGACAGGTTCTTCTTCCTGGGTACATTCATTTATACAAGCGTCATTCATCGCAGACGTAAGTTGGCAAAGAGAGCATCGAAGAATTCGTACGGCATGCAAAACTATGATGAAGAAGCTGTTCCCTCCAAGAACAACACCAAAGTCAGTACGGTTGAATAGTTGTGCAGGAGAAGGAGTCGCGATCATGATCAAGGCCCATCACACAATTCTCGGGAGCCGAGAAGTACTGTTGACGAAGCCACAAGACAGTTTGTAATCAATGAGGAACATTATCCAATCATAATGCGTGACCGCCTGATTCCATCACTACCATCTAAAAAGACGCATGTATCCTGACACACATGTCGGGATTGGGGGTATATGAACGACACACTGACAACAAAAATCGAGAGCATCTCTATCTCTAAGCTTCAGAGCCCTTGGGTCTGACATCACTCATCTCGACTGACTCGTGAGTCTGACTTGGTATCAGTTTACCATTACGAGTCTTCAGGTTTCCGTAGAGTCCAAGTTTGGTTTCCGTAATCCATTCGCGCAGCTTGATGAGGAAATGGACAACGGTAAAGATGACAACGGCAGCAGCCAGAATACCGATGCAAGCACCAGCAATCAAGCCCTTTCCATTCTTGCTATCAAGGTTGTCAGTATCTTCTTCACTTCCATGCCAGGACAGATACTCACGGATCGAGGAAAGGGTAGACGTAGAAGTTCTGCGTCGAGTGGGTGAGGTAGGCGAGACCAAGATACAGAGCTAGCAAGACGACGAGAGGTACAATGTTGAACCAAGGATGCGGAAGCGTGCGTGGAAAAACAATCTCAACAAAGGCCATGACAGAGTTGAGTGCATGCTGGGAGATGTTGGACCAAGCAGTCCACTCATTAGAAAAAGCTCCGTATGCAAGCGCGCCCCAGAACACGGCTACAGAATCGATTAGCACTGCGTAAGCCATGGAAAAAACAACCTCATTGAACACTTGCCTGTCACAATGAATGGAAAGACCGTGATGGTAGCGTAGAAGACAGAATGTAGCCATTGCAGCGATCTAGGCCATCTTTGCAACCACGACTCTCCATAGAGCCAGAAACTCGCCGAATGTGCGCAAGATACAGCGTAATAGAATGCGAGTCCCCAATAGCCAAGTACAGTAAAATAGCTAAACGACTGGCCGGCCGCTTTGCCTGAATGGCCCAAGTTGATGAAAAGGACTATGAAGGCATAGAATGCGACGAGCCCACGCCAGATCGCCAGTTGAAGAGGCGAGAGAAACCACGAATTCGCAAAGCGCGAGGTGTATTCATTGGTTATGGCAACGCGGTAGGGCTCACGAACCCGTCGGTTAAACATTATTTCGCTGCAGCTCCAGATAATCGAGTCCAGTCAATGTATATTCAAAGCCTTGCAAGCAATGAAAAGATGAAATGCTTTCACCAGTACAAGGAATGTTTTGTTGAATCAGAAGAAAAAATGCGTCGTGCTCAGAAGAAATTAGACAACAATTATCGGGGCACGGTAAGCGATCAACGAGCGGCAAGCGATCACTTTATCATATGAACGTAAATAGAGTAACGCCCGGCCTGGAAGCCTTAATTTTTTGGCATCTAGTTCTAGGTTGCGACGACAGTTTTGGTCATCAGATACGACCGCATTTCGAATACTGAAACACATGTTTTACTTGTTATAGCTACCAGCAAAGTGCCGGCTTCGTGTGGGTGAGTGCGGACGGGTCGCCGGGTGTGAAGATCATCTGCGAACTTTGCTCAACACATTCACCAATACACCCTCAAGATACGTGTAGGAGACTGCTAAATAATTTTGCAGGCATGCAGAGCGATAGTGTCCGTTGTCGAGGCACAGAAATTGGCGTAGCGTCTTCGAGGGCGCAGCGGGCCGTTGAGTAAACCGTCATAGGCAAGTCACCATGTCTCATCTGTGTTCTTTTGCCGTATCGTCTTCATGAGCGATCTTTCATGAGACCGCAAAGCGTGCAACACCACCACTTGTGCTCGACGAAGGTGCCGCACTCACGACAAAGCCATCCTGGTGTTCGTTCCTTGGGTGTCTTCTTCTCCCCGAGCGTAGTATGCGTGCCGTCCTTGCGAACAACGTTGGTGGAGCCAGAGGTCTGGGCCATGAAGGCCGGACGCTCACCACCGCAAGCATCACAAACGAGATATGTCTGTAAGTTGATGCAGGTGCATCTCCGGCACGTCCAGCTGTTGTCAGGCACGGACGGCGTATGCGTCTTGGGCGGCCTGGCTAGTACTTCATCTTCATCATCCTGCGTCAAATCAATGAATGGCGTACCTTTTCTAGCAACTGCCTCAAGTGATCCTTTTGTCAACGGAGGCGGCTGTTCGAGAATCTGAACGTCCTCGTGGTCTACTGATAGTGGACATTTTCGAGATCGGCGACCCTTCAGACTCTCTTGTAATGCCCACCTCATCTGTTCTTCCTCACTTCGTGACATATCGTTGTCGAACAAGTCTGAACCGGGTGCGGCGAGTCCATGTTCCTTAGACCATGTCAAGCCACCAGTAGGCGAAGGTGTACTGAACGTGCCCTTCATCTTCTGAGCTTCTTCTTCCTCGATCAAGTCGAATAAGGCCTCTGCAATGGCACGATTGTTAGCGTCGTCTTCCTCCGCCTTAGTCTTGAAGGTGTGTCTGCCAGCTTGTTGCGCCAGATTGTCGGCTTGGGCAGTACCAGATGCACAACCGCGATCGATTGTGGCCCTTCGATCTGCTGCGTCCGCCAGAATTTTACGCAGATCTGTTCCTTGAGGTGCTCTTTTCCCTCCAACCGTCCTACCAGATCCCTTCTGAAGTACACGGCGGTTCTCTGCGTTTGCGCGTGCCAATCTCCTCATCTCATGCTGTGGAGGCACGGGACCACCACCCAATTTCTTGCCACCAGTCAGGAAACCTTCACCAGTGTACCCCCTGAGGACCAACGTTTCGTGATCATCTCTCAACTCATCCCAGAGGGCGTGGAAGTTCGAGTCGTGGTCGCCAAAGATGATGTGCGAGAGCTCATGCAAAAGCGTGTCGACGCATTGCTCGATTGGGAGGAATGTGCCCGGATTATGAGTGTACCGTAGACGCACACAAATCTTGAACGTCTTGTTGATGTTCAAACCCAGCAGACGCTCATCATCTGGCAGAAACTCACTTAAAACCTTGACCTTCCAGGAGCGCTTTCTCATCAGCGGCTTAACTAGAGAAGCTATCTTTCGCAGGCGAATCAAGGCCTCTTCCGGTTGCGGGCAGTCCATGAGATGTTCGTAGGAGCCAAAGAGCGCATCATGTTCTTGGAAGGACGATGCATATGACTTTTTGTGATTTGAGGGGCCGCCAACTTGGATATTGCCTTGACGCGGAAACATTCTGAGCTTTGTGTTCGAGAGCGTCTCCGTGATAAAGGACGACGTAGGAGAGTTGGGGAAGTGAATATCGCGAAATCCAGAATGCTAGTGCAGGATTGCGCCTACGGTTTGATCAGTGATGGTCGCAGGGTGATCTCGTAGCTTGTGAACGTCCTGAAGGTTTCATCACGCTGAAGCAACTGTTCGTGTCGGGAATTATGGTGAGACAGAGACAGGGTGGGCACTTTGTTGCAGAGACGACGAGTGACTTCGTCAGCAGTGGCGAGGCCACAGCACACACAACCTAGATGGAAGGCGCGCCAAGACGCCTACGACGAGAGATTGCGTATTGAATCAATCTCCTCCATCATAATTTACGATCTGACTTACGGATCCTTGACCGGATTTGATGCTTGAGAGCACATATCATAGGGAGAGAAGAACTAGAAATCAATGTAGAGTGTTGGTGATGAGGGACGAGGTCCGAGCCTTCGTCATGGAGACAAGCACTCGGCATAGTTTCCCTAGCAGAGACCCCGCATCATACCATGACGGTGTTTTTTGATCTTGGTTGCGAGACCTTCGACACCTTTAACGTGACCATTCCGAAGACAACAACCGCCATACAAAACATGACTGATGCGCAGTTCATATTCGACTCGGCGCGGCAACAGTACAATGAGTTCGCAGGCGGCCTAGAAAGACACTTTGAAAGCGTCGCTACACAGCTCAAAGACTGGTTACCCGAGCAAATGCGACCTCGTCCGCCACCACCACCACCACCTTCTCGATTTCTCACACCCGCCACATACTGGAATCAAGTCAACCGGTGGGTGGCTCGAAACACTGCACTAAGCGCCGGTATTCTCGCTTTCGTGGGTACCGGTGCCGTGCTTGTCTTCATACAGAGAACGACACATGTGAAGAAGAGAAGAGCTAGGAAGTCAAATAATGGTGCCCGAACGGAGGCTGTTGGTATGTCGAGACTATACTGTGCACTTATAATAGCACAAGGATGCTGACATGGGGGTCGTAGTCCTTGCTGGTTCTCCGACATCACCCTTGACTACCGCTATCGCTATGGATCTCGAGCGTCGTGGTTTCATCGTCTATGTTGTTACGGGAACCAAAGAAGACGAGGAACATCTTCGCAAGCAATCGCGTGCAGATGTTCTTCCGTTTGACCTTGATCTTATTCATGTGAGTGCCCTGTCAGCATCAAAACCTCACAGCATTCCTTGACTGACACAGTATCAGCCTGACAGAGCCGAAGGCCAGATGCAACGCTTCCATCATTTCCTGTCTCGCCATCACCATGCCTTTGACGGTGCCTCTGCTCACCGCCTGACGCTAGCAGGTGTGATTCTCGTTCCAGACATTTCATCAGTAACTGTCGGATCCATTGCGCAACTCTCACCCGAAGCATGGTCGACTGCGCTGAACGCCAAAGTTTTGCACACCATCACGGTTGCAAAGTACATGCTCCCACTAGTTACCGAATTCAAGAGTAGGGTACTCATCCTCACACCAAACGTGGTTTCATCATTGCGACCTCCATATCGCGCGGTTGAGAGCACAGTATCTTCTGCGATTGGTGCTTTTGCTGCTTCGTTGTCATCAGAACTCAGCCTCCAAGGATTACACGCTTGTCATTTCAAGCTCGGAAATATCGAAATTGCAGGTAGCAAACACAAAAGAGAAGAGGGTAAGAAAAGCAGGGGCACACCGGGTACATCAATACGAAAACTCCACGAGGCAATCTTCGATGCGTTACACAGCAGCAACCCTAGTCGCACATGGCACGTTGGCAGGGGCAGCTTGATATACGACTTCATCGGGTCATGGATTCCTAGTGGAGTTGTGGGTTGGATGATGGGATTGCAGCATGTCGCAACAAACGAAGATCAGCGCACTCCTGAACCAGAGGACTCGTCGAGTGATCGATCTATCACTTGGGAAAAGGTTTGAGGGCAGTGGTCGGGTAACATCCTTCTATCCAGGCTCAGTGACTGTGCTTGCGCGGAGCAGCAGGTGCTTTCTCGGGTGAACGAAGACCGCGGATGGATGTGGTAGTTAACGGACAGGAGATATTGATGATATAGTTTTAGAGACGACCAAGTTCGGAAGGCGGGTCCCAGACGCAGGGACGCTCAGCAGTCCGTCCGGCTGTAACGTTGCAACGGCAGTACCAGTCGTAAGATGACGACCAAGGACATGATCATTCTATTCTCGAACAACTCTGTGTTTGTATGGTGAAGTTCCTGATCATCTGCACCGAAGTGGCCTTTTCAGGGGTAATTGTTGACAGTGTGACTGCGCACGCGAAAGTCTTGTCAACCCAAAACAAAAGTGGGGTTGAAGCCGAGGCTCAAGACATCCAAGCCACTATCTGAGGATGCGGAATAATTAGGACAAGTATTCATCGATCATTCAAGCATGGCCAATGCAAGCGAAAGACAGTTGCTCAGCCTGAGAATTGACGTGGGAAGATGAGTCGGGGGACAGCGGAAGAGATTGGAGCGGCGATTATTGCTACGCGGGCGATGCAACTAAAACAGACATTGCACCAAACGGGCAGAGGGATAAATGATAGAGAGATGCCCTGAGGGCCAAAGCACAGCAGCAAGACCGTTTTCAAGGGTCCCGTAACAAAGCCATAGCGGCGTCGCAAAGATCCACTCGTGTATTGCAGTAACTCAGTAGAGTCACGGGGACGACCATGTTACTGGTCTTGGTAGATTTGACTAGCCTAATCAACGCATCGTATTCACAGCCGTCGTCGCTTGTGTGCTGTTTCCCATCCGTCTGTTCGCATTCTCTGCACTGTAGCCAGTACGTCTTGTGTTTGTGCTACTCATACTCTACACGCTCCTTTGCATCCACGCGGCGACCTTGATAGCGTCTCATCGCCACGCTCTTGGCTCCACGGCAATTGATCTTCATCTCCCAATTCCACTCCTTTCTAACTGCACACCCCGCGTATACGACGAATTAGCCAGCATCCTAGTTTGCCTGTCCCTTTACGCAATTGTTCTATTCCGACGACGATTGATTCGTTCTGTGCAGCAGCACTGGGCGCCGGCGACACATATCCCTGCAGGAAATCAACACCCTTACCGACCACTTTACAGGCTAACCAATTAACACTTTCTGGAAAGGCAATTAATTTGGGACCCCACTCATTCCTTGCCAACCATGGCCAAGCGACCTCAAAACCTCGATCTGAGCGGCCTTCGAGGTCACGACCGCCTTTCTAGTCGCTCTCGCCCAAACTTCCACATGGACCTGCCGTCGCCTCGAGCTGGTGAAATTCCGCCAGCACTCTCTCCGCTCGATGCGTTCGCCCTGCATTCGCGCACTCTGGCTAAGAAGCTGGAGGAAAGCTCAAAGGCTGGAAGACGTATGAGCAGGCTGCCACACCAGGACATTGCCGACGAACTCGCAAAACGACCCGGTTACTTTAGATCCGTCTCGAGCGGCGTAGAGAGTCTGTACGACGACGATCAAGAGGAGGACGACTTTGATGAAGACGAAGCGCGATACCAACCACCCCGACTGCAGGCCCAGACGCCCAATGGTGCTGTTTACCGACCAGTATCGCACTATCCTATGCTAGGAAATGTTGTTCGTGACGACCAAGATGTTCCCAGTGTACCGACGCCCATCCAGGAGGCCGAGACGGAACGAGACACGAAAGGATACTTCGGCATCGAGGTGCCGCGCTCTTCCTCCCCCGAGCCATTCGACTCTAGGAATATCAAAACCGACGATGCTTCTCCAGCGTTGCCCAGTCTGACTAGCAGTATTGACTCAATACAATCATCGCAACCGAGGACTTTGACCAACGAGTCGTCCAGGAGACAGGATAACAACCTGGCACCGCCCCGGTCGCCTAACCATCCGAGATCAGCTCGCAGTATAGCCAGTATCAGGTCCGTGATTGATAGTGCCGAGGAGGACAATGGCAGTCCTTCTGGCTCGCTTGAGGTTGGTCCGTCAAAGAAAATGCGCACCCCCTTTAGTCCGGAAATGCTGCCTGTGTCTCTCTCACCATCCGCCCTGTCTGAATACTCAGTGTCCTCGGATTTACCTCGCCCAAGTTTCAACTTTTCTAGACCTCGTAGCAGCTCAGTGGCTCGCTCAGTCGCGGAGAACAATTTGACAGTCGATTCAAATCGTGCTGCGGAACGCCAGGGCTCCAACGATTCTTCCGTGTCTCAAACTGCCAGAAGCGCACACTCAACACAAACGATGCGCATGAGAAATCCAATCGAGCGTCAGAACTCAGACAGCGCGACAGACATTTCGGGTGCTCTGTCAGACAGAGATGGCTTTAGCGGTGAGGAGACACCAGTTGTTCACCCCGGACCTGGCGCACCTTCATATGTTTATTCCAAGTACTCGCTTCCCCGAGGACGCATGCTCGATCGTGACTCGCTAGAAGCAAGAGCCTCATGGGCCCAGCACCAATTCAAATGGGAGCAGCAGCCTGTAGGATTGGAGCCGAAGATCGTCGAGAGTCCTCTGCCCAGTCCGAATCTTGACAACCCAAGGCTCGGTCTCGGACCTAGCACACCACGTGGACAAAGCCCGGCATCGGGGCCGAATCGTAACAGGTCGACTGAACGTCCAACGCCCTCGCCCAGCCGATTGACCAAAAAGCCCCCTCCCTCGATTGCGTCTGAAAGTACTGGTCGCACTATCAGAGCAGGTGCGCATGTTAGAAACAGTCCATCTGCCGATATAGCTGGTCTATCTCCTGAGCAGCATCTCGAGAAAGGCATCGAGTGTCATTCCTCAGGCTCTTTGAGTAAATCTACATATCATCTACGCTTGGCCGCCAGGGCTGGGCTCCCAACGGCAATGCTTCTATATGCCCTTGCGTGTCGACATGGATGGGGTATGCGCCCCAACCAAGCTGAGGGTGTTTCATGGCTCAGACGTGCGGTCGATTCAGCTGGAGTTGAATTTATCGAAGACGGAACTACGGATGGCTCGCAAGCAGTATCTAAAGAGCAGAAAGCTCGCAAAGCCCAGTTCGCGCTTGCCATTTATGAACTTGGCATGTCGTATATGAACGGTTGGGGTATACCCAAAGACAAGCCGCTCGCAGTCAGATGCTTCGAGATCGCTGGAAGCTGGGGCGATACAGATGCTCTCGCCGAAGCAGGATTCTGTTACACTCAGGGCGTTGGTTGCAGGAAAGATCTCAAGAAAGCCGCAGAGTTTTATCGTCAGGCTGCCGACAAGGGTATGAGCATGGCGGGTAACAGCTGGTATGTTGACATGATCAGAGATCAGCACCTACACTCGACTAACGACTTGACAGGATTTACAAGCCCAAATACATGCCGGATCCACCACCCCGGGAGGAAACTCCTGAGCCTGTGAAGAAATCACGCGGCAGGTCCAGAACCCTCTTCGGTCGCAAGAAGGCGCCAGTAGAGTCGTAGTGCCTGTTTTCACGGCGCCAGACAGGCCGTGCGTTTCATTCATACCTGGGCATTGGAAGCAATGCTTCCTCTGTTCATTATCACCATCTTCTTTTGCGTCCTAGTGACAATTTTCTGGCTTCACTGTACATACTATCTTGCCGACATTGGTTTCTTACACATGGCTGAAAGGAGGGCGTTGGGAGAGGAAAGGCTGACCGAGAGCAAATGGGTTTGCCTATCCGGACAGAAGCAGGAGTTGCAGAGCCTCGAACAGAGGACTAATGTTTATTCTATTAGGTTGTTCCCATCACAATACAAAACTATGGCGATGGTTCAAAAAGTCGGCTCCTTTCCCGTATTGTCAGGATATTTGATGCATGGCGGCTCGAAGTTGATCCAAATATAGCCAAAGCGGCGTGACGGAGATTAGGCGGAGATATGACACGGCGGCTTACCTTAGGCAGGCGGGGACCTGAGCAGCTGCCGCCATGCTCCGCTACGCTATTGAGCCTCCCATTTTGTTACATGACATGTTCTCGGCCCCACTACAATCACATTCCTCAGTATAGCGCTCTCTTCTGCCGACAAGCATAACGTCTGTGGCCAAATCGACATTCTTATCTATCGCCTTGCTCGTCACCGGAAAGCAAGCCCGATGAAGTCATAGCCTCGATCACTACACGCAGACATGACCGACTACAACTCGACCGCTCGGGCTCTGGCCCTCCCTATAGATGAACCCGACCATCGATCGCAAACGAATTCGCCCGTCTTTTCTCGCCGATCGACCTCGGTACCACGCTCAAACCATCGCGGCAAGACAAGCGGCCTGCTGGCTCAGGCGGCCAAGCTACAACGCAATGCCGCAAAAACATTCTTCGGCTTAAGTCCTGCGAAACGCATCTTGCTGGTTGTAGCAGGCGTTTTGGCCGCCGTGTTCGGTATCCTAGGAATCGTATACCATGAGAGGGTGTTCCGCGCCATGGCGCCCATGGCCAGGCGCTGGAGGGACATCACTGGTGGCTGGATGATTCTATGGGCAGCGACCTTCCTGGTTAGCTTTCCACCACTCATCGGGTACTCTACTGTTGTCACATTGGCTGGCTTCGTCTATGGCGTGGGAAAGGGGTGAGTCGTCTTCTGAAACTGCGTGGTCGACCGAGAGCTAACACATGATTCAGATGGCTCATCGTAGCATCCGCCACCATTGTCGGCAGCACGGCTTCTTTCCTCGCCTCACGTACTCTTCTCAAATCATATGTAACACGACTCACCGAGAACGACAAGCGGTTCGCAGCACTTGCCTTGACTCTGAAGCATGATGGCATCAAGCTTTTGATGATGATTCGATTATGCCCCCTGCCATATTCGCTCTCGAATGGCGCCATCTCTACCATTCCTACCGTAAAGTGGCCGCAGTTCATGGTAGCCACTGCTGCAGCAAGTCCTAAGTTGCTTCTGGGCGTGTTTGTGGGCCACCAGCTCGGCGTCATTGCCCAAAGCGGAGATAAGATGAGCGCTGGTGTAAAAGCAGTTAATTACTTGGGCATCGCTTTTGGCTTGACAGCAGGTGTGGCTACTGGCTTCATCATGTATAACAAGACAAGGGCTAGAGCGCTAGAGCTGGAAGCTGAGGAACGTGAGGCGGCTATACGTGGCGAAGCACCAGACGGAGACGAATTTGAGGAGGAGGGCCGATACGAGTATTCTGATGATGCTATGGAGCGAGAAGCCACTGCAGCGGTTCGAGGCGACGATGGCATCAGTCTCCGCAGCGACCAAGAGTACCGCGACGATTTTGATGACGACGGCGAAGACGCTCAAGACTTGGACAACGTCTTCCGACACGGCGATGGAGACGAAGAGGAAGGCTTCAGCGATAGACAGGACAGGCGTTAGAAGTCATAGAAGGATGATATTTAAATTCCTAGGAACAAACAAAGCTTCATTCTGATGGATGTATTGCATACTACAAGTCTTGGCGGATGGTCGCGTCGACGTCAAGGGTCATTGCATGGTGTGAGCCGCAGGGTCTCCCGGAGCGGTTCGCAATAACAGGAGACAGTATACGTAATTTTGGCCAAGCTACTCAGCACACTCCCTTGTATCATGTCGGCGACCATGTCTTCGTATGTGCTAGACACGCTGTGGCAGCTGACCAACTGCTTCAACTGCTTCCCGAGCAACCCGGCGCTCAAGATCAATGGCCGGTCATACAAGATCCTCCGTCTGCTGGGAGAGGGCGGCTTCTCATACGTCTACCTGGTCCAATCCCCACCCTCACCAAACCTGCATGCCCTCAAAAAGATCCGTTGTCCATTTGGTGCCGAGTCGGTCGCTCTAGCTCTCAAGGAAGTCGAAGCATACAGCTTGTTCCAACCGCATCCTAACATCATCCACGCCCTCGACCATGCCGTCATTCCGGATCGCAGCGACCCGTCAGCAAAGACTGTCTATATCCTTCTTCCATACTACCGTCGCGGCAACCTGCAAGATGCCATCAATGCGAACCTCGTCAATGGCGCAAAGTTCCCCGAGCGTCGATTGATGATCCTGTTCCGCGGCGTCTGTGTAGCACTACAGGCAATGCACAATTACAAGGTTGGAGGAGCTCCTGGAGGCAAGGGTGCACAGTCAAGAGCTAAGCGTGTGCGCGCCGATGCTGCAAGAGCCGATAGAGGAGAAGACCATGGCGACGACGATGATGGATTGGGCGACGCAGAACCGCTGATGGAGGGCGAGATATCTATGGCGCAAGAGGGCATGTCGGATGGCCAAGTCAGAGCATACGCCCATCGCGACATCAAGCCTGGTAAGAAACACGACTTCAAGCATGCAGCCACCATCACTAAATCCACCTCTAGGCAACATCATGATCTCAGACGACGGCCAATCTCCCATACTCATGGATTTGGGCTCCATTTCTCCATCACCGACCCCAATCACATCTCGCGCGCTAGCATTGCAAGTTCAAGACACAGCTGCCGAACACAGTACCATGCCCTACCGTGCACCCGAGCTTTTCGACGTCAAGACTGGCTCTACCATCGACACAAAAGTAGACATTTGGAGTTTGGGTTGTACACTATATGCCTGTCTGGTCGGCAAGTCTCCCTTTGAAGCTCGCAGCGAAGAAACCGGTGGAAGCCTGAGTCTTTGTGTCTTGGGAGGTGACTGGAGATTCCCAGATGAACACAACGCACAAGCAAACAAGAGCAGAGGAAAGCAAAGGATGCCGTCAAACTCGGATGCCCCACCACCACAAGACGCTCCTGTGACTGAGATGATCAAGGATGTTGTCAGGAAATGTTTGAGTGTCGAGCCTTCGGAAAGACCAGATGTCAATGAACTGCTCACCATGGTGGACACTGTCATTGCAACTCTGCCCGAAGATGGAGATCCACTGGAAGAGTAGCTTTAATCCTAGTTTACAAGCTTCTATTGTCTTGTCTAATGCCTGTACGATACTGAGACCACAATCCATTATTAGTGTGAGCTGGCTCACTGTGGAACCTTTTGTGGAACATCGATTCCGTAGGACTGCATTTCTCGAGACTGTATGGGTTGTAAGTGTAGCTTCGAGTAAACATGCAACACAGTTTGCTTTCAGAAGACGAGAAAGACTCGATGATGATGCCGGCGTATGTTATTGTAGAGATTTAGTGTCTAGCACTCTTATTCTGCTGCCTATGAGTATCTCTACAATGCATATTTGAAGTCCAGAAAAACATGGTTGCCTAGAAAGGAAGGTGTTATGCGGGGCTCCCCAGCTTCCTTCCTCAGCCTAGTGCATATAAGTCTTGATGTATAAATGCCGAGTACCTTGATGCCGGACAGCTCTCACTCTTAATTAATACCAACACAATGACTGTTAGAGCTCAGAAATTTACACCAGAGGTGCTTTTGTCGGCACCACGCCGCTCAGCAGGCGTACCTAGTGCGGACGGTACCTCCATCTTATACACCACCAGCACTTACTCATTCGACTCTCACGCTAAGACTGTGGAGTTGAGATGTCTGAATACTGAGTCAAAGGAGAGCACGCTGCTGGTCCAGGAGAATAGCATCAGCGAGCCTGTTTGGTTGCCTGGTGAGAAAGACGTCTTTGTATGCCTCAAGAGCGAGGATAAGGGCAAGACCTCCGTTCTAATCGCCACGTCAACATCTAAATCTGGATGGAAGGAAACCACTTATGCTGCTGGATCCATCGACGCTCCTGCTAGTAGCTTGAAGATCGTCCGATTGTCCGACTCATCTTACGCTGTTGTTCTTGCCGCTCAATGCTCGCCAGACGGGTCGTTGTACAATGCCGAGACAGCTCCGACCACTCATTCAACGGGAAAGCTATACAAGGATTTGTTTGTGAGGCACTGGGATGACTACGTTACTCCGCAGAAGAACACCCTATGGTATACTACCTTGACCAAGGCCAAAGATGGCAAGTTTGAGCTGGGCAAATGGGTAAACGCACTCAAGGGAGCTGGTCTTGAAAGCCCTGTCCCGCCTTTTGGCGGTACAGACAGTTTCGACGTCAGCAAGACTGGTATCATTCTAGTCTCGAAGGACCCAAAGATGAACCCAGCGCTCAGTACAAAGTGTAATGTGTACTACGTCGAGCTCTCCAGCTTTGCTGAGGATCCTGCTCCCAAGCCCTTTGAGTTCACCGTACCGGACTTCAAGGGTGCAAGTACTTCTCCTGTCTTCTATCCCGGAGGCAAGAAAGCTGTTTTCTTGAGTCTATCTACTGCTGGGTACGAAAGCGACAAGTCTCAGATATTCTTGATTGAGGATTTGAAAAAGGATGCTGTGAAGCGGTTGTTCAACCAGAAGAAAGAGGGGTCCTTGGACAAGAGTCCGCAGGTGCGTGCATTGATCCAACATATTTTTACGGAGCTGATGGAGCATAGAGTCTCGTCTTTAGCCATGATGGCAACACATTGTACTTCTCTGCCGAAGACGAAGGTTACAGTCGTCTCTTTGCACTGACATCGGATCCCACTAATGGCGAGGTGTTGCGTCCACTTACAGACACCGGTTCTGTCTCCGACATACAACCATTGGAGAATGGAGATTTGTTTTTCACTAGCAGCACTCTTGTTGACTCTTCGTCATACAGCATCATTGGAACTTCGAAGGCTGACACTCAAGCCACCAAGTGGACACACTCGTCTACTAAGGATGGCTCTTCCCTTGGCCTAAAATCATCGCAGGTCTCTTCAATTCGCACTCCTGCTTCGGATCCAACAGTCAACAAGACTGTTCGCTCTTGGGTTTACAAGCCATCTAGCTTCGAGGAAGGAAAGAAGTATCCACTCGCACTCCTCATCCACGGCGGTCCTCAGGGTGCATGGGGAGACTCATGGTCAACAAGATGGAACCCAGCCGTCTATGCCGAGCAAGGCTACATAGTCATCACGCCCAACATCACAGGCTCCACAGGCTATGGCCAGGCCTTTACAGACGCGATAAGAAAAGACTGGGGCGGCGCACCATACCACGATCTCGTCAACGTGATGGACTGGGTCGCCAAGAACATGCCCGAAGTCGACATGGATAGAGCAGTAGCTCTAGGAGCCAGTTACGGTGGTTACATGGTCAATTGGCTTCAAGGCCATGACTTGGGCCGCAGATTCAAAGCCCTCGTCTGTCATGATGGTATCTTCTCTTTCGCTGGAGGCTTGCTAGCCACTGAAGAGCTATACTTCCCTTTCCACGATCTAGGAGGCACACCATGGTATTCTCCCAAGAACGCAAAAACCGACACCGTCAACCAAGCATTCGATCAAACCTCCCTCGACGCCTGGAACAAAAACGACCCTTCCCACCATCTCTCCAACTGGGCAACACCACAACTAGTCATCCACAACGAAAAAGACTATCGTCTCTGTATCTCTGAAGGTCTGGCCGCTTTCAATGTCCTTCAAGCTCGTGGTATCGACAGCCAGTTCCTCACTTTCCCGGATGAAAACCATTGGGTCTTGAAGCCTGAGAATAGCTTGGTGTGGCACAAGGTTGTGTTGAATTGGATCAACAAGTATGCTGGATTACCGGCTTATTGTGGGGATGATGAGGAGAGTGAGAAGTTCTTTGGGGGTGTCAAGGAGAGCAAGGAGGAATTGGTCGAGATGGCTGGGATGGGCAGGCCTGAGACTTGATGTGGAAGTGTGGTGCGCGTAACGGGAAAGTTGGTCGAAGCCAGGTAATATCTGCCTCTATTCTGCTCTGTTTTAACATGAACTCCTCCATGAAATTGCCCGAGATACTACAGAGTCATCAGTGCCACCTGCCAATACGAAGTGTGACTCGAGAAAAAATATGTTTAGAGGGCCACCCTGTCGTTTGTTCCCATTGCCTCTTAATCCATGACACATACTTCCCGATCGGTGCATATAAAACATACAACATGATCGAGATGGCATCAAGTCGATCAAACCACGTTTCATGTCATGTCCAGCATCCTAGACAGTAATCTGATCGTACCACCTATTGAATAAAGTAAGGAAGGTAAAAAGGTTCTAGGAAGTACCGGACGGTGACCTACAGGGGCACGCGTAAAACATTGTTTTGTCATCCTCACAAGCCTAAACATGACAAGACGGGGTATTCACAAACACGTCAAGCAAAACGACTAGAACGATTTGGAAAGAAGAAACACGACCATGGTACTTGCAGTTAGAAACAGCCTTCTTCTTACCAAAGGTAAAAAAGCAGCGCTAAATCATTTTTCTAATCCAAGTAGGGAAAAGCAAAAACTATACGTAACAAGAAGAAAGAAAGGTCGCGGCTCAGAAAGAGAACCGAGGAAGTTTTGAATGCAGTGCTCCTGAATCCCGAATACGTAACAAAAAGAGTAACCCCGATTCCGGAGAGCCTCAAGTTATGAAGAAGATGGCGTGGAAACGCCTTACTCCAATGTGCGAAAGGAAAGAACGACTAGCCCCAAGACGCAGAAGAGCAGAGACAAGAAGATGGGGTATAACCAAGGAAGAAGAAAAAAAACAAAAAAGAACAATCAACGAGCATATCTCGCACTCAACCCCGCAAATGCATCAGGACTATGCGGTCTCCCATTACCCATGCCCACAAAATCCCTACTTTCTTGACTAACATGTCTAGCACCCACTCTAGCTTGCTGCTCTTGTTGTGGAGCAAAGCCCGTGCCAAAGGGATTCATACTGCCACTCCCCACGGGCATAGTGACGCTTCTTTGCGGTGGTGCCATTTGGGGAGCTTGCATTTCTTGTTGCTGGGGTTGTTGGGGAGCCATGCTGTTTTCGGGGAGGGATTGGAGGGGGCGGGAGGGGGCGAGTTGGGGGTGGGCGTAGAGGGCCATGATGTCCATTTTTCCGTAGCGGCCGGTGGGTTGTGGGTAGAGTTGTTGCTGTTGCTGTTGTTGAGGCATTTGCTGTGGCATCTGCTGCTGCTGCTGCTGTTGGGCAGATTGATAGGATTGATAGGGTTCGGGTTGACTAGATTGAGGTAGTTGGAAGGGAGTGGAAGAAGGTTGAGATGTCATGTTTCCGTAGGGATTCGACGTGTGTTGGGGAGCCAGCTGCTGCGGTTGTTGTTGTTGCTGGTAAGAATTCTGCTGTTGCTGCTGTGGTTGCTGTTGGTAAGGATTTTGCTGCTGCTGCTGCTGCTGCTGTGGTTGAGCAGAAAAAAAGTCCTGTGTCTGCTGGTAGATTGCAGCAGGCGACTGGGCTTGCTGCTGTGCGAGCCATGGGTTTTGTGGAGCGGTCGAAAGCTGTATGCCAAAAGGATTTGAAGGAGCAAATGTTTGAGACTGGGTTTTTCTCAAAAAGGGGTTAGATTGTGCTTGTGATTGCGGATATTGCTGTGCGTCCTGGGGTTGATATATAGGAGCTTGCATGGGTTGTGGCATTTGCTGGGGCATGAAAGGATTGTTCTGGTATTGCTGAGGTTGCTGGTTTGCGATTTGCATGGCGGCGAAAGAGTTCTGAAGAGGTTGCTGTTGCTGTGGCTGGGCAGATTGGAGGAAAGGATTGTAGGAAGGTTGCGGAGCTGCGGTCGAGATGATGGGCTGAGTAAAGGCACGGCGTGGTGGCTGCAAGTCCAGTGCATCGAAGGGATTCGTCGAAGAAGCGGCCTTCTCTGGCTGAGCGCGCTGTTTCTCAATGTAGATGCCGTTCGCATTTGAACTGCTGGTGCTACCCGACATGGGGGTCAAGGTACCCTGTGCTCCTGAAGTTGTATCACCCAAGCGCACAAGAGTCTCTACGGCCCTGTCCAGACTGCCATTGACGCTCTTCAGAACCATCGAGTTGCGACGAGTGTCCGGGAAGCCCATCTCTCTAAGCGATGCCAGCTTTGTGTCAAATGTATCTTCCTCCTGATTTCCTACAGCGGAACCGAAGACGCGCGATTGCTTGTTCATCTTTCCAACAGGCGGAGTCGAGCGGCCATCGGATCCAGTCAAGGCAGGCGACAGGGGAGGTGTGAATCTTTGTTGTGTGGCTGATGACGAGCGAACACCGAGCGAGAAACCAAACTTCTTTCCAGGTTTGGGCGGCAGAGGCGGAGGCACTCCCTCGGTCGAACTGATACTGGCTCCACCGACTGTGTTGCTTCTGGGCCTCGCGCCAACAAAGGCCTTGTGCTCGTACTTCTGGCGGAGGAAGCGTTCCATGACACCGCTGACCTCGTCAGCGTCGGTAGGAATGTCTGGTCGGACGTTCTGAGGGTTGAATGCGCGGTTCGATGTGACGTTTCCCACTCGCTTCATGTTGTCGACCTGGTCAGGGGACCAGCTGTCCATGCTCAGCGATTTTACTTTTGAAATATGAGTACCCATTTTGCGGTGGAGGGCGGCGCAGCTCATGCAGAGGAAGATTCCCAGCTGTTGATCAAGTTAGTCCGGCGCAACACACACGGCAAGGCGATCTTGACTTACGCTCCAGCTCGACCATGCTGCTACAGTATCAGCACGCTCTTTCCAGAAATCCCCATGTTCGATCGCTCCTGCTTACCTGGATTCCTTGCACCACAATCGGCACATCTATCATTTCCGGGTACAGACTTCAACAAATCCTGCAACATGCGCTCATTACGAGCCTGTTGCCTCTTACTGCCTGTGCTGGCCATCTTGTCGACCGTGGCCACGTGCGGTTGCGGAAAGGGGTTATTACGGTGATCCTGAGTCGCGAACGCGAGTATATGCGACGAGTAGCACGTTATGGGCGGTGAATAATGCTAGTCGGAAGTGTCAAGTATTCGGCATGATTGCAGAGCAGGCGAAGAAATAGATGGTGTAGAGTAGTACTTGGTCAACAAGTACAAGAGAGGCTGTCCAATCTTCTTCCATCGGCCTTCTAGCCCCGGCTCGACCTGACCTCAGTCCCTCTGGCCTACTCCACGGCCGCAATTACCACACGGCCTTCATAGCCCCATGGCACTGCGCGCTGCCTTAAAAGTGAATGTTACCCAGTCGTTGATAATATACTGTCAAGACCTTTTTTCCTATGATTTAAGCTTCATCCAAGTGTCTAGGCAATTGATTGCATCAGAAGATCACGACGGTTGTGCAAACCACCGCTGTCCGCAGATCGGCTTTCTCCGTCCGCCGACTTCGAATTGTAGAACGGCCTCGAGACTTTTGGCCCTCGCCGTCGCTATATACGATATATTGCAGCAATGGTTCTACAAACATTAGCACGCTCAAGAAGCGTATGCGCGCCTCTGATCGCATCGCGTGTCAGCGTACGTCCCATGGCTCGATCTGTTTAGCGCATGCAATTACTGATGGCGCTTTGCAGGCGAGACAATTCCATGCCTCAATATCGAGATCGCTCCACGAGGTGCCCAACCTACTTTACAAGGATGAATTCGAGAAGAATGGTGTCGCCGGTTTCCTCCGCCCCGAAAACTACGAAATTGCATACAACCAGAACATGGCCTACCTCGTGGACCGTCTGAACACTGCTACCGCCGGTACTATACCACCCCACGACTGCTCAAATCATGGCTCTAACATGTCATCTACCAGGCACCGAGTACGAGACCGCGACCACCAAGCAGATCATCCTCTCCATGGCACGTAACCCCACCTATGCCGCAGTCTTCGCCGCCGCCAGCATGGCTCACAACACGCACTTCTTCTTCGACTCGCTATCACCCAATGTCGAAAAGGACCAGCTCGAGCGATACCACCACCTTACAGAAGCTCTGACCAAATCCTTTGGCTCCACCAAGGTCCTCCGGAATACCATGTTGTCCATGGCAAACTCAATGACGGGTCCTGGTTTCACTTGGTTGCTCCAAGCAAAAAAGCACTCTTCCTCTGCTGCTGGAAACACTTCGTCTTTGCCCGAATACAGACTTTTGAACACATACAATGCTGGTACGCCATACCCAGAGGCCATGCTTCGACAACAGAGCGTCGACCAGAGCGGCACAACAGGCTACACTGGCTCTGCTGGTTCCTTTGGTTCCTCTTCATCTCGTGCAAGAGACTCTCCCAAGATTCCCCCAGGTACTGAGCTCATTACTCCTATCCTCTGTGTCAGCACTTGGGAGCACTGCTATCTGCCCGAGTATGGTGTAGCAGGAAAGAAGCAATACCTGAAGGAATGGTGGAAGTCCATCAACTGGAACGCCGTCGACAACCGTGCCGAGAAGAGGGCACCGAAATTGGGCCAGTTCGACAGAGGCTCAAAGTAATCAACTCGCTCTCGTTCAAACACATGTAAAATAGCCATTGCCGTGTACGCATTTGCCTGCTTGTATTCTCTTCTGCTTTCAATATTCAGCCCTCCCGCTTTGCTGTGTATCGTACATGTCATGAGTGGTGGGCTTCTAGTTGCTTATTCCTCCATCTCGTCGTCGTCGCCCTCGAGCGCCTTCTTGGCCAGACGTTCTGCCTCCTCGAGCATCGCTTTCGGCACCTCCTCATGTCTGCCCTTGGTGGGTCCGTCAACCTTGCTGATCCACGTCATTTCCAGCTCGAACTCCTTATCCTTGCTATCCTCGTGTGCCACGTAGATGATTCTTGCTGCCTCCTTGACTCCCTCCTCCAAACTGATGCCACCCTGGTCGGGGGTGAGCTTCAACTTCTCGAGCTCCGACTTGGCTGCTTGTCTACCCTTGCCGGTTGCGGCACCGTAGTATCCCCAGTAAGATCCAGATGGCTCAATCATGTACAGATATGGGCCGCCCTCCTTTGCGTCGGCCATCTTGCCGCCACTGCCAGTTGACGGGCCGGATCCGACCTGTGCGTCAACGGGCACCTCGAGCTCAGAGTCCCAACCACCGATGATGGCAGAGATACCGAAGGGGCGTACCGATGAGTAGAGAGTGTAGGCTTGAACGTATGATCCCATGCGGTCGGCAAGGGAGGCGACGGGGATGGGTTGCTTGTACATGGAGCGCCATGATGATGCCTCATCGCGAGCACGGGTAACGAAGTGGCGGCCATCGGGAAGAAGACCAGTAGAGACCTGTCTTTCTGTTAGTTCCCAAGATGTATTTGGCAGGTGGTCGCGGAACGTACGACACCGATGTTGCGATCGACAGTGGCTATCCTCTTGTTCGCATCCTTCTTCAACAGCTTGGAGGTGACGAGCTTCTCCAGAGCAAGAACAACACCGTCGCGACATCTGATACCGACACAAGTGCCGCCGTTCTCAACTGCCTTCATGGCATATTCGACCTAGATGGGTCATCAGTTGGTGTTTCGCCAGGAGAGGAGGGTTGTCAGGCGCACCTGGAAGTTACGGCCATCGGGAGAGAAGACCGAGTTTGACAGATCGTAGCCCGTTCCTATCGAAGTCTTGGGAAGAATGTCAGTAACCGAATATGAAGCGCGAGCATGAAGCGGCGTTTACTGACCATGGTTGCGGTGGATGACGGTGTGAGTAGGAAGGCGAGATGATTTCTTAGAGGTGGAGAAGATGCTTTGAAGCAACAGAGGTTGAACCTGTCGAGTGAGTGAAAGAGGAGACGAGAGACTGAGATGCGCAGATGCAAGAAACAGATGGTTTGATGTTCGATGTATCGACCAGCTCTCGCAGTGATGCGCAAGCTCCATCCATCTCACGGACAAGACGCACGCCAAGCTCCGACCGCTGTCACCCTGGCATCCCGCCATTCTGTACTTTCTAGTGATCAACATTCGCTCCACCATAATGGTCTTGCAAGATGCATATTGATATGTCCCTTTCTGTCTATTTACTTAAGGAGCACAGCATTTCAATTGTAGATTTGTTGCACCATCAAGGCCCAATATCTATCTCCCTCCACTGCGCCTGTCCAACAACAGAACCATGTGACATGAACAAGCCTCGTTGTCGATGACGATGTGCTGCCCACCGTTCCCGCCCACCAACTTTTCTAACCCCGCCCTCTCCCGCCATATCCTTCCTCCATAACACTGCATCTTTCTGCCTGAAACAGTACAATATTCGTAGACATATCCCCTTATTCGTACATCTTCAGTCTGCGACTACACTCGCAGTAGTTTGGATTGCTCATTTGCCCCGCCGCCCCCTTGGACACCGCTTGTTTCCACTCCATATTAGTCTTCTACTAGGTGGAGCACGGTTGGGCAGAGACACACCAGGTTGGAGCGATACCAGTCCGTTTTCTTCCCACACACCGCAATCTTGGTCTTTTCCTGTTCTTCTCTCGACATTTCTTTTCTCTGTCTCACGCAACTTTCGCCATCTGTCTCCCTCAGCTTCCGCTCCTGCCTGAATCAAACCCCTCGCCGCACTGCAACACGTAAGGCGGAGTTGCACTTTGGAGATACGCAAGCGACTGACACTCTTCCCTCAGCACATTGCTAGTATCTGCAGAAGCACAGAACATCATAAACACAATCAATACCATCAACATGTCGCAGTATCAGCAAGACGAGTTGGCCAGGCTCTTTGCCCACAACATGAGCCTGAACCAAACACTGCCTCAATCTACACCTGACCAGCAATTTCTCGGCCACACAACCACCGCACAGCCTATATACTACAGCTCTCAGCACTACACACCCGCCAGCTACATGCACATCTCATCCGCACCAGAGCAACAACCAGCAGCTCGAGCAGACTCCCCTCTTAGTGGAAGCCCTTTGGAGAAGATCAGCAACAACATCACACCCATCCATCTGGCGTCGATGCTGCGCAACCACGACATCGACCCCACCTCCCTAAGCCATTCGCAAGTCAAGCTTTTCACCAACGCAGACTACGAACAGCGATTGCGTCTCCTCGAACTCTGGCGCATTTCTCCTCCACAGACCTCTGATCACTGGCAGCAAGAGACGAGCTTGGCATACGAAGAACAACTGGCTTCGTTGCGTTATGAAGAGCGTATGCGCGGACAAGTGGATGATGCACAGGCTGAGCCTTATATGGAGTCTGGGTATGCACGCTCTGCTCACAGCGAGCCTGTGTATGCGTCTTGTTCTGGCGGCATGTGGCAGTCACAAGCTGGCCTGCAGGATCGTTCAAAGGAGATGAAGGATGCACATGCTTCTTGGACACAGGCACGCAATTTTGAGCAGTTGCAGGCCATGAATGCTCAGGTTGAGCAACAGCGTGGATTTTCCTCTCATGATGTTGCTTCGTATGACGAGGACATGGAGTTGTAAGGAGACGAGCATCACACACGTGGAGGAAGCTGAGATGAGCATACAAAGTGTTCTAGTAGGGGAGTAATATTCACAGGAAAAGACCATGACAGCATTACAAGGCGCACAGGGACATATCAAGGCGTAATCACATATCGTTAATTCTGGAGTTGGAGTAGTAAAGACAAATCACAACTCTATTCTGTACAGTATCATTCTAACCCTGCTCTACCATATACTTTCTACTTCTCCCCAGAAACCTCCTTAACAGCCTCCCCATCAACCTGTCCACCCAACTGCTTCTCAACTTCCTCAATCTGCTCACCAGGAAAATCACTCTCCTCAATCCTCGCCCTCCCCCTCTCACTCTCCCCCATCCCACCTCCGTTCCTCTCCGTCTCCTCCCACTCTACCAATTCCAAGTCCCCTTCACCATCACTCTCCTTGAAGTCGAAAATCCGATAATCAGCATTGGAGTATTTACAGAGACTGACTGCACATCTCAAGAACCCGGCATGAGAGACCACGGCGATCACTTTTTCCTTACTGGTATAGAGGTCGTGGAGGCAGGATTGGCCGCGGGAAACTGTTGCGGTGCGGGTGAAGGCGAAGGGACCGGTTTTTGAAGGCCAGAGGGGGTCTACATGGCTGTAGTCGAAGGAGGGGAAGTCGTGGGTGACGCTCGAAAGGGGAGAACCCGAATCGCAGGGTTTGTTGGAGTTCTCTTGAGGATGGTGTTAGCTTTGGTCATTGTATTCTTCTTTATCAGTTGAAGATAGTAGGTCAAGTTGATAGGATAAATGAGGGTAGATGGGGAAAGGGTTCAATCCAGTAGTTCTGTTTGTGACCATCGTGATGTACTCCATAGCGAGTGCATTATGAGTGTGGTCAAGACATTCGTCGAGGGTCTTCTCGTCAGAGGGATTTTTCCGATCAAGGGTTTATATGTTAAATGGGCTGCGAGTGGCCCATGAGATAGTCGAGACACCCACTGAGAATCTCCGGGTCAGAGGTACTGCTCTAACAGGGTTAATGTGCTAAACGGATGGCGTATGATGACAATGCGCTATTGCAAACTTCGGTACAGGTGAGATGAAACCAAGATCCAATAAGTCATGGGGTGAGAATGGCGCAAGAAGTCTTTAGCAGCTGACTCGTAGGTGCCGAGAGTTGACCGTTCGAAAATCCCGAAAAATCAGTGGTAGCATCCTCCATTGCTAGGTCGACGAAAAGGCATATCGGTGTATACACCAAAATGATCGACATGTGAAGTAGACAAAGTGCCGAAAGCAGCGACATCAATGCATTCGTCAATGCCCAAAAATAAGTCAAAACGGGCAACGGTGCTGCGCCTTGCATCGGCTCTTATGTATAGGCCAGAAACGGCTATACAGTCTCTTACTGACATGCGAGTCGGGCAGATTTGGGTGATCGGGAATAGGAGAGAATGATTTACCTTGCCAGAGAGCACTTGCTTCTACGGGAATGCCCCTTTTGATCAGCCAGTCCAGACCAAGAGTGGTGGTCTCCAAGGTACGGCGCATGGGACTAGTGATTATGCGTTCGACCTTGTCGGCCAGCGGCAGATGCTGGCGGAGGTGCTGCTCGAGCGTGCGGCATTGTTGTTGACCCAGCTCAGAAAGCTCTGGGTCGGGGATTTCCCATTCTTGTGCAGGACGCGTCAGGCATGGTGTTTTCAAATAAAGCCTTCGCGGTAAGGAAAGCACTTATGATTGATGTTGTGGAGGGCTTGCCCATGCCTGATGAGGATTACGGTGGGAGACATTGTTTTTTATCAGGCGGTCTGCTAGACGGCGGGGATAGACTCTTGAAAAGTGAGGAGACGACTATGCCTTTTGTGATCGATGCTCGCAAAGCAGATGAGAGGAGACACAGCTTTGAGCTTCTACATGACGGGTTCAACCTAAACAACCCCCGACCCTGCCGATTGACAGGCGTTTTGATTTTTCTCGAAGCTGGTGACGACGATTGCAAGCTTACGAGCCCAAACGAGGCTGAGCGGTCCAATGATCTGGCATCGAAAGATGTTTACAGAGACAATAACAGCCGGGGAAGTGGATGCTAGCAATCCGACTCGAAAGCTATTGATACCCAAAAAGCCTTCTGGTCAATGATAGGGCGAAGGGCGCAGCGGTCGACAGCTGGGAATGTGAAAAGGTATGGCTATTTTTGAGTACCTGGGGTGCTTGGCTCGCGCCGGGTTCACCCAATGGCACCATGTCGGGATGGCGACGGTATTTATATGCAGGAACACGAGAGTCACAAGCCAATTGAGAAGAGTGTTGATGAGTGCAAAAGGTACGAACTACTATCTACGGTGGCGGGAGCAAGGAAACGATGGCAGCTAGTCAGGCGGGCACAGATCAGGGGAGATTCAGAATTGGCTGCTGGTCTGAAACATGGAGGGGACCTGATCAGATTGCCTGAGAAACAGCAGCTCTGGGGTGTTTTGCGGCCGTGCTTATTTATAAGACTCGTTGCTTGCCCCTTCCGCCAGCTCCCATTTTCCCTCTCTGCTCCTCAACGCCATTCATCTATCTCATATATCTCTTTTTCGCTTCTTAATAGCTCCTGCAACTGTCAGGTTTATAAACAACACGAAGCTTGCGACCGATCTGCTTTCGTTTCACATCTAGTGTTGAAGACACCCCGTTCACTATTTACACGACAACATGTGGTAAGTAACGAGCACAACAATCGCAACAACAAGGCGGAAAAGTCTGCAAAGAACTTCACTGACCATGGGCAACAGTGGTATCTTCGGCTACGTCAACTACCTGGTGGAGAAGGACAGAAAGACAATTCTCGACACCCTCGTAAATGGTGGGCACTCACGCGACCCCTGAGTCCCAGAGAGGGCTACGACAAGCATAAGCAGCTGACGCATAGCAGGTCTCGCGCGTCTCGAATACCGTGGATACGATTCAGCTGGCCTGGCGATCGACGGAGACAAGAGGAACGAGGTCCTTGCTTTCAAGGAGGTTGGCAAGGTCGCCAAGCTGAAGCAGCTCATCGAGGAGGAGAAGCCCGACCTCACAAAGGTCTTTGATGCACACGCCGGTATTGCTCACACTCGCTGGGCCACTCACGGTCCTCCTTCGCGCGTCAACTGCCACCCTCACAGGTATGCGAGAAAGAGCTGCAGCAGTCACAAGCACACACGAGTCTAATACGAGTTTCTGCACAGATCCGACCCCAAGTGGGAGTTTGCCGTCGTCCACAATGGTATCATTACCAACTACAAGGAGTTGAGAGCTCTGCTCGAGACCAAGGGCTTCCATTTCGAGACTGAGACCGACACTGAGGCCATCGCCAAACTGGCCAAGTACATCTTCGACGAGCACCCCAACATCGATTTCACCACCCTCGTCAAGGCCGTCATCAAGGAGCTCCAGGGCGCCTTTGGTCTCCTCCTCAAATCCATTCACTTCCCCACTGAAGTCGTCGCTGCCCGCAAGGGTTCTCCTCTGGTAATCGGTGTCCGCACACAAAGAAAGATGAAGGTCGACTTTGTCGATGTCGAGTTTGGCGATGCTGGTCCTCTTCCCGCTGAGGCTGCTTCCCAGAATGTCGCACTCAAGAAGGCCAACAACCTCTTGGCTCCTCCTGACAAGAGTCTGCTCCATCGCTCTCAATCACGCGCCTTCTTCTCTGAGGATGGCGCCCCTCAGCCTATTGAGTTCTTCCTGTCTTCCGACCCCTCGGCCATTGTCGAGCACACCAAGAAGGTTCTGTACCTCGAGGACGATGACATTGCCCACATCCACGACGGTCAGCTGAACATTCACCGTCTGTCCAAGATTACTGGAGCCTCCAACGTTCGCGCCATCCAGACCATCGAAATCGAGCTCCAGGAAATTATGAAGGGCCGTTACGACCACTTCATGCAGAAGGAGATTTTCGAGCAGCCCGAGTCCATCGTCAACGCTATGCGTGGTCGTGTCAATCTCGAGGACAAGACCATCACTCTCGGTGGCCTCAAATCTTACATCACCACCATCCGCCGTTGCCGCAGAATTATCTTCATCGCCTGCGGAACTTCTTACCACTCCTGCATGGCTGTGCGTGGTGTGTTCGAGGAGCTGACCGAGATCCCCATCTCCGTCGAGTTGGCCTCCGACTTCCTCGACAGACAGGCTCCTGTCTTCCGTGACGACACCTGCATTTTCGTCTCTCAGTCTGGTGAGACTGCCGACTCTCTCCTGGCTCTCCGTCACTGTCTCGAGCGTGGTGCCTTGACTGTCGGTATCGTCAACGTGGTCGGTTCCTCCATCTCCATGATGACTCACTGTGGTGTCCACATCAACGCTGGCCCTGAAATTGGTGTCGCCTCCACCAAGGCCTACACCTCTCAATTCGTCTGCATGATCATGTTCGCGCTCTCGCTCAGTGAGGACCGCGCATCCAAGCAGGCCAGAAGAGAGGCTATCATGGATGGTCTTGGTAAGATCTCCGGACAGTTCAAGGAAATTCTTGAGCAAAGCGAGGACATCAAGAACTTGTGCCTCAAGTTCAAGAACCAGAAGTCTCTACTTCTCCTTGGACGCGGTGCCCAGCACGCCACTGCTCTCGAAGGTGCCCTGAAGATCAAGGAAATCTCTTACCTTCACTGCGAGGCCGTCATGTCTGGTGAGCTTAAGCACGGTGTGCTCGCTCTGGTTGACGAGTCTCTCCCCATCGTCATGATCCTCACTCGCGACAGTCTGTTCGCCAAGTCACTCAACGCTTACCAGCAGGTCATCGCTCGCAAGGGTCGTCCCATCGTCATCTGCAGCAAGGGCGACACCGAGTTCCCTGGTGACAAGACCGACAAGATCGAGGTTCCCCAGACCATTGATGTCTTGCAAGGTCTGCTCAACGTCATTCCTCTCCAGCTCATGGCCTACTGGCTTGCCGTTGCTGAGGGCTTGAACGTCGACTTCCCGAGAAACTTGGCCAAGAGTGTCACTGTCGAGTAAATCTGGCAGTGTGTTACATTCCTCTTCGTCAAGATCTAGCGTTGTTTTTCTTGTTGCATGGGAAGCTTTTGGTCATCATGAAGGTATGGGGAGTTGGGAATCAATGGAGTAAACAAGGAAATGGGTGTCATCGATAGTTCGTCCCTTTGTTTCTCAGTGTTTACTAGAGAGCATATCAAAAACGCATTTAAACTTCAATTTTTCAAATCGTGATATGCGCCTCCTTTCTGGGTAGCGAGAGGTCGAGGCGTTTTCTTGTACGACGATATATGATTAGTCTTAGACATACCAACAAAACCAGTGAGGTGCAGTATCTCATCGGTCCAATGTCTTGAAGAGGTAACAAGGCCTCGGAGTGAAATGTCGTTATCGCTTGCTGGTGGAGCCAAGACACCGGGTGGTGTTTGCGGCATGCCTAGCTCCAAACCGACGTCATAGGCTCTATACAATTTATATCACTTCTCTCCTTCGCCTTCTCGAAGAACTATAACATTCAATTGAGTTTTGTAAGATCAGCAAAAATGGTCAACATCTTCATCACAGGAGCTACAGGCTACATTGGCGGCGACACTCTGTACGAACTCTACAACAAGCACCCTGAGTACTCATACACTGCTCTGGTACGCACAGAGGAGAAGGGAAAGTCTGTCACCGACAAATTCCCCAAAGTCAAGACTGTTCAGGGAGACAATGATAGCGGTGACTTGCTGAAGGAGGAGGCTTCCAAGGCTGATATTGTCATTCGTGAGTCTTCTCTTCTTTTGCATTCATAGACAGTCACGAGATGCTAATGACATAACAGACACTGCGGATGCCTCGGATCATGAAGGAGCTGCAAAGTCCATTGCCGAAGGTCTCGCCTCTGGTCACAGTGCCTCAAAGCCCGGATACTGGCTTCACACTGGTGGTACTGGCATCCTGACCTACTTTGATTCATCCGCCGACAAGTTTGGCGAGCACACCGATAAGGTCTTTGACGATCTGGATGGTGTAGCCGAATTGATCAACTTGCCTCAGGAGGCTTTCCACAAGAACGTGGATCAGATTGTCATCAACGCAGGCACAAACGCATCAGGTGCCGTCAAGACCGCTATTGTCTGCCCTCCCACCATCTACGGTGATGGCCGTGGCCCTTCCCTCACTCGTGGCCGTCAAGTCTACGAGCTCGCCAAGAGTGTCCTCGAGATCCAGGCCGCCCCTGTCATTGGTGGCGGTGAGGCAATGTGGAATAACGTCCACGTGCACGATTTGTCCCGCGCCTTCGTCCTCCTCGTCGAGGAAGCCGCAAAGAATAACACCGACACCAAGCTCTGGGGCAGCAACGGCTACTACTTCACCGAGAACGGCGAGCACGTCTGGGGAGAGCTGAGCAAAGTTGTTGCTGAGAGTGCCAAGGAGCAAGGTCTGCTCAAGGAAGTCAAGACGGAGCAGATGGATATGGAGACTGCCAAGAAGACTGCTGGCTTTGAGGCTGTGAGTTGGGGATGGAACTCTAGGGGTAAGGCTAGAAGATTCAAGGAGCTGCTTGGATGGAAGCCTCAGGAGAGAAGCATTGAGGATGAGGTGCCGACGATTGTCAAGAATGAGCACGAGAGGCTTCAGCAGGAGAAGAAGTAGGCGCTAATGCTTGCACCTCCAGATATACGAACGCATGACATATATAATATTGACACGCCTTACCTGTCCGTACGTTGATTGGCCCGTCTCAGAACTTGCTCTGCTGCATGATAATAAGGTGAGATAGTCAGAAAGCATGAAAAGTGAACAGGGTCATTATCCCGTGTATTTTGAAAGTAATGTACAGTCGTGGTATGTCGATACAGAGAATCCCCCTCCTCCAAGATGATGAACGCCGATTTGTGCAGATTGATGGCCAAGTAAAGAGAATCTTCAGAGCATCTAGCTCTTGGGCCACTTCTTCCAACCTCTTCCGTGACCTCTCTCCTTCCAGTGACGGATCATCTCGGGCATGGCAACCATAGCCTTCTCGCGCTGGTCCAATCTGCCCTTGAGCGTGCGCTCCCACATCTTTCCCTTGACCTTCTGGCCAACACCAGTACCCTTTACGCGGAGACCATGTTCGGCGCGACGACGGGCGACCTCCTCGGGAAGCTTGTGTGTGTATGGTAGCAAAGAGACGACGTCGTGCTTGATGGCGAGTTTGATAATCTCGGATTGCTTGCGGAGAGAGAAAGAGGCGGGCTGCCACCTTTGTGTGATGGGGTTCTTGAAGGGCATGAACGGGTTCGCAGGTTCTAAGGTTGATCTGGAAGCAGCATCCTCTGCGATCAAAGTAGGAGTGTTTGCATTGGCATCGGCTGAGGAGGTGTTGGCAGCGATGGTTGTGCCAGTGGCAGATTGTGAAAGAGCCGGCGGAGGGTAGCGCTTGAAGAAGTTGAGGAGTCGCGGAGGTAGTGACAGTGCAAGTCGCACATGCTCTGGGTTGACTGTCGCCATTTTGCAGGTGGGATAATCAGGAACGACCTCGTCGGCGCGGAAAGAGTGATTCGATGTTTCGACATTGGCTTGGGAAATCTATGCGGGACTTGCCGTTCTCCTTCTCCGGGGCCGCAAGCTCCCAAGGGCCAAGCAGCGGCGGCGTCATTAGTCGTCCGGCCGCTGGCGTACTCGTACCTGCCTAGCTAGAACAGCTTCACAGCATTCATCTCGTGCAATCATCCAACTGTATCTGCCGTCTCGCATACTGTCAGATCGCGCCTTCCGACTCCGTCTCTCATCTCGACACTGCCTCACTCACTAGACTTCATCTAACACAACCCTCACAATCATGGTGGGTAGATGCATACTGTCGCTATCTTGAATGCTTGCAGCTAACCATGATCATCTAGTCGAACCCCTTCTCAATAAGTCCGTTGCATCCTCGCCATGATACTCCGATTCCCGACTAACATTCCCCACAGACGGTGGTGCTTGCGTTGCCATGGTTGGCAAGGACTGTGTCGCCATCGCCTGCGATCTCCGCCTCGGTCTCCAGGCCTTGACCGTGTCCAACAACTTCCCTAAGATCTTCAACTACGGTGATGTATACCTTGGCTTGACCGGTCTCGCCACCGATGTCCAGACTGTCAGCGAAGTGTTCCGTTACAAGGTCAACATGTACCGCCTGCGCGAGGAGCGTCAGATCTCGCCCCAGACCATGGCCAACCTCGTCTCCTCCTCCCTCTACGAGAAGCGTTTCGGCCCTTACTTCATCAGTCCTGTCATTGCCGGCATCAACCACACCACTGGAAAGCCCTTCATCTGTGGCTTTGACAGCATCGGGTGCATCGACTTCGCGAAAGACTTCATCGTCAGCGGAACTGCCAGCGATCAACTCTTTGGTACCTGCGAAGGCTTGTGGGAGCCTGATCTTGTACGAAACATCATATCATACGCTTCGAGAACATCGTGTACTGACTTGCTTGACAGGGCCCCGAGGACCTCTTCGAAACCATCTCACAAGCTCTGCTCAACGCCGTGGACCGCGATGCTCTCTCAGGTTGGGGAGCCCATGTTTACATCATCGAGAAGGACAAGGTCACCAAGAGACTGCTCAAGGGTAGACAGGATTAGACAAAACCGGTTCGGGTGCGAATCAGACCACGGTCGACAAGCGTACGTACGTATTTTGTACAACACGGAGGAGGGCATTGGCATTGCGGACGGCGCTCAGGAGTTGAAAGGCCGCCATTACATGCGCGGCTGTCACATTACGTCTTTCTTAGGTTCTTCTCATGAAATTTACGGCCCAAATCATGGCTCATCAACCTTTTGCCGCATCAGGCATCCTTGGACTTCTTTGCTACTGTACTCCTCGCTTCCACATCATCAATTTTATCTTGACCAGTCAAGACGTCGCTCGATCCCAAGGGCCATTGCGTTGTCTACCAACGTCGTTGGGAGGCTCCCAAGAGCACATGCAACCATTGACCTTAGCTACCACTATTTTATGGGCCATTCATGATCCGTCTTTCGATTTAGCCGCCTGACCTGACACTGCAAACGTCAAATCATAATGGCCGAAATTTCCTTTCGATCTCGGGTCTACACCCGGCGCCTAAACCATCAGCGCTTATACAAAACATCTCAGATTTGCTCACCACGGTGATCGAAATCAAGCTTTGGACAAGCAGCTGCTAACGTTGGTGGCACTCTACCTGTATTGCTGTTGGTGTGGTTCTAGTTGTAATGTATCACTGCCGGGAAGAATTTCCATTGGCAGAGATGACCACACTTGACATCCTCAATCGCTGCCTACGCCAACTTTTGCACCACCGCTGCTTTATTGATCCCTTTCCGTGAGTACCTTTCCCTGCGTTGTCGATCTATCTACCTTAGTCACCAGTTGCAACTAACAGCACAGTATGCCGTTTTGATCAAACTGACTGACATGCCAGGGTTGGAGCTTCTCTGCTTCAACACTGTCACTGACTCTCTGGTAACAATCTCGAGTCACCTTCCATGTATGCCCCTCAGGTGACCTATCTTGCATGCTGAGATGCCTGTATGGCGTTCAGCCCTCCCAATGGGCTTGCATATACACCAATCTTGTCTCTGAGGGCTCGGCTGGACGGCTGTGCTACGCGAAATATTGGCTCGTCATTCACACTTCCCACCATGCCTTGAGCACTTCGGCAGAATGACTTTCCGTGCCCTGGAAGCACCCACTGCTCGCTGGCTCTCCAACACCCACAGTCTAGTCCCACCCCGCCCAACATCCAATACAGCAGTCTGCCCCTCTTGGCTTGGGAGAATGACATATGTTCACCCCTATTGTGCTTTATGCTGTGAACTCTACCATGCTCTTGGGGAACGGACTGCGAGATAGCTGGGTGAGTTATCTGCCAACAGTGAGTTGCTACGATGTGGTTGGTGAGAAATCTCCGATGCAACATGATCTTGCAGTTGCAGGACTTTGTCTTCGTTTCTGTCGTGATGATTTATAGAACCTCCGTTCCTTCTCTTGACTCCTTCTGTACAATCAAGACGATTCACTCCGACGACAATAGTTACTCCTGCTTCCACATTGGCGAGTCTCAGGCTTTTAAAGCAGACGGGACCAGCACCTTCCTCCAGACACAGTCTGTCTCGGCTCTTCCTAGCCATTCATCTGGAATTTTTTATCGATCCATTGCATCACTTTGACATGGCTGCACCAACCACGCCTCGATCTCAAGCCGCGTCTCAGTCTGGCCCATCGTGAGTACAATTCTGCGCGTCATTCTAGACAAGTAGATGCAGCTACTGACACAACCATAGTCGCATCGTAACTGCTGTGCAAACCGGGCTAGCATACGACATTGGAGCGCTGAGTCCCACCTCGCAGGATAATGCCGAGGAAGGGCTCTGCAACAACAGAATGACCACGATTCGCTGCTACGAGCGCGACGAGGAGTACCACTTCGAATTGCAAGAACGCGTTCGTGTCACAGTGTCCCAAGGCCAGGCTCCAACTTGTTCGACCTGCGAGGATCAGGATGGTCGTGCTTGCCGACACATCTGGTGGGTTGACGATCAGATTCTCAAGACCGCGGTTCCCCGTGAGACCAGGTCTCAATACAAGTACCGGATATCCAAGGATGGCAAGGCTGTACGTCCGGATGTGTCTGAGAAACACATGCTGTTCTACGACTATCTGGAAGGAAAGGATCTTGACGACCTTGCTGAGGAAGGTGGGTGGTGGAAGCAGGACCCTTTTGATCAACAAGATGTGAAATTGGTCGAACAGACCGCCTCGCAGATCTTGTCAGCTTTCGAGCCATGTGGAGCTCTTTCCACACAATACGGTCAGGAGAATCTGGAAATGTTGCAGCGAGAGTCACAGTAAGCTACATTATATTTTGACTGCCTGATTCCTCTCTACACATTCTGACTTCAAATAGAGCGCTCTTCGCACGCTACAGGGACGAGATGATCAGACAGGTCAAATCGCAGCCATTCTTGCTCATTGCTCTAGGAGCAGCCGTGCCCGTGGCAGAGCGGGACCTTCTCCATCTCACAAAGATCCACAGCAGAATTGAGCGCATCTTCTTCGACTACGGATACTGGTTGTCGTATCGCAAGCCGAACGAGAGCAATCTCGATGCTACCGCAGAAGCCCTTTGCGGTGAAATTGGCCACCTGCGCTCTTTTGTGCTGGATCCCCATCACACGGGCATGGCTATTTCTCTCAGAGGTAGGATTGCCGGGATTCTTCTTTATACTCTCGAGCAAATGGTCGAACACGCGATCGATATCCAGACTTGTGCTGCTGTGCCCATCCCGCAGTACTCTGGTCTGAGCCTCCAGGACAGAAGCTTGCTTCACAAGTTGATCAATCCCGAGAGCGTCTTCGCGATCGATGTTCTCAGAGACCTTGGACCAGATGTCTTGCACAGCGAGATAGTTCAAAACAGGGTCGAAGGTCTTGCGGACAAGCTCAGAGACGAAAATACTCCGGAAAAGTATGTCGGATGGTTGGAAAAGATCGTTGGTCTCGAGGAGTGATGTCGCAGATGTCAGGGGCAGTTTGAATACTTGCACATAGTTTCCTCCTTGTTCCTTTTGTTCGTCTCTTTGAGTTCACTCAGGCGTTTGGTGGAATCTTTTATCCTTCCTCATTCACCTAATATGCTTTTCCCTTTTCTTCTCTAGACTGATCATTGGTTCATAGCCTTGAATTATTGATTCTCTTTGTTCTTGAGTTCGTGATAGCCTATCGGCCTGCCTGTTCAGATCTTTCTGTGCTTGCTCGTTGTGGTTCTAAAGGTGCTTTGATGCTGCCGAGCTGCTTCTTCCGCGCTCTCAGATCCTTCATGGTCCTGATATCTTCATAGCCTTCGGGCATAACCTTGTTCCAATCTGGGTTTGGTGTCAGGTAGCAACTAGTGCAGAGGTAGGTCCCATCCGTAATGTTCTTCCACTGACGAGACAGTCAGCATATCTCTATAGGAGCAGCTTGACAAAGGTCTCAAGACACACGATCTCCAAGCCATATATACCCAAACTCTGGACCCGTTATGCCTAGTCCATGCACAACCAGTGCAATAGTGCTCAGTCATTTCAACATACGCGATGGGCGAATGTGATTTCCATGGTAGATCTTGACGTACCCAGGCGTTTGACTGACACCAGTCTCTGATTCTTCTATACATTATATAGCGTTCGTCGTTCTTGATCTTCGCGTAGTGATCCGAGGAACGCTTTAGCATCCTGTCGCGGTAGCCCGGCTCGGTGGCAAGTCGCTTTGACGCCCTTTGCGTTCCTCTTTTCAGAAGTTCTCTGTAGAATTCCGGTTATTCCTTGCGCAATTTTTCATAGTAGCGGGTCGAATGATTTGATTGACATCCATGTAGCGAGAAAGATCGTGAGAGAGAGGTCGTTTGGTATGATGGCTTGATAAGTCGGACAAATGTCCTCAGAGAGGAGTTCATGATGGCAGATACAAGAAACTGTACCAGGTTCCAAGATGTAGTTGACTTTGGTTTATCACATATCGATTGTATAGTGAGGTGAAGAGCACGTGAAAGAACAAGAGAGGGGGGGAACAGGCGTGCCAAGACTCTCAGATTTGGACGGTCGTCATTCGCTGCGGTGCAGCAACTTTTGAGTCACCAACAACCACGCCCTAGATCCGTCCGTCTGTTGCCATTACACTACACGAAACTCATTCTTTGGACCAGAAAGATACCGCAATCATGGCTGATATTGTTAGTGCACTCGAGCGCTTTCCGGAGCAAGTGAAGGGAAAAAGTGGCTGATGAAACAAATTACAGGAAGAGCGCAAGCCGCGCAAGTCTGTCGCCTTCAGCGAGGGCACCACGATTGTCGACAGCAACGGCCAGGTTACCGAGGCCACCGAGCAACATGGCGACAAGTCGAGCGCCGAGACTCACTCTGCCGGTACGATCAAGAAGCTCAACGCAGCCGAACAAGCACAAGAAGAGGACACCAGCTCACCAGCCACCGCGCCAGCAGAAGGAGGCGTTGATGAGATGACTGCCATGTTCGAAGGTCTCGCCAAGAAGAAGAAGAAGTCATCATCCAAGAAGGAAAAGTCGGCCGACGACGCAGAGGCTCCCGCCGCCGATGCCGAATTCGACCCCTCGGCCCTCAAGAAGAAGAAGAAGAAGGCCAAGAAGACCGAAGCCGACGACTTTGAGGCCAAGCTGGCCGAGGCTGGCGCCAACGACGAGGCCAACGACGAGGAGCCCGTCGTGCAACAATCCACCAGCCAGGAGGGCGATCTCGAAAAGGGAACCGGCATCTGGCAGCACAGCAACACCACACCCATCGAGTATCCCCTGCTGCTCACCCGCTTCTTCTCCCAGCTCAACCACCACAACCCCGACCTTGCCTCTAGCGGTGGCAAGTCGTACAAGATCCCTCCTCCACAGTGCTTGCGTGAAGGAAACAAGAAGACCATTTTCGCCAACATCTCTGAGATCTGTCGCCGCATGAAGAGAACTGACGAGCACGTTACTCAGTTCCTGTTCTCTGAATTGGGTACTTCGGGTTCCGTCGCTGGTCAGGGTCAACTTGTCATCAAGGGTCGTTTCCAGCAAAAGCAGTTGGAGAACGTCTTGAGAAGATATATTGGTACGTTTTTGGAACATTTATTTTCTCACTACAGAGTTGATCACAGAAAAACTAACATGTTCAAACAGTCGAGTACGTCACTTGCAAGACCTGCCGCTCGCCAGACACCGAGCTCAACAAGGGTGAGAACCGTCTGTACTTCGTCACCTGCAACTCTTGCGGTTCCAGACGTTCCGTATCTGCCATCAAGACCGGTTTCTCGGCCCAGATCGGCAAGCGCAGAAGACAGCAAGCTTAAGCAACAAAAATATCACGTCCTTGATGCCTTTTTTGTATTCATTTTTCTCTCTCCCTTTGCATCAAAAACGACACTACTGTCACTTTCCATCTCCTTTTCATCTCACGGGTAGCGTAACACGGAAATGGATTTTCAGCTTGTCCAGCTGTGAGATGTTTGTGCGACGCTTGACCTCCTTGTCAAACTCGTCTTCCAAAAAGCCGGCTTGGGGGTCTGCGTCAAAGACGGCTGGCCAACGGGTAGGCAGATCGGTGGTCTTTACGGGAAGTTGTATCAGCGTGGGTGCGCTCTCATCCTCGAATCTGTTTTCGCGTAGGATGGTGACCAGATCGCGTTGAAAGGGTCGGCAATTGTAATGAAAAGTTGTAAACAATTCATCTTCGTTGAGTCTATGCTGCAAAAAGCAAGTGATGCAGTAATGTGCCAGTGTTTTTGAAATGTCATTTTCATTGGGCAGGTCCTTGTATACATAGGCGAGTGCTTTGCAGAGATCTTGTGGTGGACCTGGGTAGCTGGTTGAGAGTTCCAATTCGAGGAAAATACGTGCTTTGACCATCGTTTTTAGACTTGCGATGTCGTAGATTGTGGCTAGGTGGAAGATTTCGACGTGCAGGAGGACGGACATTTGATCGTGGAGGCAGTCGGTTGGGACGTAGTGTTCAAAGGTGTAGATGTGTCGTAGCATGCTGAGTACTGCTGTCAGGGAGATATCCTCGATTGTGTATTTTGGTCCGTTTCTGGATTCTTCGAAGCTGAATGCTAGGATTGGTGCAATCAGTTCCACTGTGGTCAGATCGATGTTCTTGAGTACAGTGGTCTTTTGTGTGTGCGGGTCTTTAATGGTGAGGGTGGCCTTGCCGTTCTCGACTGCGGATAGGAAGGACATATCGTCCATGGTTTGTGTGTCCTTTGTCTTCTGCGACATGGGCAGCGGAGGGTCTGCAACGTAACTGTCCACTGCATCCGGTACATCTTCATGTCGCTCTCCTACCATGAAGCCTGAAGTACCTCGTATATAGGCGAGTCTTGCCGCACGCTTTTCATCTTCTCTTCGTTCTAGAGCTTCTGCGAATTGAGAAAGATCCTCTTCATCGCGCTTCAATGACGAAGCATGCTTTTCTCGTTCTCTTCGCTCCAGTACTTCTCCCGCTTGAGAGAGTTCCTGGAAGTCGTCGTCCAGCAGATCCAAACGACGTTGCCTTGCAGAATGTGTTCGTCGTATGCCCTCGGCAACAGCATTGTATCGTAAGTCTTCTTGAAAGTCATCGTCTTCAAACTCGTCATGCAGTAGATATCCACGACGCTTAGATAGTCCCGAATGGATGTCTCGTAAGGGGTTGTCACGCCGAACGATCGCTCTGGTTTTCTCTAGTGTATCCTCACGACGCTGGCGAGAGCGCTCGAGCGACACGGCATAACGACCCCAGTCAAACTCCCTGGGAACCCCGTTTCGTTGAACTGGCAGGTCGGTAGGAGGAGGAGGAAATCGATTCTCCTGGAAGTAAGGGTCCTCCTCAGTCCAAGATTCCAACCTGGAATCCAGCTCGTGCAGAGCATCTACGCTAGTCAATTGCCGCAGGTATTCTCTCTCAGGTGAGCCAGGCATGGTTTTGTGAACAGATTGGAGCATGAACGGTTTCATCTTTGTTGTGGAGAAGGAAAGGAATGGAGTTCTTCAAAGGAAATGGGAGTTGTGGATTGTTGTAACGTCTCAATCCTTCCTACCTATCGGTGTGCCAGCTAGGCAGCCGTCAGGGTGGTGCATGTGATCAGGGTACATGTGCCGCGGTACCCAATGAGCTTGTCGCCCTTATCCAACTATAAGCTACTCGTAGAAAGCTCGCACGGCTTTACATCGGTCAGAGGGTCTAAACATTCTGGTTCTATATGAGTCAATCATGTTCTAGGACTCGAAGGATGGCGGTGTCGATGGTCGTGGCTATGGTTGTAGTGGCGATCTTGACAGGGTTGCGGCTGAGATAGCTAGCGTAGCGCAAGATCATGTCAAGCCACCGTAGATCTAGGGCGGAGAAAGCATCCGGAACAATTAGTATGACCTTCACGCGAGAGGGACAAGGAATATTCTTGTTGCCTTGCAGGCCAAGGTCGCACGAGACATGGTGCAGATAAACGCTGGCAGACGCCTCGAAATGCATCTCGAGCCTCAAGGATGACGGAAGGCTTGGCGGCACTTTCGCTACCGAGTAGGATTACGTTGAATGGGATGCATAGGTAGCTATCTAGAATACTCAAGTCCCATCAATCTGTCCGTCTCAATCACTCTTCTCACTCTCGGGGCCATCATCAACAGCGGCTCCACTCCAATTGTCTCGCAAACGGATCACATCGGCGAACGCAGGCAGGCCTCATCGCTACAAGCCATACAATTATGGGCTGGTATTCACTGCTTCCTACTCACCTCAGCGACATTGAGGGATGGATCTCTAGTATTTTTGTACAACTCTCTTCTATCTAGCTGCTTCATCTGCAGTCAGAGCTTTGAGCTAATATCAATCATTGCAGATGTTATTGGGTGTCGTCACAATAGGACCATGGGCTCTACTGCTTGTATACGACTTCCTCTTCTACGTCTATCGCTCCTGCGCCTATCACATTCCTCTCTTTGGCGGCAAAGCTCAAGGAAAGAGACGGCCACATGCACCTAGTCTGACCGAAAGACCGAACGGCGAGAAAAGAGATGCTCCGAAGGTTCCGATACCTGCCGCGACGACTGGTATACACCACCATGAGAATGGGTCCGAAAAGCGAGCATTGGGACAAGCTTAAGAGAATGGGAAGTCAGTCTGAGAACACAGTTCTGGAAGGCGGTGGCCGAGTCGAGCTCCTGCCATGCCCATGCTGCGATACAGAGACGCAAGGATGGACTCGAGCTTTGCAATGACCTTGATGGTTGCAATATTGGCCCTCGAACTCTGCCCCTTAATGAGGAAACGACTATCACGAACGAACCCAATTCAAGTTGCAGGCAGAAGCGCTATGCATCACATATCTTTCATTGCTTTCATGTTCATTATGTCGTAATTAATTAAACAGCTCTCTCGCCAGCCTTCTGCTTGAACCAATCCCTCAACCACGCTCCCTCGACGGCATCGTGGATATCTTGACCTCTCGGACCAAGGAGCGAGAAGAAAGAGTGGTACTCGGTCAGCAGGTCCTCTCGCTTTCTCTCAAACTCATCACCATTGAACCTCTCCTCCCAGCCACAATCTCGGAACAACTGTCGCTTCACAGCAAACATGTTCCGCACAGCCTTGGCCACCTCTACCTTGGGGTCGAGTTGCAATGGCGGTGCTGGTGGTGGGCTCGGTACTTCGGGTATCTCACAACCATACTCGATTGCTGTGTTGCGCAGTTGCTGGGCACTGGCGTTTCGCATGGACAAGATCTTGCTCCGTAGTGCTTTGTTCTCTGGCGCGTTTCGCTCAACCCCGTCCAACACCATACCAATGCCCCAGCCTTCTGGTCGCACTTGCCGTGTGGGAGAGTGATCGATTGAGATCCTGTGCTCGGCGGCAAGTTGCTTGAGGTCGTCGATGCTCAGTGTGCCTGATCTTTTCCGTCGCATCTTCAAGGCAACATTCAAGGCCGGGATGCTCATCCGAGCCGCTTCGATGTGTTGCTTCAACTTCGCATATTGGTCGTCCATCATTTCAGACTCGCCATCATATTCTTCGTATCGATTCGTTCCGCCTACGCCGGAGAGCAGGCTTGGTCGTGCGTGTATGTTGAGTGTTTGGTAGCATTCGCCTTCATCACGCCATGGGATCCAATCCAGGCTGAGTATTTCGTTCCGCAGAAGATCCCAGGATTGTTCTGTCCCTCTGTTGGGTTGATGCTCGTATTCTGTGTTTTCGCTCTTGGAAGCCCAGCGTCTCATTCTTCCTGCAAAGCAATCTGTCAGCGTGTGAAGTTTGCTGTCGTGTGTATGCTGGACTTACTGTCTCGTGTGTCGTACAAATATTCAGTGCCCCAATTACTCCCACAGAATGTGATTTTGAACGCCCAGGCTGGCAAACCAGTTTCGCCAGCTCTAAGTGGTTGTCTCGATGTTGCTATCGTGCCGTCCCAGTCATGACCTTCGAGATATGACATGGCACCACTATCTGGTGCGATCGGCACACCCTCCTCCTGATCTGACCAGTATTCCAGAGCCTCATTTGATGGATAAGGAAGCAACTCCATGAGGGCAATCACTTCGGGAACGAATCCGGCAGCTCGTAGTTGTTCGACAGCCACAGCGGGCTTTCCACACACGCCGTACGGAGGGTAGATGACTTCGTCCTCGCGAAGATATCGCATCTTGATCAATGTGGCGTACATTGCGTTGATACCATTGATGAGTTCGGCGTGACGCTTGGCCACTTCTTGGAGTATGGTGGTGTGCATATCCATGCTTCCACGTACTGGCGAGTCGAACATGCCCTTCTCAGGGTAAGTCCGAGTTGTAGTAGTTGTCGTCGTCATTCAAGCGACAGAGTTGATATAATGTGATGTGGTGTCTGAGAGACAGATGATGTTATGTTGATGTCAAGTTTGAACGGTGATGACCCAGAGAATTATCGTCAAATACCCCAGAGCAAGAGAGAGCAAGGCAGGGTCGTATATGTAAAAGCTGGTATCAAGAGGCTCTGCTGCGGCAGTTCATCCTGTATAAGAAAGGCGCATCCCCGTAAAAAAAAACGTTTGTATTGAGCAACGGCCAGCCCTCATGCTGTTCCAAGGATCGGGTCAATCATCATGGATCAGTGTAGATCCTTCGAACCAGGTGGCCGCCTGCTACAGGTGCTTTTTGCGATACCGTTGCTCGGCTTAGTTCATAGCAACGGGTGAAACGGGTGTACTGTATATGCCCATGTTTGTCTTATCGCCAGAAGAGATCGCAAGGGTATCCCTGCCTCAATGTGCTCGTGTTCCTCTAACATACTTCCCTGGCCCCATGTCTGCAGAGGTGAGTTCAAAGTGTATCATCTCGCTCGTTGAAATCTTCTCGACGTTGCCGGCGAGATCTCAACTTGTCTCAGAGCTAGATCTCAGCGGGGAGTCGAGATTTCTCTGCACACGTCTAGATCCTTCTTTCGACCGTAGAAGACGTACTCGAACTGTCTTTATCGAATAGTAATGAATACCTGCTCGGACTGTCGACCGAGAGCTGGGCCTTTCGGTATGAACATGTTCTTGTATGTCTTAATGGCTGGTTTTATGGTTCGGTGGACGGTGGAGAACGAGGCAGGTGTGGAAGCTTGCCCGACAACCGGATTTGGCGATTCATTGATCCTTCTCATCAACAACACACCAGAGGTCGAGTCAGTCGACATGCCTTTGTTGAGTCAATATCAGGTATTGATTTCGTTCGATCAATTCTTCGTACTCATGGATTGCACCTTTGAAAACAAGGTTTTCGATCGCGTTTCCAGGTTGGTCCTAGTCTTCCGCAACCCGCTGACGCAAGCGTCAACAATAGGAAAACGAGTATGCTTGTCACCTGGACTCTCATTCTACACAGCCTCCAGCGACTCCACCTGGTGACTGGAAGCTTGATCGCAGGTTGACGGACTCGACACTAACGCGGTACGACTCAATATCGCGTGGACCAGTGCTACGTCTTCTCAGCCAGGGTCAACCCCTCGGCAACGCTATCAGAACGACAACAGGGTAACGTGTCCACCACTGAGGTCCAAGGATACTTCACACTGGAACCTAGGGGTACTGTCATTCCGTTGTATCACCTGATACAATTCTTGCTTTGTCCAGAATCGAACAGGTCCAGGAAGACATCATTGCTCTTTGATATTATTTCCGCGATTAAACCGTGCCCTGAACACATGGAAGGGTTCACCACGACAATCAGCTTAAGTTTCCAATGTCAGGGATGACGTCTGATAGTGTCGTCAACTTGCTGCCGAAATAAGCATATCATGCATACAGCTGGCAAGACAGTCCATGGAGGCCAAGTCACGCATGAACAGGAGTCGTCAGCCCGACTTTCAAGCTGGCAGGAAGCGGGTGTTGGTCGTGCCTGCCTGATCCCGTTCATTCTGTACCAAAACGAACTGAGTTGCTTCCATCAATCTGGTCGGTTAGCTCAGTTGGTTAGAGCGTGGTGCTAATACCCATTCCCCTGGTATACCTGGCACGCCAAGGTCGCGGGTTCGACCCCCGTACTGACCATGAATGCATCCTTTTGGTGGGTTGCAGGGGTGTGGCAAGATTTTGTGGTCATATATCACTATCTCGGACTTTTGCCGGAGGTGGAAGAAAAGGAGAACACCTCAATTCTGCCTACGTACCTTCGACACTTGCGCATGCCCACACACTTGCACTCAAGGCCAAACACTGATTCAGAGCGTGCCCAGTCGTGTACCCTGGTTTGGGTTGGACATGAGGATTTTTCTTCTCCCGATGGCAGAAACTGCCATATCGGGCCCAAGCGTGGCTCACAGCTGCAGATCTAGCCTGATTGAGCTATATCTTGGCGTTTGTACCCACTCTACTGCAACCACACCTCCTGTCAAACCATAGTATTTGCGGCATGATATCCGACCCTTCGCCTTGTTCATTATGCTTGCTTTGGAAACACCCGAGTTTCCAGACAGCATGCTTACGTGGGGCCTTCAAATACAGACATTGTGTCAACGATGTTTCAAACCACAATGACAAAAACAAGCTAGCGGGTAAGTATTTACTCGGGTTCGCCTTTATCTTTCCACGAATGCGGAGGCGGAGTGCCGAACGGTGATCAACACTGGGACGGTTCGAGAGATCTCATCGGAAATGCGGCTCGTAGAAAAGTGACAGGCACGCACACCCCTCAGCTACATGGATGTCGTGCTACCCGTTATGGCATTTCTCCTTTCTTGCCTCTAGCATTTATTCCATCACTCCTTGCCCTTGTGACAGTAGTCTGCTGTGCTGTGAACACAGCGCGTCGACATTGAAATGTCGCAAGACGATGTGAAGCACACCTCGCCGTCGAACTTATCTCTGGACCATGAATATTCCTCAGGATTGGAAGGCCACAATGTACATGATAAGAAAACACAGCACAACACAGCATGGACGCGCATCTACAGAGTCGTAACATACACGCCGCCGCGATGTCGCTGGGACCCGGAGAAACCACCAGCATTCAGTATGGCGTTGAACGTGCTCTTCGGCTTTGCAGGTGCCTTTACAGTTGCGAACCTTTACTATAGTCATCCCATTCTGAACATCCTGGCGGAAGAATTTAATGTGCCGTATGAGAAGGTCTCACAGATCCCAACTGTCATGCAAGCAGGATATGCTGCAGGGCTGCTGTTTTTGTGTCCATTAGGCGATCTTTTGCCTCGCAGACCGTTTGTTCTGAGCCTTGTTTTCTTCACTGCGACCATGTGGTATGTAATATCGTGATGTTCCATGAGAATGACTTGCTTATACAAAGCTCTAGGATTGGTGTGTGTGTAACAAAAGATTTGGCTGCATTCACTGCCATTTCTTTCGTTACGGCTATCACTACTGTTACGCCACAGCTCATGCTCCCTCTTGTTGGTGACCTTGCACCGCCAAGTAAGAGGGCAGCATCTCTCTCGATCGTCACATCTGGTCTTTTGCTGGGCATGCTGATTGCTCGTCTGCTGTCTGGTGTCCTGACCAACTATACTTGTAAGTGCTAGGCTTCGAAAATATAATTAGTACTGACATGATCATAGCATGGCGCAACATCTACTGGCTCTCTCTAGGACTCCAGTATGCCATCTTTGCGTTACTCTGGCTGTTTATGCCCGACTATCCCTCGACCAACCCTGGCGGTATCAATTACTTCAAGATTCTGTGGTCAATTGTCGAGATGCTGTTCAAAGAGCCTGTGCTAGTCCAAGCCTGTTTCGTCACCTTCTTCACAGCCGCAACATTCACCTGCTTCTGGACTACGCTGACCTTTCTCCTCGCCGGCTCACCTTACAACTACGACTCTCTGACCATCGGTCTCTTCTCCCTCATCGGCATCGCAAGTATGTTCACCGGACCTTTCTGGGCAAAGTATGTTATCGATCGCTTTGTCCCTCTGTTCTCAGTCATTCTAGGAGAGTGCTGGTGTATGTTGGGCATCTGCATCGGCACCTACACCGGTCGCATCACCATTGCTGGACCGGTCATCCAAGCCTTCTTCAATGACTTTGGGTTGCAAACTGCGCAAATCGCCAATAGAAGTGCCATCTACAGCATCGCACCCAAAGCACGTAATCGTGTCAACACAGCTTTCATGGTTGCAACGTTTTGCGGCCAGCTGGTCGGTACGGCTGCAGGAAACCACCTCTACGCAAGAGGTGGTTGGATTGTAAGCGGTAGTTATAGTGTTGCGAGTATTGGTGCAGCATTAATATGTTGCTTCGCGCGTGGGCCATGGGCAGAAGGATGGTCCGGCTGGGGTGGTGGCTGGAGTGTTTACAAGAAGAGTGCTCAGAGCGCTGATGGAAAGGCAGATGAGAAGCAGACCATGGGAGCTGTGGAATTGACCAGTGGCGTCAAGAAAGATCCAGAGAAGGGTAAGACGCAGCAGCAAAAGGTCAACGAAGGGCACACACTGGAGAAAGGCATCGAGATGCTAGGCGCCGAGGATATTGAGAACCCTGTGCGAGAGATGAAAGATCGCGAGAACGAAGAAAAGAGCTCTACTAGCCAGAACAAAGACGAGCTTGTGCCTGTAAAGAGTACGCAGAGCGTCTGAGGAGAGGTGGAAGCCAAATCGTATCCGACATCCATTGAAAGCTTCGCTGTAGAGATGCAGAAACAGTTTCGTTTTCCTCGTCGTTTCTAATGAGATGAAAAGATGTTTCACTCTCTCCGTTGTTTGCTTGTTTCGAGAAATAATTCTGCATCTCGACAGTTGTATACGAGTTTCCAACATAGCCGGAGGAGATGCGCAAAGCGAGGCAACGCCCAGGTAAACAGCAGGGTACCATCGCTCTCATGAAGACGATGCGAACTAAGGCTGTAGAAATGCAGAGCCTTTTCTTTTGCAAAGGCGATGGTAGTAGGAGTCGAATAACTCTGGTCTCTCAATCAACGGTAAGCGGTACCTCGAAAACATTGTGCATTACCACAGCTTCCTAGGACGACGCGAATAGCGACCGAGAGAGGAGGAATGCAAGGTCAGTACAGGCTCGTATTAGGGAGGCGCTCTCCCCCAGACATGGTCAGGGCACTTCTAGACGTGGTCAGCCAGGAGTCGAATATCGTGAGTGAGAGAACTGCTCCAGCTCAACGAGTCAAGCACGTCTCCAGCTCCGCATCCAGGCCTTGACCGTTTCCATTGAAGGAAGCATTTTACCCGAGATTCTGGCGCTCTCTCCAAGACTTTGGGCTGTGGTCTACCTCTAGCCTCCGTGTCCACAACTGCAGAGATCAAGCGTGGCTGCAAAGGAGAAGGCTTCCTTTGGCTTACCACTCATCCGAACGACCCTCTCACCGCAGCAGTTGGTACCAAGGTACTTGAGATCGTCAAGCGTGACAGCGTGTATCAGAACGCAGCCGAGCGTGGTCAGCAACTACGTGCTGGTCTCAAAAAGCTTCAGCAAGAGTACTGGTGTATTGGCGACAAGCGAGGAAGAGGTCTCCTTCAAGGCATTGAGATCGTCTCAGACGCCTCTACCAAGGCACCAGGCGCAGACATGGGTCAGGCTGTATCTGAACTAGCCATGGCTTCTGGTCTACCGGTATCTAGTGATGTCGTCAACCTTCCAGATATGGGCGGCGTATTCCGTCTAGCCCCTCCAGTCAGTGTAACAGCCGATGAGATTGAAGAGGGCCTTCGGATCCACGATCAATGCTTCGAGTTCATCGTCGCGAAGCGCATCAGTGTGCTCAAGATCTAGCCGAGCCATAGAAGATACTCTAATACGATACATGACTTTAGCCGCCATTAACATTCAAGCGTACAAACCCAGGCCGAACTTGTTCAATGCTGCATCAAGACATCTCGAATAACCGGTGATTCGACGAGTGGAGTCGAGCGTTGTCCATAATCCATAGGCGATCTCAAAGGACCTGCTCCTCGCGGAAGCTCGCGTTCAGGTGGGTGATCTTTGGATGAGGTGATCATTGGATTCCTTACTACGTTGCTGATCGCGACTACTGGCGCGTCGTTGACATACACCATGTGTACCCGCTCGAACTGATTCGATTTACGAGCTCTGCAGTGGTATGAAGAGTCTGGGTAAACTCATTGCGGACAATGTCGTTGGCGACGCGGTGACGAAACAGAAGAGAACATGTTATCGATAAGATCGGGATCTACCCCACTCTAGGAAGGCGGTGGGAGTTCTGCCGGGCTTCCTTCGCTACTTCCCTCCGTAAACAGCACTCTTGCCGCTGGACACCCAGCGCCGATCGGTTCCGTTAACTGGACCCAACTACGCCAGAGCTCTGATGGCTACGGCCGAGTCTGGACGAGTCCTTGATGGCGAATTCTGAAACAATCCTTCCGGGATACATCGTGGGTGATACTGATTTCCTGCGTGATGCCTTATTGCTCTTGCAGCATAGCCTGTCACGCAATCAAAGCGCCTACAGCATATTCTGCGGTCAGCGACCCAGACCTGTCGCACATGGGCTGATCGTCATGTGTATGAGGGCGATCTTCCAGGCTTCTGTTTAGCCTGAACTCATGGAAGCTTCGTAGTGGAAGTTACGCGCATAGTGACTATAGAACCTCGAGCCAAGTCAACTATCACAGCACAATGCGTTGAATTAGCTGTAGTACTAGGTTCACCTCAAGAAGATCACACCTCGGTTCGCTTGTTCTGATACAATAGTTCGCTTGGCGACAAGGACGTCTCCATGTTTCCGCGCCGACAAGCTTCTCCTCCTTCATACTGCCATGCTATAGCCAAATCACCATGCTGATCAGGCCCCTTGTGATCACTAACAGGAACACCCCCTCGCATGCTAAGTCTCCCCTTGGCAGGTACTAATTCTTTTACCCGGCGTGCGGCCGTACACCGGATATATAAGATGACATTGGCAGACCCTCCGAATTGCTTGTCGAGCCAAGAATTCCAAGAGAATTAGAACGGCATCTACTCAACTTTGTGCATAGGCGAGATACTGGAGTCAGCGTTATGTCTGGACGTTGATCAGCGAGTGGGTGGTGTACGACATTTTCATTTAGCCTCAATCAATTCGGTATTACGACGTTGAGGGGAGTGTGATGAGAGGGGACGAGGACATATAAAGGAAAATGCTCGCGCTGGGGAACTGATCTCTTCACCAATCCAACGATCACCTCACTCAATATGGTCTCTTTCAAGAACATCTTCTGCGCCTTGTTGGCTGCTACCACGGCGCTGGCCGCCCCCTTCGATTTCCTCACCGAGGATGTTGAGGACGGAAACTCGACTCTTGTCAAGCGACAGAGCACCCCCAGTGCTGAGGGTACTCACAATGGATACTTCTACTCCTGGTGGACTGATGGTGGCGGTTCTGCTCAGTTCACCCTGGGCGAGGGCTCGCGCTACTCTGTCAAGTGGACCAACACTGGCAACTTTGTTGGCGGCAAGGGCTGGAACCCTGGCACTGGACGGTAAGTGGACACCATCGATCTCTCATTCTAAACAGGTGCTAACAATATCGATCAGCACCATCAACTATGGTGGAGCTTTTAACCCCTCAGGCAACGGCTACCTCGCTGTATATGGATGGACCAGATCTCCCCTTGTCGAATACTACGTGATCGAGTCCTTCGGTACATACGACCCCAGCAGTGGTGCTCAGTACAAGGGCAGCTTCTCCACCGATGGTGGAAACTACAACGTCTACGTTTCCACCCGCACAAACCAGCCCTCCATCGACGGTACCCGCACCTTCCAGCAATACTGGTCTGTTCGTCAGGGCAAGCGTGTCGGTGGGAGCGTAAATATGGCTGCTCACTTTTCAGCATGGTCGCGTTTTGGACTCAATCTTGGACAGCACTATTACCAGATTGTTGCTACCGAAGGCTACCAGAGCAGCGGCTCTTCTGACATTTATGTCCAGACCAAGTAGACTGTTTAAGGGGTCTTATGGGCTTGGGAGGGGCTCACTGCTGAGCGGCGCGCCTGACTTCCTCTACTCCTTGCTGTCCTTTGCCTGAAGGCACAAGGATGTCTCTGGCGGATTTTTCATCCTGAGAATTTGAGCTAGAGACACCATTTGGTGAAAGTGCGAATTCTGTTGTTACCTCACACTCATTTTGCCAGAATGCTTACATAGGCTGAGTATCAGCACGACGTATGCCAAAGTTTATGCTTTTCATAAATTGTTGATCTAGATTTTGATGTCAAAAAGATGCCTCTCGACACGTGACTTTATCTTCTTCTGCCAGCACCACCGCCGCCGGCACCACCACCCTCGCCGCGTGACTCGATTGAAACAACCTCACCGATACCAGCAGCTTCCTGCTCGTCTTCCAGGACTTGCATCTCTTCTCTGACATCCCACCATTTCTGCTCAGAGCGTTCGAATGCACTCTTGCGAATCTCCTTGACCGAACGCTCGGTGATCTGGTTTGCGTGCTTGAACTTGTGCTCCTCCAGAATCATGTCTTGCCACTGGTGATTGGTACGGGTGAAGAATTCACGTAGGGATTCGAAGGGACGCGGGCTAGGCAGACCGTCAGACTTCTCAGTGGCGGCCTCTTCCTCGGGCTCTTCATCCTCTGCTGCTTGCTTCTTGGCCACATCTTCAGGCTTGGCCAGCTCTTCGGGTGCGACAGAAGTAGCAGGGGTAGAAGTGCCGGCGGTTTCGTCCTCACTCTCATCTTCGTCATCATCTTCATCCTCGTCATCGTCCTCGCTGTCCTCGTCCTCGCTGCCCTGCCAGTCTTCGAGCTCACGACGGAAGATCTCTTTGGCACCGTCCAGCTTGCCAAGATCGATACTGTGCATCTCGTCGAATGTGAACTCGCGATCACCTTTCTCGAATGTGCCACCGTAGATATAAAGAGTGTCATCTTGTACCGCAAGTTGAGCATTGAATCGAGGGTGGGGCATCTCGTATTGCACTGGCTTCTCAATCTTGGCATCCTCATCATCAGAATCGTCATCGCGCTTGACTGGGAGTTCGCCATCGTCCAATGAGCCCTTGCCTTCAATCAGAGCAAGGTTACGCAGTAACTCCTCTTCGTCAGCCTTTCCTCTTCCGCGTCGGCCACCACGTTCGTTTCCGCCGCCTTGTTTCTTGGCCGGCTGAGAGCGAGGCTTTCTTAGACTCAGTTGGAAGAAACGGTTGCGGTCAATGTTGAAGGCCAATAGCTGGTTAAAGAACTCGCTGTCAATGCCTTCTTCATCCTCCTCGACGTCGTGTACACCACCGAACGCGATACCTCTGCCCTTGTGGTGCACCATGGTCGCGCCAGCACGAGCTGGGTTGGGCGAGTTGACTGGCTTCTTTCGCTTCTCCCAACGCACTGTCGGTAATGTGTTCATAGAGGCTTCTGGCGGTGGCGGTGTAATGCGAAGGAACCAGGTGTCCTGATGAACCATAGGCTTCATGATGACGCGCGAAGCCTGTCTACCTCCCTTCGACTTTCCAGCTGAGGTCGAAGTCTTGATTCTGGAGTATCCGCCGTACAAAACCGCACCGGTGTCGTGGGGCAGGAAGGAGAAGGAAGACCTTGGGTCAGGACGCATGGCAGCGGGTGGCAGGACAGGGATATGCCACTGGAAAGTCTGACAATCGTAGATGTAAAGATCATTCAAGTATTTGGTCTGTTGCGATGTGTCTTGGAAGCCTCCGAACAGGATGATGTAGCGTTTGAAAGCAACCATACGGTGACCACTTCGAGCGGAAGGAGATGGCCCCTTGGTCTCAATTTTGGTCCATTCTCTGGTCGATGGTTCCAGATTCCAGAAATCGTTGTAATGGTAGAATGTACCCTGTTTCGGCGAACTGAATTCTCCTCCAAACATGTAAATACCACCAGCGTTACCACCCCTGCACATGGCATGTCCGCTGCGAGGCAGAGGTGAGTTGGGACTGGTTACCTTGCGCCATTCATCCGAATTGATTCTGTAGATATACAAGTCATTGTAGAAATGTGCAATAGCTCCATTGTAATGTTCGCCTCCGAAAAGGAAGAGTTCTCTGCCATCTGAAGGTGAGGCAAGAAAAGTGGAAGCACTTCTGGGTGATGGACCAGTGACAGAGTCTTCGGTGACCTTCAAGAATTGCTCTTGCTTCTTTGCGTAGTCTGCCAGAATCGCATCCAGATCGGCGTCTTCTGCATCACTGTCGTCGGCATCCTTCTTGTTCTTGGCCTTCTTTTCTGTCTTTTTGGCGACTTTTTCCTGTTTCGCTGCTACGCGGGCCTTCTTGGCTTCCTTCTTGCCCTTATCTTTTTTGACCATGACTGATCAGAAGGCGTGTGAGTCTGATGTGTTTGTCGAGTATATCTACGGGTGCTGTAAATATATCGCTGGCGAACAAATCTTGCTGGCAGTGGACATCATCGGCGTAGCAGACTCCGAGCTAGACTTGTAGCCAAGCCCCCAGCTTGTGGACGCCCTCCCCTCTTCCGAAGTATCGCGTGAGCTATAGCTACGTAGTTTCATGGGACGAGTTACTCAATGGATGTTCGTGTGATCTGTGTAGCCAAATCTGTTTCTGGATAAATGTCTTTACAGATAAAACAATGTCTGAACTCGGCGTAATAGTGTAATGCCTCATGGCAAGCAGGAGCGATCCAGAGCGTCAACGTCGCTGAGGGGCATGTTACCCGCATGTTCATCAACCCAACCATCTGCCCCTCACCATCAATGTCCATCCAAAACACACAATATGGCTACCTCGATCAAAGTCGCTGCGGCAAAGATAGTCGAACAGAGAACTCATCAGATTCCTGGTAACTTATATTTCAAGCCCCTGGACTCCCAGCCAGGGGACGCTCATTCATCTGTGATACGTGTTGACACTTGATTCACAACAGGTAAGCTGAGAGTCACCGAACACTTCTTCGATGTGCCCAAAGATTACTCCAAGCCGGAAACTGGTACGATTCGCATCTTTGCTCGCAGTGTTCGAAAGCATGAATCTCCCGCGGACATTGGTGATCATGATGACAAGAAGAGCCAACTTCCATGGATGGTGTTCTTGAACGGCGGACCTGGAGGAGCCTGCCGACACCCAAGTGCTTACCCATTCACCTACACCATTCTGGATAAAGGTTACCAAATGCTCTATCTAGACCAAAGAGGCACTGGACTGAGCACGCCAATCACTCCCAGCACGCTAGGCTTACGCGGGGACGAGGACGTGCAGGCGAGATACCTCAAGCACTTCCGCGCGGACAGTATCGTGCGAGACTGTGAAGCGATTCGACAATCTCTTACTGCGGAGTACCCTCCTGAGAAGCAAAAATGGAGTATCATGGGCCAGAGCTTTGGTGGATTCTGCAGCATCACATACCTCTCGTTTCACCCACAAGGACTCCGGGAAGCCTTCATCTACGGTGGCCTCCAACCACTCGTCAAGCAGCCTGATCCAGTCTACAAAGCGCTCTACAAGAGAGTGATCAGACGCAACCAAGACTACTACGACAAGTATCCGGAAGATGTCGATAGAGTCAAGAACATCGTCAGCTTCCTTACACGATTCGGTGATGGCACAATCAAACTCCCGTCTTCAGGCAACTTGACTGCTAGAAGGTTCCAGCAGATAGGCATCATGTTTGGAATGCACGGAGGCATCGACGCTGTACACGAAGTCGTGCTGCGTGCTGCATACGACATCGAAGCTTTCGGTCTGTTGACCAGAGGTACTCTCACTGCGATTGAGTCGATCACCTCTTTTGACGAAGCACCCATCTACGCCATATTGCATGAGCAGATCTACTGTGAAGGGTGGGTAAAGAATGCCTATGAATAGATGTCATGTTGACGTGATCACAGACAAGCACCCAATTGGTCGGCTGAACGTATGCGTGACGAGTTCCCTGAGTTTGAGCTCAAGTCAGAAGGACCTATCTACTTCACAGGAGAGATGGTACGTTGGCTCAAGAAGTCATTCAAAGGTCGATCGTCTAACACAGCACAGGTATTCAGCTGGATGTTCGATGACTACAGCGAGCTCCGCAAGATGCAGGATGTCGCCGAACGAGTAGCTGCAGACTCCGATTGGCCTGCTCTGTTTGACGAAGACCAGCTCCGCAAGAACGAAGTTCCTGTTTACGCAGCCGTTTACCAAGAGGATGTGAGTCTGGTGTGAAGCGGATGAAGTGTGAACGATGAATTAACGAGATGAACGCAGATGTACGTTGACTACGACTACTCTATGGAGACGGCAGAAAAGATCAAGGGCTGCAAGAAGTTCATAACCAATGTCATGTATCACAACGCGATCCGAAGCAAGGCAGACGAAGTCGTCAGACAACTGTTTGATCTGAGAGACGACGTCATTGACTAGGAGATCAGCGACGGGGAAAATCAATGGATCTGGGAGTCTGACCGCTCTTCAGGGATGTGTATATGCTGTTTGTGGGTCGAGGAGTAGGATGGGTTGCTCGAACATGAGAAGGGCATAGGAATGGATGGTAGAGAGAAATGGTCCAAGCTCAGAATCATCGTCACAGCCAACTGCGAACTCGTCAGTTCAAGCTTGCAACACGTGCAGCACTCCTTCCAACATGAGATGATAACCGCTAAATTGTCCCAAGCTTTGAGAGAGCTTGTTGGAGGATTTCTAATTCTGGCATGCGCTCAGATGTCGGTAACGGACAAGAGCGGCAAGGGACATGGAGAGCCGGTCCGGGTAGATGATGTGAGCAATGAAACATTTGCATGCTATCTACGTCCAAGTCCGACCAGTGTAGACATCGATTGCTGTAGGCCTTGTGCACACTCTCTTCACTGATTTCTAGACTTTCGCTATCTCGACTCGTCACGACGGGTTTTGTCAGTCTACGATCGCTACACGCCGAGCTCGTTGATCGCCAGCGAAGGATCACATAAGCGCCGCGAACAATCACACAAACCGCCGACCCACCCATACCTTCTCTCCACCATACAAGCGGCCGAAGAGAACGCACACCTTCACAATCATGAGCAACACACTACCCAACCCCACCGATCTCTCCCTCCCACGTATCCTCTGCCTCCACGGCGGCGGCGTCACAGCCGAAATCTTCCAACTCCAAGCCCGCAGCCTCATCAGAGCTCTCCCAGCCTTCCGCCTCGTCTTCGCCGACGGCCCCTTCTACTGTGCCCCCGGCCCCGGCATCGCCCCCGTCTACGAGGACTACGGCCCATTTCGCCGCTGGCTACGCTGGCTCCCCGAACACGCTGCCATTGACGACGAGTCCGCCATCGAAGAAGTCATTTATGCGATTGAGACTTGCAAGAGTGGGGATGCTGGAACAGGGGCTTGGGTAGGGCTTTTGGGGTTTAGTCAGGGGGCTAAGCTCGCGGCTAGTTTGTTGTATGAGCAGCAGGTGCGGCAAGAAAACACGGGGAGAGCGGATACGAGCTATAAGTTTGCGGTGCTGTTGGCGGGAAGACAGCCGTTGATGCGCTTCTCTGAATACTCGGTTGGGCCGGCGACTCTGGGGGCTGGAGAGATTAGTGAGGGCTTTAGGTATGAGGGGCCTAATGAGCATGTCTTGAAGCTACCGACGATTCATGTCCATGGACTTAATGATGCTGGACTGCATCTTCATAGGGATCTCATGAGGAAGTACTGTCATCCGGATAGTGTCACCCTTGTGGAGTGGGATGGAGCGCACCGCGTGCCGCTGAAAAAGACGGACGTCGACAGGATATGCACAGAGATATACAGGGTCGCAAAAGAGCAGGGTGTCCGGATTGATATGGAAGCAAGATCATCCATATGACAAGTCCTCTATATATATACATTTACAACTTTTGCAGCCTAGATTTATACTACACAAAGCAAGGCCTCATAGCTAACCATCATCATACGGCAGCCTGTAACTTCCTCTGAATGCTCGCGACAGTCTCTGGCGGTGTCGTCATACTAGCCATCAAGTACAAGACATTGCCCAACACACGCGAATGGATAGCATTCTCCGAGCTCGAGTCGTGAAGAAGCGTATCCCTCAATCCAGTCGCCGCAGTAGAGGTATACCCAGATCCAGCAGGATCCTTGAGCGAAATCGCCAGAACAGATCCAATAGCAAACACGCTCTCAACATTCGATCTGAGCGAAAGATCACGTATAAAGTCTTGCGACCACATGCTCCAGATCTTCTGCTCAGCATTATCTTCTTGTGTCCAGGCAGACTTGAACCTAGTCCATGTAGCGCCCTCGTCCATTTCTTTCATCGTCTTGAGGGAGTATTTGGCGATCTCGCAGCCGACCGCGTGAGCAGTGTAGCTATGGCCGTGAAGCAAAGCGTCAGATTTCTCAGGACTCAAGAAAGCTTCGAAAATGCTCTCGCTGGCAGTAGTGGTGCAAAGAGGCAGTAAACCACCAGTCAGCAACTTGGCGTGAACGGATATATCAGGCTGGACGTCGACGAAAGATGAACTGCTGAAACGACCGAGACGATATAGACCAGTGAACACTTCGTCAAAGACGACAGGGACACCCTTCCAGGAAAGTTCGTCGTCTGGTGTTGCTTCAGGTTTGCCATAGAGCTCTGGGTATTGTTCGCGGACGACCTTGGTCAACATATGTTGGAATAGGGGATCACTAAACAGCATGCCGCCAGCGCCTAGGATGACGGGTTCCATGATAAGAGCACCAAACTTCTTGCCTTCTGCAGTCAAGGCTTCAAGAGAAGTCTTGATGTAAGCCTCATAACGACCTGCGTCAGCCTTTCTACCGGAAAGCGCAAAGACGTCGTCCAAACTTGAGAAGGAGCGGGTAGCACCAAACTCTTCTTCCATGCCAGCAGGAGGCTCAACGATCCACTTGCCTTCCTTCATCTTGACAAGCGGAAAATCGAACCAGTGGCCACGGCCTGAGTACCACTCGACCTTCTTGTTGTATGTTGATGGCTCTGACATATCCATAGTGCCAATGGTGTCGCCGTGATAGCTACCCTTGAGACCGAGAATCAAGACTTCCTCATCCGAAGACCAATTATAGCGTTTGCTTGCAGCTTTGAGTGCCATCTTGACAGCGACTTCCATGCCAGTACTTCCGTTGTCGGTAAAGAAGACCTTTGAGAGGCGAGGATTACCGATGTTCTGCAGCAAAGTCTCAGAAAGAGATACAGCTGGCTCATGTGCAGCGCCTGCAAACATGACATGGCCATAGCGACCAGCAGCGTGTGCGGCAGTAAGTGCTAATGCAGGATTTCCGTGGCCCAAGCCCTGTGTCCACCATGATGCTGAGCCATCAAATGCAGGCTTAAGCTGATTACCTTCCTTCGAGCCAGAGACAGCAGAATTGTGTGTTTGGAAGTAGTCGCCGTAAGCAGAATCGATGGCCATGATGTTTTGCTCTGATCGCTCTGTGTGCTGCATGAAAGGATGCCAGATACTTTTATCAGCTCTCTTGGGCAAGGCTTGTAGGCTAGCGAGCCTCTGATCATGGGTGTGGAGGATATGCTTGATACATTGCTCCAAACTAGGCGATTCACTCGCAGATTCGTAGTACTGTTGCATAGCCTTTTGGTCCTCTGCTTGAGAGGAGTTGACCTCAGGAGGTGGTGGTAAGGAGAGAGTCAGAACTCCTCTTTCCTTGAAGTAGTCCTTAAGATAAGTGTGGTTGTCATATCTGGACTCTTCGAAGAGCAGAACAGAGTTTACGTCGTAGCCACGGACATGAAGTGATTCCCATGATGAGATGGTCGTGCCAATGCCACCCAGACGATGGTCACCCACGAGCAATGCGGGAAGTCTCAAAGGGCGGTATAGGTCTGCTTGTACATTTCCAGAAGGTGCCGGAGAGAGTACGCCACCGGCTGTCTCAACAACTGCTACAGCATCCTTTCCAGTAGCATAGCCCAGAAGTTCTTCGTAAACACGAGTCAGGATGCTTTGGTCATCGACTGGCTCTTTAGAGATCCTGGCAGCAATATGAGGGCTGACCGGGTCATCAAATTGAAGTAATGTCTTTGATGTTATATCTCTTGAGTATCTTGTTATATGGCTTTGCGCGAGTCAGCATTACGAGTCTGACCATCTCGATGCAAACACATACCGGTTATCCTGGTCATCGACCGGTCCTGTAGAGATCGGTTTCAAGTAATGTACATTGTAGTCCGGTAGCCTCTTTCGTAGAGCTTTGCAAAGTAATGTGCTGACAACTGTCTTTCCTACACCGGTATTGGCTCCGTAGACCTGTACAGCTCTGAGCCTCGGCCAGAGAACCGATCCGACTTGGCGCATACTAGGGATGTGTAAAGACCGTATGTAGCTTCGAGACGCTATAGAGACATGGATAGCAAGGAACTGAATGAACGGAAAAAGAAGACAACGACGATGGTTCACCTCGGTGTTCAATGGTCTAGCCCGAGAAGACGGCAGAGTTGGTGGGATATGCGCTAAGGAGCCCATGTCCGTCTTCGGCGTCTCGGCACCGTCGGAGAGCCCGTTCGGGGAACTGAGTGCCGATCGGACCAAGCTTATTTCAACTCTGAAGCCTCGTCGTCGCTCTGTTCTACCTCGATTTTGTTCATAATGGCAGCAGTGACCATCGTACGATACACCTGATGGGAATCTCGGACGTAGGAGATTGGGGTCGGGTCGTAACGAGGCATCAATGCTATGCGCCGAACATTGCACTATCATTGTATGAGTTCCCACGCAGCTCCAAATGTGCTGCCCTTAGCATCTTGTCTCGGAGATTATGACAGTCGCTTTTCGGCTACCTGCAAAGGCCATCAACGTTCCAGCTGTGCAAACAGTATGATGATAAATGACGTATGCCTGCCTTCTCTCTACTACAAATTGCGCATACGATAACTCCGTCCCAATGCTTCCGAACACCTATCGTCATGCGAAATCAAGCAAGAGCAGGCGCTTGTGTACTAGCAGCCAACTCCCTCTCAATCCTTAACTTTCTGATCTCTTCCTCTTCGCTACCACCAGCATCTCTAAATACGTGATCCATCTCTTCCAAGCTCCGGCCGTTTGTTTCGGGGACGAAGAAGAAGACCCAGACGCCGGAAAAGACACAGAAAACGGCAAAGAAGATGTAGGCGCCGTAGTTGTTTGTACCGGAGATGAGAGGCGGAGTTACGAGACCGATGATGCTGCGATTTTGTTAGTCAGCCTGCAGAGAAACGTCGAAGGAAACGGCTTACAAGTTGTTCAGCCAATTCGAACAGGTCGACAAAGCTACACCCTTCGCACGCAACGATGATGGAAAGATCTCAGAAGGTAACGCCCAAGGTACGGGTCCCCAACTGGCTCCAAATGACACCATATATAGGAGAAGGAAAGCTACAGCTGCCCATCCCATACCGCCATTCGCATCCCAGTCCTTTTGTCCTTCGCCCACGAGGCCAGCGATGATGATGTGAGAGGCTGCCATGAACAGACTGCCCCAGAGAAGCAGTGTACGACGGCCAAAGCGATCCATTGTCCAGATTGAGGTTGAACAACCGACCTAAAGATTGCATTCGTTAGTAGGCTTCAAGCAGAGCAGACAGGAGAACACTCACCAGTTGCATGATGTTGAGCACGCCAGACATAATCAATTGCATACCAGAGTCCAGACCCATGGTTGCGAACAGAGTAGGCGAGTAGTAGATCAGAGCGTTGATACCGACGAACTGCTGGAAAAACATGATTCCCACACCGACGTGAGTTCTGCGCCAGCACCCTTTCTTGAAAAGATCGGCCCACGAGGCAAGCTCGAGCTTGAAACGGCTGGTTCTTGTACCATCCTGCAGGGTCGGATGGCGTTCTTTGCTGATCTCTTTTACTAGTCTTGCTTCAGCACGAATATCGAACCATTCTTGTTGGACTCTAGCATCGGTGGCTGGTAAGCGACGTAGTTGTGTAAGTGCAACCAGTGCTTCTTCGTCTCGGCCTTTGCTACCCAGCCAGCGAGGGGAAAATGGAAGGAAGACGATGCCGACACCGAGAACAAGACCGGGTAGAATTTGCAGAAGGAAAGGGAGTCTCCAGCTCCACTCTGTGTCCATGTATCGTGTACCATACGTGATCCAGAACGCTACTACGATACCAACAATGATGCTGAACTCTTCCAAGACCAGTAATGTTCCTCTAATCTCTGGAGGCGAGATCTCTGAGATGTACATGGGTGCGACAGCAGAGAGTCTGGATGTATTAGAATTATTCACATCATGAAAAATGCTTTGTTGGGACTTACGATCCGATGCCTATTCCTCCGATCAGTCGTGCCACAATGAGCATGTCGTAGTTGACTGAGGCGGTCTGCAAGGCGGAGCCGATGACGAATATCACGACTGCAATGACGATGCAGTACTTTCGCGAGTACTTGTCTGCGACCCAACCAGTGTTGAGTGCACCAAACAATGCTCCGAGTTCGATCATCGCGGTAAGAAGACCTTTGTTGAAGCTCGCACCGCCAGATCCAGGGGCAATCTCATGGAATCGTTCTAAGAAGTCATCCATCGTGAGAGTGACTGATACAACACCTTGATCATAACCGAACAGCAGGCCTCCCATGGCCGAGAAGGCGGCGCACAGTGCTACATAGCTGTTGCCAAAGATGCCAGCGATACCTGAATAGTGTCAGTTCAGGAGTGTTCAACGCCAGATAGGAGTGCTACTGACCAGCAGGGCCGTAGGCTCCACGAGCATCATGAGTGATGACAAGGTCATTCTTCTGAACGTCAATGTCGTCGATGTGTTTTGTATCAATCTTGTGGTCGTCCATGATGAATGATATGAATGTTCTGATGTCTTGACACAACTTAGTGAAAAGGGACGAGACCTTAATATTCATGCCTAGTGGCGCAAATGATTGAATTTAAGATAGAAGCAGTCAGAAGCCGACGCTGCAGTAGGTCATGCTGCGGTCCGTCAATGTCCGTTCGTCGAGGTGTCTAGGATGTTCCACGACCGAGTTGAGAGACCCATAGAGCCAATGAGAGCCGCCACAGATCGAGCCCTGACCAGGAATGAGGACACCGGCAGGATTATCGTCCCCAAACTTACCCCAGCGTGAAAGTATGGAGTGGAGATCTGCAGTTGCTAGAAAGTCGGGGTTTGATGTGGAGAAATATAGGGCTCAGTGGTACAGATGTATCCTTGGCCTCCTGCGTCACAACCGTTTAGTACCTCAGAACGTCCGTGGTAACTGCTAACATTACTGTAATATCTTTGAGTTTGCGTCCTAGAGATCGAAAACTGTTCTCATATGTCGGAACCGTGTTGGAAGAAAGTTTTTCCAGCACGGTGCGATATTTTGGCGCAATCATGGCAGGGGCAGTTTCGGAGCCAGCTAGAAGTTGAAGCCACCAGAAGAAGTGCTGTTGTCTAATTTGCTCGTACCTAGGGATCTCGGTGAACCTTTGACGTCTTCTCAACATATCACTCGTTGGTGTTGACTCGAGGCATCATCGTTCATGTTGTCGGAATATCGATGGGCCGCGTAGAAGCACCGAAGTAGGGCCTGTACACGAAGCACACGCAGAGGTTCTTGTCGTGCATGGACGAGCATCCTTACCATAAACAACTCGAGGTTGAACGTCGACCAGTCACCTGCAGCTATATCAGTTGCCGACTATCGGAATTACATCCCGGAGGATTCAGTGGCATCCGCATTTCCCCTCTCAAGAGGCTCCGCGTCATCTTGGGAGATCGTCACATGCCCCACAGACCTTTCCAGACGCGTGCTGGTCAGGACGCGATATCAATCCTCATGGCCCAGACGAAGCAACAACGAAGTGACACTGATTTGTTTGTTTCAAAATATTCCCACGACCAGAAGCTGGTGTCGTCTCAACGTCTGACGGCAAGCATACTTCTGACTTTGGTTGACCAGAGAGTGTCTGCACGCTGAGTCAAAACCTTGCGCCGAGGAGTAAGGACGTTCGGCCGACGAAATCCGTGAGCGAAGTGCATGCTCATCAAATTCGGCAATTATTTCTCCGAGCATCGTTCCCGACATCAAGACTACACTTGCTGTACTGGCTCATCTCGGTTACAGCAGAGACCAAACTCAGTCATCATTCTGCTCAACACGGATTCATGGTATCGTCTGACTACACAGCCACTTTGCGAGCAGAGCTTCCGAACTTCCCAATGCTTCCATTCTCACCGTTCTGCAAGAACTCTACAGGATGTTGATGATCCTCTACAAACCCGACGCCTCCGACAGACTTATAGTAACCTGCCAACCTGAGAATGTCCTCCGGAAGCTTGCGGGCAATTTCCAGGGGGGTGGATAGTACTTCTTCTTGATCCTGGCGGTAGTAATCTCTTTGGCTGCAAGTCGTGTGTCAGCAAGGTGTCCTATGTATGCGGCAGAGCGCACACAGCCTTACCCGAAGACCGCGAAAAGAGTTCGTAGAGCGTCGGGATCGTCCTTTCCACATCTGTTCTCTCCAGCACCGTGGTATGTCGCTGGGAGCAGGCCAAGTCAGCAAGCAGCGTCGATTCCAGTCAAGTATCAAACTTACATCCCAGTGTGAACAAGGCCGAACCAGGATCCATCTCGGCATATGTCACCTCTTCCAAGTTTGGTGCACGATCAACACCCCACAAGTGGCTTCCTGGTATGACAGCTGTTGCCTTAAATTGCCAACGTCAGCGCCTGTTAATCAGGTGTCAATTCCTGGACTACTCACCCCATTCTTGTAAGTGCACTTCGAGCCGGCAATCAGACATCCCATCATAGGTGTAAAAAGGGGATTGTTTGGATCAGGTCGAACCTGGAACGCTATTTGGTCCTACGAAAATCATCAGCCAGAAGGAACCGATTCGTATTATCATCATCCTCATCGACCCACCCGATGCAATGGCTGAGGTTGAGCGCCCGGTACAAGACGAAGCGCTGCTGTAGAGGCAAGCATATATCCGCTCTTCTGTGCTAAGCGATTCTGTCCAGTGAACGAAGTGAATTCATCGTTCAGAAAGTGGGCCATGACTTGCTGCCAGACGGGCAGACGAACAATCTTGATCAAAGGGTCTGTCATCTTGGAAAGCAGGCCCTGTTTGAGTTGTGAGCACTGAACGGCAGTCATGTCGTATGATGAATATTACATATACTCTTTGAGACCCTTCTGGGAAGAAGTCTGCACCAAGCTCGCCATGACTACCCTTGGAGTCGTATATTCCGCGCCCGGAGAAACTGGGCTCGACTGCCAACGTCATCAATGTTGAGTATGTTGAGCTCAATGCTCGGACGAGGTACTTACTAGCACGCATCGCTTCTTCGAGAAGCTCCTTCGATAGAAGATTGGTGACAATGACTCCTCCATCTCGCTCAATGGCACTTAGAATATTCTCCACCGGCTCAGAAGCATCGATACGAGCAAGAGATGATACCATGGTGGAGAAGTTGATTGTCGTTTTGCTCTTGAAGTTGACTATGGTTCCAGCTGATCAATGGAATGCTCTCACACTTAAAGATAGAGCAAGTCCTCATTTCATGGTCGCAAGTAGCCGTGAGTCATCGGAACTCGACTGCCTTTGCTGCGGCAGGCCTGTTCAGCCTTATCAGTTCAGTGCCCAACATTTCCTACTGAGGCCTCTATCTGCACATCCAGCAGGCCCAGGTTTCGTTATCAGCACCTTGTAAACCCCGCGTCTCAGTCTCCACTTCCCATCACCTTGCCCCTCTGCTTGGCGATCGATTAATAGCCATACTTTGCGGACTCGGCCGAGTTATCAAGACGTCAATCTAGTGTCTGATCGCAACTCCTACTTGTGCCTATCTTACGTTGGGTTAATATTCTATAGATACCGTGCCACTGCGCTATCTGGAGGCACATCTGCATCAGATGTCAATCCTCCAAGGATTCCCAGAGATGTATCTTGCCTATCTATGAATGAGCAGATAACCAGAGGAATAGACTCATCCAATGGTCCAATGGCAGTGCGATGTGCTGATCGCTCATATCTTTCGACTGATACGATTTTCTCAATCACTTGTTTACCTTGATCTCTCGAAATTGGGAGGAACAGATAGGCCGAGTATGGCCATATTACGCCATGGCAAAGCCTGCAACAGCTTCACGTGCCCATTGCGCGAGATACTGTCAAAGAAGTAGAAAATGACGAGGCGGGTCCGTCACCTTGTCAGATAATCGCGACTTGCTCGATGGCGACAACGCAAAAAACATGCCCGACTCTTATATCCCAAAGCTTCTCGGAAAACATGTCCAACCGCCGAGTCCGAAAGTGTCAATCGAAGTTGGGCAGATCATCGTGGTAAGGGATCCCTACGTTTATGATCGATAGCAGAGCCTGACTATATAGGCCGGCGAGAATCAGGGTGCATATTTCGATACCAGGCTGAAAGAGGCTGTGAATCATCGAAGACTTGGTTCTAGACAACTTCAATTGACTGCAATCGCTGGATCGATCGGAGCGTAGGTTGATTCGACGACTACCAAACATAAGGACGAAGCATTGACAACGAACATAGTTCGCTTTTCGTTGGCATCGGTAGCGGTGTTTCCTCTGGTCCGGTGTGCTTGCTTCTCGCCTTCATCTTTTGGGTAACGGTAGTCTTCTCTATCGCACAATGTCAGGCTGAGATTGTCACACTATTCCCGCTGGACGGCTCCTTCGTCCGCCTGGCTAGTCGTATGGTTGATCCCGCTCTGGGTGTGACGGCCGGCTGGAATCTCTTCTTTTCGCAAACCTCATATGTGGTCTTCGAAGCCACTATAATCAACACTCTTGTGGAATACTGGGGGTATGACCAGTCTCCAGCCATCCTGATCTCGGTTTCTTTAATTCTGTATCTGGCTCTCAATGTATATCGAGCTGAGATTTTTGGCGAAGCTGAGTTTTGGCTGTCGCTATTCAAGATTCTGCTGGCGACTGGGCTCATTTTTTACACCTTGACCGTGATGCTGGGTGGTAATCCGGCGAACGAGTAAGTCTCGCATGTTCCTTGTCTTGTTGTGCAGCCGATTATCTGACAAATTCTGCAGCCGGTTCGGCTTCCGATATTACAAAGAACCAGGGCCATGGGTCGGCAGGACCCCGACCACCCGATTAGAGTCTTTCATCAACGCTGTCAACGTCGCTGGCTTTGTTGTCGCCGGACCAGACTATATCTCGATGGTCGCTGGTGAAACCAAAGATCCACGACGTACGATCCCTAGGGCGTTTGACACAATCATAACTCGCTTGATTGTCTTCTTTATCGGTGGTGCTCTCTGCGTAGGCATCTTGGTACCTTCAAACGACCCTGCTCTGACCAATGGTTCCGATGACTACGCAGAAGCTTCCCCATATGTCATCTCGATGCAAAGGCTCAACATACCTGTCTTACCATCTGTGGTTAACGCAGCATTGATTACCAGTATACTATCAGCTGGCAATGCGTATACCTTCAATGCGTCTCGAAGCTTGCATGCCCTTGCCCTGGAAGGTCAAGCTCCAGCGTTCCTACGCAAGTTGAATAAAAAAAGGCGTGCCGTATATGGCTGTGATAATGGTCATGCTGTTGTCGTGCCTTGCCTTTCTCGCTCTCGGTTCGGGTAGTAGTCAAGTCTTGAACTGGATATTGAACTTCAATACAGCCGCTACGATGTTGAATTGGGTCGTCATGTCTGCTACATGGATTCGGTTCGACGCAGCAATAAAGGCCCAGAAGATTGATCGACACGTGTATTTGCCTACTATTTCGCGGTATCAGCCCTACGCCGGTTACTGGGCTTTCTTCTGGGCGTCAATCTTTCTTTGGATCCAAGGGTATGCAGTGTTTCTGAAAGGCAATTGGGATGTCGCCACTTTCGTTTTCAACTACGGTATCATTGCTTTGGCTGGTGGTATGGTCTGGTGTGGCAGGTTGTCAAAGGCACTCGCTTCCATCGCCGTGGAGTGGTCGATCTTGTATCTGACCGCGACTTCTTTGACGCTTTGACAGAACATTATCGGATCGAGCGAGAGGTTGGCGGAAGTGGGACTAGCACGGTCACAGGCCGCATCATGGCGAAGCTATTCTAGAATTTCGAGGTTGGTCAATAGCTATTTGACAATAAGCAGCTTCTGTAAGCTCATTATTCTACGCAACCAATGTGTGTGTTGGATTCAAAGATAGTGCGACAACCGAGGTGAAGACAGGAACACGACTTCAAGATACAGATTTTCTGCCTTGGTCAGAATGTCCATGATGACAAGTGGGCAGGGTGCGGGTCGAGACAGGCAAGCAGAGATGCCAAGAGAAAGACTCTTTGCGTTGCCGCCACAACGCCAGCTCCAACCTTGATTTCGCTGCACCAGCCACCTCCTAGCAAACCAATCCCACCTCCAGCACCGAATATCTACTTCAATCGCCCAGATATCTCAGAATCAACATCGTAATGCAGTATTGAGTTATATTCGACATGTTCAACTACGAGATTGGGACTCCCTGTCCGGCACCGATTGACGGTGGGCGCGAAAACGCGTCGCCGTTTGTAAACAAAAACAAAAGCATTTTCGACGATGCCTTCGACCAGTTCAACGACAATACCACCCAGAACATTGCACATATGGTGCAGCAGGAATTCAAGAATGCACCGCCTCGTAGGACCCAGAGTTTGGCAAGAAAACCTAGGCGTGCTCCCACCACTATTTTCGAGGATGCCGACTGCAGCCATCGCGAGTCATACCAACGCGATGAGCCTGCCAGAATGATGAGAAGTAGTGCAATTCATGCCAGACCAGCTCAGAGAATTCGCATCCAGACTTCTAGAGAGGATAAGCCGGCCCCGCTTCCAACAAGCAGCAGTAGCGATATTGCAAACTTCAAGCCTACCATCAGCACCAGCAAGCCTGTAAAGGAAGACAGAAGACGAACGATCTGGATCCCGGAAGACACAACCCTACTTTCTATTCATCCAGGAGCATACGATCACACACTCCGTGACGAGACGGTTGGTCTGCCTTCAAACAATCTGGATATCACCCCCTTGAAGGAGACTCCTCAGACTGTTCGACTAGGAGCTAGTGCTATGCGGCAAGCTCAGAAGATGGCATCTGCCTCAAAACGTAGTGCACTCAAATCTCTCTCACCAGCTCAGCCCAATGTTTCGCACCATGTCATGGGCACCGGTGGCGGCAAGGAGAACACGCTTCCTGGTGCTTTGCTCGCAAGAAATGGCAAGAGTGAAAAGCTCATGGCAAGACCAGGCCGGGTTGCCCCTCTAGGCACGAGTAATTCACAGTCGGCTATGCAACAGTCGACAATTGGCCCGGCAAAGACGACAAGCATTAAGAAGCGACCTGCACCTGAGCTGAAAGACGCACCAAAGCCAAAGGTTCAAGCGAGAGCCCTCCATGAACGATCGAGCGTCCGTAAGGAAGTCTTGCCCAAAGCCACTGTCTTGGACCCATCCTCCAGAGGTTTCAAGCAAAAACCGATGCCAGCCTCGAAGACAGTCAGTAAGCCACCAATGCCCAAGCCTGTGTCAGTGACTCCCACATCAAGAGACATCAGCATCCCGAACGTGAAACGTTCCGTCTTCCTTGCTGCATCGCGTTATCCAGTCTTGAGTGATGACCTGGGTCAACCCGAGCTCTACGAAGACAACTGGCTCCAGAACCAAGAGACAGCCTTGACGCAGCTCGTGAATCTGGTCTTTCAACAGGCGCACGAGTCTCCTGCCATCGGTGGCGTGAGCGGTCTTCGCAGTCCAATGTTAGTACTTTACCAGAACCAGTCAGTAGCTACTCTTCACCAGCGTCTGAAAGCGTCTCTTGCATGTGGTGCACTCAGTATGCCCAAAGACGCCTCTCATTCACCGAAACTCAGAGATGATATTGGTCTTCGCCGTCAGTTCTTCGATCTGTTCGGCAACACTTACGATGCGGAAGCTCTGCAGGCTGCTGCCGAGGTGGTGGTGGGTCGAGTCATCACGCCCACCATTGTCACGCAGCCACGGACAGGCACATCATCCTCGACTGGTGTCAAAGAATGGAAGCGTTTCTGTTCGACGTTCTTCGTCGACCACGAAGACTCTACCGAATTATTGAAGTCTCGAATTTCCGACTCTCCTGATGATAATGCGATTCAACTTGGTACACCCGAGTGGTTCTGGCAAAGAACTGTCCTTCGGGGTCTTATGCTCATTCATCTTCTCGATCAGACGAAAGTTACAGATACCTTGTCCAGTCGTCTGTTTCAAGCATCTTCGCCCCATAAGTCCTCTCTTAGCGTACTACGCGCGTTCGCAAAGCTTATGGTGCCGTCTGTCGGAGACATCTGCCGTCCTCTTGGACATCTTGGATACAACGTCCGCCACATACAGCAACCTTTGGAAGAATACACGTACCGCATCGATAACCTCGCTGTCGATCTCCGCGACGGTGTCTTGCTCACACGTTTTGTTGAACTTCTGCTATACCCCTCAGAGAATCTCAAGAACCAGTCTGAACGTACTGTGACTTTTGGTCTCCCGGATGGCGTGAAATTGGTCAGCTCCTTGGATAACAACGAGTCTGCTCATATACTGAGTCAGCACCTTAAGTTCCCCTGCATCAGCAAAATCCAAAAGGTGCACAACGTGCAGATCGCACTGAGCGCCTTGGCTGGAGTTCGTGGTCTTGCTGGCACCGCTATCGAGACTATAAAAGCCGATGATATCGTCAATGGTCATAGAGAGAAAACTCTGAGCCTACTGTGGGCATTGGTCAGTAAATGGGGACTTGGCTTCTTGGTTGACTGGGACGAACTCAAGAAGGAGACGCTGAGCTTATCTAAGCACTCGAGTGCTGGAATCAACTACGCCCTTAGTGTTGAGCAGCCCGAGTCGAATGAGCAAGGTCCTCTGCTCAAAGAATGGGCTGCGAGTGTGTGCCAACACCATAAAGTCATCGTGACCAACCTCACCACTTCGTTTGCTGACGGTCGCGCGCTTGCAGCGATTACGTCCACCTATGCTGAGTATGTACCGGCCACACGGAAGAAGTCGTCGTCGTCCAAATTATCGACTGCCGACAGACTGCGCAGTCTCGGATGTAGCGAGGCCTTCATTACACTCTTCGCCTCACAGGGCACCACGATCCCGAGCCGCAGTAACACGATTGCGCTCCTTGCTTTCCTAGCTTCTCGCCTTTTGCCTCTTGCGCGCACACATAGAGCCGCTTGCACCATCCAGAACGCCTACCGTATTCGTCTTGCTCGTCGCAACATCTCTCTCCGTATCCAGAAGATGAGGACTGCGGCCAATTGTGCTCAGGCAGCAGCCAACAAACAGAAAGAGGTCGATGCAGCAGTCACATTGCAGAGGGCCTGGCGCGCAGTATTGGACCGTCGTATCGAGAGTCTGGAGAGAGATGTATCGGCTTTCCAGTCTTTAGCAAGAGGATGGGCCATCAGGAGAGCCACGGCGGGTATTTTAGGAAGTGGTTCAGGAAGAAGAATTATGGGTGGGTGGTGATTTGAGGATACTTGTAAGATGACATCGGGATGGAGAAGCATTTTGACCAGTCGGCTTGTCTCGACTTTGGTGTTGCTTGAAGCATTTGGTGTTGGATTACTTTTTCTATTTCTTTTGGCTGTTGTTTTGTTTTATTATACCGCTTTTCACGACTTTATGAACACTTTTCAGCATCATCATCCTTCTTTCAATAATCGTACTCGTGATCGTACTTGTTGATCGCAAGGCTCGCCAACTCGAGCACAATGGTAGGCTTCAAGGCATACTCACGAGGAAAGAACAAACGAGACCAGCAGCGGACTCAGCGGAGCATGAGAAGCGGGCGGCGAACGGGTGGAGGTGTCTCCCGAGGTCAGCTTTTCGAAAGGGCTCCAGCCCTTGCCCGTCTCACAAGCTTTTGGGAACCACACCCGTCGCCCACGTTTTCCCTCATCTCAACCATCAAGGTTTCCGAGCGAGAGGACAGTGCTTGATTATACATTTTTTTTCCCCCGTCGCCTTGATGTGCGAACGGTGAGGATGTCGTGATTGCGACACACTGGCTTCATGGTGTTTTTGGAGTGCTCATCTCTGGTGAGCTGTACAAGAGAGACGCTCAGAGTGGTCTGCGGTGAGCCCCGTTATCTTTTCTTTGCGACGCAAGCCACAAACCTCAAAGCCTTGCAGAGGCCAGAGGCGGGGGGGCGCGGCACATGCACTTTTGACCCGACAAGAGTCAATCCAAGATATCGATGAGGCTTAAAAGCACTAGCTTGATTTTTTCCTTAACACGCTCTTCTAAGCAGAAAACGGTAACTAGAGCATCTGTTCGTTTCTGCCCTGTCAGAGGCTCTGGTCAACAAGCCACATCTTTTGCTAGCACGTCGAAGCACGCCATCTATATCGGTTGCCATAGGTTGCTTGATTGCTTGTGAAATCTTATCGTTTTGGCTCAATGTATACTTATCTCAAATACCTTTGAGGAGGAAGGGACGGAAAGGTGAAATGGTGCTTTTTGGTATAAGTGTCGTGTTTCCCGTGTGTGCTCCTTCAGCCTTGTAGATCCGTTCTTTTCGTTCCTTCTCTTGCATCTCTATTCTAGAGTAAATCTTCTCTTGCAGATCGGAGAAGATGTCCATGTTCAATACACACAACGACCTCAGTGTCGAGGAGAAGCAGGTATACGATGCCACTGTGCAAGATGTGCCCAGCGATGGTGCCTCCTCAATCGACACCATCACTGCTCTTGTAAACGAAGGTAACGACCCAATCCTATCCCAAAAAAGAAAAGCCTCTATGCCCAAATTCCTATACCAACATTTTACTCCTCCCAGACCACGCACACGAAATCCAACTCCGAACCATGTCATGGCAAAAAGCAGCCTGGCTCCTCTGCGGCGACCAAGTCTGTCTAGCCATCATGGCACAATCCTGGTCCTTGTCAGTTCTCGGCTGGGTCCCCGGAATCATCACCATGCTCATCGCTGGAATCCTCTTTTACATCACAAGTCTCACCATGCACAAATTCATCATGAAGAACCCACACATCAAAGACATTTGCGACTTTGGCTACGAGATCTTTGGGAAGTCGAGGATTGCTTATGAGTTTACTGGATTCATGCTGTGAGTTAATTTTGCTGGCTTGAGGGGGGGAGAAAAAGAAAAGGGTAGCAAAAATGCTGACTTTTTGAGTATAGTTTGGCCAACAATATCCTTCTTATTGGTTTCCACGTCCTTACAGGAGCAAAGATTTTGAACACACTAAGTGATCACAGTATGTGTACTGTAATCTTCAGTGTCATTGTCACAATCATGGGAGTCATCATGTCGGTGCCTCGTACACTTAAACATGTCTCTTTTATGAGTATGTTTAGTGCTTCGTGCATGGGTATTGCTATCCTCCTCTTCTTGGTCTTTGTGGGCATTGAAGATGCACCTGGGTACGGGTATTCTGGTGTTTACCCCAAGGCTGGCCCTGTCAAGACTTATGCTTTCCCGCCTGCTGGTACCACTTGGGTTGCTTGTATGAATGCTGTGTTGAGTAAGTTGCTACCTTTGCATGGATGTCGAAAATCCGACGAGGAGAAGATGGTTGCTGATGTGATTTACAGACATCACTTTCCTCTGGGTACCTCAAATCCTCTTCCCAAGTTTCATCGCCGAGATGGAGAGGCCTCAGGATTTCCCCAAGGCTTTGACTGTTCTGGCTGGTATCTCTGGATTCTTGTTCATCGTTCCCCCTGCCATCGGCTTCAGATATCTCGGTCAATACGCCACTGCACCTGCATTTGGAAGTCTTGGAGTCGTAGCTTACAAGAAGGCATCATTCGCTTTCGTCATTGTACCCACTCTGGTCATTGGTGTGGTAAGTTGACTATCTTGACGTTTTGACGTGCCGAAAGCATTTGCTGACAATGGAACTACAGATCTACGCCAATGTCTCTGCCAAATTCGTCTACTTCCGCATCATGGGCAAGTCGCGCCATGCCCACAGCAACACCGTCATCGGCTGGGGTGTCTGGGTGCTCGTCATGATCGGCATCTGGCTCATCGCCTTTATCTTCTCCGAGATTGTGCCCAGCATGGGTGATTTCTTGTCACTGTTGGGTGCTGCTTTTGACTCTTTCTTCGGCTTCATCTTCTTTGCCGTTGCATACTGGCAGATGTACAGTGGGAAGCTGTTCAGCAGTGCTTCGAGAAGCGTCATGACTGTTGTTCATGTGTTTGTCATGATCTGCGGATTGTTCCTCTTGGGACCTGGCTTGTATGCTGCTGTCGAGGCCATCATTGATGATTATGCCGGCAGCACTCGGCCTGCGTTTGCGTGTGCCAACCTGTCAATCTAGAACAGGATCGATGCTGGGTATCAAAGCCGCGTTTTTGGGCAAGGTCCGGGATAGCAGGATGTGTAGATGTTTTCCAATCTTTGACTTCCTTCTTCTTCTCTTCAGTCTGCTCCTTTTCTCATGAGTCTGACGATGCACAACTTTTCCCATCCAGCCTTTTTGCCCGAGCTTCCGACAGTCTCTGCTTCCCAGCCGCCAGGCCATTGTCTTATCCTGCTCTTGATATCTTCGGGCTTGTTCTGGGCGCAGAAAAGGACATATGCAACGCCCCGTTGACTCAAGACACGCGGCACCTCATCGAGCAGACGATCTGTGACCTCCATACCATCTACACCACCAGCATAGCTCAGAGCAAGCAAATGCGAGTCACGATCGAAAGCCTCACTCGAAGACAGTCCATCAGCAGTATTGTATCGGGCATGCAAGCTCAGATCTGGCAACTCGGCAGGGACATAAGGTGGGTTGAACACCAAAACATCCACCTCGCCATCTTTCAGAGCAGAAGTGAGGTCCGCATTGGCGACAGTCAAGAAGGGCGCATCTTGTTTGTCGCAAGCCTTCTGCACAGTCGTGGATGCAGCAACACAAGCCCTTCTGTTGAGATCTGTGCCTAGCGTGCAGATAGAGCGATCGAAGATGGTTTTGCTGTTTGCAGCAAGGAATGCGAGAACGACACCACTGCCAGTGCCGACCTCGACGACTAGTGGAGCATGACCAGATCGGAAGTGCGAGTGTAGGAAAGATGTCTCGGTGGACGAGGATAGGGTATCGAGGAGGAGATACGAGTCTTCGGCGGGTTCATAGATCTGATCGTAGTCGACATGCGACGTGTCCGGCGTGGGCAGCATCCTTCAAATCTCTGTATGTCGCGCAAAGGATGAATTGGCATGGATACCCAGCTTCGGGGGTGTCTGCGGAGAGTTTTGCGATCGGCGAAAGCCGCCGAGGCAGGCTTCAGTGACGCAACCACTCTCCCAGCTGCAGCTGTCAATTGAAACTATTGCAATTGTCGACATCTTTTGAGCAAGGAGATATATCCACAATCATGCGTCCAGCTTCACGTCTTCTAGCAAGAGCCAGTACTGTAGGTACGCCATCCGGCGGCCTCGGTGTCGTCCCGCACGCCCTTCTACCACCGATCCCGCTCTACCGTCGCCTACTCCGTGGACACCGCAAGCACCTGCCGCCAGAGATGCGCGTACTGGGGGACGAATACATCAAGAGCGAGTTCAGGGCACACAGAGGTGTCGACAACCCAATTCACATCGTAAGCCGATACCAGAGGGAGAAGCCGTGGCACGAGAAAGAGCGATGGCACTGACACAGAGGATAGATTGGCTTCCTCACAGAATGGCAAGGCTATGCGCAACAGATTGAGGGCGAGAAATGGAGAGGAGAGAAGATGGACAAAGCAAAAATTGACAAGATGAGTGGTGTGTATTCTGTTCTGCCCCAGCATTGAGCAACGCGGTGATTGTGTACTGACTGCCCTCGCAGACGAACAAATCGCCCAGATGTACGAGCTCATGCAGGCCATCAGAAAGCAAGAGCTGGAAGAGAATGATCCAGAGTTTGACGCCGCCACTGGACATAATCCCCCGAAACAAAACTAGAACAAGAACACTAATGATACCCCTGTTGATAACCTCGACATCCTGACGTGGACGCGTATTACAGTGTTTGCTTATCCTTGTGCTATGCCGTAGATCGCATGCTGCAATGCTGAATGTAGCCTGCTTCAGTCACGTCCGCGTGCTTCGTGTCCCGTGGAAAAGGGAGTTGAAGATGGAAGAGTCTATACCCGAAAACAGATGGCGGTCTCAGAGCTCTTCCTCTTCCCTTGGACCAACCTTTGACTTCAAGCACTCTTTTCTACCCGATCTCCAAGCCTTGTCCCATACCTCGACCTTACCGCCTAGCAGTTGAGTGCTGTTGGGATCAAGCAAGATGACGCCACGCGCGATGGTCATGTTCTTCAAGATGAGCTTTGCACCAATGCCCAGATTCAAGTCGATGCCATCAACGTCAGTAACTTCGAAGCCGTAGATCTTTGTTCCCTTCGCATCCTGCAGGAGTAGCTTGTGAGGACCGCTGCTCTTGGGAATGGGCAATGTGCCATCTCGGAGCGGATCTGCTTCTTCGCCAGGCACGACACGGATGACTTCTCTGCCTTTTGTAGTCTCACCGCGTTCTTGAGCTTCAATGGCTTCGACTTGGCTCCAAGCGCTGCGGCCTATATCTTCAATGTCCAGGACCTGGAGTGGAACAGCATCCGGTACGCGGATTTCCTTGACGGTCGGATTGAGGGCGTTTGGCGGAAGTGTGTTTGTGGAAGTGGCCTTGATAGATGACGTGAGATCCGAAGCGAGTATGCGGAATAGAGCCGTCTTTTGCAACGCCGGCGTGGGAAGTCCTTGACGACTGGAAGTGACAAAAGAATCAATCCATGCTGGTGTAGCGGATAGCCCTTTTGAGTCTAGGAAAGTCTTGATAGCCGACTGAGCCATGATGGGAGTGTTGTGTTGAAAACCCCCCCAGCATGGAAGACGATGCTGGTTAGTGCCAGAGCTGGCGTGTTGGCGTATAACAGATGCGGTTACTCCACAAGGTACAGCGGAAAGCCAAGTCAGCTCTGAGGTCCACGACTGGCGGACCGACGGGCCAGCTGAGAAATCGAAACGACTTTTGATGTTTTAGAGCGTTTGGCTAATTGATCAGGGACATGCGGCGGTGGGTGATCTCCTGGTCATGGAGTCACGCGCACCGGCCATCTCCGCGAAACATGGGGATGCATGATGGCGCTGGGCATGATTTGATCGTCCTTCTCGCGTCTTGCAATTGCAACTATCAACTAACTCCTCACCTGGTCGACTCAGCAGGTGCCCTGCCTGTTTCCTGAGTGTCCCTTATCCCCTATCCACCTGTGAAGCATCATCTGCACCGTCGTCAGAACCGTCCGCGACTCAACCAACCTCATCTCGACAGCCCGTATCCACCGCAAAGAGCCCCGCCATCTCTCCTAAAACAACTCACAAAACCTTTTTCGACCATGGCTGACTTCATGGTCAACCTCTGGGAGGGCGTCTTTACCCCCGGAGCCACTCCTGCCCTCTTGCTGGCCACCAACATCACATTTGCTGCCCTTCAGCTCACCCTTGCCGGTCTCCTCGCCGCTACCTACAGCATCCACTTTGTCATTCTGAGCTTTTTGTGTGGTGGCCTCTGGTGGGCTATCAACTGGTTTGCCTATGAGTTACAGCAGGCTCAGCAAAAGGAGGCCGAGGCGGATCGTATCAGAAAGTCCAGGTCGGGAGGCAGAACGCCCAAGAAGTCCGGCTCAACATCTGGAGGAGATATCGCCGACGACGAAGCCACAGAAGCCGAAGTCGAGACTGCCGCTGGTGTCAAGCTTAAGGTCTCGCACGCCGAGCTCGACTTCACCCCTTCGCAGGAAGACGAGCGCATCAAATCGCAAATTCTCAACGACTTCAAGAGCGGCACGGCTTCTAGCACATCAGCTGGTACGACTGCTTTACAGCCCTCGGGAGGAGAGAGCAGACAACGCAAGGGTCCCAGCGATATGAGTGCTTCGTCCAACGAGTTTGGTACCGACAGCGAATGGATCAAGGTTGACGAGGAATGATTGGTTTACTTGTTGCATTTTGGCATGGGTGGATTACGACTGGAGTTTTGGTCTTTTTGCATACCTGAATATACCCACCTCGAGAGCAATCGCATGAGCAGGATAATACAACACCCTGTCATCTTACTACTTTTGGCTCCTCAATACTGAATTGACAAGTCTTCTCGGTATGCACTGCGGTCTTCTCTTTCGCTCTACACTCAGATAGCATCTCCGTATCACAACATCCGGTTACGAGGGGATTGAACCCACCATGCCAGTAATATCAGAAACCCGCCTCTATCAATAGTGATCCTGAATTTCATACTTGAGTATTGCGTAGTACCTTGATGGCGCCTGACCGGCCATGGAATTCATCATTATCGCACGTGACTGCCACTTGGAGCGACGCCAAGCACTCGATTGGGGAAGGAGCGTTACAGCGCAAGATGCCGAGTTGAGAACGAGTCCGAAGGTGAGCGACAGCAAGCTCAAGAAGCATCTCACCTTGTCCATAATACCCTCACAACAAGCGCGCATTTCTTAATTGAACCACTGCGCCCAACATGAAGCTCGTCAGGTGAGCCTACACCAAGCCGTCGACCATGGCTGCGCATGCTGCAAATGTCGCGACACAGCTAACGACCATCCTAGGTTTTTGATGAAGTGCCAGAACGAGACCGTCACCATCGAGCTCAAGAATGGTATGTGTTCTTGCAGCGCGCATCCTCTGTGTCCTCACTAACACATCGCTCTAGGCACAATTGTCCATGGAACCATCGCATCAATCTCCCCACAAATGAACACAGCACTGCGAACAGTCAAGATGACCCCCAAGGGTCGCGACACCATCAGTCTGGACACCATGAACATCCGCGGCGCAACCATTCGTTACTACATTCTGCCCGACTCGCTACCCCTGGACACCCTGTTGATTGACGACGCCCCCAAGCCCAAGAACAAGGCCCGCAAGGAAGCTGCAGACAGAGGTGCTCGTGGTGCAAGAGGTGGCGGTAGAGGACGCGGCATGGGCGGTGGTGGTGGTCGCGGCGGCGGTGGCGGCCGCGGAAGAGGCCGTGGTGGCAGAGGCTTCTGATCAACTCGCGCTTTAGAGCCGGATCAGAAATAATCAATGTTTGGACGCGACATCGACCCAAGGATATTTGTCTTGGAAGAGAGAAATGGCCAAAATGCCAACAGCACCATCAGTCATGTCCAACATGCGCATGAACAGGAGAATACCACTGGGCGTATCTAGGGTCAAGCTACGCTTTGTCCTTTTCAACACCACAACTGGCACCTGATGGGGCCTTGACGAGGAACTGCCCAACCGTTGAATATTCAAGGTTGTTGCTTTCCTTATTTTATGAGCTTCAGAAAAAGAAATGCAATCTCACTTTACGATCAAATCCTATGGGCTTTCTTTCACCTCCTTCACTGTATACTAACATCCAGCCTCGTCACTACTTCCTGCGTCGACCTCGACGGACTTGATCATGTTTTTCTTCCCTCTACATACCAATCACGCACCCCATCTCGGCGCAACTCCTTCCCCGTCGTCATATATACGCTTCGTCATCAGCATTTACGTAACAATACGCCGTAACCATGGCCAAACTCACCAAATACGAGCTCCAAGTCCTTGCCCATGCTACGCAGTCACTCAAGACACCCCTCGACGTAGTTTACAAGCCTATCCCAATATCATAAGATCCGTATACTAAACCGTAAACCAGGTCGACTATAACAAGCTCGCCGCAATTTGCGGTTACAAGACAAAGATGTCAGCTGCAAGTGCCTATAGCAGGCTTAGGAACAAGATAAACGACGCCGATACCCATTGAAGTCGGCGCTGATGATGCGTGATGAAGCGACCTGGGATACTATTGCAGCGCTGATTAAGGCTGAGCGTATCAATAATCCTGTCGTCGTAATATATACTTCTTTATATCCTTGTGTCTGAGTTTGACATTGCTGATATACAGATAGTATTGTAATACTAATGGGGGTTTATACTCTTAAACCATTGAAATACGGCGGGTTGAGCGTATCTTCGAGCTATACGGTCAGGTTAGAAAAGTGAATTACTAGAGAAATGTTCACTCAAGAATGGAAAAAAATGTTCGACTACCATTCACTCTTCACACCCTTCACTTTTAGCCCCTGATCAACCGTTAGACCCAAATGATCAGAGGCTTCACCAGCTTCCTCCCCATACATATCTGCGACACCTCCAGACCGTGATCTCCTCAACTCACAAATCCCAACCTGCCAGTCCTCGCATTCCTCCCGTATCTCACCTGCCCGATACCCTCACCACCATCATAAACATGACAAGCTGCAGAGATCGCAGACGAACACGTCCCCAACACCGGCATACCAGCATCCAACTTTTTCTCCAGCCCGATTGCCAATACACACAACATGACAAACGCAATCACCAAAGCCAGTATCGCAGAAGATGTCGAGATACCATGGCTGATTCTCTGGTGCGAGTAGTTTCCCATGACATCATAGGTCTGTATAGCGACCATGTGCAGAGCTTGCGAAGTGAGGAAATGGATAAATACCAATGCAGTGATGAGTAGGGCTGCAAAGTGTGGTTTGATGTTGAGGTAGTGGGTTCTGCTTGCTCCTTGTGTGAGTAAAGTTACCCTCAGAGGAGCTCGAGTTCTGGCACAAGCGTTCAATTCCGCGGCGGCGAGCATACGTGACCAGAGGTGATTGTAGAAGAGATGGAGAATCGAGATGGGAATGTGTATTGCTCCGAGACCCAAGAGATTGGCGAGGTATCCGCGTCCAGATGTAGGGCTAAGAAGATTCAGAGATTGGTAGCTTGATAGCTCGCCGCTGTTATAGATGATGAGGACTGCAGTCCACACGGCAAAGAAACCGAGGAAAAGACTGCGTGATTGTTAGTCGCTAGAATTGAGTTGGTGGAAAAAGACGTATATACCAATTTATGGATAAAGCACAGGTTTCAGTGTCCACTGCCGCTTTCCAGACTGGCCATTTGCGCTTCCAGAAAGCAATGTCTTTCTCTGATCTTCGAAAACCGAATTTATCGTGGCGACTGAGCGGTGAATGCACTGCAGGAGCGGCGAGATTGATCATCTTCGAGGTCTTTGGATCGGGGTGCTTCAAGAAGCTGACTACGGCATCACCCACGGTCGCTGAGTAGAGTCAGCTAGGTTCCTAGTGATACAAGCCCACTTATACATACCCAAGGGACGAAAACCCCGAGCGAGTGCTAGACTGACCAAGCAGCCAACCTCTACGAACAAACACACGATGATACCGATGAGAACCCGGATGTTGAGGCTTACGCCGCAATCGGATACAAATTTCTCAGCCAGACAATACTGAACGGGGTATGACATGGCCGTACAGTAGTAGTCCCAAACAGGGATGTTCCAGCTGTCGCCGATTCCAAAGTCGAAATCCGTGTCAATGCATTGTTTGTGAAAGATCGAGGCGGCGCCCTTGGTGTTGAACCAGTCAACAGCCCGCAAACCCTGATAATCGTAACCCACTGCCAGCTCCGGATAGTGCAAGTCGCCATCGATAAACCCGTCTACAGTATTACCGACGCCAGAAGAGCTAACCAAAAACACGTTCGAATAGTTGGAGGGTAATAAAACAGACGAGTAAGCAGCACGACACTCGGTTGGTGACAAGCGAGCCAAATCGTTCAAATTATTTCGCATTTTTTGCAATACCTGATCGTAGGCAATTGTGGTGAGTGCAGCACGGGATGACTCTGACACATTTTGGTATGGTCCTGCTTTGGCCAGAAATGTCGATTGTTCTGCAACTCCATCAAGTCGAGAGCCGTGGAGGTATGCTTCAGTCACAAGAGCTACTGTCCTGTCTGTTGTTGCCATAGTAGTGTAGACAGTGGAGCTGTGACTTGAAGAATATCAGTCAGGGGTATAGATGTTTATGCCCAGAAGCAGCACTCACAGGAAAGGCAGCAGCACAGATACCACTGCAAGAGCGGTTGCTAGAGTCAGTCTTCGTTTATGAATCCATTTCAGGTTTCTGAGCCCTCCAACACCGATATGTAGCCATCGATCCTTGCCATGTCCATTGTCAATTTCGCTTCTGGTTGGCGAGAGCAGCAGTTGTATTGCATGCGTACCTGCGGAGAACATCAATACCGCAAAAGCGCTCGCGGCAAAGTGAGCGTAAGATGCTGTCCTTGAGACCTCAGAACAAGAGCCGCTGAATAGTTGTGCTGCACCATCTCTGATCCTGATGTTACTGTATATCCAAACCAGGAACGCAACATGTGTGGTCAGTGCCAGTGAGACGAATATGGTGTTGATGATAACGATAGGACGCCAGCTGGGGTGCCTGAAGGACGTCGGTATTTGACCGATGAGTTGTTCGCGCCCATCATCCATCATGCGAATTAGCGCCTGGATGAGCTATCTCGACAGGACTCTAAGTGTAAGGTCATGGACGACCATTAGTGTAACAAATACAACTTCGCAGTCCTTTGTCCGTGACAACCGAAATCATTTCCACCTGACAAGTAGGTTTGCTTACTTGAGTGTTTGTCCGAGTGGGCAGTCAGCGGCACAGTGAGATCAGGCTGGAACAGTACAATGTTGCATCTCAATGATTGGACGCCTTGCCGCCAAGGTCTTGATATCAGTAATATGTGCATGCAAGCCATCTGATTATACTGCTTACGGACATATATAAAGTCTTAGCTGCCATTGATATACCAGCCTCCCAGCTCGCGATGGGGAGTGTCTTCAAAAGCGCGGCATTCAAAAAGTCGCGATATTTGGCAGCTCTTTCCGCCTATCCATGTATACGTCATGCTCCTCAGCCTACATCAGGAAGCTGGAATCTTTTGTAGGAAGCAACAACGAACGACTTGGGAAGAGCTCCAGCTGCGTGTTTCTGAGTGGTATTCACCTTTGATGTTCCTCATCGTGTCGCAATGGACACGGAGGGCGAGGTTCCGCACAAGAGTCCACAATGTTCTCCACGTGCCGATGACGCAGTGATTTGTTGCCGATCTCGGCTAGCCACCTGCCATTACTCAGGCCTTTTCTTCTACCGGCACTTGCATCCCTACATACACACAGCAACATGACTAAGTGTATACATGCTAGACGGAATCCAGAGCTACGATCAGCCTGCGCCAAACAAGATAGATGTGAGAGACCTGTTGCCGCTCCATCCGTCATCATGTCGGCTCGATGGTCGATTCTCCATAGAGTTTCCCCGCCATAAACAGGGATCGACTCGCTCATCTTGCATATCAGGTTGCGGAGAGGGGCTGGGGTGGAGTAATGAATTTATCCATGAGCCGAACTGTCTCTAAGCAAAAGAAGCAAATATAGCGTCCTAACATATAAGGGTAAGTCCTCATGGCCTCATTGGCCTCTGCTACTTCATGGGAGATTGTCAAGATGCATCTTTCTTCTTTTCTCACCGTGTCATCTCTTGCTGTCGGCTCTCTTGCATGGCCAAGATATGCTGTAGATAATGATGGCTTGACTGTACAAACATCCTCCGGTCTTATTCATGGGATCAAGGACTCGCAGTACCCGAATGTCCGCCAATTCTTGGGTATACCATTTGCACAGCCGCCTACTGGCGCACTTCGTTTCGAGCCTCCTCAACCACTGCCGGTATCCGCCTCGAAGAAAGTGGTCAACAACACCAAACTCCCTCCAAGCTGCATGCAGTATCTGAACACAGAAAGTCCCGGTGTTTACCTAAATCAAATCAATGAATTTGGCTTGCAGGGCAAGAATGGCACTGGCGATATCAGCGAAGATTGCTTGACGCTTAGTATTTGGACACCTACCAGTAACAACTCATGTCAGAGCAATGGCCTCCTTCCGGTTGAGATCTGGATATACGGTGGTGGCTTTTCAACCGGAGGACAAGATGTGCCTTACCAAATTCCTATCCAGTGGGTGCAAAGAGCGCAAGACCACCTCGTAGTGTCTCTCAACTATCGTGTCAACATCTTTGGCTTCCCTAACGCTGCCGGCCTGAGCGATCAGAACGTCGGCCTACTCGATCAGAGAGCAGCAGTCGAATGGGTTCGCGACAACATCGTTAGATTTGGAGGTGACCCTTCACGTATGCTTCTCTGGGGTCAATCTGCTGGTTCGATTAGCGTGGATTACTACAATTATGCTTACCCCAAAGATCCTATCGTATCTGGCTTTAGCATGGACTCCGGTACAGCCTTCTCGGTCATCCAGTCTGTCGACACTCAGCATTCAAACTTCACCTTCGTCGCCTCTCAGCTGGGCTGCGCCAACTCCTCTTCGCCTGCAGAAGAGTTGACCTGTGTCCGCAAGCTGCCTGCTTCGACAATCGAAGACTTTGTCAAGAGCTATCAGATCAACGGCACTGCACCCTCTATCAGTTTCCTCCCCATTGCAGACAACAAGACTGTATTCAGCAACTACACAGAACGGGCGCTTGCAGGTCTCCAAGCCAATCTCCCCGCTATAATCGGCACAAACGCCCAAGACGGTGTGCCTTTTGCTCCTTACAGTCCCAATGGGCCAAACGCCACCCTCGCACAGCTAGCACTGCTGACAACATTCTTCTGTCCCGCCACTGAATCCATCCGCTTGCGTCAACAGACCAATCTTCCAACCTACCGCTACGTCTACAGTGGCAATTTCTCAAACATTGCCCCTTCTGGCTGGTTGGGTGCTTATCACTCCTCTGAACTGCCAATGCTTTTCGGCACTTATGACAACTTTAGAGGTGTGGGACCGGCTTTGGAAGGAGAGACTAGTCGTGCTATGCAAGATGCTTGGGTAGCTTTCACAAGTGGAGGCATGAGTGGTATTGAGAGTTCTGGGTGGCAGGAGTATGAGATGCTTGGTGAGAGTACGGTAAGGGACTTTGGCGATGGTGTGGCGGTCAAGGATACGGATTTGAAGTATCTGGAGAATCTTTGTGATGGCTCGCAGCCGAACTACAGCGCTTGAGGCAGAATGAATTGTGGGTTGGTGTCTGTGTAGTGGTGTATATATGTCGATAACTACAATGTGACATGATAATCAATCTAATTCACCGAAATGCTCTATTCGACTCTTTACAAGCGACTCTGTACCATCTCCGTCTCCTTGACATACTCTTCTGTCTTCTCAGTTCTGTCTGTGACATTTCCAGCCCTGATGACTCCTTCCACAACTTCCGCAACAGCCAACAACTTCTCCTCCCTAAGTCTCTTGCCCACCAACTGCAAATTAACAGGCGCATCTTTGTACTTCTCCCACCCACCCTCATTCCAATACCTTCTATACAGTTCATCTCTCTCGCCCTTCACGTCCCCAGTACTCTCATCCCAAGTATCCGTCTCCAGCACTTTAGTTACTGGGAACACCACTCCAGGCAAATCAGTCGCGTTAAATACAGCCGTGTAACCCCAATATCTACTCTCGTCATGAGCAGACGCACAAGCAGGATTTACAGGACACAACAATGCATCAATACCACTTTCTCTCCATTGAACAGAAAATGCAGTGCGCAGACGATCACGCTCAGAGTTCGATTTCCAAGTTTCTTCCACGGTGTGGCGGAGAGGTTTTGATTCCGTATCGATAAGCCATTCAATCATCGGTACTGGAGGATCAGATCCTTGGAGTAGAGTGTTTTTGTACTCTGCAGCTCCGTCGAGGAAGTAGGCTGCATTGATCCATTTTAGCAGTGCGGCGTGGTGCTGAGGATCCCAGTTCACGATGCGATGGCCTGCTGCTCGGAGTTTTGCGACTGTTTCTTTGAGAGCGCGTTGGATGGGTGGATGGGGTGTTACGGTGTTGTCCTCCCAAAGAACGCCTATGGTGAGTCTCTCAGGCAAGTCCTCTGTCTTTACATCTCGCCAGGGTATATCGATGAGACTCGGTTCAAAGTCCCAGGGTTCTGCTGCCAGAGCAACTTTGCAGAAGAGTTGGAGATCGGCGAGGGAGTTTGCCATTGGGCCAACACAGCCGATTATGTTCTCCATGCCAGAGTGGAGGCCGCTGAGACCGGAGTGAGGGATTCTGGCGACAGAGGCTTTGAGTCCCCATCCACCGCAGAAACCACTAGGACCGCGGATGGAGCCACCAATATCTGTGCCGATGCCTAGAGGTGAACCACGCATGGCTACTAGAGCGGACTCGCCGCCTGAACTGCCTCCAGAGGTAAGGTTGATGTTGAAAGGATTGAGGGTTCGTCCGAAGAGGTTGGAATGTGTCTCCAGCGCCATGAGAGTTTGTGGGTTCGTAGTTTTGACATGGAAGACTGCTCCTGCCTCCCTGAACACTTTACAGATCAGAGCATCGCCTGGACTGGGTGCGTCTGCCCAGGAGATCAAGCCAGATGTCGACGGTGTGTTCTCGAGATAGATGTGTTCCTTGACTGAGATGGGAAGTCCATGGAGAGGTCCAACTGGTCGATTATGCTTTGCCATATAAGCATCCAATTCTTTAGCTCTCTCCAGAGCAGAGTCAAACATGATCAAAGCGAGACAATTGGTAGCTTGATGAGCCAAAGCCGCTCGTTTACAAAAGGCCAGTGTAACTTGGTAAGATGTCCATGCCCTGGAGTGAATTTGGGCAAGGATGTCTACAGCTCGTTGTTCTGTGATGAAGAGCTCTTCATTCGACATGATATGTGGGCATTTCATGGGTAGATCTGTAAAATTGTGACCATTCAGAAGGTGTCTCCGAACTAACCATGCCGAAGGAATGGCATCGTAGACCTCCTTTTGCTTTCTTGCAGCAACATCTTGCCAGGAAGGAGATGAAGCAGTAGCCATGATGTGAAAGGATCAATAGCTGGGTAAAGCAAAAGTGTAAGGATGGAAGTAAGATATAATATCGAGATAGCGAAGAACAAGATCAATTGGACGAGACACCTCCCTCTTTATAATCCTAAACAGCCTTATCACGAAAACCGACGTCGGCAAGAATAACGTAGGAGACGAGAATATTGTGGAGCGGTGAATGCGTTGGCTGGAGCGTTGCGTTGGCTGGAGCGTTGAAAGGTAAGGGCGAGCCGAAATATCTCGGTTCGCGCTTCCATTTTAGACAGATGATCTGATAAGACCACTCCTCTTAGACTCCATGTGCTATCTTAGTCATGATGCACTCTACGAGACAGGGCTGTAGAAACGCACAATGATTTTCTGTCTTCCAAACATCACTGAACAAGAGACAAGAGGCAGGGGCGGAAACCGAGATCTAATCGCTACTCCCAACGTGAATGTACACCCCCCAAAACAGGGGCTGTAAAAAGGCAGAAACAAATTCTGAAATGTTAGCAATGGTCGTCGAGAAAAGGAAAATCATGGGCTCTCAGTGAGGGGTGTCAGGGGTCCGAAAATCATTGTGTCTTCTTACAGCCCTTGTTTGAGAATGTGCATTGATACTGAGATAGTGCTGTAGTTCTGGTTCCTGCCCCTGGCTTTGGTGTCTCCATGGATGCGGTCGTGAATGTTGGATTTGTTTCTGCCTTTTTACAGCCCCTGTTTTGGGAGTGTACACTGTTGCTGAGATACCGGGTTTTGACGAAATTCATTATCTCTTGCACGCAGTCTGCTAATATTTTTGATAATCATCAAAATCCACTACGAAGGAAATCTACATCTTCCGCTCTAGCCATTCTCCCTCTTCACATCCCAAGGTCAAATCAATCTCATGAAAACTCATCACGAATCATAAACCACCATCCTCTGAACCCACCAATCTCATCAAGAACTTCCCTTCTGCCCTCCCACAACATCCCTGACAAACTTCTTCAAAAAGCCCGCCGTCTCCACAACAGGCAACACCACACTAATTGCCGTACTCGTAAATACCCAAATAAAGCTCACCACAATCCACGCGGTGAAAAAGCCTTTGGAAAACACATAGTGTGAGAAGAACATTGGCATGGGGAGTAAGAAATCCATGATGAAGGTTAGGACAAAGGAAGCGATGCAGGCGAGTTTGAAGGCGCCTCGGAGGGAGTTTGGAGATTCTTCGTCGTGGAGATCTTGGGCGCGTTCGGCGTCTGATTCTGTGGTGAGGGGGAGTGGGGCGGTGTCGGGTGTGGAGAGGGAAGGAGTGGATGAGGTGTCGTTGTCTGGAGGTTGTTGTTTCTCTTCCGCTGAAGGGTTTATGGCGGTTGAAGTGTTGAATTTTTCCTCTTGTAGTGGTTTCTTCTGAAGTTGTGATTCCACGATTGGATTTGCGTTTTCTGCGTTAATGCTTCTTGTGATAGCCCAGTCGAAGTTTTGGGGCTTGATGAGGGATACGACGACGGTGACGATGAGACCTGTCATGATGGCTGCGAGGTTACCGGCTAGAGTTGCGTACTCGGTACCGGTAGTCGCGACGGTCAATTCGCCAAAGTAGACCTTTGCTGTTGCGAGCCAAGCTGCGATACCGACAATCAAGCCAACGATTGCACCACTGATGGCTCCAGCAGCTGATTGCCCTCTCCAGGTGATCGCAAATGCAGCAGGGAAGACGGCACCACCAATGAGAAGGCCCATGACCAAGAACAACCAGCCAAGATCAATGCCGATGATATTCCAGATGCAGGCAAAGACAGCCATCGTAAGCCCAAAGGCACAGATCATGAGGTGTGAGACAAAGATCAAACTCGAGGGTGAAGCGGTAGGACGAATGTATCGCTTGTAGACATCGAAGGTGAGGAGAGAGGAAACTGCAATCAATTCCGCTGATGCGCAAGAGGTGACTGCCATGAAGAGCACGATGAGTAGGGCGACTGCACCTCCTTTGCCTAACAATGCTTGTGCTGCGTACGATGCTGCAAGTCCAGCAGAGATGTCTCCAGATGTTGGAACTCCAGGGAAGGTCGGGAAGCGAGGATTGTCTGTCAATGCTACAGCAGCAAGACCGAGCGTGGTAGAGAATCCGAAGGGGATAGCGAACCTGCTCCTCGTCAGTCTGATGTGAGCTATACTTCCAATATTTTGTGACTTACCAAGCAATGCCTCCCAGAATGTAAGCTCTGACGGCTGTAGAAGGTCGAGAGGCAATAGCACGCTGCCAATATGCCTGGTCAAGGAAGACTGTACCACTTCCAGAGCATAACTGAATGACACCAAAGATCAAGGCGTAGTTGGACTTCAGGGTCATGTAAGAGCCCTGCACGTTACCTTCCACAGGTCTCTGTACGGCTGCCTTCTTAAGCAGCTCATACATCTCTCCAGGCGAACCAATCAGATCATTTGTCGCATATGCGTTGAACATGAAGTACAGGATAATGATCATCAAGATCAAAGTATGACTGTAGTCGCAGAGGAAGGTCGCACGCAGTCCGCCAAGAACCACATAGGCGCACACTCCGACTGGAATGAGGAAGATAGCGGCATAGACGTTCATGCCAGTCAAACTTGTTACGACGGCGGAGCCTCCTAGCAGTAGTTGTGATCCCACTAGGATATTCGTGACAAAAGCGAAGAATAGGAAGGTGATGTGAGCGGCGCTACCGTAGCGGGCCTGGACAATTTCAAGGTACGTGTGAGCTCTAGGAGCGTTCATTTTGACCTTGCATGCCAGGATGGAGAACATGAGAATCTGAACTGTCGCGCCAGCAGCGTACCTATGCCTCGTCAATAAAAGCATAAATTTAGGGAAATCGTTCCAGACTCACCAAAAGGGTCCAGCGACTCCATACTGATATGCTACAGTGGAGCTCTGAAGCAAAGTGGCAGCCCACGTCCACGCCGAAACGATACCAGATGCGATGAGACCAGGCTTGATGCTTCGAGATGCAGTGTTGAACTCTTCGCTAGTCTTGGTGTTGAAGCTCGTATATTTGTTCTGGAGGTGGGAGATACCCATCATGACCTCGATGCCATATTAGCTCATGCAATTTGGAGAATAGTGTATTGTATAGTAACTCACAAAAGCAAAGAAGAATCCCACTCCAACGACGACGCCATAACCAGCGCCAACAGGCAAGATTTGTGCTGAGGACGACATGCTATATTATGTTTAATCGCAGAACAGGGCGTCTAACTACACACAGAAGAGAGGGATCACACCGTTATATCTATAGCAATGGATCTACCATATCGCGCCACCTGATATCGTGCCTCGAAGACAGAGGCATCAATTGCCTATCGTAGTGAAACGGTACCCATGGTGCATGTCGTGAAGTGACACGGCACGCTCATCAAGGTAGCGATAAGATGTTGGGGTACAGGAAGAGTCATAGGTAAAAGGTTGATAGATTGGCCTGTTGGAGAAGGTGCGATTGCGGTGTTGTTGGGGTCTGGGGTTGGACAGTGTCGATCACCCTCATCCCGCCGCAAAACGGCAGCGGCAGCCGATAGGCATAGATAAGGCGACTGGCGGACAACCACACGATAGGTTTGTGCCTTGGTGGACCTTGGAGATCTTCAAGGCTTGTATGATTGACTAAACATAATTTCTCACCGGACTTATCTCGGGCGCGGTATACTCATGGCGATATCGGTCGTCTATCACCTTATGCTCAGCTTTGCAAATGCTCAATCCAGCCGACTACAGGTCGCAGCTTGTCTAGGTTTATAGGATTGAGAACTGATAGAGTGATCAAGAAGACAATTGGTTTAGACATTACAATGCTCAGGGTACACCACGACCCTTGCGCGTAGCTTTTGCTAGCTCACTCTGTGCCTCATCGTCGGCATACTTTTGATAGATACTGTAGTACTTCTCAGTCTCACTTGTGGTCTCACGCACCGAGGGACGCTCCTCGACCGCCTTGAGCCACTTGTTAAAGCGCGACCAGACTGCGCTATCTTCGCCGCCCTCCGGAATGTTAAGGCCATTCTTGTAGTGATCGAAGACCCAAAGACGGACTGAGCACCAATTGTTAGCATGTGACATCCATGATTGGCAATATTGATCTTGACATACCGGCCCATGGTGCAACAACAAGATCAATAAGACCAATATTCTTGCCCGAAAAGTATGGTCCTTCAGAGTCCATCTCTTTCGTAAACTCTTTGAGATGACTCAAGAACTCTTGTCTCGCTTCCTCGAGACCTTTTGTATCTGACATTGGCTGATACTGTAAGAAACGATGGAATGCAGGAATAAGTCGAGACGTGCAATAGTCAGTCCATATGCGGGTACGGGCGCGCTCGTACGGGTCCTCGGGAAGTAATTTAGGACCGTGATCCGGATAGGCTTCTTCTAGAAACTCGCAAATGACCGTGCTTTCGTACAGTGGTTTGTTGTCGTACTCAAGGGTCGGAACCAAGCCTCGTGGATTGAGCTTCAGGAGCGACTCTGGCTTGTGGTACGGGTTTACCTTGATATGGTCAGCATTGAACCTGTCAAGGCTGAGTAGTTTGTGCTCGCCTCAATGTATTGGTAAGGGATATTCTTTTCTTGCAGCACGGTCCAAGCACGACCGACAAATGGGCAGAACCATCCAGCATACAACTTCAGAGGTTGTTCTGCTTGGTGGTCTTCAACAGTCTTCTGGGCAAGCCCAGTGGCATGCGGAAATAGATCCGCATCGGGGTGAGCCTTGGTCGACATTCTCGATACTAGATGGTGATTCGGTATCTTTGCGTGGTTCGTAAAAGACGTCTTAGCATTTAAATTGTCGTTGTCGAGAGAAGGAGCATTTATAATAGCGATGTCATATAAGTCGTACAGATGACGCAATCGCGGGGTCGCGTTGACGGTCTTTCGCACATCTCCGTGGTCATATGCATGACAACCACCACAGACACTCTGCATGTGTTTTCTGTAAATACAAATTGCAAACTTGAGTGAATCGAGGCGCTATGTTGTATGAAGTGGCTGCGTAGGTGGTTGCTGCTCACATCATACAACAAGGTCCCTTCTTGAAGTCCGGGCCGTACTTGTCGATGGCCACAGCAAGCTCATTTGCTTTCTGCTTTTCCTTGACTTCTGTCGCAAAGTATTTGACCAGATATTCGGCACGCTGTTGATCGATAGAACCAGAGTCGGCAGTAATGACGGAAGTTGATCGACACATGGGACAGTTCGAAGCCGACTTTTGCAGTTCAATCATGCAGCGAATGCAGAAGACCGTGTTGCAGCATTCGAGTCGGATCGGTCGCCAGGCAACATCACAACAGACAGGACAGCTGTAGTCATCAACCTGTGGTACAATGATGACCACTTGTTGAGACATGGCAGCACACATCTCTGTTGCGACTGATTTTGCAAAAGGTCCACTATTCGCGTGGCTCTGATAAGCCTTTGTGGCTCCCAATGCAGTGCGCTTATCAAACTTTTTGAGAATCTTGCGTACGGCTTCCATGTTGAGCTCCTGGAAGCGCATAGCCTTCAGGATGTCGAGGTTGATGGTGACGAAATGATCGAAGGCGTTCCTGCTCGTCTTTTCCCTGAACTTCTTGACAAGACCTTGATCGACCAAATCTTTAGAGAAGAGCTCTAGATGCGACTTTGCTTGATCAAAGCTACGAGACCCGCGGTCTCTCTCGTAAGGTGAGAAGAATATGGCGTGTTGCACATACAAAGCGAGAATTTGACGCCAGATTGTGACATCTGATCGAGCCTTGTATCTGCCCTTTTTCAATGCCGCCGGCTCGGTAAGTGTTGTGACAGCCGTTCCAAGTGCCACGATCTGCGATTCCAGACGCTTTTCTTCCACATGTTGGATAGCATCAAGCTGCGCCAACTTTGGATCGAGGAGGTCGAAGAAGTTTGCTGCAGTATGAAGAGGGACATGAGCCCACTGAGCACCATTTTCTGCCGAAGAAGCTCGCATGGTGGCGTTCAGCTGCTCATGCTCTGATATGGAAGATCCGTCGGATTCATGTGAGATCTGACTAACGCGTCTGCCCTCGGGTGTTTGCGTGCCATTGTTCTGGGCCAACCAGAGAAAGTACTGTTTTGTTTCTTTGGTTAGATGGGCATCCAAGAACTCTCCACTGTCGCTGTCAACGGCGACCCATAGCTCAGGAACGAAGTTTGCGCTAGTTTTGTCTCCTGGTGCCTCCACTCCGAATTCGCTGTGCAAATGCTGAAGTGTTGAAGCACTCAGACCGAGAGCGCTTAACTCCTGTTGGACTTTCTTGATTGACTTTTTAAGCAGACGATATGAGATGGCGGAGGAGATCCATTCCTCCGGAAATCCTTCACTGGCCAGTAGCTGCGCGTACTCGTGACCGTACTTCATGGTGATCAAGTTTTATTGCCGTATTGAGGTGAGTCGGGTGGTCCAGGCGCAAAGATCCTCAGAGCATTTTCAGATAAAGTGTACAGGAATATTCACAGATCCATTGAGCATGTCGTCGTCGAGATTTCGCTTGTTGTGCGAAGTCAAGTGAATGGCATCTGATGATGGCAAGCAAAAAAGTTCGTTTTCAAACGGTTCACGTGCTCGAATGCTGTCTTCTCTGAGGTGGTGGCGCAACAAACGTCGAGTCAAGAAGATGAAAGAAACGCGGTCATTTGTTGATCCGCTCCGGGTCAAAGTCTAAATCGTGAGCGGTATCACCCTGACTCCATCTTATCTCCTACTCTAATTCGCAACCTTGGACCTCGCTGAGACCAGAACAAGCTATGAACTAACTGTAGACTCTCTGAAGATGAGTGGAGATATGCTTTACTTCCATTATGTATGGTTATGCTTCCAGTCGAAAGGTTCATTCTTTGTCAACCACAGCAACCATGTCCATCATCATGTCCGCCCCAGCCAGCAAGAAAGTACATTGTTCAGTAGTCCTCGCAGGCCTCTGTGGGAAGTACTTGCCATAAACCTCATTAAGCTCCTCCAACATCTGGAAGTCTTTGACAAAAAGCTGCATCTTCATCAGCTCCACTCTTCACGTATCAAGGGTAGAGGTCAACTTACATTAACTTTGACGACCTTCTCAAGATCTGAGCCTGCAGCTTCAAGGACGTGAGAAGCGTTTTGAATCATCTTGTGTGCCTGATCCGTCACACTGCCGCTGACAAGTTTACATTGCGAGTCAGCAGGCAGTTGGGCAGAGAGGAAGACGAAGCCGTTGGCTTTGATGGCTTGAGACTACTGTTGTTAACACTGGTCGCTGAAGCCTCGGAGAGCAATGTCGCATACGTAATAAGGACCAATAGCTGCAATATACGTCAGCAAAAGCGACCAAGGGATATCGGTAGATGAGCGGAGGTGCGCATACGATGAATGGCCTTGTCAGAGAATACTTGGGTCAGAGTTGACTTTCTTGCGACAGACGAAGTTGTGAATTGGTTGCGAATGACGGAGTTGACGCCCACTCGGGTGGTTCTCGCGAACGTGTTCATTGTCGGGCTCGTGGTGAAGAGTGACCTGTTTGGCAAAGTTTATATCGGATCCAGTGATGGTTTCTTCAAGAAGGGCGTATGCGTGAATTGATTTCGTTGCGGGAGGCGAAAGAAGTCGGTTGTTGATAGGTAGGCAGCTGCGGCCAGATGGTGGAGCTCTCCCGCATCTTGCCATTCGAAGGACGTACTCGAATACGCTAGACTTTTTCAATCACATACCCAGAGGGAAGGCATTTTGTGCAATTCTGTGTCGTCGAGTGTTTCATGATCAGGAAATTACATGTACCGTCAAACATTGTGGTAGATATGTCGAAGTCATAAAGCGTATTCGTTATCGTCAGAAAACTCCCGCCAACACCTAGCTATTTAGTCACGCTAAACGATCAAGTCGGTCACACCGATGCGATGTCCACCCTCTCAAGCAGCACCAAAGTCAAGTGTCGTCTGTCCACGCTCAGGATCCGCCATCTTGTGTACACTGACATCCCGGACACCCTCGGTATACTTGCCCATAGCTTGTGGTGTGATGAGCACAAACTGTCTGCCAACAGATCTACGGGCAGCTTGGATCATCATCTTCATACTGACTTCTCTATTCGCACTGTCCATGAAGACATCGAACTCGTCAAGACAACGAATAGGAGAGCCCATTGCTTCCCAAATTGAGAGGAGCAGACAGATGGTTGAGAACGACTTTTCACCGCCTGAGAGAGTCTTGGTCTGACGGCCCTTGTCGCTGTTCTTGGAAATGTCGGGCTCGACATTGATATCCAACATCTTGTCCGTGTGATTGACAAGAACGCGACCGCGGAAGTTGCGCTCAGACAACAGATAGCTAAAGGTGATTTTCGCTCTTGTTGTGATGTACTTGCGGAAGAGCTTCCAACGGCTCTTTCGGTATAGCAGCGCCGACTTCAGTTTCTGTTGCGTACATGTTAGCCAAGTCTTCATGCTCCCAAGTCGAGGTCAACTCACCTTTGCGACATCCTTCGATCCAGTCAAGTTCCGTTGGGCGCTAGCAAACTCCTTGTGTGCGGTGCGCCACTTCTCATAGATTTCCTCACGACTGCCACCAATACTGTATCGAGTTAGCTTTGCCCATCAAGTCAGGGCAGACTTCAGAAGTTACCTAGCTTGGAATCGCTTGTTTTCCTCTTCGAGCTTTTCAAGTTTCCTGTCCAACACCTCCACAGTGTTGCCGGGCTCAACGATAATTCTGCGGCTGACTGCAGTAGCTCCTGGCAAGTACTCATCCTGGATGAGTCGGTCCTGCTCAACGCGCTGCTCTTCAAGTGCCGCTTTCTCTTGCTGAGCAAGATCTACTTTCTCGAGAGCTTCATTTTTTTCCCGAAGCGTCAGCTCGCGCTGAGTTGTCTTGTCTTCCAACCTCTTCAGTGCTTTGTTGAGTTGAGCTTGAGCTTCTTCGACTTCCCTGGTTGCAGCATCGAGCTGTTGTTTGATTATCCTGTTGTCGTCTCCTAGCTTGTCTAAGGCATTGACCGAGTCGCCGAAGGTATCTTGCGCAGCTTGGAGATTCTGTTCAGCTTCGGTGTATTGAGCGTGAAGCTCGTCCAAAGCGCTGGTGTCGTTCACAGCATCAGCGTCGAGCTCTGTCTGCAGCTCTTCGATGCGGTCTTCACATCTTTGCCGCTGCTGGCGGATATCCCTTGTGTCTCTATCATGTCGGGTCTTCGCCTGCTTTGCACGAGTGAGAGCGGTCTCGAGTGTCCGGACGTGGTTCTCGGCTGCTTGGAGATCTCTTTTGGCACTGTTCAAGTTTTCTTGTGCCATGCTACGATTTTGGTTAGTCGCCGGCCCTTCTTTGCAACGAGAAAACACTCACCTCATCTGCGCCTCCACACTGGTCTTCATGCGCATTTGCTTTGTCCAGGGATGGACTGGTCCTACGTTGAACCCTCCAGCTCTAGTAGAATTGTATCGATGGCCAGCTCCGCGCTTGTGCTGATCGTGGCACATGACGACCCTCACATTACGCGGCTGCTCTTGAGTAAGCTCGTTAGCGCTTGGTCGATCGGGCATCAGGACAGTCTGATCGATATATTGATTGATGATAAGGCAGTTACGGACTGCATCATTGTCGATCTGCGTCGAATTCAGTATTCACACGATTGATGCTAGCACCGTTCTTGATTTACCTCCATAATCCGAAGTATCGTTACGAGGTTCTGATCTGGCTCATTCAGTGAAGTATCGATGTGGTTTCCGTTGTTGATTATTATGTTTGCGTCGCTGGTATCGGTCAGTCTCGTCCGTGCCCTCTCTTCGCAGAATACCTACCATCTTTGTTGTTCCAAAATTCTCGACAACAACCTGCTGTCTTGAGCGTTTTTGACAACAAAGGAGTTCAGTTGTCTACCGAATGTGGTCTCGAGAATAGAAGCCCACTCTGGTTTGAGCAGTCTGACGTGCATACCTATCGGTCCAGCTGGCTCCTGCGAGAAACGGCGCTCGTTCCTGATCTGCCGGAGAACGTTGTGGACAGACGGGTGGAAGGCTCGAGCCTGTTGACCTTGATCGTCCCGTAGCTGCTGAAGCATATTTTCTGCATCACGGACCGCCTTCCTCTTTCCCTCCAAGGCCTGTCCACGAGCATTGCTAACATCGTTCTGTGCTTGATTGACGTTGTTGTCGATCTGCATCCTCTGCGAGTTGTGCTCTTCTTCGCGTTGCTTCGCCTCCTGGAGTTCGACTCGAGCATTCTCGAGTTCGGATACTTTTTGGGCGTGAGCAGGACCGCTGGCATTTTCTATCCTTGCTCTTTCAACATTCATCTTGGCCTCTAGATTGTTCATGGTTGTCTTTGAGGCTTTAATGTCCTCCTTGATGTTCCTCTGTTCAGCCTTTTTGTTTCGCATCTCGTTCAAAGTTGAGTCGAAGATGCTTTTGACCTCAGTGAGATTCTCCTGAAGTGGACCTAGTTGCTCTTCGAGATCTGTGATGACACTGGCGTTTGCTTCGCGGGTGGTGTTTGATTCGTCGTAAAGTTTGCTGGCTTGGTCGGCGTAGGCTTGCTGCATGGTGATCTTGTTGTCAGCCTGGCGAATCTGCTCTTCGATTCTTTCGAGCTCGCGTTCTTGCTCCTCAACTTGAGCCCAAGCATGCTGCCAGCGTAATTGATTGATCTTTTCCAAGGTGGTCTGACTACGGTCGATGAGCTTCTTCTTGGCTTCGGCTTCCCTTGCCTTTCTTCCCAGAACTTCAAGGTCAGACGTGCCAAGCTCCAGCTTGACTTCGATGCCGTCCAACTGGTCCTCGAGAATACGGTAGTCACCATCGAGCGCTTCCAGTTGTGTACCTCTGATGAAGAACTTGTACTTGTCGTAAGGAGAAGAGCCGCTGAGGAACTCGCGAGCCTTGTCTTGAGATAGAACGTTCATCGGGTTGTCCAGCTGCAAAGCAAAGAAGTCGACAATGTTTTCAAGCTCGGCTCTCTTTGTAGACATGGTCTTTCCCTCTGCGTTCTTGATCTTGAAGCCACTCCCGGTCTGCGTGAAGTGTCGCTCGACGATGATGGACTTGCCGTAATCGTTGGGATAGTAGGACATGTCGCCTTGGTTCTTGATCTTGACGGCGACGTATGCAGACTCCTCGCCAGACTTGATGAAGTTCTTCAGACTGCCGGCGCGATTGGTCTGAGAAGCCTTGACGCCCAGGCAGATTGTGAGGGCAGTGAGAATGGCACTCTTTCCACTTCCGTTGTGACCGATGATGAAGTTGATCAGAGGACCCAGCTGGATGCGGAGCTTGCTGTGACACATGAAATTCTCCATGTAGACCTCCTCGATGATTCCCTGTTCAGCAGCCTTGTTCTCTTTGTTCTGTTGATAGTGACGTTGAACCAGCTGAGTTGCACGAATCTCTGCTTGCGGATCCTCGCCCTCGTCGGAGGAGACATCGAGGTGCAGGTTGTGGTCCTCGTTGACATGGCTGTGATACTGGTATGTGTAACCACCGTCGACTGTCTCTGATTCGAGGGCAGTGTCGTCGTCTGCAGCATCGCCGTTGGTTCGTGCACGCTTCGGTGAGGAGGGCGGAGAGCTGTCGTCGGCCTCATGGTCCGAGGTGTGTCGTCGCTTGTTGGCCATGGTCGGTCGGAATATCGTGCTCCGGCAGAGCGATGACGGATGAGCCGTCAAAGTGAGCTCAACGCCTGCCTCAATACGCACTGAAGACGACCAAGGGTGAGTGAGTCTGGTCCTCACAAAAAGATGGACATTCGCTACAGGTTGACGCGCGCCCGCAAGAAAGCGTGATAGGCAGGCGCGATGCGGGACGCGTTTGCCAAGACTGCCACTTTGCCTTATCTTATCAGCTCACGCTAGCATCTAGCCGGTGTGACATGTTGCAAGCATCAAAAAAGTTGGCTGCAACTCGACTCGTCGTCAAGTGAAGACATGGGTGCTGGACAGTCGTCGGCCAGCGGCGCCCAGGACGCTGCCCCTGAGGCACAAAAGACTGGCTACTACACACTTCTCGGTATTGAACGCGATGCCACCGAAGACGAAATCAAGAAAGCCTACCGTCGCAAGGCCCTTGAGCTGCACCCTGACCGCAACTATGGGAACGTCGAGTCTGCCACGTCGATGTTTGCCGAAGTGCAATCGGCCTATGAAGTTCTCTCGGATCCGCAGGAAAGGTCTTGGTACGATTCACACGAGTCTCAGATCCTACGCGGAGATGATCCCTCCACTGGAGGTGCTGGTGCTGGTGCTGGCGAGTACGAGTATGGCAATGTCAAGATGACGAGCTCGGAAGATCTGGCTCGTATGCTGCGGAAATTCAACAGTGGCGTTGAGTTCACCGACGCTCCATCTGGCTTCTTTGGCTATCTTCGCGAGACCTTCGACCAGTTGGCCGAGGAAGAGGAGGCCGCTGCCCAATGGGAGCATGTCGACCTGCCCGATTACCCGTCGTTCGGCCACAAGGACGACCACTATGACGACGTGCCCAAGTCCTTCTATGCCGTTTGGCTGTCCTTCAGCACTCGCAAGTCGTTCGCTTGGTGCGACAAGTACCGCCTGTCAGAAGCTCCAGATCGCCGTTACCGTCGTATGATGGAGAAGGAGAACCAACGCTTCCGCGAACAAGGCATCCGCGAGTTCAACGATTCAGTCCGCGCCCTAGTCGCCTTTGTCCGCAAGCGCGACCCGAGATACATACCGAACACCCAGACAGAGGCCGAGCGCCAGAAAGTTCTGCGTGACGCAGCCGCTGCCCAGGCTGCCAGAGCAAGAGCCGCGAACCACGTCAACACAGAAGAGTCCGCCATCCCCGAGTGGGCCCAGACCATCTCGAAAGACGAGAACGAAGGTGTTGTCGGGGAGAGCGAATCCGAGGTTGAAGAGGTCTACGAATGCGTTGCCTGCAAAAAGACATTCAAGAGCGAGAAGCAATGGGATGCACACGAGAAGAGCAAGAAACACCAGAAGGCCGTCCAGGCCTTGAGAAAGAAGATGCAGAAGGAGAACGCACACTTGAATCTGGATAGCGAGCCGACAAGCGGAGACGCTACACCGCTTGACGCTGAGGACTACGAACCGCTACCAGAGAGCGAGTATCCCATGATGGAAGACGAGCCTCTACAGGAAGATGAATATCCAGTGATGGACGATGACGCAGCAACAAACATGAATGATCTCACCTTGGAGGGCCACCTATCCGAGTCTGACGACGAAGGCACTGCTCAATCCATACCACCTACAGCCGTGAACGAAGAACCCACTGAACAGACAGTCAACACGGCCGACTCTTCAGATGACGAGTACGCTCCCGCCTCAGAAGTGAAAGCTCGCCTGACTCAAGATCCTCTCAACCAATCTCCCAGCACAGCTCTCGGTATCGACTCAGACTCAGATCTCACGCCTTCGAAACAAGCACCTAAGAAGGGGAAAGCTGCCCAAAAGAGGGCGAAGCGAGCTGCCGCTGCCGCTGCTGTTTCCGCAGAACAAGAAGAAAACAACTTCAAGTGTGCAATGTGCGACGCAAAGTTCCCGTCCAAGACTAGACTTCACCAGCACATCAAAGACTTTGGACATGCCGCACTCAAGAGTGTCACTACTGCTGGCGGTGCAAAGGGCAAGAAGGGCAAGAGGTAGTCTGCAATCACCTGCATAGCGTGAGTGCTTCCCCTCTCTTTGTACCTCAGCCTTTACGGCCGTAGTCCGAGGGCGATGTTGCTCGATTCTTGGGGAGTGAAGACGTGTTTGATTGGGTCAAATGCCACTACATCCATGCAAGAGATCTCGTCCAGAGCTTCAAAACTCGCTAGCACAGCGCGAGGCCTCGAAGAGGTAGGTCTCACAACTCACGGTTGTAGTTTCTTGGTGCATTACCAATGCTGGACGCACGAGTGGTCGCTGTATCGATCTATGACCCCAGGCCACTCGAGCCCCTGACGGTCTCTCAATGAGATGAGCGGACCTACGCCCGTTGCTACTCTTGTTTTGGCTTGTCCAACGAGAGGAACAACTCGAATGATCGGTCATCGATATGCCGAATATGATGTTCCAACCTGCAGTCCCAGCGGGACTTACTTTCACCAAAACCCCTCATGAACTTATCGCACTGCTCTTGCGCTATCTTGCACAAAGGCTTTAATCCTATTGGATATTCGGACGGGACGGTGAAGAGCAGCCTTGTCTCAGCTGAGAGTGGTGGTCCGCGATCGCGATGTTTGTTCACTCGCAACGGCCAATTCCTCATGCTCCCCAAAGCTTTCAAAACCCCATGATCGATCGTCGGCACTATTTTTCACGCCGCACAATCGATTGTCATGCTCATTATTACATACACAAGCTCCAATCCGCACAATTCACAGTAGTCTCTTTGACGAAGATTATTTTCTTTAAAGCTCCCAGCAGCACTGACCTGGATTCGGCGGAGTAAGTGACACTTTTCGCCAATCATGAGACAGAACCGGTGATAGACCGGACCATTATGAAAAGCGAAAATATTAGTGGCCCGGGAATCAAGTGCGCTTCACTGTATTCATGTCGACAAGTGCGCAAGAGGTTCATGGCGATCAGAATTTCAGCCTTGGATTCGATGGCGTCGGATTTTGGGAGGATGTCGTCTCTGTGTTGCCATCTCCCTGCAAGCTTCCAACGAGCGGGCGATTTCTCTGACTTTTTGGGCAAGTATCTTCGACCAAACTTGAGCTTGTGATCTGAATTCGTATAGACCTAGCCATAGATCATGTTGCGAATCTCCGATGGCAGGTCGAGAAACATGAAGACCTGGCTTGGACTATCATCGGTATTTTGTGGTGACTTTCGAGACGTCTTCTGTAACATGTCAATTGACGTGTGGTGCAAGCAAAGTTGGAGTAGCCTTACTCTCGAATGGCCAATCATCTTTGGCTTTACTACTGTCGCCGTGACTCGAGGCATATTGTGACTGTTTTTTTTATCACGCGCGAAGTGTGGAAATGTTGTTTAGTCGGAGCTACCTGCACGTAGACTCTTCAAGCAAATTCATACTTTCAACAACACACGACCCCAAAGCTTGTCAGCGAGCCTCAGATGAAAGCCTTTGTTGTAATGCTTCATCTTGGATTCTAACGATTGATTCGACGAGACCCCAGACATGTTTCTGGTCATTCCGGGGCTTTGGGAGAAGCTTGTTCTGGCAAGAGGACCGCCTTAACACTGGCCAGTCGCTTGGTTAAACGCGGCTGATCCTTAGTATGTATCTCTTTGTCTTTTCCTAGAAGAAGAAAGTCGCTATCAGAGTCTGGAGTCTCCGGTGGAACAGACACCGACTGGTCGGCAGATGCTCCTTCCTACAAGCATACTTCGGTCGACCCAAAAACATGTGCTTAAGCTCAATTCTCTTCGCAAAGACTGCAAGACGCCCTACTTTAATTTTCTCTTCAACCTTCATCAACGCGGCTTGACCGAGTCTGACGCTATGATGGGATGATCATATGCATCATGATTCTGATTTCGAGGATCATCTCAACTCCTAGAGCAAGTGTACCCACACCTTCGGAACATTCCAGCTTTGCTAATATTCTTGTTTTTGGTTTGTTGAAAGTTTAGTACCTGATCTGCGGCATATATGTCTGAGCTGACTCGCATCAACAGAAGAACTCGGTAGGATAGACGCTCTTGACAAAGACCCAATAGGCTCGACTGCGTCCGTAGATTACACTATTGACATCTCGGCACTTTGGCACGCCTTTGTGGCTGCCACTCGAGGTAGATCGATGTCCCTGATTCAAGGATGCACAAGCTCGTACTATCCATGGCTCGAGACTTCTTGTACGACTCCGAAACAAACGCTTGCGTAAAGACAGAGAGATATGACTGGACAGTGCTTCCAACCCAGACTTTACCGTGTCGTGGTCCACTCCGAGGATTTTAGACCAGCAGCAATCTTACTTTGATCGCCATTCCAAATCGATCCGATCACCATACAAAATCTCTCGTGGATTGCCCAGGCAAGATACACGATCAAGCCTCCACGTGTACGTCGCCGCTGACGTCCCTGGGAATCATTGGCAAGAGATTTCTCGAAGACGCTGTATATATGACGAGCATGTCGAGGTGCTCGGTGAACGTTCCGACAATTCACATCGAACTAGTCACCTTCCAAGTCTACGGCCTTGATCAACAGCATGAAAATTCTACTTCTCTGTACAGCACACAATTCTTTATCACAGCGTCTGTACTTGACTCTGGTACCCAATCATGAAATCACGATTGAGTACGCATTATCGGCCGAGACCATGATTGAGGCCGTACGTATGGCACATCCACATCTGGTCGTCTGTCCCTTCCTTACATCTGCCGTGCCTACAGAGATCTATACCAGATACATGACATTGGTGGTCCATCCTGGAGCTCCTGGAGACGGTGGCCCTAGTGCACTGGACTTTATCATCATGGGCGAAGACGGAACGGATGATAACCTCGAAAGAGTCATGAGCAAAGATATCTGGTCTGAGCACGGCAGAACTCATTGGGCTGTCACTGTTCTGCAAGCTATTGCGGAATACGATGCTGGCCCAGTCTGGGCTTTCGAGCAGTTCAGACTCGACATCGATGATCACCACCTTACCAAATCGAGTCTCTATCGAGGAGATGTCACTCGTGCGGCTGTCTCCGCAACCTTGGCTGCTCTCGACAGAGTCCAACTTGCATTCCAAGAGCAAGTCACTCACATCATTGGTGACACTGATAACTGGAGCCGTGCGGCTCCCAAGCTGGAAGCCAAAGCTGAATACAAGATCGCTTCTGTGACTACAGGTGAGCGATTTCACGGAGGCCACACAGCTCCATTGCCCTTCTTGAAAGCCACTCAACGAGACTTCGACATCAGTCGACACTCCGCCAGGATGATCTCGAGGCTTATAAGAGCTTCAGACTCTCAGCCTGGTTGTCTCACCAACTTCCTTGGCCCTAGTCTGTACCTCTATGGTGGTTTCGTCGAAGACGGCCAGCACATGTCGAATATTAGTGTGAAGCCCGGCAAAATCATCGGTACTCGCAATGACGCCGTGTGCTTCAACACACTTGATAATAAAGGCATATGGATCACACACGCTCGTCGTGTCAAGAAAAAGACAGATGCTTCTCTTTGGCCCAAAGCACCTGCCGTACTATTGTTCGCAGAACTTGGCATTATTGACCTTGAGAAGTTGCCTCAGTTTCTACCTTCACTGCCCGCAGACTTCAGCCGGGTCGAATATCCGACATTCCAGGAGATCCTCGTCGAGTACGGTAACATCGCTACAGGTCAACGCGTCGCTTACTTGACATTCGATTTTTACAACGGAGCGATGAGTACTTGTCAATGCCAGCTCATGTATGCTGTCTTGCGAAGCATTCTCGACACGCACACTCAGGCATCTCCGTTATCTGCAGTAGTGCTATTAGGTGGCAGCTACTTTTCAAATGGTATACATCTCAATGTCATAGAGGTTGCTTCGGATCCAGCTTACGAGTCTTGGATCAACATAAATGCTATGAACGATGTGGTCTTGCTACTCCTGCAAGACTTTTCCGCTCACAACATCACCACCATTTCTACGCTTCGTGGCAACGCCGCTGCTGGAGGTGTAGCTCTCGCAGCTGCTACTGACTACGTGATTGCCGGCGAAAACGTGGTTATCAATCCCGCCTATCGAGCCTTAGGCTTGTTCGGCAGCGAATATCACACTCTCACCTACCCCGGTCGTGTAGGTCACAATGCAGCTCGCCACCTCCTTCGCGATATGCTGCCCATCTCCGCTCAGCAAGCCAAAGATATCGGTCTTGTCGACGTGGTCATACCCAGCCATGGCACCACTCTCGACAAAGCGATTCACACTCATATCTCTGACATCATCTCCACGTGCCTGTCTCTAGGTATCTGGAAGCGTGCACTCGATCTTTCACCACCAGCTCTTGCAAAGGCACGAATGCGAGAGCTTGCTGAGATGGCAAAAGACTTCTGGTCTCCTCGCTCTGTACGCTATCATTCTCGACGAAGAGATTTCGTGCGTAAGATCAAGCCGTCAAAGACCCCACTACGGTTTGCCCAGCATCGACGTAAAATAGGTGAGCTTGACGAGGAGGAAAGAGACGACTTTGATCTGGTGGAGACGTTTGGAGTGTTGACAAGGAAAGAGCAGGAACAGGCGCTGTGGGAAGAGATGGACGCGTTGGAGATGCAGGCGAGAAAGGCTAGCCATCCAAGCATTGTTGCGGAGAAGGAGAAGGGGAAGTTGGAGATAATGTTTTCGTGTTACTACAATTCTTGATGATTATGATGATCAGCGGGCTTGTTTTCAAGATGGTTGATCACGAGGGGGGATGTGGTGTTCGGCTTGATGAATAGCTTTGGGCCTTCTTGACCAATAATCAGAATCGACATGTCATTGTGCACCAACATGAGTGACTCGGAGTCAAAGAGCAAGCTAGTACATGTGTGTATGTATTCACTGCAGCCGATCCGCTGATTCGCACGCTGCAGATACTCGAATAATGGGTTAAACTCATACATCACTCCAGCATCATTGAAAGCTTGTGCAAAAACCACACCCTTGCAAAGTCGGGTCGTATTGGCTACGGCAGGAGCAAAAGAAACCACCACACCCAGTTGGGTATGATGGAAAGAAACCGGCAGCCTCCGCGTTCTCTTATTATCCCAGCGAAAGTACTTGAGCATCACGAGGCTTGAACTCGTGCACGGTCACCGGTGCGAAGGGGGGTTGTCGAATGCCCGCACCAGCCAGCTCGGCCACAGACACTCCAGTCGGGTAGGAGGGGTGGCCTCTACTTGGCTGGGGACAAGAGGGCCATGAAATAACTAGTATATATGGATTGAAGGTCTGGCGGGGGAAGTCGAGGAGGTGAGCATGTTTTAGGTGTTGGTGCCTTGGAGCCTTGAACTTCAGGCGTTGTGGTGGAATGTGTGCCTGGGCGTTCGAGACTCGAGTTTGAGCTTTAGAGCCACATCTTCTGATGCATGAGGGAGGGAGCCTCTGAGAGCACCTGTGACGTCGGACGTATTGGCGAAGGTCTCAAACTTTGATCTCTTGTGGGCCCAGCCGGGACCGGTGCGCTCGGTCTTACCATCAGTGCCCAGACATTCTCATCATGTCGTTAAGAAGCATGATATCGGGCTGTAGAAGATTGATCCAGAGGGGAACTGCACGTCGTTGCGGCACTGTCTATTGTTCGCGTAGGGAACTGTAGCTTGCGTACGTCTACATCGATCAGCGTCCTTGTGTAATATAGCACTGGTCCACCATAAGACTTTCGAGAGACTTGAACTTGTCGCGATTTGAGTGATAAGCAGCACATAGTTATTTGGGAGGGCTGTAGCGGACCGATCATGCCTACCAAGTAGGATACGCGGTGACTATCTCTCGAGCGGTGCGACATGTTCTGTTCAAACTGGAGCGTAGTTGCACTTACTCGCACAGGGAATTCTCGTTCCATTGGGAAACGGTATGCTGTACAGATGAATCTCGTCAGCTCAATCATGCACCGCCTACCGTGCTGCCAGTCGTGGAAAATCGCTGCCTCTTCAATCAAGTTCATCGAAGTTAGATAGCATAAGAACGCGCTACGTGCTCCTTGGACAGCACCACATATTACACAACCCTAGATTTATATAATGTTAAGGCTTGAACATCGCTCCGTCATTAAACAAGAAGCTATTAACAGACATAGACAGAGGGAGCTCAAAGGCGGTGAACCCAACAAGAGGCTGGAAGAGGTTGAGCTCAGACCACCGCGAGTCGGTAAGTTTTCTGCCGTCTCGGGCCCGGCGCATCACTGCCACCAGCATCTCGTCGCCTGGTCATTGGAAGATTCATCCTCTCACGAGCTGCGGTACCAAGTACTGCTCGAGAATGTTGGAAGACCAAGATCGAGTTCAGGAGGTAGACACCGACGACGAAGAGGCAGGAGACTTTGATGGATTTGGTGGAGGAGACGGCTTCTCTGATTTCACCAAACGCTTGCCGGACGACTGTATTGAATATACTATCTTCGTCATCGATGCCAAACTCAAGACTGATTTTGCGCGGCGAGAAAAACTGAAAGCCATCCAAACTGCGGCCGTTGGACTTCTCAAATCAGCGGATCTCAAGAACTATATCTGGCAGCGCGAGAAACTCCAGTTAGATTTGATTGACGCCAGACTTGACTCCAACACCAGCGGTACAGACGACACACCTCATGAAAATTTACAAATCCCCGGCCACGAGTACTATCTCCACGGACGCACCAATTTTGGCGATTCAATAGCAGATGAATGGCTCATCGTGTGGTTGCTGCTAGAGCTGAGCCAACGGAATCCCTCAGCATGGTTTCAAGTCCGCGATCCGGACGGCGAGTTCTTGCTTGCCGAAGCAGCACACGCGCTGCCAAAATGGCTGGAGCCCGAACTGGCCGACAATCGCGTTTGGATCCATGGTGGTCAACTGCACATCATACCGCTTCAACGAAATGCCGGCTCTGGAGCGTCAGGACCTGTCACTCCTGGCCTGTCCGGTGACATCGAAATATCACAGGCACTACAATTCCTGCGGCAGACTCCGCACTCGACGTTACATTCGCCCATGATCGAAGAAGAAGCTTTCCATCGGTTGCGAGATCACCCTGCTGCCATTACGAAAAGCCAACACAGCGCACTACTCTCTGTACCCCGTCGACTCGCATATCTGCTTCATCGTAACCCTGCCTATGTGGCCCCAGCTGTCGAAGCATTCTATCTTCGCGACCCTATTGCCGTAAGACCACTCGCCACAAAGGACACAGCCACACTTCTCTTCCCACCCGAGGACTTCGTCACAACAAGCGTCCGCTTTCCCAAAGTCGGCTACGCACAACTCGTTAGCCAAGAATTTCCTCCGCCGCCAGCTTGGGTGGGTATAACGCCACACATCCACCAAAAGCCTGTTCTGCTAGGCATGAAGCTGTCATGCGGTTTCGAGATGATGCTTCGTGATCCGCAGAACAAGAACAAGCGTGAGGTCAGGGAGATGAATATGTTACTTGAGGACGTGGAGGAAGAGGAAGATACACTACCATCAGATGAGGAGATCAAGGCATGGCCACAGACAAATGATGACGACAAATGGCTCGACATTGACTTCAAAGACTTCGACAAGGAGCTTAAGGGCCGTAGTGGTGGCGCAGCAACAGACGACATGCCCGAGGGCCAAGGCTTTGGCGATGAGTCGACACAAAAGGATCTGCAGGACATGGTTTCACGCTTCGAGAAGTTCCTCAACGAAGATGAAGAGACCGGTGCTGAAACATTCTCTTCGGGCTCTTCTTCGCCGTCTGACTCCGATGGTGACGACGACGACGACGACGACGACGACGAAGGCGAAGACAAGGCCGCCTCTTTCACGGACGCTGAATTCGAGCAGGCAATGCGCGAGATGATGGGTATGCCCGACACAGAGAAAGAGACCAACGGCTTGAACACTGAAGCTAGAAAATTGGCGCTTGAGATGGAAGACGAAGAGGAGATGGAGCGAGATGATGAGAAAGAGGCTGAGCAAATCTGGAAGATGATGCAAGAAATACATGCGTCGAGAAAGAACGGCACTGATGAGAAGACCAAGGAGAAGGGTAAGGGCAAGGGCAAGTCATTCACGCCACACGCTGCGCCGGACACGAATGCTGCTGGTAAGAACGTCAGATTCGAGGACAAAGTCCGTGAAGATATCGAAGGAAGAAATAAAGGGAAAGGCAAGGGAAAAGCAAAGGCACAGCCGGCGACGATAGACGATGAGAGCAGCGATGATGAAGACCTGCTTGCTGGAGAGGAAGGTGATCCACATTACGAGATGCTGAAGAACATGCTTGAGAGTTTCCAGGGTCAGGGCGGCATGGCTGGTCCAGCTGGCAACCTAATGGGCCTAATGGGCATGAGCAAGTTGCCAAGAGAGTAAGTGCAAGAGGGAAATATTTACTCGTACACAGACAGCTTTGCGTAGTCGTCTTGCAGAATTGGAGCACGCCGAGTGGTGAGTGTAAAGCGATTTCACCTTGATGTTCACGACTTTCACAGCGGGCTTGAGTTTCACCCACGTCTCTCTTCTCATACACGGACACGCCTTTTCACACCGACGCGACTTCTCTCCTAGGATCTCCATGGTCATCACCAACAGTTCCATCTCCTTTCTTTCTTTTCTCTCAACATCGACCACAAACATGGCCTGCTTTACAGATCTGCCAACGGAGATTCGACTAATCGTCTATGGCTTTCTGCTCGTCGACCCAATTAGAGATGGAAATCGCATCGCCTTCACGTAAGACCCCTTGGGCGATAGCAAGATAACACGGAGTCGCTCTCGCTGCACACAAGCTGAACATCCCGACAATGAGATTCACTCGGCTGAGCACTGCCATGTTGACGTCCCATCCTTCACATACCACCACCGCGACTTCCCGGATCTGACCTCTCTCGCACACGTCAACAAGAAAATCTACGCGGAAGCAAGTGAAACCATCTACAACGACGCAGATCTTGTTTATGCATTCGGATGGCTCCCATTTGTCGGCAAAACTCAAGATCCTGCGTCAGCTTTCATACCTCTGCTTCAATATCTCGATCACTCCAACTCTTTGAGATTTGGTATGATCCGTTCACTCGTCATCAACAACACATCTGGAACTATGACTGCTGATGATATGAAGTTCGTTGTCGACCTTGTCAATCAGCGCTTGCCGAAATTGCGCGTCTTCGGTTTCCAGAATGGATCCTCGACCAAGCCAGTCTCGCCGCCTGATTGTCGCCGCACTTTCACGAAGACTATTTGCCAGGCTCATTCGATTGTACAGCCAATGTTGTTACTCAAAACTGACATCCGCTTGTTCATCGACATATCGCTGCACCCAGAACTCGCTCTGACAAGATTCGCTCTGACAAGCCCGATCTTGAATCGGACATATGGCGATATCAGACAGCGGTTTGCCGAAAGGCTTCTGTCCCTCATACTGCTTGTTCGCAGGGTCCGCCAGGGTTTAAGACAACTGGATACCCTGACTTTGAGCGAAGGTGTAGACCTTTGGGTCACATCGGCGATTCGTACCACGCCGGCTAAGCAGGAGTCAGTCTGCAGGAAGACCGAGACTTTTCAGGAAGACTTAGAGTCCTGCCTCAAACTTCACAATGTGCTCTGGGCGCACAAAGACCTGGCTCGATTAATTAGGGAGGCTGCACAAGAGTTCGAGTGAGTGTATCATAACTGAGAGCGACCGGAGAAACCGAAGAACAACGGGCTCACACAAGGGCGATACATCAGTACTACCTTCATGCATTATGCATATTAACTCTCGAGAGAAGAGAAGAAATGGATCCACGAGGGCAAATGGGCGCGAACTAATGAGATTGCCGATAGTTACAAACGAGCCAGACAGCAGTCACAATCATCCAATCTGTCGTATACCAAAGAGAGAGAAGCAGTGCAGAAAAGATAATCGTAACACAATTAGACTACAAACGTCCAAGCGGCATTTCTCCCGAGTCTGACTTGCGGCTTGTAACTCGTATCCTGCATACGCTGTTGCACTGTCCAATGTAATCTCGGCTCCAACTCCTGCACAACTCTATATCTTCCTCTATTGATACTGACCTTCTTGATCCAGTTATCCGAGTCCTTGGACTGAACTCGAACTTTGATTGGCCAAAACTCCAACAGCCACCAGAATTTTGCTTGTACAAGCTGATCATTGAATGGTGTAATAGCATCAAAGTAGTCTTCAATTTGCTCGGGCATCCAGTGTTCGGCAATCTTTCGCTTCTCGGCATCTTGGTAGAGATTCACGTCAAGGAGACCATTTCTGTGATCGTCATCTTGAGCTTCGAGGATAGTGGAGCGGCGAGTGATTGGTGCGAGTTCGCCTTGTTGATACTTCTCCATCGTATCAGGTGATGGACCAATGATTGGTTTCTCTAGTCGATGATAGACTGGGGAAAGCATGTGTACATCTAGCCCTTCTTCTGCGAGGCGATGCGTGTTGAAGAGGATACCGGTGTTGCATTCGAAGCATTGACGTATCATCCAGCGGAGAGGAATTTGAGAGGGCTTGTGTCTCTCGGCATTTGCGACTGCGCCGCCGCCTACATCGGCGTGGCAGCCTGCAAACCAGACTTCTTGGCAGTCGACCTCTCGGATGACGGTATCGCCGTCTGATCCCAGTCTTAATCTCTTCTCATGTTCGGCAGTGTATGTATTAGTAGTGCTGGTAGACTCGAGCCTTTGTCGTGAAGGTTCGGACTGTCCTTGAGTTGCGGCCTTTGTGGTCCATCGAGACTCGGGGTCGGTGTGATCTTTCTGCTGATATCTGCATACTTTGAATTTAGACCTGCGCTCGTCCAAAGCCATTGCATGTCTGAAGTAAGATGGTTTGTTCTTTGGTGTACTGCTCAACGGCAACTTTCGCGGGATGAGGCCGACGCTAGCGACGCTGTCGAAGACGCCGATAAAGTGGACATTGATGTCAATGCAAAACGTTCTTTTGAAATCGGCACTCATGTCCCATCCGTTCTGAGTGTCGTCCTTGTAGAACTTGTATGCGAAGGGCACTTGTGCTTGGTTGTGTGCTGGCAAGAGGCCAACTTTATGAAGCATGCCGGCCAGGCAACGAGCTGTGTATGCACCTCGCGAGAAGCCAAACAAACAGATCTTGTCGCCTTCACGATATGTCTGCATCAAGAAGCGGTAGGCATCTCTCACGTGGACACCAAGACCACTGCCAATTGCCATGTCTACAGCCGCTGCAATGCCGTTGCTTAGACCTCCGGAGTTATATGTGCCAATGCCTGTCTGATAGTACGTGACCTGACGTGGGTCATCTTTTTTTAGGCAGCTGACGAGGTGTACGATGTTGCTGTTATCACCGTCGAACTTATCGCCAGTGCCATCCAGACAGATGATCAAAGTCCGACCTTTGGGCGATTTTCCATCCTCTATGGCGTGGAGATACCTTGGCAATTGACGTGTGGTCGACTTGGTAGATGGCTGCTCTGGAGCTACAGCTTGTGTTGGCGAGAACATGGGTGCTGATTGCATTGGATATGACGAACGTCGGTCCATGACTGATGACTATGCGGTATGGGATGAATGATCTTGGTAAGTGTTTGCAGTGTTGCAAGGAGTAACAGGAGGGGATGGCGAGGTGCTAGAAGTGGCACATGGTCGGATCAGCTCGATGTCATGCACATCCAACATGCCTTCCTCCATACGGTGTCTTCGACCACCACACTATTGAGTGCCAATCGATTTGTGCTCCAAGCCAATCGAGTTCGTATATTGCAGATCCCGAAACATTTTCCAGGATGACGGTCACGTCCCGATCCGCTTTACCAAACATGTGCGATCTACCGGCGAGCGCGATCTCTCCGGCCCACATGGTATGGGATCAGCATAGCACGCTACACTACTGCTGTAGGCCTGCGAGTTCAAAACTCTAAACGGTAGTGCATTTGCCCGATCCGGGAGTTTCAGAAGCTCAGCTTTTCAAGCTGCAGGAATATTGTCGAAATCACAACGGGTGTCAGAGCAAAGCGACAGAAGAAGCGATAGGCAGTATGCGATGAGAAGAGTCCGGAACGAAGTTGTTACAGCTTTCTAGAGAGCACGCGATAGAAGACGCGTCAGAGCAGCTTGTTGTCGGGAGATTGTCGCTCTCTCTCTCTCTATTACCCCCTATCTATTCTGTGCAAGATATTTTGTCATACACTTCCAGTCGACAGATTCAGAAGAGCAGGCGCTTTGGGTAGTAAGAATAAATTCGATCAAGCCAACTGGGGGTGCAGGAACGATGTTCGGCTATCAGACGCTAATGATATTCTTTTGCACAAGCGTGGCGGTTGGTAGGCGGATACAGGTACTTCTGGCGCACCGTCTTGCCAAGCTATCAACAAGCATGCAGAAATAGGCAGTGTTGGTACGTGTGCAGCTTGTCAGATAGCTTCAACAAGACATCGATCTTCCTCTCAATCTCCCTCATCGGGGTATGCAAGTCCAGGGTCAGCGAAGCCGTTACTATGTCTGACCTGAATCAACCAATAATGATCATTGCGAAGATCATGAAACTGCTGCAAGCCTCTGATCTTAATTACTCTGAGTGGCATCGAGGTTCCACAGCTAGTGCATCGAGCTTTATGTCACCTAGTTGCGAATCACGTACTAGGCGCATCTTGCTAGACATCCAGGGACTGCCGATCAACACGCTCCGCAGTTATCGTATCTACGCACAATGCTGAGCACGGAAGGTCCCCAGCCAATCGCAAGTATCGGCAGCCACAAGCTGTGAGCTAGTCATTAAAAGCAAGTATGCTATGGAAAGTCAGTGGACCGATGCATACGAGCTGTATGTAGATCTTTGCATCTGTGGAAAACATGTGGGCATCAAGCACGTGCATGTGCGTTCCATTTATCTTGCTAGGTGGGAATCGTGCATCGCCCCTATGTAATGACGAGGATAACATGTCGAGCATATAATATATTGCTAGGAAGCCCCAGGTACTTTAGGAGTTTTCTGTCCAACTTTCATCGTTCGCTCTCGTCAAATTTCCGACTCACTCTACACTTATTAGATCACGATCATGGCAGTCGGTCAGCTCAAGACTTTGATCGGATCGATCAGGAGAAAGCCCTCTACCGCTCCTGACCGCAAAACAAATGGCGAAGCGGATCTGAAGCCTCTGAATGAGAAGACTTCGCTCATTCATGATCTAACACACATGGGCGTGAAGAATATGGCGACTGTGGCACAAGGCTTGACGACTATCGCGTCTGGCGAGCCCATGGACGATAAGGATTTGCTTCTCGAGCACGGTGTAGCTGCATTACAGACAGCTCCGCCAGATAGTGGATTGTCTGCAATGGTCTCGGAAGGCTTCATCAAGATGCTTTACAACGACCTCCCTCATCCACCAGTAACTCTGACCGGACCCACAGCACGATACAGAAGACACGATGGAGGCAACAACAACCCACATCATCCGGAAATGGGCAAGGCTGGCAGCCCATATTCACGTAGCGTACCACCTCTGAGGCCTAAAGGCCCCAATTTGCCGGATCCTGAACTAGTATATGAACAGCTACTCAAGCGGAAGGGACCATACCGCGAGCATCCCAGTGGTTTGAACAGACTGTTCTTCTCTTTCGCCACCATTGTCATTCACGAATGTTTCCAGAGTTCCAGGACCGATCCATGGATCAATGAGACCTCGAGTTATGTGGACCTCAGCACTCTATACGGAAATACCGAGGTCCAGCAAAAGACCGTACGCACCTACAAGAACGGAACAATTTTTGCAGACTCAATTGCCTCGGAAAGAATCATGATGATGCCTCCAGGAGTCATCGCAGTTTTGATAATGTTCTCAAGAAACCATAATAGCATTGCTCACTCTCTCCTCGCAATCAACGAGGAGGGCAAATACAAAAACTGGGATGCTCTGAACGAGGAGGAAAGAGCAGCGTGAGTGGCAACACGATCTAATGTGTCCGCAAATGCTGACCACATCACAGACAAGATGAAGACATCTTCCAACTCTCTCGCAATATAAATGTCGGCTTCTTCGCAACTGTCGTACTGAAGGACTATGTCGCTGCTATCTTAAACACACCTAGGGCCAACTCCGAGTGGTCTCTTGACCTAGGTGCTGAGATCAAGCAGGCTGGAACGCGAGTTGAGCGTGGTACCGGCAACGTTGTATCTGTCGAGTTTGCAGTCCTATACCATTGGCACGCAGCTTTAAGCGCTGCTGATGCAAAATGGATGGAGGATCTGCTCCGAGACAATCTGCCCAAACTTGGCTCGATAGACGATGTGACGCCTGGCATGTTCATGGAGGTCCTCAAGAACGAAGGTCACAAATTGAGGGATGCGTTACCTAAAGACTGGACCTTTGGTGGCCTCAAGAGAAAGTCAAATGGCATGTTCGATGATGTAGAGCTGGCAGAAATCATCAAAGACTGTATCGAGTCTCCAGCACATGCTTTTGGTGCACATGGTACACCTGCCAGTTTGAAGATTGTCGACATCATGGGCATGCTTCAGGCTCGAGACAAATTCCAAGTATGCACGATGAACGAGTAAGTCTTGATACCTTCAGCCCCGTCGAAGAGATACTGACTTTTCCAGGTTCCGTCGCTATCTGAATCTGAAGGCGTACTCGAGCTTCGAAGAGTGGAACCCAGACAAGGAAACCGCCAGAGCTGCTGAGCTTCTTTACGGTCATATCGATAATCTCGAACTGTACCCAGGGCTCATGGCTGAGGTCACTAAGCCACCTATGCCTGGAAGTGGTGTCTGCCCTGGCCAGACGACTGGCCGTGGTATCCTCGATGATGCTGTCGCACTGGTCAGAGGTGATCGATTCCTCTCGTACGACTTCAACAGCTCGACCTTGACCAACTGGGGTGTGGCCAAACTCAGCACTTCTCCACCAGGTGCCTACGGAGGCATGTTACCTCAACTGCTTCTCTCAGGGCTGCCGAATGCCTTCACCGGCACATCTGTCTATGCTCTATTACCGTTTTACACGCCAAAGGCTGCAGCAGGTATACTCAAGGGCAATGGAGTGATCGAAAAGTACGATCTCACGAGACCACGAAGCGACAGATCAATCGTCTCTGTACAGACACAAGAAGGGTGTAAGAAGGTCTTCGAAGACCGTGAGAACTTCCGAGTCATGTATCAAGCGGCCATCAGGCAATGCACAGATGGACACGACTTCATGATTGGCTGGGACCAACAAAAGAAGCACGACGATCGATCAAAGATCCTGCATAAGGTCTTCTTCGAGGAGAACTTTGAAGCCAACGTCACGAAGTTCTTCCGCAGCAACGTAGCACGACTCATCTCGGAGAGCTCGCTCAAGTATCAAGGTACCAGACGTTCTATTGACATTGTTCGAGACGTCACGAATGTCACGCCCATCTTGTGGTTAGCGGAGAGGTTTGCTATCCCGCTCAAGACCGAGAAAAATCCTCGTGGTATGTTGTCCGTTCCTGAGTTGTTCGCCATCTACCTGGTCTTGTTCATGTACCAGAGCTTCAACATCCAGCCACTTGTGGAGACAACCCTGAGAGAAGGCGCTACGAAAGTAGCACCCGTCTTACGCAAGATTCTGCAAACTCATCTCGAGACTCAACAAGGCTACAAGGAGACTGTGGTCGATTGGCTCGCAAAGGGTTCAGCATACGAGGTCGGTCCCGATGCAGACCGTATTTACCACGCCTTGAATGACACGAAGCTTCCTATCGGTGATTTGGTAGGCGACTGTATCGGTACGGGCGCTCCAGTTGCTGGTAATATCACTCAGCAAGCGTCGTTGCTCATTGATCTGTTCCTCAGCCCCGGCTACGAAGCCTACAAGGAACGCATTGTTGAACTTGCTCACAGAGACGACCCAGCTTCGGAGCGCGAGCTTCAAGGATTCGTATACGAAGGTATGCGTCACGCTGGCGTTGTCCCAGGTCTTCCTAGGGTAGCAGCTCGAGACGTTACCATCAACGACGGTACTCGTGGGCCGATCCACGTCAAAGCGAATCAGACTCTTTTGATCGCAACTTCAAAGGCTTCCATGGACCCTCTGGCTTTCCCTAAGCCTGAGAAATTGGATCCTCATCGTCCGTTCAGCTCATACGTTCTTCTTGGTCATGGTTTGCACTTCTGTTTCGGTGCGAGACTGGTCGGTGTCTCGTTGGCTGCTACACTCAAGGAAGTGTTCAAGCTGAAGAACCTGCGCAGGGCTAAGGGTCGTGCTGGCCAATTTTCAGTCACCGAGCATGAAATTGACGGAGTAAAAATGAGACAGTACCTAGATGCTAGCTCAAAGGAATCACCTATTCCTACGACACTCACGCTTGAATATGATGAGTAATCGGAAGTCTGTAGATCGGTGTAGTGTGTAATAGTTTCGGACCAAGATAATTCTCTTCCCAACAGACCAGATAATAATGAGCGATGCGAAAATGTGGGCAAATTGTTGCAGCCTTTCCTGCAGATGATACCCTGGAATCCTTCGGTGATTGTCTGTACTGTTCCTCGTTTAAGAAAACCATATTTAGGATGCAAACGAACGTCCCTGTACATACGGCCACAGTCAGCTGAAAACTGGGCATCCCGTCCGCTCTGCCATACATAAGCAGTTGAACGGCAGATTAGTACTACGGTGGGTGACCACGTGGGAATCCCTGCTGCTGTATGTTTTGCGTTCTTTTTCTGTATTGTCCACGCATCCCTCGTCCATACAGTGGAACTGACGTAGATCCGGATCCAAACATATAGTCCATATCCTTTGGTCGAGAAAAAGATGAGCTCAAGTACATAGCGTTGGCCATCAAATCTTAGGCCTCAATGCAGTATTATGTTTCTGCATACTCTCCACTCTAGGAGGCCGTCGCAGAGGTGATCATGATTACTTTTTTGATCAAATCTGGCATGCGGAACGGCTTCGTGATTGTGTCGTCCATACCAGCCTCTATCGCTTGCGTCATCTGCTCGGCCCTTGCATTGGCTGATACGGCCACTATCGGAATGTGATCGCAAATCAAGCCGTTCTTCTCATACTCGCGAATTTCTCTTGTCGCTGAAAGGCCGTCCAGAATTGGCATTTCGACGTCCATGAGGATCAAATCGACTTCTCTGTCCAGAATATTGCGGTTTTCACGCCAGTGTCGCGTCGAGCGAATGAAATCCAAGGCTTCTTGTCCGTTATCTGCGACTGCGACTTGGTAGCCGTGTTTGACAAGCTGCATCTTCATTATTTTCTGGTTCACCACATTGTCTTCGACCACGAGAACACTGATTCTGCTTTTTGGATGTACCATGTCGGTTCGAGGGATTGAGCTGGATTTGACGGGTGAGCTTTTCAAAGGTTCGGGACAGCTCGTACGATAAGCTTTGACGAAGAAAGCGAAGGTTGATCCTATGCCTGCTTGAGACTCTAGACCAATCATTCCTCCCTGCATTTCGCAAAGCTGCTGACTGATGCAGAGACCCAAGCCAGAGCCGCCATAGTCATTGTATGTCCTAGCCGAGGCCTGTGAGAATCGACTGAACAGTTTGCCCTTTTGTTCTGCTGTCAAGCCTGTTCCGGTATCCGTGACAGTGAAGTATAGATAGACGGGTTGGTTTTCCGAGCTCTCGCGGCTCTGTTCGTATGACTTCTTGCTCAACACGAAGTTTACACCGAGTAGAGCTTGAGTTGGCGGTGAAACCGATGCACCCATACGAATAGTAACTTTTCGGACGGACCGTTTCCTGGAGAATTTTAAGGCGTTGGAAGTGAGGTTGACCAGAATCTGACGCACACGACCCATGTCAAGCATTATCCAATCAATCTTCAGCTCCTGAAGAGAAGGGTCGACTTGCGTCACCAATTGGACCAGTTGGTTGGCGGCTTCTGCTTCGTACGACTTCTTGATATCAGAAAGTAGTGATATGACCTGTGCAGGGTTTGGTGCAAGTTGTAAAAGCTTGGAGTCGAGCTTTGACAACGCGAGCACATCGTCCGCGATTCTGAGCTGATGGGAGGAACATGCGATGATCGTATTGGTAGACTCCACACTTTGGTCGACAAGTTCCCGCAGGCGGTTTATAACTTGGCCGTCGTTGCTCAAATTGTCGCTCAGCATAGCTCGTACTTCTGATAAAGCCTCTAGAAGTGCGTCGGAACAATTGACCACGGCTCCAAGAGGGTTTCTCATCTGTGTCAGGCGTCAGTGATTGAGCTTCAGATCGAAGACTACGCTTGTACCTCGTGACTGGTCAAATCCATGAAACTATTCATGATTAGTCAAAGATAGCTCATGGTTGGTCTCTACACTCACTGCTCTTGCTGCCTTCGAGCCTCCAAAGCTTCTTCCATTCTGATTTTTTGTGAGTTTTCCGCGAACTTCATGACACTAATATCCTCCATCGTGCCAATTATCGTTGAAATGGACCCATCTTGTTTGTGTTCTGGGAAAGCGTTTGTCGAAATCCAAACAGGGCCCATTGAAACGCCATGTTCGTTTACACATTGTCGCGATAGCCTGAACTGGCAGGACGATTTGGTTGGATCGTCAATAATTCCTTTCCAGAAGGTGGTGACAGCGCCCATGTCGTCCTCGTGAATAAGACGAGGCCAGTCAATCTGATCAAAAGCAACCACGGGATGACCAGTCAGCTCGAACCATGCTGGATTCACATATGTCACCGCTCCCTGTTGACGCTCTATCAAGTACTGCGAAAAAGATAAGTCGGCGCCTGAGATGAAAGGACATCGATGAGACAGAACGCACCATGGCCACGGGAGAACTACTTGCAAAATCGAATAGTCGTTTATCGCTGGGTCCTATCGATGCAGATTCTCCGCAGTGATATTGTGAGCAAGTATCGCAAGTCTTTGAGACTGATGGAGCTGTACCAGCTTCGGTCCCAAGCACAGAGTCGACATCCGTGACACCTAGACATGTGGTGTCTGATGTGATGTCCTGTATCATTACATAAGTGCTAGGTATTAGAGCGCTCAAATTGATGCCCGTCCAGCGGTATACTTGTTCATCTTGGGCCTTGTCAATGCACACCAATCTTTCTTGTTCATTAAGAGGAAGACCAACGCTTTTTCTGGAACTCTGGCGTAATGAATATTTGACTAACTCAGTGGGTATGTTGATTTCCACGTCCCGCAAGGCTCTTCCCATGTCCGTCGCTTCCTTTGCGAAAAGTTGACCATAAGCTTCGTTGTAGAACAGTTGCCGATCGTGTCCTAGAAAAAGCAATCGAGGTTGGGAGTCCAAAACAGCTATCTGGCAAAGCTGGAGTATTTCTGCTGGCCATGAAGTAAGAGGGCCTATCGTTGTTGCTTCCCAAGGGGTGTCCAAGACATGCTGCAAATGCCGGTGCTGTCCTGAAGTGCTGGTATGAGGAATCTGCAGAACATCATGTCCACTCTGTAACAGAGGCTGGCATACGCGTCGCATGTTTTTGCACCAGATACAACAAAACAAGTGAAGTTGATGGAAAATTAATGGTTTCGGATTGACAAGCGTTAGAAGCCAGGAATGCTCGACAACCAATATTCGCCACCCGTGGTCTAGACTCTTGTCGGCATCCAGCAAGATAAATCTCACGCACAACAACCGTCTTTGCTAGGACTTCTGACAAATAAACCTATCCAGAGCATTGAATGTTTCGACGAAGTCATAAGGTACTTGAGTGGTCTGCAGGCTTCTTGGTGACGGCAGACGACCATTGTAGTGATAGCGGAGTCGGTCACTTGCGACGCATCAGAGCGTTACGAGACTTTCGTGTTGCAGACGACCCAGAGCACCTGCGCATTGTCTGTGAACTAGGCCGCATACGCTTCACTCAAAATGCTCTCTTGATTCATGTTCTTAGGGAAAGGCACAGTCAAAGGGCGGAGTCATAATCCTTTGCTATCGGATTCGGCAAAAGCTGGTTCTTCCAAACCGCGGCTCTGGCAGACTTTCAGCCCACCCGCGAACTCGGCCGTTCGGTTCGCCATAAATGGCAAAAAGGCGATATCTTGGAGAGCTTGGCATGAAGGTCTGGAGAAGCAGCCAGTCGGTTGAATCCGCTTGAATGCAGATTTGAAACCCTACTTAGCGTTGATAGGTCGAGCAATACACCAGCAGAAGTCTATTGTTGCCACATGTCCGCGTGCTTGTTGCTCAGAATGGTAATCGACCCCCGCGCGACTCGTAGAAAGTCATGAGAATTATGCCACAAGAAGGACGAGCAGTGTAATCTGCTGCTCGCCGAATGCATCTGCCGGTGTCTCTGCGTGAAGAAGGAGTGCAGAAGTACTTTGTCTACCGAGCAAGTCTCGTTGCCGCGTCTGAAGAAACTGTCATTGTTTAGCGCGTGCCTGGATCAACCAAGGCTAGGCCCGAACCCCATCGCTCCCTATTTGCACTTCAAGCCGTCTGTGAAACACATGAGGTTGACGGCTTCCCTACAACGCGGTCCTGCGTCTTTGTTACTCTGACACACATCAAATGGACATTCTTGGATACGATCATGGTCTGCCTGACCTTGATCTCCCCAAAAACAATGACAAAGATGCGCTCGGTCTGAACAACGACACTCAGATTGACTCGCCGCAACAATACTCGAGCGACTTCTACTACTCAGCGCCCGTACCTGTGACGATACCGAACTCTTTGATGCCTGTTCCTAGTGTCTTGTTGGAGAATCCCATGAATTTGATCTACTGCCATTACTTTATCAACTACACAGCGAACGTCCTGGTAACTCATCAGTGTCCATCAAATCCCTTTTCAACAATCTTGCCGCAGCTCGCCATGCAAGATGACAATCTCTTGCGACTTCTCTTGGCATACGCAGCCTGTCACAGAGCTCGACTCCTGCGACATGCTGAGCCCAAAAATCGCATTGCGACGTGGGTCACACCTGTGTTTCCTTCTTTGCGCGAGGCACTCTCAGGCAATGACCCGATTACCGACTCAGAAATCGGATCTTGTGTAATGCTGGCCTCTCTTACACAATCATATCCTCTTGCATTCGATCTACCAATTTCATGGCAGGAGCATCTCAGCCTGGCGCGACGGCTGTACGGTCTACGAATCAGTCAAGAAGGACTCCAGAGAACCAGTGCGACCTTTTTCTTTGGCAGATGGTTTGCTTACTTGGACACTTTTGGAAGCGCGAGCAGCGACACCTATCATGGCGCATATTACGAATGGTCACGGGAGCTGAAACTCGCGGAAGAGGTATCCGAGCTTCAATGCCTAGCTGGCTTCACCAACAAGTCACTAGTTTTGCTATCACGGACGGCTGAGCTGGCCAAGCGCTGTGATTATGAGCGGAACTTATATGGCCAGCCAGCTGTCCAGACAATCACGATGTCTCAGCAATTGAGAATGAGCCTGGAACTCTTCACGCTGGAAGTCAAGCACACACGTTATGACTGTGCTTGCTCGCAGTCATCCACATCCTCGACGGAAGTCTATCGTGCAGTCAACGCAGCGATCACTCATGCTGCCTTGATCTATTTGCACCGCCGCGTATATATGCTTCCCTCCGAGTCTCGCCTGGTGCAATTCTCCGTCAACGCCATTCTGGAAGCCTTCAACGAATTGAAAGGATACAACGCTTTTGACACTCCAGACATCATCTTACCCCTCTTCCTCGCAGGCTGCGAAGCAAGAGATCCTGGGAAAGCCGTCGACGTATTGCAGCGCCTGCAGAGCATTGAAAATGCTGGTATGGGACAAGTGGTTCGTGTCAAAGCTTTGCTGCAGGAATGCTGGGACGGCAACCGAGACTGGACTTTATTAAAGCACAACGTTCTCCTTGGTTGAGATGATTGAGGACGTGTTTTGAAGAACGAACCACACAACTGCCAATTCTTTAAGAAGAAGGGCTTTCAAGATCCACACTTTGGCTGGAGACAGACGCATATCGTCGTTCGTTACGAATGCCATTACGGTCGCGCATGACGCTTCCCGAAGAATGTTATGAATCTTCTGCTCAGGCCCAGTTCATTGCTACTCGCACAGGTGTTGGCAAAAGCTTATGGCCTCCCACGACCACACGACGCACATTGTCCGGACAGTGTTTGATGCACGATCCCTGGTCAAGAGATCATCCAGCGCAGCAGTAGACGTTGGTCGATGATCGTTCCGCGCGTGGTCGAAGAGGCTCGAAATCGGAATTCGCAATTCGCTTCGCATTCGATAGCCACCAACATGCGTGGTACTCAAGGGCAATTATGTATGATCATCGCGGTCCAACATACGACCAGGATTTGGGTCAATGGATATAAATGCCATGTGGGCTGGTGACAGATTGGACTAGTCATACAAAACCAATGCAAAGACGTACCGTCACTGGTCCTAACTATTCAATGATTAATTGTAAGACGCAGCCTAATCAACCCCCCCCCCCCCCCCTAATCTCAAGTGCCTCCTTGCACAAAGCCGCCAAAAATGAAACATGCCTGCACGTGTAAAGCACTCAATCTCAACAGCATCAGGATGCCTCGCCTTGGACTCGGATCACTTCAAAATAGCACCAGTACATCGTCGCTCAATAGGCTTGAGAGCTCGTTCGGAGTTCCTCAGGATACGAGCCGTCGGCTATGAAATCTGAGAGCTGCGTGCGGCACTGGATCCCTCGTCGGTACCATGCTCAAGGACCTCACTAATTGCGCCAACATGAACCTGAGGATCGTTGGGGGTGTCAGATTCCATGGCCTGGGAAACAGGTTCAGCGTGGGGTCAGATCAATGTAAAAATCACGAATTGATCACTAAAGCACAAGATGTTTTCGGTTATAACAAGCTCACTCAGGAGCCTTTCCATACTTGTACAATTGGGATATATAAAACGCCCGGAAAGACTTGAGACAGTCTCTCCAAGCTAAATTTCAAGAATTAAAACATCTCCATAACTTCAACTTCGAACAGCACACTCTACATCCCCGTCGCATCATTCGCACCACGTTCCATTCACATCAGACCATCAGACATTGATAGTAAAATGCTTACAGAAGCATGACGGCACCAGCGGCGGCACCGAGGAAACCAAGACCGGCACCAACGTGGGCAGCGGCACCAGTGAAGGCGACGGGCTTGGTGGTGGTGGCAGTGGCGGGCTTGGTGGTGGCAGCAGCAGTACCGTTGCCGGCACCGCCAGCAGAGGGCATCATGGAGCCCTTGGCGGAAGAGGCAGCAGGGCCGGTGGCAGCGGAGCCAGCGGGCTTGGTGACGGTGCAGGGGCACTAATAGATTATTAGTTTGCTGAGCTGGACGATTTGCATGTTTCATAGCAACTTACGTCGGTAATGGTGATGGTGGTGGCAGAGCTGACGGTGAAGACCTTGTTGGCAATGGTGGTAACGTAGGCAGCGGCGGTAGCAGCAGGGCAGTAAGTAGTAACGCTGGTCGCGAATTAGACCTAATTGATCAAAAGGTGATTTGGCAAACGACTTACGCAGTCACAACTTCGGTGACGTAAACCATACCGCCGGAGGTAGCGGCAGCGGTTCCGTTAGCGGCAGCAGTGGAAGCAGGAGCTCCGGGAAGGGTAGAGTAGCCCTCAGTGAAGGGGTTCTCGCCGAGGCAAGAAGCGTACTCGGAAGCGCACTGTGCCTGGTTGGCAGAGAGGCCGTTGACACGGGTAGTTCTGCAGGTGTTGTAGGCGGTGTAGCAGTCGCCCTGGCACTGTGCGTTGTCGGCAGCACACTGAGCCTGGTTGGCGCTGAGGCCGTTGACGCGGGTGGTTCTGCAAGTGTTGTACTTGAGGACACAGCCGGTGGCAGGGACGGCACCAGCGGTGGAGTTCTGGGCCATGACGGCACCGACGAGGGCAGCGGCAACAACAGCGTACTTCATATTTGCGGTGGTGGTGATATAAAACTTGGAAAGTATTAAAAAGGTTGTAGTTGGTGCTGAGTAGAGCGAGTGTGGAAGTTGGATCGATTAGTAGAGATGAACGACTGTAGTTGTGGATGAGAAAAAGAAAAGCAGCGTCGAAGGTGAATGAGCGCTTATATACCACATTCCAAAGAGATGCTTCTTCCCAATGACATGGTACGAGGGCTTGAGGGAGTTTGCCGGTGGGCTTAGCTCCAGGAACCAGGAACCCGTCACGGAGAGTTCGACCTCGTATCCACAACGGCTCCTCATCTTTGAACCTTGGTGTGATCCAATTGGGCGGGGGAATAAAGCAACAGTGCAATTTTAGCCTGGCTCGACTTAGCTTTGCTTCTCTTCCCTCGGAGCATGAATGAAGATCATGCTTCACAGTTTGGAGCATACGGGTTCCTGCAGAAGCGCCTTCTTCCTGTAGGCAGTGGCAAGCGATGCTGTAAGACACGCCACTTGGAAAGGCTCGAGATGCTGTTATGTCTCAATCCAAAGATAGACACATCACCAACTGTCGCCGTTTCGTTGCCACCCAAGAGAAGACCTGCAGGTGTTGACTAACCACCACCAAGACACCTACTCTTGATCACACTTCGTAATCGATACCCGTTTCGGGAGATTGTGCGGGTTAAATTGGTTTTGAACCTGCTCATGGTGACTCTCCAAGAGGAAAGTGTTTACCCCTCTCGACGTCAGTTATCCAGGAGGGAAGGATCCGAGCGCTTGTGGAATGATAGATGCATCTAATCCATCAACGTCTCGTTAAGACCCCTCGACCGGTGTAGTGAGATGAGTATACCTCGCATCGCGGCAAAAATACGAAGGGGTTGCTGTTTGTTGTTGCAATACGACCAGCAAGGAGAAAGGCCCTCGAGTCGAGACCGAGGCATCTCTCGTATGGCGGCGGATGCGGCCGAGCGATCTGCTTGGCAATGCAACCAATACGCGGGGTAATTACTCGATCAACAGTCTGCGCTGGAAACATCTTCAACATTTTCGAAAATTCGGCATTTTTTGCAGCATCGCGCTTCTGTCCTGCGTGCGCCGGAAAACGACGTTGATAGGATATACGAAGTTCGGCTACCTTTGGAACAATCAACCTGAGCCTCTTACGTATTGTGATAGATCTCCCCGATTCAGTCCTATTTCTGGGCAAGGCTTGAAACAGAAACAGAAACACTATCACCGTTGAGGAACAGGCGTCTAACCGTGAAGAACCATCAAAACTTCAGCTGGGGAAGGTGGACGCCAGAAGTCATGATCACGAGGTCGCTAGCATCCAAGACATACAAAACTGCTTCCCTGCCACCAACAAGCTTCTGCTCCTTCAGAAGCCAAATCGCCACGATCGACACTTTTGTCAACGGAACCATCGCAAAAGTTATTGAAATTGAAATTCTGAAAGTCTTGGCCTTCTTAATAGTTTCGTTTGTGATGGGCAGACAATAGTCTCCCAGCCATTTACTTCCCCTCTTTCCACGCTGTTTAAGCAGGCGTCAATGTATCTGCAAATGTCTCCCAGCCACTTCTTTCCCATGGTGCCAGTACTATTGCCCTTTGTGCATCTCTGACCACTCCTGTACCTGCAAACGCCTTTGCCAATTCCTGCGCTCCAAGATCGCCGTACGGTGGAACAGCTCTTTGAGAGGTCAATAGTGCCATCTGAGCCGGGTACGCCTCTTCGGTTAGATCTGTCAGCTGCGTCCAACCATGACTTTGGTGTGGCGCAAGCATAATGGCTCTCTGTGTCTCAACAAGTGCATCTTTTTCCGACGCATCAGAAGAAAGACCTGCGATGGCACCAAGGACTTGTTCAACATGCTCGCGGTCGTAGATGGATGTGCTATCGTTGGTGCGCAGGGACGCAAGGTCATCACGAACGGCATCAAGAGCATCTGTATCGTTGTCCAGTGCAGCGATTGCGCCAAGAAGAACAATAGACGGGACATGAGAATCATGCTTCTCGATGCAGTCGAAGAGTTGGTCGCGCGCAACAGACTTCTCCTCATCGCCACCCTTGGCCCACAAGACTTGAACCAGCAGGCATACAACATCTGGGTCAGAGTTGCTCTCCTCAAGTGCTGACCTAAATGCAGCGATAGCGTCGTCCATATTTTGTAGGTAGAAGGCGGCAAGACCTGCGGTCAGATGAGCCGACAAGCGAACCTTACGTCTGCTGTCGGGCTCCAGACCACTTGCCTCGGCTTCAGCGGAAAGGTCAAGTGCGGTACCTGCGTTCTCTGCCGCTGCCTCGAAATCCTTTGAGGCAAGCTGATTTCTAGCAAGGTCTGCCTTTGCCAGAGCGAAACGTCCGAGTGATGTGAGCGACTCTGTAGCTTCGTAATCAGACTCGGCCAATGTGCAAAGACTTGTAAGCATCTCGATAGCAGGCGCATGATCGCCTACACGTTCTGAGAACAGAGAAGCGAGGTGGTTGAATGCTTGGTCCGATGGCACCTGTCTGTGCAACTGCTCCAATGCAAAAAGTGGCTCAATCAATGCAGTGATCCCACTTGATGCTGAGTTGTTTGCGAGCAGGTTGTCAAAGACAGATACAGCGTATTGACGTTTCGAGATTAGAGAAGCAGAGTCTGAGATCTCGAATGCATGAGTGAAATGCGACAGGGCCTCCTTCTTGTCTCCCATCATAAGCGCGATCAAGCCTTCGCCAAGCCATGCATGCGCATAGTCGGGATCTGTTGATTGAGCACGACCGAAGGCTTGATGAGCCAGTTCATAGTCGTTGTTAATGAGGTATAGAACACCAAGATTGCACCATGTCTTTGCGCTGCGCTCGTTCAGATATAGTGATCGGACGAAAGCGTGTTGTGAGACCTTAGGATTCAACCTAGTTGTAATGACACCAAGGGAGTTCCAAAATTCGGAGTTGCCTGCTTCAAGCTCAATGGCACGCTTGAAGCATCTGACAGCTGCACGAAGAAACTTCTTGCCAGCCTTGGCATCGCTATTACTGAAAGCCTTATGTTCTGCCCAACCAAGGTTGTACCAGGCCACGGCTTGAGCGTGTACATCGTTTGCACAGCTGAAGATGGCGCGTTTGTATGCCAGCAGGGAAAGTGCCAGGTATTCGGAGCAAGCAACAGACTTGTCCTGTGATGACGCTTCGAGGATCTTCGAGTCGACACCGTCAATCTCTGACAGGATACTGAACTCCTTGACGTCGACATCCTTAGTCAGCATCTGCTTGGTCATAACACTAGGGAATATGTCGAGTCTATCTTGAATCCAGTAGAAGATTGAGCAAGCATCCCCGACTGCCTTCCAGAGATTGAAAGCTTGAGGTCTCAACTCTGTGATCTTCTGTGCAAGCTCAATTGCTTGCACTGCACTGTGAGCAGCTTGACCGAAGAAGCCAGTCTCGACACATCTCCAGGCCTTTTCATTGTAAGTCTGCAAGAGTGCGATAAGAACACCAAACTCCTCGGCCCTGCCACTGAGAACTTCTTGTAGGCCAGCAATTGCCTCGTCATGTTCGCCAAGCTCTCTGTTGACATTGGCAAGCATGTAGCGTGTGAACCAACTCTGACCTGTGACGTTCATAGAGACGCCTTCACGGGGCGCTTCGGCGTAGACGAATGTTCGACTCGCGGAGTTATAACGACCAGAGTTGTGGTAACTTTCTCCAAGACCAACATATGAGTGGTAGTCGTTCGGGCTGATTCTGAGTGCCGACAAGAACGAAACTATCGCCTTGGTGTACTCTTGCTTTGTCATTTGCACGACACCAAGAGCTGAAAATGGCCAGCTGATACCCTTCTTCTTTGAACCTGGTGGTGGACGGACCTTGCCTGAGTCAACAACTCTTTGTGCGACAATCTCGACGATATCCCACTCGCCTTGGTCGGCGAAGGATCGTGCCAGTCTTTCCGCAGCCTCAACCTCAGAACCTGACAACTCGAATGCCTTCTGGAAACACTGACGTGCTCTCTTCTTGTCCTTGGCATAATCGGCGTAGTAGTATCCAAGAGATGTGTATGCAGGTGCGAGGTTGACATTTGTCCTGATTGCAGACAAGAATCTGGCGTAAGCTCCGTTGCGGTCTCTTCTAGCAGTTTTCGATGTATCAAGGTTCCATAGACAGATACCAGTGCGGTAAAGTGTTTGTGCCCTAAGCTCTCGTGATTTGGGGTCGTCCAACTTCAGATCAGGTAAGCATTTCTCCATGGTCTCGAAAGCAGGACCGTAGTTGCCGCGTAGAGCATCGCACCATGCTGACTCGATCTCGATGCGGACATTGCTGGGATCCTGCTCCAGAGCTTGTGACAAAAACTTGACTGCTTCGTCAAACTCCTCTTGCTCTTCCAGAATGAGGCCTAGCCCGATCAGAGTCGCGGTGTGCTTGGGCTTCCGTGCGAGAATGTCGTTGAACAAGTTTCTAGCTTCCGGATGATTCTTTGGTGACTGATGGTACACCAGTGCAGTGGCGAGTGTGCTGTTGAAGGCATCCTTGTTGTCCTGCAATACGAGACCAGACTTTCTAACCTCTGATTCGAGCATCTTAAGACCGTTTCTAGCGACCTCTGCAGCACTCTCATATTCCTCAAGGTGGAGATAGTACTCTGCGACGAGGCGGTGGGCTAGAACTGACTTGCTGCCATCTTCGAGACCTTCGCTCATCAAAAGAATTCTATCCTCCTGATTGAGAGGTGCCTCGACGTCCTCCTCTTTTTGTTCAGGGTCTTTTGGCGGTGCGGGGAATGGTGAAATTTCGCAGTCGAGATAAGCCTTGAGCACTTTTCCGAGGCTGGTCTCTGGGAAGAACACAAGATACTCTCTCAAGACGCCAACATCGAGATCTGATATACTCGCGACATCCTTCCAGTCCAGATGCAGAGACCAGGCCAGGAGGAAGGGATCCTTGATAATGACCATGCCGTGTACGGTATTCAGTACTTGCTCGCGCTTTGCAGCCTTTGCCTCTCCAGTCAACACAATCAATGTGTCGTAAGCTCTTTGCAGAAGCTTTTGTTCATATTCTCGGCGGATCTCGTCGTCGTTGGTCCAGTCAATCAGTTTTTGATACAGCTCTTCAATGTTGCTCTTTGTGAACACTTCTCGGCGAACATCGGTGGTTACCTGATTGATTCGAGCTCCTAGTCTGGTTCTTCGCTCACCGATTTCCTTGTTGATGCGTTGCTTCTCCTCTTCCTCAGTGATTTCAATAAGGCGTGTGTAGGTATGCGATGGGCTTGGTAAGCGACCTTCCAAGAACTCATAAACGGGGCTTCCAGGTAATTGCGCTTCCAGTGCTCGTTTATACTGTGCTGTGGTACCATTTTCTTTGGTGAACTCTACCAATTTGTTGATAGTAGTTTGACATTTGTGAGCATCATCCGCCGCTGCTTGAATCTCGGCGACTTTGAGAGCTGCTTCGCGGTACTCGTCTAGTTTGACACCACCTTGACTCTCGTACAGATTGCAGAGACCGAGCCATGCTTGTGCATCATCAGGCTTGATCTGTGCGGCTGAGTTGTATGTTTTTGCCGCATCATCAAGTTTATTTTGTTTCTGGTATGCGCGTCCCAAGAAAAGCTTACTTAGGTCGCAGTCAGTATACCGATTAAGCAGATGTCAAGACAACATACGCAAAGTAATTCTCAGAATCTGATGCTAGGACGATTTGAGCTTGAGTGACAGCATCATCGTAGTTCTCGGCGTCCAAGGCGACTTTGGCAGCCTTCAGCGCGGCCTTGTTGCTAGACATGGTCGACTGTGGAACAAGCTGACAGGGATCGGTCCCGAAACTTGACTCTGATAGATTAGAGAGACGAACGAGTGCAGGTGATTTGGCATGTGACAAGCACAAATTGTTGTCTTGAATGATTTCTAGAGGGAGCGCGCATCAATGACGTTTTTGGTGGAAGAAGCTCGGACTTTCGATCTTTGTATCCACTTTCTCGATGCGATCTCAACCCTCTTTTGCTTGACCACTGTCTTGCAAACGCTCACGCGAGGCTCTGTAGATGTTGTAGATGCTGTCTTAATCTTGTTTAGACCTTGGGTTCCTGACAATATCGTCTGGTCAGGAATCCTATAGTAGCAACAAGAGAAAGTGCTTTCCATGCCAAGACCACTAAAGTTCAAACAACCAAACATCCAAACAACTACCAACACATCTGTATACCACAAACTCATCGCGGCTCTTCCAACACCTGCGAACCACGAACACCATAATAATTTTCAAGACCACGAAACGCCAGAATCCAATCAAAATGAACAACCACCCAACCTTCACCCCCTCAACTCCCACACCCCTAGAATACTCCCTCTTCTCCCCCTCCAAAGCAGCAGAACAACAACGCCTACAAGAAGACTGGACCTACATCCACTCTTTCCTACGTCAAATATACCCACCACCAGCCAAAGTCCCAAAATTTGAAGAGAACGAAGAGACATTAAAGGCACTTTTGGCATTAGCCAATGCTAATGAAAAGGCTGATGAAGGATGGAGTGTTTTTTGCGCGGTTGAGAGATTAGGAGTTGAGGAATTGGAAAGAGAGGAAGAGGTATGTGAATTTCTTCAACTCTAAAGAAAGATCACATCATTCATGCTATTTACTGGCAAAAAGCAATCACAGTTTTTGAAAATTACTGTATTTCTAACACACATCTACAGACACAAACCCTAACAAAAGATCGTAACACATCCATCCTCACCACCCTCCACACCTCCCTCTCAAACTCCGTCTCCTTGAACCTAACCTCCCACGCAAAAACCGCTGTCATTTTAAACAGTACCGCTACATCTCCAACCACCCTAGCAACCTCCATCCTAACCCTCTCTTCAAACATCTCATCCCTCCAGCACCAACTCTCTACCCTGGAAACCCTAACAACCACCCTAACACTCCAAACCTGCTTCCTTGACTCCGAACTCAAAACCCTTACCTCTCCATCCTTCAAAGCAGAAAAATCCCTCCCACAAAAGACATTAGAAACACTTCGACAAACCAAACTCTTGAAAGCGAAAATTGGCGAATATGATCAAAGGTTGTTGCGGAATTCTTCATCTAGTAGTATTCCAGAAGCTTTGTTGTCTTCTGTGGAAAGTGCGAGAGCAGAGGTGGAGAGGTTGCAGAAAAGGGTGCGAGGAGTGGAAGATGGGATTTCTGTGTACGAGGGTGTGGCGCCAGAGCCGAGGGAGGTGAGGAGGCAGATGCAAGAATTACGACGGGAACTCGAGGGTTGGGTAGAACGGCGAGATGAGTTATTCGAGAGCATGGTTGCTGGTAGACGATAAATTGACTTGATCGTAATTCGTAAACATCGGCTCTACTATACTCTATTCAGGGGAACAAGGTAGTCTAATACCCCATTCCATACCCTCTGACCCTGCTGAACAAAAACGCTTTATCATTCTTCAATCCAAACTCGCCCCAATCGTCAGTCAAGCGATTGTAACTCCAGAATCCCTTCCAAGATAATTTATTGCCTCCTGCTGATTTCTTGCCCCTGCTGCCAAGTGCAAACTGCATCTTCCACATGTACTTTGGAATCACACCATCAGTCTCAATGTGGACATCTCCTTCGGCCTCGGTGTCTGCATCGTTACCAGGACCCGAGAGACGCCAACGACCCCGCAGAGCATCTTTCATGACGCTGTTGGGGAGTAATGAGCCAGTGGCGTAGGAGCGCAGGTTTTCCTTTGTGAGATGGTGTACTACATCAATTGGTTCAGTTGTGGTGAGAAGAGAGATGCAAGAACCGTCGCGGAAGAAGCGAAGGTAGCGGAAGTAAGTAACAATGAGAATGGGAGTGCCCCAGGTAGACGAGTTTGTGTTTGTAGCTCCAGGACGTTGGTAGTTTACTGTACTGATGTAGCAGCCATTGAAGCGGAGACGAGGTCGTGAGCGAAACATCTGGCGCCAGGAGGATGAGTAGAGGGAGTGGAGTAGTGTATTGTCGATTTCTGGGGTAGTTTTGGAGGGGCGAAGGGGTGTGACGATTTGTTGTTCTTCGTCCGAGTCAATGTCTTGTCCTTCGGAAAGGTAGGCTGCGTCGTCGTCGAGATGGGGATTGACGGGCTCGCCTTTGAGATTGCAAACATAGTTGTAGTGCATGCCTGCGAAGCCAAATTCTGGACCTTGGGCAACGCGCTTCCAAATAGCCTCGTCGGTCATGACAAGGAATGCAAATCTCTTGCAGACCAGAGCGACTTTGGCGAGTGATGCCAGGTCATTGACAGCGGCCCAAGTCAAGATGTCAGACAAGATCTCGCCGGGAAGGTCTGCTATTGGACACGGCGGCGCTGGGTCGGCGTCGGTAGGGGCTGGGGCGCCAGGTATGGAGAGCTGAGAGAATTGGTCCACTAACTCAGACAGAGTCGGTGGTAAGCCGTGAGACGAGTGGTGTGCAGTGCCGGGCACAGTCTGCGAAGCATTTGAAGGGTTTGGTTGTTGTTGTTGCTGCACTGCAGGTTTTGGCTTTGGTGGGAAAGCCGAAGGAGGGAAATGCTTGTTCTTGTATTTCTCGTGTACGCGGTCGTCCATCTTGAAGGCAGTGCGGTAGAGGGCGACACTGTCTCCTAAGCTCCCCATGGTCTCTTTCTCTACCGCCTTCTCATAATGTTCCAGAGCAGATTGAGGCTCCTTTGTCAAGGCGCCTCTGGCGATGACTTGTTCGAGGGCGTCGACTCTGAAGTCTGCGTCTTTGTCCGCTAAGTCATAATAGACCTGGGAAGCAACGTCCTCTTCTTCGTTTTCATCATGTTTGTGTTGTGGTCTTGGCTTCGGAGCGGACGACGAGGGAGGAGGGATTCTGTGTTGACGAAGTGAAGGAGCAGCTTCTGAGCGTTGTTGATTGTTTCGTGATTGAACCTCGGCGCGCCATTGTCGTCTGAAGGCTTCCAACTCGGCGTCGGCATCCTTGGGAGGTTGATCCGAAGACATGGTGGTCGATTGCGATTGATAGTCGTGGTATGCACGGGACGGTCTAGATCGGCATAGGCTCGTGGATGAGGTCTATCTGAGGAGTGACGTAGGATGGCTGGTCTAGCCAAACGGGCATGTGTATATTCTGTGCCGTCGAGACAAAGTGGGAGCAGCAAGAGACGGACAAGGACAGAGGAGGTATATAGCAGCTGGCAGGAGCAGTAGGAGCAGTATGAGAAGTGGAAGGAACGGTATGAGAAGTGGAAGGAACGGGAGGTGATGCGGTGTCAGTTTCCAGAGGATCTCAACTGTTATCGCCGAGGCAAGAGGGTCCAAAATCCGGAGAGGCAGAGGGAAAAAATGCTTAAGCTTCGGGCATGACGGCCACTCGAGGCGGGCGCCATCGGCCGTCTGTCCATGCAATTGTGACGCTGTCGACTTGTTGTATCCCACTCCCACCAATCCATACCCCTCACCCACTGCTCGACACCTATCCGCAACTCCCCTCTCCCAAATCTCAATCGCCTCTCCACATAGCGATTTCACGTCTTTGTCCTCCCATCTCGCGCCGGCGTCAATCTGCACCATCTCCGATCTTATCAATCAGCGCCGCCGACAAGTCCATCTTTCTCTGAACCCTTTGTACACGACACGACTCGTCACAATCGGCCGTATGGCCTACCTTGGTTCTCCTGCCGCGAATCAACCTGCTACCGATTTCGGGAATATCCAACAACCCTCGGTCCCCTCGCAACCGCTAGACGACACTCCTGCCGCCACAATGGATCAAGAAACTTCCATTACCCAAAAGATGATGTCTGCCGTCACTGGCAGCATCCTGACCTCGTTACTTGGTGTGTTATCTCCCATACTTGCATCCCTCTGTTTCTCCGGCTAACCACCCTCTAGTCACCCCCCTCGACGTTGTGCGCGTCCGACTACAAGCTCAATCTGGTCCGTCTCCCTCCAATGCCTCCACCTCACCCTCTTTTGCGCGCCTTCCTCCCAATCTCGGCATCTCCGCTTGCTGTAGAGAAATCTACTACGTCCCCAACCAGAGCTCATACTGCATGGCCTCTTCTGGAGGTCTGGCTGTCGACGAAATGCTTATTTCTCAATGTGTGGCAGAGGAGACTGAGCGACGAACTTTCAACTCCACCATCGATGGTCTGAAGAAGATTGCGAGAAACGAAGGTCTCACAACTCTATGGCGCGGCTTGAGTCCTACTCTACTCATGTCCGTCCCGGCCAACGTCATCTACTTTGCTGGCTATGACTGGTTGCGCGCAAATCCGAATAGTCCCATGAAGGACCGCGTCTCCGACAACTACGCTCCTCTTTTCGCTGGTTCCAGCGCCAGAATCCTAGCCGCCATCGTCGTCGGCCCCGTCGAGATGTTCAGAACGCGAATGCAAGCAAGCCACCCTGCAGCTGCCACTCCGACTGGCGTCTTCAGAGACACGTTATCCGGTGTTCAGGATATGGTCAAGACCGATGGTTACCGCGCCTTGTGGAGAGGCCTTGGTCTTACCCTCTGGCGAGATGTACCTTTCTCTGCCTTGTACTGGTGGGGTTACGAATACGGCAGACAGACACTACACAATGCACGAGAAGGCCCCGCTTCGCACGAACCGACTGGCAGCTTGAAGAACCGCGCAGTCAGCGACCTTGATCACAAGACGGTCCTGGTAGACAGCTTCGTCGCTGGCGCAAGTGCCGGTGCCGTCGCTGCTTTCGTCACCACTCCCTTCGACGTTGGCAAGACTCGTCAACAAGTCGCTCGCCATTCGAAAGATGCTGCTTCTTCAGCTGCTGCAGGAGTGCGCCCCGAGGAACAACTCATGCCGCGATTCCTGTGGCACATTTACAAGACCGAAGGCGCTGCCGGTCTTTTCAAAGGATGGGGCGCCCGTACCTTGAAGGTCGCACCCGCCTGCGCCATCATGATTAGCAGTTACGAAATCGGCAAGAAGATGGCCGGCAGCATGAACGAGAAGGCTGTCGATGAATCATCATAGAAGAAAGACATCATTGCATTCTAAAAGTGTACTTGTATAACGGCCTCTCATTTCTCTTTTCTGTTGGATCCTACATTACAAAAAAGACGGGCAGCGTGGAGTTTTTTTCTGGTTCTTCGGCATCTGGTTTTCCTGCATCCACTTTCACTTCACTCATATCCCCCCTAGCGCTTTTGTACTATAGCCATCTGTTTCCGCATACCCATTTTCTCCTTTTAGGGATGTTTTCTGTTCTCTCTGTACTACCATTGGAATAATCTTAAACAATCAACATAGAGTTTACACTCTGTTACACCTTCTCTAACCCTTGTCAACTTTGGTTCCAAACAAACTCAGTCTTGCGAACATATATTATTCAGGATGTCTTTCTGATCGCGTGACTTGTATGGTCTTTCTGCACTGATACATAACATCAACATCAGCGTCAACGTCAAACTCACCGTCAGATCATCTTTCTCTTGAACGTTTGCTGTACAAGTTTTGTATTTGCGTGGAAAGGCACAGCTCCAACAATGGGAATCTCTGCATATTGAAATCTCAAGCTGGCATCAGAGGAACAAGCAGAAAGAAGAGGACACATTTTTCTTTCTGTTGCTAGTAAAGAGAAGAGGGTTTGCACATATCTCTCCTACATTCCATATCGTTTTGCTCTCCTTTATATCATTTGTGCCCCGATCTCATGATCATCACATCTCATCCGGATGTACTACTACTACTATTCCTCTACTCCTCGACGTCTTCATCATCCTCCTTGACCGTCGCAGGAGCCCTGGCTTCCTGTTTCCTCCAAAGCTCGGCCAGGAAATCACTACTACTGGCCTCTTCAATCCCTTTATCCTCTCTAACTTTTAGAAACCTCGGGAAGCGTAATGATAACCCTCTTTCCTCTGATACTAGGCCAATAGCGGCGGTGTATGTAGGTGACAGAGTGACGTCTGCAAAAGCACATTCCCACACTTCTTGCGGGTTGAACCATATATCCGGTCGACCGCGATATTCCACATATGAGGGTTTTGCGCCCAATGTGTTGTTTTTGGTGACTTTTTTTTCCTCGTCTTTGTCGTTTTGGTTTTCGGCATCGGCATCAGAGTCGTCTTCGTCAAGTCCAGCATCTGGATCGTATTTCGCTCTGTTGGCTTTATAAAACACATCACTAAATCCAGCCATACACTTCGTAACAGCCTCCAACCCTCCAGTTTCCGGATTTCTGCAAGCGAGGAGGATGGGAGACCACCAATTGCATTTTCTTCCCGTGCCGTGCCAGGCTGCTATGGGGATTAGGTCGATTGTATCAGAGGCACTGCTGTCGTAATCTTTCTTCACTTTCAACCATGAATCCAATCGTTTATCTGGTTCATAGGTTGAGAGCAGGGGTTTCCTTCGTCCTTTTTTCTGTGCCGCTGTGGAGGTGTCTTCGGGGATGGGTGAGGATGGTATATCGCCTGGTTTGGGCTTCCTTGTAGCTCTACGTTTTGAAGGTGTAGGTGGTGGTTTTGGTGTTCCGTCTTCATTGATAGTATCCAGTAAGTCTGGGTTCGGGAGATTATCAAGTACTTTTGCCATGAAGCCTTCGCATTTGTCCGCAAGGGCTTGTTTGTAAAAGTCTGAGATTGTTTCGACGTCGGAGGATATGGCGTCGATGCTTTTTACCCAGGTAAAGTGGTGGGGCAGTTCTATGAAGAGACTGCGGAGGAGAGAGCGTCGTTCGCGAAAGGGGCGGTCCATGAGGCCTTCGCCGTTGAGGTACATGAGGTCAAAGGAAAAAAGACATACGTCCACCGTGACGGAAGAGATGTTGACGTCTTTCCTCGCGCGATTGGACAGGGTTTGGAAAGGAAGAAGAGCGCCAGTCTCGCGATCCACAGCTACGACTTCGCCCTCGAGGATAAAGGAGTCGACACCTTCGCCGCGGATTTTCGGTACCAAGGCAACGAGATCTGGGTATTTGTCTGTCATCACCTCGAGATGACGGGAGAAGATTGTGACTTTGCCAGACGAGTCGCAGTGGACTTGTGCTCGTTGGCCATCGTATTTGTACTCGCAGGTGAATTCGCGGCCAGCGAGTTTCGTCAGCATTTCACCCAAGTCTCTGGTTATACCTCCCAGCATGGGTCGAAGTGGTATGTGCATTGCTAGACCACAACGAAGCAAAAGCTCCTCTGTGACGCCAATCTCGAGTAGAGTGGGTACTAGGTCATTCTAAAAATGGTCAGTGATTGCCTCCATAATCTTGAAAGAGGAAAAACTCACATAGTTGGGACGTCGAGCGAAACAAGCCTTGACTATTTCTTCAGCAGGGCCATATACTTCGACCAGTTGTTGCTTGGATAGCTTGGCCATCTCATGTCTATCACGAGTCGAGAAGTCTGCACCAGGAGGCTTTGATAGCAAGAATGCTCGAGATAATGCAATCAGCATGGTCGTCTTGACGGCACCAATACGAAGCTAGATGCATGTTAGCAGGCATTCTGACGGCAGATCTGATTGAACTTACATGCTGCACTAGAGTACGAACGACATATCTACTCTCTTCTGCGCCTCTAGCGTCTTGGACGAGTCTTTCCACAAGTCGTTGTTTGACCTCTACACTACCATGACCCTTTGCACTTGCAATCTTTACCAAAGCGTCAAAGACAGCTTTGATAGTCAGCGGCTTAGGCTTCCTCAAAGTCAAACTTTGTCGCTTCTTTGCTTCAAACGCAATATCACCAGCATCACCATACTTGTCAGACAACTTCTTTAGTCCCGGACCGTCCAGTCCACAGACCTTTTTCAAGGCCTTTGAAATGGCAGAACCTCCTAAGCCAAGTTCCATGTCGATATAAGGTGGTGATATTGAGTTTGTGGCAAGCCATACTGCAGGCAGCAAGCTCTCTGGGTCTCCTTCGATGATCACACGCAGAGCATTGACCAATGTATCGACAATCTTGATGCGACTTTGAGTGCTGTTGATCATGACAAAGCAGTGGGTGAGCAGAGCATAAGTGGCATGTCCGTTGTCTGTCACCCATTGCTTCTTCAAGTCTGGTATATACTCTTGCGGGTCGAATGCGAGGGGGCTCTGGTCGAAGGGGATGTCGTAGGTGATGGTGTCACCGTCTGCGGTAGCTGATTGGAGCGAGAGGGTGTTCTTCTTGCCCAACCCTGCGAAAGGATTTACGGCTGCTTGCATCGGGGCCTGTGTAGGTGTCTCTTCCTTCATGTCCATCTCTTGCTTGACATGTTCGGGAAATGATGGCGCTGCGTCTGTTGCTTCCGTAGTGGCTACTGCTTTCGATGGCGAGGGTGTAGGAGCTGGAGCTGAGGCTGCTCGATCTGCTTCGTCCCACTCTGCCTGTAGTTTCCGGGCGAGTGCTTCATCTGAAAGGACGTCGTGGTCGAGATCCTCATCTTTGGTGTCTGCCTCTAGTGCGTCGTGCTTCGGTTCATCGTTTGGTTGTTTCGCCTGTGCCTGCTTTCCGAAGAAGTAGTCGAGACCTCGTACTGGTTGGCCGTCGTCCTTCTTACGTCGTTTCGAGGGAGTTGACATGGTTTCGACTTGTCATACGGCTGGTCTGCGATGTGCAGGTAGGCATTTCCCTTTGGCGCGACAAAGACACGATTTGAGAAATGACGCGTTAATGGGTTGTTACGTCATTGGGCTTCACATGTCATTGTTTTGCCAGAGTTCACGTTCAAAGACAGCAATAACATTTATCTTGTGTGTCATGAAGAATTTCGGTATCAGCGTGTCAGATCGGAGTCTTGTATCTTTTCTGAGTCCTAGATATACGGCAAGACACGTTTGTGCATCACGAGTGGTGGAAGACCGAGCACAACCAAGTGGTGTAGAGGCAGCACATGGACTTAAACCAATCGACCATGATTTTCGAGCACTGAGAGCACCACAGCACCCTAAGTTTGACAAAAAATAGCTCCTCATAGTCTTAGGATACATATGAACCATCCGAGAACCGATATATCGATTTCGAGATGTCATGGAGGACGTAGAAGATGATTGTCCATCGCAAGGTGTGGTTATTGGTACGACCCTGACCAAGCCATCACACCGGCAGATCTATGACCAAATCATCCGCGACAACATTTGTGCCGCGAGACAACAACATATCATCGATGTCCAAGGCAATTGCGCCCGCTTGAAAGAATCCGACACAAACAACGATCATCTAGCTGCTTTGCCCTACTATGGATATCCAGTTCATGAGTCCGGCAATTAGGCAGTCCGAATGAGCGATTGTCGATCTCCTTGACAACCTTTCGCTCTATTAAGATTACTTCGTTATAGGTCCAGCTGACCTGTCTTGAGATCATCAAAGAGCTGTCGTATCTCCTTTATCTATACTTCTTGGTAGATTGTTATTGTTATTATGCTTCCAAGACAACCTCGGCGCGCGTGCAAATCTCCACAAAAATCTGTCACGATGCATAAAGCTTGTATGCAAGCTCACCGTTATGCGTTTTATGTTCTTGGTTCCAAGCCTCCGTTCCTGCAGTCTGTGGACACTCCAAGCATCCAAGCATGTGGCTGTACCTGCAGCAAATTTTGTCATCTCCCGCTCTTGGCCCATGTTGAGGAAACATGACAGGTTGCCATGTGTCGTGTATCCTGACATAGATGAGACGAGGCGGAAGTGATGTGTTAACTCCAGCATCGGCAGTCATGTTGTGTACAGTAATACGAACGACTCGGCCGGGTTTTGGAAAGAGGAGGAATACGAGAAAAATATGGTCTTGGCTACGAAGCTGCAGCACCGTTGCCGTGATGTGGAGGTCGCTGTCTTTTTCGTTGCGATGATGTCGCGATTGGATCTGACTGATGGCTCGGAAGAAGATCGATCGCTGGTTGCTGTTGCGACATTTGTGGGACAGACGGTGGTGGACCCATCTGAGCATTTTGGCTAGAGAAGACTCACCATGCAGCAAAAGTTCCATCATCGATGCGTTCTGCTTTCGAGAAGCGCATCGGAAGAAGCGACTCCAGTGGGAACTCTGCTTGAGTCATCAGGATTCATGAATGGTTGAAAGGCTTTGCTTGCAGAGTAAGCCGAGAGAACCAGTCGTCTCGCAGTCGAGAGTCTAGCCAACCGCATTTGCGGCTCTAATGATTTCTACACACCTTGAAAGCAAGTGTCTTGAACCCCGTTCGCAAAGCTGAGAAGACGAATCCTGCGATGATCTGCTGCCCATCTCATATGGTAGAGCTGAGACGGCCAGTCGACAGAGAGTAGCCTGCTGTGACAAATGCATGGGCTGACAATATTGTCCATGTAACAGCAAGTGAATCGTCTCGTAGGCTAATGAAGTGAAAAAGCTGGAGCTGAATATGGAGTCCAGAAGTGCATGTTGAGACGAGCTGCGTGCGGAGAAGCATCCTCATCACTCAACAAGAAAGTTAGGCGGGGCATGAACAGCTTCAACTTTCCATGTCGGATACGCTACCTTAAAGTGTCTAGACTATTAGGGTCGAGACTGTATACTTTCCAGCCCAAGTATGTTGATCTTCTTTGGAATGCCTCTACCCAATGAGGAAGGCACGAACTACATGATCCCTCGTGTTCACCGACGCGTATGGACGTTCCAGGGCGACCGTTCTCGTGTCTCAGCCGAGTGAAAATTTGGTCGGACCAGAGGACGAGAAAGAACAGAGATCTGAGACGTCGAGACATCCTGCTGAGATGTTCATTCAGCTACAAGTCACTGCGTGCGACAGATTGTGAAGCTTGTAGGAAGTCTCGAGGATCAATGAGGAAGACGGACTAGTCTCACCGGAACTTCGTAACTGTAAGCGACAGACAGCTCATCCGAACTCCGCATTGATCTAGCAAGACACCTTGTGGTTAGACCTATCCTTTCTGTCTAACACTTTGAGCATGTCGAGTATCGTCGCGCGATCAAGAAGATTCAATTGCTCAATATAGGATAGTACCGCACGAGAGCAAGCGGACTTCGGTGGGTGAGACAATCGTTATAGAAATCTTCGAAAGTCTTCCCTTATCTTGACTGTCACCATTGATCCTTGACCGATAAGATGTGAGATGTGGAGTGGGTCGAGAGGCAATAAACCTACTGAGTTGTACCAACCGGTCAATTGGAAGTACAGTGACACCACCACTCGAGGGCGGAGACCCGAGAACAGCTGTCTGAGACTCTAGGATAGGCGAGACTCGAGATGTATGGTACTCGAGATGTACCTGACTTACTTTCTGATTGATCAATGTCGCGTCTCGACGCGTTCTCGACAGCGTAGTCGCCGCGAGGTCTCACCCATTCAGGTCTTGGACTTACAGTGCTGATCAAAGTCGTCCGAAAGTTCGTTTCGGCCTGCAAGAGCTGAGATGGCGTTCGGAGAATAAAGGCAAATCGGACGTCAAACCACAGGACGCTATGCTCGTGTTGAAATGCTGAATACTCATCCTTAGCCTAGCCGCATATCGACAACGTCTGTTGTTCTTGGTCACGCAGAATTGGCGCAGCTAAGTGCCCGAGTCAACATCTCCAGGTCTCCCTTGGTCGCACCGGGAGATTCTGGAGTGCAGTTTGTTTACACCGGTAGCGGCCAACGCTCTAGGCTGTTGATCCGCCGGTCTCAGACCACGCATTTTGTTGCGACGACGACCTGGCCACCTGAGAACCAGCGAAGAATCGCGACAACATTTCGTATTCTTGCACGGCGGACTTCGGATGGTTTTGAGGCTTCCCGTCTTCTCTGCATGAAGAAGAAACCTCGACGCTCGAGCTGCGGATTTGCTCCACTCGAAATGCATGTCGATGCAAGAGAAGGTTCGCACGTTCGCTTCAGAAGTCCGAGTGGCTTTGGTGATGTTCAGGAACAGGACGCACTAACCTCTTGGGCAATTTCGGGTAGCCTCCGCTTTGGCTTGGTTTATCCCATATCGAGTTAGGTGGATCCCATATTTTGATTATGTGCCCAACGGCGACCCGTTGGCCGTTTCTGCCATCGATAGTTGAGAGTGGACCTGGCTCTTGTGTCTTGCTGCTCTCACTTTCCACTTGTTCAATCTATATCAACCCACTGCCTTGCCAGATCCACCTTCGTTTTTGCTTCAAGGTCATCCACATTCTTTACTCCAGCAGTCTCTACCAACGCCCCTGGCAGGAAATCAATCGTGCGCTTCGGGACAGCTGCCACATTCTTTTAAACGTCAACAAACACACAGAGCAACTCCTTGCATCAGCCAATTTCGAGACAATCTATTCTACGCCTTCGTCTTTGTTTAGTAACCGAGTCCGTAAGTTTCACACTTCGCCCCCTTCAGCATCGACCAGGTTGTGGACTAGAGATTCGAGGTTCAAGGTTCCAATCGAGGCTTCAAAACTTCTCTCCCTCCACCAATTCTTTGGCTTGAACATCCTCCGCACATTCTTTTGATACAAAATCGCTGACACCGCTGGCCGGCCAGACTAAACTATCATTTACCCCAACATATTCATCATGATGAGAACTGGTGTTGCTGCCCTCGGCGCTCTGTCGCTGATCAACCTTGCTTCTGCTAAGCCTTCTGGTCACCACCGTAAGTCAAGCAATTGATATTGAGTCAATGGCCCATCAATGCTAACAACTCAACAGGTCGTCACCAGGAGCTCCACGAGAAGCGTCAGGAAGTCGTCTACGAGACTGACTACTCCTACGTTACCACCCAACTCCCCAACGTTGTCGTCTATGTCGACGAGAACGGCGCTCCTTACTCCACCTCCACCGAGGGCCAGGCCGCCGCAACCGTCGTTGCTTCTTCCGCCGCCGTCTACACCGAGGCCGCTGCTAAGCCCGCTTACACTGAGGCCGCCTCTTCCTCCACCGAGGTCTACGTCGCCCCCACCCCCACCACTCTTGCCTCTGTCTACAAGGCTCCTTCATCCAAGGAGTCCTCCACCACTCAGGCTCCCACTCTTTCCTCGGCTGCTGCCTACAGCTCTGCCGCCTCTTCTTCCAAGGCCCCTGCCTCTTCCTCTGCTGCATCCAGCGGCAGTGGTCCTTCGGGCTACGGTATCGTCTACTCTCCTTACACCGACAACGGTGGTTGCAAGTCTCAGGATGAGGTCAACAGCGACTTTGCCAAGATGCACTCCTACGCTCAGAGCAACGGCGACAGCTGGGACTTTGTCCGTATCTACGGTACCGACTGCAACCAGGTTACCACCGTCCTCAGCGCTTGCGAGCAGTACGACCTGAAGATCTTCGCTGGTGTCTACACCGTCTGGGACCCCCAGGCCTTCTCTGACGAGCTCTCGATTCTGACCAAGGCTGCCAGTGGTTCCTGGGACAGATTCCAGACCATCTCCGTCGGTAACGAGATTGTCAACAGTGGCAAGGCCGTCGCCAGCCAAGTCGAGGGTTTCGTAGCCACTGCCAAGACCGCCCTCACGGCTGCTGGTTACTCTGGTCCTATTGTTGCTGTCGACACTCTCGTCGCCGTGGTCGCCAACCCTGAGCTTTGCCAGTACTCTGACTACGTTGCCGTCAACGCTCACCCCTTCTTCGATGGTGGTGTCGCTGCCGAGAACTCTGGTGAGTGGCTCGTCCAGCAGATGCAGAGAGTCTCCGAAGTCTGTGGTGGCAAGAAGACCTGGATCACCGAGACTGGCTGGCCCACTCAGGGTGACACCAACGGTGTCGCCGTCCCCTCCGTCCAGAACCAGAAGTCTGCCATCTCTTCCATGAAGTCTGCTGTCACATCTAACGTCATCTGGTTCACTGCCTTCAACGACATGTGGAAGTCCAACAGCGCTTCCACCTTCAACGCTGAGCAGTACTGGGGTATGTGCAACAACTAAGACTGTACAAAAGGCTTAGAAAGAATTTCCTACGAGTCATGGTTAATTTTCTTGTGGGCACGCATTTCTGTGGAGTTCCGCACTGAATTCTCTTTTCTTCATCACCACGAATCATCCCTTCGTGTATCTGATTCTTTTCTTTTTGATCAGCAGCTTCCTCCAGATTATGATCTAGGTAGTGTCTTTGCGGGTCTCTACACTTCTTTGTACATAGCATTTGACGATGTCCTACCGGAGGAAATTTATGAAACTTTCACTGTTCAAACTATTCCTTGTGAGGCCGATGACAGTGCTGTTGATGTACCTGGACTGCGACTTGACCTTTGAGGCGGATGGATTGTGTCGACGACTTGTCAAGATGCGCAGGTTGAGTGACGTGGACGAACCCCGCAGAGCACCTGCCTTTCACCACAATCAGTCCTGGCATCTATCTGTCGCCCTTGCCAAGATTGCTTTCCATCCAAGAGCACAACAAATACAAAACATCGACTACTTCACCAGGATTTCGCCTGGCCTACCTTCAGAGTGTCGTACATCACCGGAACCCTGTGCAGAGTCTCGACCGTCACCAACGCACTACACTTGCATCGCCATAGCACGATGGCATATCGCGTTCATGGCTCGACGAACGAAGAACTAGTCGACGGTCTGGTTGACTATGGTCTCATCAAATCAGAACGAGTCAGGTCCGCCATGAAGAACGTAAGCGCTGCACTCTTATCAATCATTGATCGTGACTACAACGAACACACATCCAGGTCGATCGAGCACACTACTCTCCAAGAAGCCCTTACCAGGATTACCCACAGTCGATTGGTCACTCTGTAACCATTTCCGCTCCTCACATGCATGCCAATGCATGCGAAGCTGTTCTCGATCTGCTGCAGCCAGGAGCTAGAGTGATGGATGTCGGTTCTGGTTCTGGATATCTGACTCACGTTTTGGCCGAGTTGGTGAAGCCAGGAGGTACTGTCGTTGGTATTGAGCACATTCAACCTCTAGTAAATTTTGCACGAAACAACACCGGAAAGAGCGCTCAAGGTCGCGAGCTTCTTGACAACGGAAGCATCGCGTACATCAAAGCCGACGGTCGGAAAGGTTGGACTGGCAAAGGTGGCGAGGAAGGTTACGATGTCATTCATGTTGGCGCTGCCGCCGTGGGCTTTCACCAAGAATTGATTGACCAGCTCAAAAGACCTGGAAGGTGAGTTGTCTCGACTGATCACATCACTTGCCCGGCCACAGTCCTGCATCGTGGTCGACAATATCGAGGCCCCGCTATGGGTCAGTATACTGATGACTTGTTTCAGGCTCTTCATTCCTGTAGGTGAGCCCGACGACCAGTTCATCTATGTCATCGACAAACGAGAAGATGGGACCGTCGAAAAGAGGAAGGAATATCCTGTACGATACGTGCCTCTGACAGACGCGCCTGAAGAATGAGGCATAACCATAACTAAACTTTAGCAACCCGACGTAACAGCCACATTCAAGTACCCCGACCTCGAAAACAATAAACATAAACTTCCCCAGGCGCCTCTACTCGCATCATCAAAACCCTCCAAATCTTTCAACCTCCTCGGCCTCTGCTGAATATGCGTCCACTTCAACTGACTAACACAACTAGCCGTACTAACCATCAAAGCCGCCTTTGAACTAACGATCAACACTGAAATAACAACATTAGATTGAATAGCCCAATGCCAAATACTCAATCTCTTTCCATCTGTCCATACTATAATTACTGCTACAGCAATCAAGCAAGCGACGGAAAAAATCATGGCCCAAGTTTCTTGTTGCCAGGAGAGGTACTAAGGGTTTTTACGGTGGAGGTTCCAGGTTCTTGAGGGAGAGGAAAGAATGTTTCTTTGGAGGTCAAGCGGCGGATTATGGTCTTGGGTTACTGTTTTGAGGGTGGTGAGGGGAGGTTCTCGAGTGAAGTTACTGGAGTTGCGTGTAGGGACAGACGCCCAAGTTCTTGTTGCAACCATGATGAAAGACGTGCGACACCCTTTCTCAAGGTATCAACGGAGGAGGAGGAGTATCAGAGAAGGAGGCAAAAGAAAGCAGGTTGAAGGAGATCTTGTACTACGTATACTTATAAAAGCATACCGTGCCTCAATGCAAAGCTCACTTTGCCTAGCACTTGCATACACCCAAGCGCGTAGGCATTACCCCCAGCACATTGAGAACTCGCAGTAGTTTTCAGTCATTGTCTTGGGCAAATCCTGCCTTGATGCCTGTACGCCTTACTCAGGCGGTTGATTTGAAACAGATAGGCGCATGCAGCTTCTTTACGTCGGGCGACGGGTGCTTAGAACCATGTAGCTTTTACTTTACTCTGACCCATGTCTACGACATCCAAAGATGAAACAGTTTTGTTACCTGAGCAGAAGAATGGTATGAGTCTAGAGCATCAATCATGTTGTTTGTATTGTGGTTGATAAGTCACAGAGATGGACCATGGCTGGGAATTTCTCGATGGAGATGGTTCTCGCGTTGCCAACAGGCATGAACCCTGGATGATAAGCATAAATTGTGCACATTCTATTCAACCATCATGATCACAGGATGATGATCATGATACGGATAGATGATTAAACGAGTCCTTGTCACTAAAGATCATTACTGTGTTACCGAATGGCTTGAGAATTAACATTCTATCTATGCGTGACATCATTACATCTTCAACTTTTTCACATATTAATCCATCTAGCCATCCAGAACTCGGTGACCTGTTTAGCCTCATCCACAAGTCCCATATCCAACAACAATTGTGTGGTACCTCTGACAGCACTCTCCAAAGCACTAAAGATCCAGGCATGGGTGTAAGAAGTATGTTCACCCACGAAAACAGTGTGCTTCTCGGTCTGGAAATACGCAGGGAGGTAGAGCGCTTGTTGTAGAGCTGTGGGCGAAGCCCAGGCACCAGCCTGGTACTCGTCATTCAACCAGCACTTTCTGTCGTAAGCACCAGTGTACTGCTCAGCTGCAATGGGACCGTGAATTTCGATCATTGCGCGCTGGACGTAGGCAACGTGCTCTTCCTCCGTCATTGCACCAAGGGACTTGGCCATGTCACCACTGAGGTAGGATGCGAGGATCACACCAGGACCAGTGCTGTTGATCTGGTAAGAGGGGTAACAAACACTGCCGATTCCAGCAATACCACCACCGGAGCCACAGCCACCAATGATAGGGCGGTCGAGGTGCTCCCAGAAGCGCGTCTTGTAGTGAAGTGCAACCTTGCAGGCGGGCGAGTAGTTGAGTCTGCTGATGGCACGGCTGAGAAGGCTAGAGTAGTCGGGAAGGCGCCATAGTCTGACCTTGGAGAACGGTACTGCGACGATGGTGTAGTCGAAGTCTACGGACTCGGTCTCCATGTCGAAGGGGTTGCCGGGTCGGAAGTGGACAGACATCTTCTCCGAAGTTTCGTTCCAGGTCATAGCCTGGACGGCAGTCTGGAAGCGAGTACGATTCAGCACAGAGGGCCCGAAGGCAGCCGGCAGACGACTCAAACCCTGATCAATGGTACGCCATTGGGTTGCCTCGAAGTAAACATCCTCGTAAGGCCAGGATGGAAGGTTGTCGGCGACTGAATCGATCTGGTCGGTGATATTATTGTCTTGACCCATCTTGTAACGAATATAGCCGGACTCGGAGAAGTCAAGGAAACCCTCAGCAACGGCTTGCTTGTGCGCCTTGAAGACGTTGGTGGCGTAAAGACGAGTCTTTTCGGTATCCATGCCTAGCCAGTCCTCGAACTCCTCTGTGGCCTCGGCTACAGCAGTTGCATTGCTGTATGTGGCAGTGGTGTTGACGGCGAGAGCTGAGTTAGCGGCGACCTCGGCAACACCAGGAACGGTGCCATCGGCTCTTCTCTTGGTTGTGCTCGAAGGGTCGTTGACAGCACTCTGAATCCAAGGAATGAACTTGACCTCATATGCAGGATCATACTTGTTCTGCTTGTTGAGCTCGTCCGCAAGCTGGAAGACCATCTTGTGATCGTTGATCTCAATTGTCTCGTTGTCCATGGAGAGACTGACGGGGAAGCGCATAGGACCCATCTCCTGGTACTGATACTGATCGGACTTGGTAGCATTAAGATAAGATGTGTGGACACGACCTCCAATGCGCGACGAAGCCTCAATGATCTGCCAGTCGTGGAAACCGACAGAGTCCAGGATGTGAGCTGTCATCAAACCAGACATGCCACCACCAAGGATACCAATAGACTTGCTCTTGGTTTGAGCAACAAAGACGGACTCTGGCTCCTTCTCCTTGAGATATTCGACACCATCGAACCATGGCCCCATAGCATCCATGACCTCCGAAGCAGCAAGATGTCTCTTGTTGTTCCTGCGACCAACACTGACAGGTGCAGATCTTCCCAGCAATACGTCGCCAGAGAAAGCATGAAGACAGCCGTTGCTAGACATATCCTCAGGAGCGAGCCAGACGAAACGCGTGGGTCTCTGTTCGTGCCAGTTCAGGTGTCGCTTTGCCAAATCATGGTTTCCAACATGTGTGCTGCCGAGGACGTGGTGAGCGTCCTCCGTGGACTTGATACCACAGTCGCCGTAGACGATTGAGAATTCTCCATCATGAGATGAGTGGTAGTCGACATGGATGTTGTGCATGCCACCTGCCTCCACAACTTCCGGGAACTTGAATGAGATGACTGGACCTGAAGGAGCGGCAACAACATGTTGCATCAGAGTCGACAAGGCGAAGACGCCTGTCGATAGTTTCCGGATTGACATTGTGTGAAAGGGATGGGGAAGTGTGTACTGCAGCGAGAACATGGGTCTCGGCTTACCATCTTATATATTCAGACAGGCATGCCTCTGGCCCTGATATGCCCTCTCAGCAAGCCCCAACATCGATAGCCTGCGAAGTCTGACCAGTCTTCCCGGGCCGGAGCCGACTGCAGACCAATGGGTCATGGTTACGGTGTACAGTCACGCCGTGCAGATACTACAACATGGAATGGAGTCCTAGCTCCACGATATCAAGGTCGGCGATATTCGAATACTCCGGAAAGCGGCCTCTCCGTATCATGCCAAGCACACGCTTTACCATTCTTGCAGCAGTCCAGCCGAGAGAGAGTGACTATCCACTCCGGTATCGACAAGTGACGCTGCTCGCAGTGTTCTCAAGCGACGGCCGGGTCTTGGCCGCTCTGCCTATCTCTAATCAATGAGGCTTGTAGGGCGCAGCTTAGACAAGTACACCGAGTCCGGAAGCTCGTATGCGCCGGAGGAAAATCTTTCGATGCTACCTCGAGGTGTTCAACCAAGATCGACAAGATAAGGTGGATGCAAGATGGAGACTGGGGGATGTGAAGGATAAGAGAACTTGGCATGTCTTGGCGCGATAGGGATCGCCATTTCCATTTGTTCGGTTGTTTACCACATAGCAAGCATGACTATGGCCGCATTTGGGATGTTTGCACAGAATGATTTGGGAAAGTCGGGTTTTGATCGAAGATCAAGTGCTGTCTACACAGCGCGTCGACTTGCTGGAGTGTCAACACTGCTAGGCCACGAAAACCTTTTCGACATATTCACTCGCAAGAAGAAGATCGTAGGAGAGGGACTCTAGTCGATATATGGGAAAACATTCCTTCTATTACTGACTTCGGATGCATTTGCCTTCTGAAAATAGCCACAAAGCTCACAGAGCAGCAAGACCCATCATAGCAAGGAAGCCAAGACCAACATTGGCTGCAGAGGCAGCGCCAGTGTAAGGAGCAGGAGTGTATGTAGAGCTGGCAGAACCACTGGATGTACCATTGGCAGCAGGCGCAGTAGTGATGGGAGCAACAGGCGTGACTCTAGCTGATGTGGTCGATGAGCTGGCCGCAGCGGCGGAAGACACAACTGCTGAGCTAACAGCAGAAGCCGAAGACACAACTGATGAGGGGGCAGCGGAGGCTGAAGACACAACTGCTGAGCTCACGGAGCTGACCACGGAGCTGACGACGGAGGATACCGAGGCGGATGCTGAAGCACCTCCAGCGGCACCAGCGGCGTTAGGACAAATCTCAAGGGTAGCAGCACCGGTCTTCTGTTGATCTTCGACTGAGCAGGAGGTCTGTGTGCAGGAAGCAATGCTGCTGATGAAAGAAGCGTTGGCGCAGAGGCAAGCTACATCGGTGAGCTGACAGCCAGTGGTGCCGATGGCAGTCAAGGCGCAAGTGACCTTTTCTACGTCTTAGCAGTTGAGGATGCTGCGGGCTTGGAGATACATACAGCGCAAGCAGGGAGAGAAGCGGCGAGAGCTGCAGCATCCTGAGCAAGAGTAGGAGCCACGAGGGCGGCAGTAGCGAATGCGACAATGACAGAAGACTTCATCTTCACGATTTGTACGTGATTATGGGTAATCTGGGAATAGAAGTGTCGAGAAGCGAGAGACTTGAGGTGAGTTCTTGTGCTTTAATGTGAAGAGACAGGAAGATCGTTGGCGAACTGGTTAGAGAGAATGGAAGAACAAGAAATCAAGGCAGCAAATGGCAGTATTTGAGAATGCTGTATGTAGCGATACCTACCTTCGAAGGAACATATGTACATGGGCACCAATGACCAGATGTGGTGTAGTCTAGGGTCGACAGCCCGTTGATTCGTGTCCCTCAGCTGAGAGCTGGGAAGCATATGCCGCGGAGCTGGACAGGTACCTGTTTGGGATAACTCTATCAAACAGCTGCAAATAACGTGGAGATCAATCTCAACAAGTTGACGTCGATACGCTTGGTGTGTAGCATACTCGACGATTTGCTCGTTCATGGCGGGTCAGCCAAAGAAAGATGGCGTGGGGGCGTCGTAACTCGTTGGTATACGGCTGAAATTCGGCGAAGTGATTGGCCAGACTGACGTCAAGTTTCAGGACATCTGCTAGGAATAAGGTGGCGGACTGCATCCCACTATTCGCGACTTCTCCAGATGTCGGTTCTTCTTGCAAGAGCCTGCCAATCCACAAACTCTAGTCCCCTGTACACGCAATGCTGGAGTCATCTATCTTCGTCTCAGATCCTGGCTCGCTTGTTCCACTCCTCTCAGCCGCATCATCTCTCACGTGAAGAGAGTCGTGCCAGAAAGAATGCAAAACGGCGTGAGAAATATGCCAACGACAAGGAGTTTCGTGAAAAGACGCTTCAATACAAACGCGAGAAATACGCCAATGATCCGGAATACCGCAAGAAAGTGCACGCCTGGGTGGCCAAGCTCAGGGCCAAGTTATCGGCGGAAGATCCTGATCGTAAGAAACGACCTGCTCCCTCTCGCGAGAAGCTTGACGAAGTTAATGCCAAACATCGCGAGAGGTGGGCAAATGACGAAGAATATCGCGAGGCGAAACTCGCCTCAATTGTTCAATATAGGGCCAAGAAGGCAGCAGATAAGCCTGAACGGCGACCCCCTCCGACAAAGGATGAAAAAGCGGCCAAAGCTCGCGAGCGGTACGCAGATGACCCGGAGTATCGCGCCAGAAAGCTCGCCTCGGCAACTCGTTGGTATGAGGTCAAGGGAAGAGCAAAAATGCCGAAAACTCGTCGCGAGCGGTACGCAAATGACCCGGAGTATCGCGCAAAAGCACTCGCCTCGGCAGCTCATTGGTATGAGGTCGAGGGGAGAGCAAGAAAGCAAGAAGCCTACGATCAGAGAGTGCAAGAACAGCTAGTAGCGCGAGAACAGGAAGCACACAAACATATTAGGCATGTCAACTGGTATCTACAGTCCGAAACGGATTCACAAGAGCGAACTGAAGACGTGCAAGTTCCTGGATACCACCCGAGAACCTCAGATGAACAAGACATCGAGTCTGAACAACACCTCGCTGAAAATCTCGCATTCACGGACATCTCACCTCCTCCTCCTCCACCATCACCCAAACAGATACGCAACCTCCATGAATGGGTGACGCTAAAAGATTGGGTACCCCGATTAACCTGGGAAACACACGAGCCGGTTGTGGGACCAAGAAACAAGAGACCAGCATTATGCGCTTCTTGCAATAAAATCATGGTACGGCCATTGTGGTGGCATCGTCTCGAAGCTGAGCAGTCTGGTGCCAGGCCTCTTGACTGCCATGAATGTTTTTGTCACAAGAATTGGTTAAAAGCATGGCCTTTGGGTTATCGACAGCATGCTTTTGGGAGACTCAGGCATAGACGAGAACCGAATTGGGGACGCTATCCTCCGCCTTTGGAAACATGAGACCAGCGATTTTCACATGCCTCTCGGATTCCCAGCTTGCAGAATGAAGAAACAGCTGTCATGTCAAAGCTTCATTGTTCGTCTACCTAATATGTAGACTTATTTTTTGTATTCTCACATCATTGAGCGTGACGTTCCAGGGCCACATCGTAGGTCAGGCTTCACCAAACTCCTTCGGATTCCCAAAATGCATCACATCGCATGTTTTCTGTCTCCTTTGCTTTCCGAAGACCTAATCAAGGCTTGGGGACGTGGAAGGTCTTGCTGATCATAAGGCATCCGTGAGCAACGAAGATCAGAGCGGCAGGGTGGAACTCGAGTATCGAGCCTTGGGCAATGACACCGAAGGGGATTTGATCGTGAATCCAGCCCTTGCTGACCCAGTAGGAAATCAGGGTGACAATGCCTAGAGAGGTAGGGGTGGGAAGGCCTTCGAAGTACTTGGCCTTGCCATTGGCGTCCTTGGGTACGCTGTCGGTAGTGATGTTGAAGCGAGCAAGACGGAGGAGACCGCAGAGAGCGAAGGAGGTGAGGAGGAAGTGGTCGAGAGGGGATCGCATACCGATAGCGACAGATGCGACGGCAGGGGAGACACAGAAGGAGATCTAAAGAGTGGTTGTGATCAGCAGACGGAATATTGCGTACTGAGGTAAGATAGCATACCAAGTCAGCAAGCGAATCGAGCTCCTGGCCCATAAGCGAGCTCTTCTTTCTCCAGCGAGCGACCTTGCCATCCATAAAGTCGAAGAACAGACCAAAGGGCATGAAGGCCAGAGCGGCCCAGAGATTTCCGAGGTCGTTGGGGTTACCCATACAGTAGCGGAGAGAGGACATGACTGAGTTGATGCCGCAGAAGCCTGTGTTGTCGTATTAGTGCTCCGCTCGTGTAGTGTGACGTCGATCCAAGGGACGTCTGCATACCGTTCAGGAGGGTGATGAGGTCGGCAAGGTGCATTGCGCGAACCATGGAGAAGTGACCAGGGTCAGACTCCTCCAACAAACGCTTTTGCTTGTCCATGGCTGTCATCTGGTTAGCTTGTGTATACCATCTCGTATGGTGTGTGAAGCATACGGGGACTGGCGGTGACCTCTTTGGCAGCGTCGGTCGACGCGTTCACTCTGCGAGACATGACGAATTGAGTTTTGGAGATTCTGTGCAAAGTCTTCAACTCAGGAGTTAAGGTTGCTAGGAGGATTACAGGTAGTAAGAGGACGTGGTTTCCTCGATGTACGAAAGGGAAAGCAGGTTTAGACGCGGCGTTTGCTTGGAGTATGCCCTGCGTCATTTTGGCAAGCCACAGCGCACAGCCACAGCTGATCATCATCACCACAACTTACAGCATCTTCACTTCGACATGTGATATGACCACCTTCTACATGTGAAGTCCCTAGCTGTCGCATTCAACAAGGGACTGTGACTATAAATGTATCCAGAATCTCCATGTCAAACTCATACTAAACAGGCGCCGACGTGCGCACTGCAAGCATGCTGTGCAACGTTCCAAATCGCTGGGCTTGCGGAGACTCTGACACACGCAGATTGAAGACTACACGACCGACGTCCGACCACCGGGTCAATGTCGAAATCACTCCAACAGCAGGCTCATCTCCTTCGATTGAACCCAGGGACTCACGGATGGGCTGCACGAGGTTCGGAAGCACGAAGAGGAAGCGACTTTTGGGTCAGGGACCGGCGTTCGTGACTCACTGTGACATGTACTATTGTTTAGCTTCATACAGCATTGTCATAGATACCCGAGGCTGTAGAAAGACATGGTCAGTTTGGAGATAGAACACATATGACCGAGAGTGCTCTGTTGGCCAGTAACCCTTGCATTATGTTTGCCCGGGTTCCTAAGCACGTATCTCACATTGTCATCTCCGTCTATGCTCATGACACCAATACCCGAGCTGGCAAAATGCACCATACTTTTGAGAAAGAGCGTCATTGTCCCTGAGAGGAGGAGTCAGTGCTACCTCCTCGACGACAATTCCTAATTCGAAAAGCATCATGCACTTCCACAGCTCGCATATTCGTTAGCATTGCAGTTGGAGATAGATACCAGCCAGCCTATAGACTGACTCGTATGCGCAATGTGAAGTTGAAATGGTTTTTTTGCTCCTTCTCTGTATCTAAATAGTCCTGTACAGCGTTAAACATGAGATGAACTGCCTCTTTTCGAAACAATGCCTCCTTGTGAACCATATCCCAAGCCGTCCAAGGCCTCATAACTCCGTGACGCCGCTGCCTGTTTACGCCCACATGCTTTGCACTTTTTGTGTGAAGATGGCTACGCTTAGTAGCCACCGCGGCCACGACCACCACCACGACCTCCGAAGCCACCCGAGCCACCGCGGCTCTGGAAACCACCACGGCCACCACGGTCACCGCCAAAGCCACCCCTTGAGCCGCCACGGCCACCGAAGCCACCGCGACCACCACGGTCACCGCCAAAGCCACCTCTTGAACCGCCACGACCGCCGCGGCTGAAACCACCACGACCACGGTCACCGAAACCACCGCGAGCACCGCCACGACCTGCGGGCTTCTTGACCTTGGGAGCTCCGGGAGCGGGCTTGGGCTTGGGCAGGAATCTGGAGATTGAGTTAGGTTTGAGATGTAGAGAGGCTGTCGCGAGGAGATGTACCTCTCGAGGGGAAGGAGCTTGTCGCCGCCAATGAAGAACTTGTCGCCGTTCTTGAAGGAAGTTGCGACGATGCCCTCCTGGGGCTTGATGGTGAAGTAGACCTGGTTGATGGGGCCGAGGATCTCGTCAACCTTGCCGACAGCAGTCTGTGTAGAGATTTAGTGAATGCGCAATGGAGAAGACTATGTCGAGCGGTCGTACCTTGTTCTCAAGGTAGATGGGAGCGTTGAAGTAGGGGATCTTCACGTTGGTCGAGTTGCAGACCATCTCGCCCTCGGAAGCGTGCATGAAAGTGCCCAACTCGTAGACCTGGTCGGGAGGACCCTGGGGAGCGAAACCGCCGCGACCTGCGCAAACGGACTGTCAGTCATGACTTGTCCAGTGTTTTCCAGCATAGAGCATCATCTGTATGCGCACCTCCACGGCTGCCACCGAAACCACCACCACCGCCGCGTCCACCTCTGAAGCCACCACCACCGCGGAAAGACATTTTTTCTGGTCGGAGTTGTCGAGTTGAAGAGTCGCTAGGGGACTACCGGTACGAGATTGACCGGAGTATTGAAGATTGTATAGAGAGCCGTCGGCGAAAAGACAGCAATCAAGATTCGATAGGTTGGGCGTTGGACGATTGACAATGCGCGGGAGATGGAAAAAGTGCCAGAGTCGATGGAGCTTGAAATTTACGCCAAGCCCTGAATTTTGGAGGGGACGGAAGCTGCCGCCCCGAGCAGTCGTCGGCGCTGTTTGCGCTTGCGCTTGTGTGTGCAAGTGTGAGTCGCTGCGCTAGCTAGCTGTCGACCTTTTTCTGTATATGCTGTCTAGCTTCGCTCGTCACAAGAGGCTCTTCACTTCCTCTACACCGACCCGCCGCCTCGCCAACCCCAGCAGGCTATTCCCCAGACAAGCTTTCTTCAACTACCAACAAACTTCGGCGCGCACTTTTGCAGCTTTTTACCCCGCCGCTTGTAACCACACAATGGACGCCGTCAAGGGAGCCGTCGAGGGTGTCAAGGATGCCGTCGAGGGCGTCAAGAACATGGCCGTCAGCGAGGCCCAGCAGCAACAGTCTCAGCAGAAGAAGCAGCAAAAGAAGGACAAGAAGAAGGGCGCACAGGACGAGGGCGATGCCCGTCCCCTTGAGATGACCCCTCCCCCCTCATACATTGATGATCGCAACAAGATCTTCGACAGAGTCAAGGCCGAGTACGACGCTTGGGTCGCCCAGCAGCCCCGCGACGACATCAACATCACCATGCCCGATGGCAACGTCCGTGTTGGCAAGGCCTGGGAGACCAGCCCCGCCGACATCACCCGCGGTATCAGCAAGTCGCTGTTCGAGCGTACCGTCATCTCAAAGGTTGACGGAGAGCTTTGGGACATGGACCGTCCTCTGGAGAAGAGCTGCACACTGGAACTGCTCGACTTCGAACACCCCGAGGGAAAGAAGGTCTTCTGGCACTCGAGTGCTCACGTTCTGGGCGAGGCTTGCGAGAGAAGATTCGGTTGCAGTCTGTGCATTGGTCCCCCTGTCGACGATGGTTTCTACTACGAGATGGCTCTTCCCAACTCCGAGCCTGTTCTGGAGTCCGACTGGAAGCCCCTGGAGAAGGTCGCCGAGAAGGCAATCAAGGAGAAGCAGACTTTCGAGCGTCTCACCCTGAAGAAGGAGGACCTGCTCGAGATGTTCAAGTACAACAAATACAAGCAGCACATCATCCAGGACAAGATTCCCGATGGCACCAGCACCACCGTCTACCGTTGCGGTCCCTTGATCGATCTGTGCAGAGGTCCTCACATTCCTCACACCGGCAGAATCAAGGCTTTCCAGATCATGAAGGTATCATTCTGCACCTCGAAGTCTCATTGACCATTCACACTGACCAGCAACAGAACTCCGCCTCTTACTTCCTCGGTGACGCCAAGAACGACTCGCTTCAGCGTATCTACGGTGTCTCTTTCCCTGACAAGGCCATGATGGTCGAGCACAAGAAGTACCTCGAGGAAGCCGCTAAGCGCGATCACCGCAAGATCGGTAAGGAGCAAGAGCTCTTCTTCTTCCACGACATGTCTCCCGGTTCTTGCTTCTTCCTTCCCCACGGTATGATCATCTACAACGCTCTCCAGAGCTTCCTCCGCAACGAATACTGGAGCCGTGGTTACCAGGAGGTCATGTCTCCCAACATGTACAACTCCGCTCTGTGGAAGCAGTCTGGTCACTGGCAACATTACAAGGACGACATGTTTACCTTCGAGGTCGAGAAGGATCAGTGGGCTCTGAAGCCCATGAACTGCCCTGGTCACTGTCTCCTGTTCGCTCACCGTGAGCGCAGTTACAGAGAACTGCCCATGAGAATTGCTGACTTTGGTGTCCTCCACCGTAACGAGGCTTCTGGTGCTCTCACCGGTCTTACCAGAGTCCGCCGCTTCCAGCAGGATGATACCCACATCTTCTGTACCGAGGACCAGGTCGAGGCTGAGATTCTCAGTCTCTTCGACTTCCTCCGCACCGTCTACGGTAAATTCGGCTTCACCTTCAAAATGAAGCTCTCCACCCGTCCCGAGGGTCATCTTGGTGATGTTGCTACCTGGGATAAGGCCGAGGCTCAGCTTACCAAGGCTCTCGACCAGTTCGTCGCTGGCGGTGGTTCCCAGTGGGAGCTCAACCCTGGTGATGGTGCTTTCTATGGCCCCAAGATTGACATTACCATCTCGGACGCCCTTAAGCGTGAGTTCCAGTGTGCCACCATTCAGCTCGATTTCCAGCTTCCTCAACAATTCAACCTCGAGTACCGCAGCGCCGAGGCCGGTGAGGCCAAGGTCAAGGGAGAGGAGGTCAAGGAGAAGCCAGTTCTCGAGCAGAAGTCCACTGACAGCGCTCCTGCTGTCGAGGGCGAGAAGAACGAGAAGGGCGAGAGAACCGAGGCCAGCTACCGCCGTGAGTTGACTCCCGGTTGCCAGCGCCCCGTCATGATTCACCGTGCCATCTACGGTTCGTTCGAGCGCTTCATCGCCATTCTCACCGAGCACTTTGCCGGCAAGTGGCCTTTCTGGCTTTCTCCCCGCCAGATTTTGATCGTCCCTGTCATGCCCGCTGTCAACGACTACGTTGAGGAGCTCCAGGCTCTGTTCCGTAGCAAGGGCATGCACGCCGACATCGACATCACCGGTAACACCATGCAAAAGAAGATCCGTACTGGTCAACTCGCCCAGTACAACTTCATCTTCGTTGTTGGTGCCCAAGAGAAGGAGTCACGCACCGTCAATATCAGAAACAGAGATGACCCTGCCACTCAGAAGCTTGGTGAGCTCATCCCTCTCGATGTTGCCGTCCAGAAGATGGAGGCATTGAGAGATGAGAGAAAGCTCAAGACTGAGTTGTAAAAAGAGTGGACTTTGACGAAGAACATACATGGCGTTTGATTGGAAGACACAAAAAAGGAATACCATCCTTCAGGACTGGTGCTTGGAGCGTGGTATGTTTGCATGATTTGATAGGTAGATGGCCTTATTAGACACTTCTTTTCACACTTTTAACAGTGCTTGATCAACAAGGATGAAGGGTTTCTTTGGTGATGTGTAAAAGCGTGCAGGTTCGTATTTTAGTGGTTATCTCTTTATTTTCCGAATACCCTTGAGAGAGTTCTCAACAATGCCTCCTTTTTCACGCTTATCTGGTTCAGTCATCATGGGGGTTCCTCTTGATCAATGGATCAAGGGAGCTTCTCGGATCACCTTATCTACATGAGCCCCCCCCCCCCCCCCCCCAAGGTCTCGAGACATGATGACCGGGGGGGGTTGATGTATCCTGATTAGCAAACCAAGGATCGCAAAGCTGCTCTCCGAGATGTAAAAGTGAAAAATCCCATCGTGGTGCGCCTTCCCAAGTCTGCTTCTCGTTCTCAGTCCATACAAGACATTTGGGTCAGAGTCATTAACAGTTTTAACATTGTTAAAATCGACAACAGAAGCAGAATCGTGTCAAGTATTCGTTGCATTGATTTTCATTTCTATCTGGCTGTTGGCCTTTGTTCCTATCTTTTCAGTCGTGTCACAAAAACAACTCGTTACATGTATACGTAAAACGGCACAAGGGGAGAAAAGAGCTTGAACATCTCATTTCCAACCTCCCTTGGAAAAAAGCAGTCAGTCAATAAACGAGCGTGTCATCATCCAATCTTCTTGCATGCTTTTCTCGTTCCTCTCCGGATGGGGCCACAACAATCGTGACGTGAGCTATTTGTGTTCAAGCAAACTTTCCATTGGCACCTCCCTTTTGCAATTTGATTGATCCAGACACCAGGCGGGTGACTTCGGGTCTTTGATTTGGGGGTGCACCGGCCTTCAGAGCCTGCCACTTGTCTTCCGGGATGGTCAAGCAGTTGATACCCAGATAATTGCAAATGCTGTTGCAAACATAGACGGCCCAGCGGGCATACACGATGGTTGCGAATGCAAAGTATCCTCTAAGGTACCAAAGCTCGGCGGATGCAGAAAGGCCAGAGAGACCGATGTAGGGCAAGTTGACAAGAATACTGCCAATGAGGAGGGGAGCAAGCATCACTGTCCACATAGGAAAGTCCTGGCGCGTGAGATGGGCGAGGATGATTTTGGTCGTCATGCGGCCGAAAGCTGGCGAGAGGGTGAAGCAGAGCAGAGAGAGATGATTGTCCTTCAGCAAATGCGAGTAGGGCGATCCCAACCATGCGCACAAGGAAGCAGTGAAGATGAAGATGGGCGCCCATTCCAGCAAAGCAGGTGTCAATGGCTGGTTCCTGCCTTTTCTAGCCTTGTACACGTTGTTGACGCAATCAGGGATATGTGCGAGACAGAGGCCAAGCAACAAGATGGGAGCCCAGAGATCGAGGAAGCTGGTCTTGCCAAGGAGTTGCTCATTGCCGACGAGAGTGGATAGCGGGGATGTCCAAAGTGTAGGGCCGTAGTAGCCAGAGAGGATCATGATGAGCGCGGCGATGATCAGACCTTCGGTGGGTCCATTGAAGTAGCCGAGGAACAGCGTGTGGGTGTGGTACGTCTCCCAGGTCGAGAAGAACATGGGGAGTGTGGGGATGAGCGCGGTGAGAGCGCCTAGACGAGTGGAACCAAGACCCATGGCCGACGTTTCGAGGAGAGATGCGAGGGTGCAGTTGAGACTGTCGATGCCGTGACTATTTCACTTGTCAGTGTCGCTCCGTCCACATTGAAGCAGAGGAAGAATGCTCACTCAAACAGCTCACCCAGAGGAGACGAGGTGCCAGTGCGACGAGCTTGCTTGCCATCAATGTTGTCCATGGTGCTGTAGGCCCAGATGCCGAGGGCATAGCTGTAGTAGACCCATGACGGAGCCAGACCAGTCAAACCAGGGTCGTAGATGAGCATGAGGATGACATTGCTGAGGATGCAGAAGAAACCCAGCAGGGTGACCATGTTGGGCGCGAGCCATAGCGGTAGGAATTCGACGCATGCGTTCCACTGTTCAACAACAACAACCCATATGTTAGCTCTTGTTGTGTCTTTGCATCTTCAAACCCCTGGTCGTATGCAGGGTGCCGTCATATCATCTTCCATGCTCTTTCTTGACGTGTCTCTTCTCGCCAATCCTTCCGAAGCATCCGAGGATAGAAACATGCCATCAACGTACATAGTGTTTCAAGACATAGCGCGAGGTGAACGACTTGTCGACCGACGAATACTTGTAGAGCTTCAGGTTGGCCAAGGCGTCTTCGGAGAGAGGGCCCTCGAGCGTGGACGAATCTTGTCCCGTCAGCCGGTTGTATTCTTGCTGTAACAACTCATTCATTGTGAAGGGATAAAACTTACTGGGACTCATTTCCAACCGGTGAGACTAATAAGAAAAATAACCTTAGTCAAGCAGCAACAAGGAACCGTCCGGACCGCGACTTGACCGAGAAGCCCGCACTGTTCGCAATCCTCTCCTGAACGGGCATACGCTGTTTGTACGGTGTGGGGGATGATCCAATTATGCATCACCACGGATTTCTGTGCCAGTCTGTCACTTGTCATGCCAACTCTGACCTCAGCAGCAAACACCAATGCTGATCGAACAGCAGAAATGTGTAACGTTTTCGGTGTATCTCCCACTGCCCAAGAGGAATCTGACTTATTTTCTCTCTTGTGACGTAAGACCACATTTCTGCATCCTGTAAACTGCTCCAGGAGCCTGCCTTCCGTCTCTCCCGGCAGGGTAGGAGGCTGGAAAATCTGTCTGAAGGCAGAGTGCTTTTCTATAAATCGAGTGCGTTGGGGAGCGTTGTCATCTATCCGACTTACATGATCTTAGAACGCAATACTGGAACCATCCTATTCAAGAATGAATATTTTCCAAGCTCCGAGCATGCTGTATGATGCTGTACATAGATCATGGAACGCTGCCTATAGTCGCGGCAGGCATTAAAGCGGCCACAAGTATGTGCAGGTTTTCTCACTCATCATAGCACAAACAAGGACAACAGATAGACAATATTCTTTTGACATGTTTGTTCATTGAAGTTTTTGACTGCTTTTCGTGTAGCTTTTGATCTCGCAAAAAGCAAGCCAGCAACACCTTAAACTGCCTGCTTGAAATGTCCGCTGCCATGCAAGCGGCACCTGCATCTCATAAAAGAAAAAATCGAGCATAGCTTTTGGAACCCAGCTGTACCAATCTAAAACACATGAAGAAAGAAGAACGCCCATTAAACCGTCATATAATGCAAGACATTTAGCGGGTGGACATGGCCTTGGTGACGACACGCTTGAGGGCCAACTCCTTCTTCTTGAGGTCATCGGCAGATGAGTCCTCGATCTCGAGCTGGGCCATGGCGTCGCTGAGGGCAGACTCGATCTTCTCCTTCTGGTTGCGCTTGAGCTTGAGGGAGAGGGTAGGGTCGGAGACGATCTCCTCAACACGGGAGATGTAAGACTCGAGCTGCTGGCGGGACTCGAACTTCTTGGTGAAGGCCTCGTCGGAGGTCTTGAACTTGGCGGCATCCTCAACCATCTGGTCGATCTCAGCAGAGCTGAGCTTACCAACAGAGTTGGAGATGGTGATGTTGGCGCTGCGGCCGGAGGTCTTCTCGGTGGCGGTGACCTTCAGGATACCGTTGACATCGACCTCGAAGACACACTCGAGGACGGCCTCACCGGCACGCATGTGAGGGATGGGAGCAAGAGTGAATTCACCCTAGGAAGTTTGTTAGCATATTGTTTCGCGATGAAAGACTGGGGGGAAAAACCAATGAGGTGTTGCCTGCACAGTCTGAGCGTTCTCCCTGGTAGCAGGGGAATTGTACCTATAGAAAGAGTCAGCACGGTATTCGGATGGTATGCAAGATGTTGTGTGATGGTATAGCATATGCTGATGAGATGTGGGGAAGCGACGCTCTCTTGAGCACAGACGCCAAGCTTTCCAGCTGTCTGAAGGCACGGTGTGTTTGAAGAACAACGATGTTCCGCTGAGAGTCGAAGAATTTCAGGCTCTCGATAGAAGCTTCATGCATTTCAAAAACACTCTGCCTTCAGACAGCCGAGAACGCTGCTGTAGCATGTGCCGAGAGCTCGTTGAAGTCGGCATTTCAATGAACATCTTGTTCAAAGAGCTTCAGATTGTGCATTGAAACAGACGGGAGCGATGATTGGAGGGGTTTGGGGAGACCCACAGTTGTTTGTCCGTCAGCCACGCTTTATGATATGTTAGCAATATGACTTGATGAGAGGAGTAAGATGAGCTTACGTAGTGAAGGTGCGCTTCTTGATGGTAGGAACAGTGGTACCACGGGGAACGACGGGGGCGAAGATGTTACCCTCCATGGCAACACCAAGGGAGAGAGGGCAGACATCGAGAAGGAGGAGGTCAGCGGTGTCGGCGCTGGTGGCCTTTCCGGAGAGGATACCGGCCTGGACGGCGGCACCGTAGGCGACAGCCTCATCGGGGTTGATGCTCTTCTCGAGCTTCTTGCCGTTGAAGAAGTCGGAAAGGAGCTTCTGGATGCGAGGAATACGGGTAGAACCACCAACAAGGACGATCTCGTCAACCTTGTTCTTGGGGATGTTGGAGTCCTTGAGGACCTGCTCAACGGGCTGGATGGTACCGTTGAAGGCCTTGGCGTTGATGTCCTCGAAACGAGCACGGGTGATGTTGGCGTTGAAGTCCTCGCCATCGAACAGAGAGTCGATCTCAACGGTGGCCTGGGTACCGTTGGAAAGAGTACGCTTGGCACGCTCGCAAGCAGTTCTCAGACGACGGAGGGCACGGGCATCGCCGGAAAGGTCCTGTTTAGTTGTTAGCATTGGTTTATGTGAAGAATGCAGGGCTTTCTGACTTTCTTAGTTTTCCTCGTGAACTCTTTCTTGAAGTGCTCAAGGAGGTTGGTGTCGAAGTCCTGACCACCCAAGTGGGTGTCACCAGCAGTGGCCTTGACAGTGAAGACACCACCCTGGATGTGGAGGAGGGAAACATCGAAAGTACCACCACCGAGATCGTAGATGAGGACGTTGCGCTCCTTGTCGGACTTTCCGGCACCGAGACCGTAGGCAATAGCAGCGGCGGTAGGCTCGTTGATAATACGGAGAACGTTGAGGCCAGAGATGGCACCGGCGTCCTTGGTGGCTTGACGCTGGTTGTCGTTGAAGTAGGCGGGAACGGTAACGACGGCCTTAGCGACCTTCTTGCCGAGCTTGGTCTCAGCAACCTCCTTCATCTTGAGAAGGACCATGGAAGAGATCTCCTGGGGGGAGAAAGTCTTGGTCTCGCCGAGGTACTCGACCTGGACCATGGGGGAACCGTTGTTGTCGGTAATCTTGAAAGGCCATGACTCGATATCCTTCTTGACGGTAGGGTCATCGAATCTACGACCGATCAAACGCTTGACATCGAAGACGGTGTTGGCGGGGTTCATAGCGGCCTGGTTCTTGGCGGCCTCACCGATCAGACGCTCCTCAGCAGTGAAAGAGACGAAAGAAGGGGTGGTGAAAGAACCCTGCTCGTTGGCGACTATAAGACATCCGAGTCAGGAATGTGCGCTGGAGGCAATTGAGCGCTCAGAAAGAGCTGCAAAGTGAAAACGTACTGATTTCGACATTGTTACCGTCGTAGTTGGCAACGCAAGAATAGGTGGTACCTAAAGCTCTGTTAGCAATTTTGATCTTGTGGGCTTGCGCTTCGGCAATGGGGTTGGGCGCAAAGACTCACCAAGATCGATACCGATGGCACCGTCGTAAACCTCGTCGCTCATATTGAAAGATATAGAGGGGTATAAAAGGGAAAAAAAATGGGGAGGGATGGAAAGAGGAAGAGGTGAGAGATGCTGGGAGCTTAAGAAAAGGCTTGCGGGTAGGCGATTTTCGATTTTCCGCGGTCTGTGCATCTCATCTTTTTTTCACTTCCCCATTTCGTCCGAGGTCTGGATGCCAAGCCCTATTCATTCTCACTCCCCAGCAACAGGTTGTGAATCTCTGCCGGTTGACATGTTCGTGCAGATTGATTGTCCGGAGTAACTGCTGAGTTGGGCCGAATTGATGTTGGTCCAAGTGAGGCAACTGCCAATCTCGTCGTGGCACCTTCTGCAAGGCGAGTGAATTCAAGAGGTAAGCACGAGTACCTTCTCGCTTAGCTCACCACGACTTCATCCACCACAGATGAAGAGGTCGCCACGCTCAACGCAAGACAATGCTTCTTGCAAGACTCATTGAACAAGTGAGAGGTATGTGACCAACCAATTGCGGCCTCATCACTCCACTGCTGTGGGTTGAGGTCGACACGTAGTGTTGCTCCGAGGTTAGATCCATGATGCCTCAAAGACAGACAATTCACAAACATCTACTCCTTCTGGTCGTGTCTTGACACAAGTAGGCATATGACACGACCTGGACTCTCATACGTCTTCATGGATGTGTTCCAGGTGTACTACAGGTGTTCAATTGCACGTTCTGTAGGTTGTCCCACTCACGCCTGCTGATTGCTGCTTCCTCTCTAAGCACATCTCCTGTAGAGCATTCAACTTCAACGATTGAAACTTTCTGATGAGATACAAAGGTGGTTAACTATTGTCAAGAAGCCTCTACCAAGATGTCTCGCCAACCTCGAACATACGTTTATCACAAGCAGCCCAAAGACTGACGTCGCTGACCTAGAAAGCCACGATGATCGAGTACCGCTAGGAACAGAGAGAACAGAGGTAAAGAAACAATTAGAGAAATTCGAAAAGCTCTGTCGTCTTCTTCCAACTCGTGCTACACGTCTTGTCCATTAGTCCAGCAAGTCAGAGCTTGACGAAACCACTCGCCATGTTTGAGTTTTTCGACGGACACAACTAAACCTAGTCGCGTCAAGGTGCTGATAACTTTTTGGTCATACAGAAGCAGTTTCATGAGTTTGACACTGACTCAAATATGATCTTACACAAGAGGGTTTTGTAGACATGTTGTAACACGAGCACCGCCATCCAATGCTATTCCATTCTTTGCACAATTACCTATCTAATAACCCCAGTATGGACCTTTCCCATCCACAAACGCCTTGGAATCAAGCGACACGACGAGATACAGGATGGTACCTGCTCTATCTGATTCTGTTGAGCTTGATCCTGTTCATTGCAATCTCGTCATCGACAGTCTCGGTCTGTGAATTGTGTTAGCATGTGATAGAAATAGTGGAGGAGAGAAATGCTTACCTTTCCAATGATACGGTTGATGTGCTTGTTTTGCTCATCGAGCTCATCGCCCATAGCGTTACCCAATGCATGCAATGTCTTTGCACTTCTGTGAATGACATCCAAATTCTCCTCGATCTCGCCTTCCATAGCCTCGTCTTCGCTGTCGGCTTCAAATTGATACTTGGCTCTATTGGCTAGAGTTGCTTTGTCGTGTGTCTTGCCGCCGCGCATATTCCTCTCTTGGCCAGCGTGACGTTGTGTGGTGGAGTAGGCATTCGATCTTGTGTCGTCTGCACGCTCTCTTTCCACACGATGCTTCTCAAGTGCGATGGCGTTGGCGGCTTCCTCGCGTTTCTTGGCTGTGAAAGGGTTGGCGACGTGCATGGCAAACATGCTTCTGTTCAATGTCTTGAGCTCGCGTGCCTTTTCCTCGGCCAGTCTATTTTGATGTGATGCCATGTCGAGGTTACGCTCGGTGTTATGGATGCGGTCACCTTGACCAGCCAGTCGGGCTAGTGTCTCGCGACCTGTGGCTTCTGCTTGTTCGGCAATGCGGCGGGCATTGCGGGTGGAAGAGACATCTTGCTGCTTGATGAACTTGATCTCGTCTTTCGAAGCCTTGACATCCTCCTCTTCTTGCTCTTCTGCTGTAAGGTAGCGGTCGGGCTGGCCATATAGTTCACTGGAGCTACCACCATAGCCACCAGGCATGTTGCTATTCGCATAGCTGTTATCGGCGGAAGGGTCCTGAGCGGCTTGATCGGCCTGAACTTGTTGCTGCTGTTGTCTTTGAGGAGCATCACCGAAGAGAGCAGCCTTCTTGACGTCGGTGCTCACAGTCTCTTGACTGGCTCGTCGTCCAAGACCACCGTATCCACCAGCTCGGGAAGATTGTGGTTGTTCGCTACCATAGGGATTGCTGCCATATCCAGATTGCTGTGCATAGTTGCCAGTGCCGCCGAAACGGGGAGTGCTACCACCATAACCACCGGGCGGTACAGGTGACTTCTCGGGCATTGCTGAGGGACCAGAGCGGTTGTCGTAAGCGGGTGGTGCACCCGAGTTCGAAGGTTTGGCGCCATATGGGTCGGGAGTGGATTGAACGGCGTAGGGGTTTGCTGCGGGAGCTGCTGCCTTGTCCTTGCCCTTGGAGCGTGAGAACAATGACGAGCGGGAGGCCTTCTCTTCGGCCTCCTTATCTTTCTTTCCCATCCCAAAAGGCATTGTTGCGTTGCGTAGACTTCGGAAGTTGTTTGAATGTAGAAAAAGACACAAATTCAAGATGATGGAGGGGAAGTTATTAGGAGGGTCTGATGCCCAATATAGATGAGGCGCATTCACAGGCTCCGCCCCCGGACTTTTTGAAACCGACGTTTTGTTGGCCAACTCCAGAACATCCAGCCAGATCTCATCACCAGCAGAGAAGAAAAGAAATCAAGTTTGGAGTTTTGGAACAATAAATACGCAAAAGGCTTTTGCAAGCAACAGCTACTACTGAGTGACTTGAGCCATTCACTTTCTTCCTATTGTACAATGAGATCCTTGCTTTTGCATGCCAAAACGTCTCGGAAAGAGCACGTCGCAAGATTGCCAATAACTTCCAGGTATCAAATTTCGTTAATTTACCATGCGTTAACATCAAAGTATTCCTAGAATCCGAGTTAGTATATGTGAGACTTGAGCGGGCACGGATGTGACCACGAACCTCGCCAAAGAAGGTGACGACCACAGTGCGGTCGGCGAACTTCCTACCGGCCAAAGCACGAAGAGCCTTTTGTGCAGACTCGTTGTTGTCGTACTTGACGTAGATCTTGCCGACACCGTTGGACTGTCTGCTACCACCAGAAGGACGGGGTACCTTCATCTCCTCAACAGATCCGTACTTGCTGCACTCTTCTTTGACGTCTTCAACGATTTCTAGACAATTGTCAGTCATGTTCGTATGCACGTGAATGTCCGCTTCTGCTTGCCTTCATATTCATCGTTATCCAGAAGCTCCTCTGCTGTGACCATGTTCAACAGGCAAAGCACGCGACCTTGCTCGACGTCTGCGCTTGTGGTACCAGCAAGCATGCTCATGGCGTTTACGCTCATGTCACCACCGACCTGTTGCACACCGACAGCAGCTCTCGCAGCTCTAAGCGCACCATCGCCCAACTCAATGCCGTTCAAGCCAGTGACAGCTTCGTCGGTCTTTGTAGGGTCCATGTACTCGAAGAAGGCAAAGCCACGGCTTGCACCAGAGGAAGTGTCCTTGGCAAGGACAAATGACTTGAGCTCTCCGAAAGTGGTGAGCAGTTCCCTAACTTGCGCATCCTCGATGAATGTGGGGATGTTGGTCATTCTAAGCTTGTTCTGAGTGTCCGGAACATTTTCAGAAACAATGCCCTCAACCTGTTCGCTCTCGTCTGTAACGGCAGGGACGATGTAATCCTTGGGACGGCGGATTTGCAGACCAGTAGGTCTTCCGTTGGACGAGCCGTTGGCAGAGTCGTCACCCATCGAAATGCCATCAAGGGCTAGAGCAGTTGTAGCGTCCTCAGGAGTCTTGAATTCACACAGAGCAAAGTCGTGTTCGGGTGAAATCTGGGCAGAAAGACAGGGGTCCATACCCTTGACGATGTTGAGACCATTGAGCTGAAGGTTGAAGAAATCGATGATGTTGTCCTCGGTAGAAGTAGAAGGAATGCCGTGAACAAAGAGACGTTTTGACTGACGAGCGTTCGAGGGCTTGAGGGCAGTGTTCGCGCCAGCGTTGGCAGGTTGATTCATGAAGGCCTGGAGTCTCGTGGGATCCATAGGTTGTTGGCGAGGAGCACCAGGAAGAGGGAACATGCCCGAGAGCTTGGCCTGCTCAGCTGTGACGTTCTCGTAGCCAGGAGGCTTGATGTCCCATTGGGTGAGGCGGCGCTTGCGCTCGAGGATGGGTACGATATCGGTCAAGTCAGGAGTGGGCTCCTTGGGCTTTCTCGGAGGGCTAGGGCTGCGCTTCTGGTCGATGGACTGCTGAGGGGCACGGCCAGCATCGCGATCACGGCCGCCTCTGCCACCACCTCTTCGGTCTTCGAACAGGTCACCACCGCGGTCGCCGCGCTCTCTAGCACCACGCGGGTCCTCACGGCGGTCTCGTCGCTCAGCACCGCGGTCTCCTCTGTCCCAGTCGCGGCCTCCTCCACGTCTGTCTCTACCAGCGTATCTGTCTTCTCTTTCACGCTCTCTGTAGTCGCGGCTCGACGAATATGTGTCTCCCTGGAACTCTTCTCTGCGCGGGCGATGTGCGGGCGAGCGCGAACGTCTGCGAGGTCTTTCTCTCTCACGCTCTCTGTCACCACCACGGTCACGGTCGCGACGGTCGTCTCTGGATGACTGCGATTGTGTTAGCTTTTTGAAGGAGCCTACGCTTGAACAAGACTCACATAATGGTCGCGCGAAGACGCGTGTCTGCCACTGGGACGATCTGAGCATGAAAAGTTAGAAACATGTTAGGAGCGGCAAAGCTAGCGTATTACCGCGGCTGGAATATGAATCACCGTTCATTTTTGCGGACTGTGTAGCACAAAGTAGGCAAACAAGGTCCAATGAATGGGGTTGGAGAAGTGGTTGTCAAAAGCGATGAATAAGTGTTCTCTCAGGTCCCTTGAGCTTCCTCGCGCGCTGCTGAGCCAGAGCGTCTACAAGGAGGCCAAGCCGCTATCCCCGAAGTAGAAGCATAAGTGGCTATCAACCCAGCCATGTCTACCGCGTCAAGGTCGTGAACTTCTGTCTCGGACGAGTGCTTTCACCAAATAACCATGTTGAACCTCCAAGAATGGCAGAAGCTCCCAATTGGACTTGGCGAACTCTGCATCAATACGACTTTACGATGTGGACAATGCTTCCGATGGCGCAAGTCAGATGAAGGTGTCTGGTCAATGGCCCTCCATGGCCGCATCCTAGCATTACATCAGGACCCTGAATATCTCTACTACCGTTCTATCATTCCCACAAAAGAATCGCCAAACTCGAAACTCAAGACCGACGATGATACACTACCACTTCTACGACACTACCTCAATCTTGGCCCCAACTTGACTCAGCTATACTCCGAGTGGTCCTCGGCCGATGCAAACTTCAGTCGCAAAGCTCCCAAGTTTACTGGTATCCGCATCCTGAAGCAAGATGCCTGGGAAGCTCTTGTTGGTTTCATCTGCAGCTCCAACAACAATATCGCGCGTATCTCTCAGATGATCGAGAAACTATGCACAAATTATGGCCCATTGATTGGACAATTCGAGAACAAGGACTACTACGATTTCCCCACCCCGTCTTCATTGGCCAAACCAGGAGTAGAGCAGAACCTGCGAGAACTGGGGTTCGGGTACCGGGCGAAGTATCTTTACAAGACGGCTTGCATGGTTGCAGAAAAAGAAGATGGATGGCTAGATGCGTTACGAAACCCTGAGAGTCCTGTACTCGGCGTAAAGCCAGAGCCAGCTGGCGAGTGGGCAAATGAAGGAAGAGAAGGATACAGAAAGGCACATGAAGAACTGCTTGTACTACAAGGTGTCGGGCCAAAGGTCGCTGATTGTGTTTGTCTCATGGGTCTAGGCTGGGGTGAGGCTGTCCCGGTCGACACACATGGCAAGTCTGCTCAATTCTGTCCACATGAATCACTACTAACAATGTCATAGTCTGGCAAATTGCTGTTCGCGACTACAAGTTCGGCAAAGGCAAGCACTCGAGTCTGACCAAGGCCACCTATGATGCGGTCGCGAACAAGTTCCGCAGTCTGTGGGGCCAAGAGGCTGGTTGGGCACATTCGGTGCTTTTCACAGCTGATCTCAAGGCCTTCTCTGAGAGGCTGGTCGCTAAGACCGAAGTCAAGGCAGAGGTCAAGGACATCAAGACCGAAGAAGGCATAGAGACTGTCGTTGAGGAGGAAAAGACTCTGATCAAAGGCATCAAGAGAGAGGCTGAAGAGGAAGAACAAAAGTTGGTCGAGACAAAACACAACATTGTCAAAAAGGCAAAGAGAAGGAAGAAGGCATCATATTGATCACGCTATATCACCATCTGGACCCTGCTTGACTGCGGCCGCGCAACCAAGTGCTATACACGCGATGTCGCCCTGCACAGATATTCTAGTATCGAAAAATCGGCTGTACGGCCTCCTTGTACTTCGAGCTGTGGAAGGTGGTGTGTCTTCCTGGAAGGGTTCCAGCACCGCCAGACCGGAGCTGTCTTCCCTAGTCCATGATCGTCAGGCTTTGACCGTCGGAGGTCGCAGACATAGCCGGTTGGCAGTTGTTCGCCCGGCGCTACTGGCATGTCAAGCCGTTCGAAGATTGGTTGCTGTATCGAGAGTATATATATATCGAATCTCACGGCAATCAGCTTGTGGTAGAGGCAGGCTTTTGGAAACGGCCTTGCATCCAGCAGCGGTACATCTTCAATTTTCTCTGTCTGTTGACAAGCATTCTGTTGTCAACACCCAGATTCGTAATCTCGAATGCGGGCATCTTGTTGTCGTCTGAGATATCCGTACTCTGCAACTTTTCGGCCAGCTCTTCCTCGTCGCCCTTCTGCTCTGACGCATCGACCTGGAAGCTGTTTGCTGGTAGCTTGCCAGACCAGATATCTGCAAGTTCGTCTCTTTCGAAAAAGTAAACACGAGTGCCGTCACCACGAATGTAGAAGTTCTCTTCCAGGTAACGACCCTTCTTGAATCGAACCTGAGCCAGATCACCACGACCGTAGTCACGGAACAGGACCAGACCACCCGGCTTGAGGACATTCCAGACATTCTTTACAGCTTGCGCCCATTGTCTCGGTGAGAGAGCGGAGAAGATGAAGATCATGACAACCACATCGACGCTACCGGCTTCCAGGCCAGGAGGCAGAGCATTCTCGCCGGTTCCTGCAGCGTCCCACACATCTGCCTGCAGAGTTGTCTGATTCTGGTATGCCTCCTGCGTTCGGATAATTTCAATGGCCTTCTTTGAGTAATCGCAAGCGTGAATCTTCAACAAAGGGTTCTTGTTCAAGTTCAGAACTGGATATGCCGTGTTTCCTGCACCAGCACCAACTTCCAACATTGTCGCAGCTCCGTAATCTTCCTTTGTAATCTCTCCCAGTACAGGGAACTCTTGAGCTAGCCATTTACGATCCTTGAAGAAATTTGCGCGGTTATTGCTGTAGAATTTGTCCCACCATTTCTCGGGGTGCTGGTTGAAGCGCTTCTTGTCGAAGTCTGTGACGGGTGCTGACTTTTGAAACTCTTCTTGGGACTTGATGAATTCTTTGTATGTGTCGTCGGTCTCGACGTGGTCCCAGGCATTGTGAGCGAAGATGTTGTCGCCTTCTTCCAGGTAGCGGGTACCAAATTGGAAAGGGTCGGTGCGTTTCTGATCGTTGTTTGCGGAGTCGGTCTGAGGCTTTCGGATAGGCTGAATCGAGGCAGGAACACCGTATGCTGCCTCTTCTTCGACTTCGGCGGTTGACTCGGTCTGAGGGGTTGTCGAGGGAGTATCTTGGACTGTGACCCACTCGCGCATATGCTCCATACCCTTGGAAAGCTGCTGCTTGGGAGTCTTCTTCTTGTCTGCGCCTTCCGGCTGAATGTTCTGCGTTTCGGCCATTATGTCGTCTATTGTGCGATATCTTATCCCGAGCAGATGTGAGGATTGGAAAAAGTTCAAAGTCCGACAACCTTGAGGGGTCTGGCAGAAAGTCACCGCTTTCGGGCGGTTCGGCCCGCTCGGTCAGGAACAGAGCGGTCTCGATCTCTATCCGATGGTCTCCAGCTTGTCAGCGCGTCATGCAGCCAAATGTTTGAACTCTGAATGCAAGCAGGGTTGAACGGTCTTGTCACCTGCGAACACTCCAAGCCACTTCCAGTCATCCAAAGAGCAAGACTTCTTCTGACGCTTCTTCTATACAACTCACCTCTTCTCTACAATCAATTGACACGACTCGACAAAGATGAAGTCGATTCGTGCTACTTCGGCATTGGCATCCCAGGCCTCGGCCACGACATGCTCACGAGCAGCAATCGCATCCCGCACCACGCAGTCCACACAGACCCGCTCATTCTTCCCGAACCCCTTTGCGTCACAAAGTCTTCAGACATTGACAGCGTCTCGCATCCTCCCGTACGACGCAAAGACTCTCTACGCAATTGTTGCCGACATCCAGAGCTACCACAAGTTCCTTCCCTTCTGCATTTCCTCCAACGTCACCAAGCAATCCTCCCCAGGCGCCGAGGGCAAGACATGGCCTGAAGAGGCAGAACTAGTCGTCGGATACAAAGATGTCATGCGCGAATCTTTCTACAGCCGCGTATACTGCGCCCCCGAATCCTTCATTGTCGAATCCGTCAGTGGAGAAACAAACACCACCGTCCCCAGCGACAGCATAACCCACCACAACCCCCGCCCCTCTCCCTCCGAAGATCCCGCTCGCAATGCCACAATCCTCACACACCTGCGCTCTCGCTGGACGCTAAGTCCTTTTCCCTACAAGCCCGCTCCCATGGGGAATGAAAGGCCTCAAGAAGTCACCTCGGACATCCCGCCGAGAATGCAGACCGAGGTGAATTTGTCGATTGATTATCAGTTTGCGAATCCGTTGTATACGACTTTGAGTGCGGCTGCGGCGCCAAAGGTTGCCGAGAAGATGATTGAGGCTTTTGAGATGAGGGCGAGGGACATGTTGGATCGTCCTGCTGCTGCTGCCAAGACGCAGAAGTTCAAGGGCAAGATTGGTGTTCCTGATGATGGTATGAAGGCTTGATTTGCTGTGTCAATCAAGCAATTAGATCAATCTTATAGGGACGTTAGAAGAATGTATTCGACATGATTACATTTCCAACACAACAGCATGTGCACTCTTTGAGCTCCACTCACCTCCTTATATTCCAACCAAACCCACCATTACCTTTGCTCAACCTCAATAAACCTCAACTCCTCATTCACCATTTCAACATCCCACTCCAACCTATCACCCTCCTCCCGAAACTCATCTTCCAAATCAACATCCTTAGGAACAGGAGCCCCACTGCCTCCAAAACACCAAACCTGCTGCCCCTTTTTAAACAACTCAACCCCCATATCACTCGCCATCAACCCTTCCTCTGCAACTCCCAGAAACGTAACACGATGAAACCAAGGATCACCATAAGGATCATACGTATAAAACATGGGGAGCTTTCTGACCGCATCCCTCTGATGAGCACCCCAAACATCCAACAAGCGCACTTTTTTACTATCCAAATCCTTTCTCTTGTCCACATGACCCAAATTATGTGATGCATGCAAATCCCTGATATTCGCAATTTCGCGACGAGGATCTGGTGTTGCGTGAATGTTCAATGGCTTTGAAGGAGGGGTTTGCAGAGTAAATTTCCAGAGGTGGGTTCCGGACCAATCTAGAGCCATTGCAAGGGCTTGATTGAGTTGCTCGAAGAGAAGGGTTGCAGGGAGGTGGAGGAGGCGGGTTATGGGTACAGAGGTATTTGGCATGAGGAGGCGGATGAGGATGTGATAGGATGTATTTTTCGCCAGAGTGGAAGAGGTGGTTTTTATTGAATTGTTGATGTTGTGGACGGGGTTGGAAGATGATGATGTTGCAGTGCCTGAAGTGGTGGAAGGTCGATGGGTAGGTCGTGGGGGTAGGTTCTCATTGGAAAAGTCTTCTTCTTCTCCTTCTTTTTCTTCTTCGTTCTCATCTTCCTCTTGGTTTAATTGGGGATCTTGGTTTTCTTGATCAAAGTCTTCTTCCGAGGAGGAGGAAACATGTCTGGAGTTTCCGGTGAGGTAGTCTTCAAATGACGTGTCGCCAGATGGTCCTCCTAGACTAAAGCGTTGTCGCTTGGGGTTTCTTTCTTGAGCCATGTTTTATGTGATGGTGATATCCAGATGTCCGAATTAATGTATCGAGCCCAAGGGGCGGATATAAGAATACAATTGATTGTGGAGAGGGAGTTGTTGTCGAGGCGCATGTGATCAACGGTGCAAAGGATCGATATACGAGACGTCATTGTTGGGGCAGGGTGCTACTCTTTACCATTACGAAATAATCTGGCATCGCTTTTCCATGTATTAAGAAGCTGTTGCGTCTTATCTTCTCCATTTGGCTATATATCCCTCGTCTGTGTGTTCGGAACGATCGGTTTCTAGCTTCTTCTTGAGAGAATACTGAGCTTGAACACGTTTGTACGATCAGCGTCGAGACTCGAGGCTTGGGCGGCTGCACAGCATAATAAGAATCAGATACCTGATCCTAAAAGCGTACCATGTGGCTTTTCTGTATTTGTCATTATGCATATATGTAGAGCATGACGAGCTCAGCACTTCATGTTGATACCCTTTCTCTTTTCGCTCTCACGAACCTCGAACATGACTTGAGCACCAACAAATAGCGTGCCACACGCACCAAGTAGGAAAGCCCATCCACCGAGAGAACCAACAATGTTGCCAACCATTGCCTTTAACCCATCAACACCGATAGCAAAACCGACGAGGTTAGCAGCCATCATCATGAGAATATTGCCAGTAGCACCAATACCACAGATCCAGCGATAGACATCCGGACTGTCCTTCCACTTCTTTGCTGGGAAGAGAAGGGTACAAATTACCTCAGGTAGAACGAACAGCGTGATGAGCCAGCCCCAGATAAGTAGCTTGAGATTGATATCGTGCCAGAGCGCCACGAAAGTGAAGACGGCAAGGAAGTTGCCAATGGCGCGTACTTTGCCTTGCCCGCTACCACCAATGGGAATGTAGATGTACCTGACAATCCAGCGGTTGAAGCTCCTGTGCCAGCCACGCCAGAAGGCAAGAGCCGAGTAATTGTCACTCATGCAACGAACCATGTTTTCAGGTGGATCGATGCCGTCGACGAGTGACCACAAACGGAAGAATCGCCAGGGAATCAATAGCTTCAGCCAGATGATATGGAGGTTGAAGTATCCCAACATGCTCAACTGCATGGGTGAGTAGACTTCCCAAGCCGGCTGTGCTTTGCTGATGGCCACGGCGTAAAGGAAGTGGAGGCAGAACTCCATGGTAAGTACGCAGACAAGGAAGCGGATGGCGTACATCACGGTACGCTTGGTGTTGATGGATGCGAGTGGGTAGCGCGATTGCGAGATGTAGTCGTTGAACGTAAGGATAGGCCCTGCAAGGTACAAAGGCGAGTAGAGCGCGTAAGCAAGATAGTTGCGGAAGCTAAAGTCGGCTGGTTTGGCAGGTACAGACACTCTGTCGCGCTCTGAAAGATTAGAAGGATCGAGTTGTTTCTTCTTCAGGCTGTCAGCTTGGTTCTTCGTCATGGGATGAACGATCGCTCTCGTAACATACCTCCGTGGAAGAAGGAGCGCTCAAGCTCCAATAGTAATCGAGGTTGAAGCTGATCAGACGAAGCACAGTAATGTTGAACAGAATCTCCCAGCGCGGCAAGATACCGCCATAGCTATCGATCCAGCCAGCCCATCCGGGTGTTTGACTGCCCTTTTCGGAAGCACTGGTCTGAGATGGCAGAACGAAAGCGGCAACATTGGCCAGAGGGTAGCCATGGCACAGCTCGTTGGCGAACAGTATGCCAACATTGAAGATCCATGTCGCAGCAGGCACATAATCTTTCGGGAGTTGAGTGGCCAGTCTGTAGTTGGTATACAGGATAAGGAGAACTTTCAGGGCCGAGAAACCATGCAGCGCAAAGACAAAGATGACAGCAAATACCACATCGAAGGAGATTCTATGCTCCATTCTGGCGTCCGCAGCAGCAGAAGGGGAAAGACCTTGGGTCAACCCAGGAGTCCTATTACTGGATGCTGCAGGCTTGGTATACAAGTCAATGCGCCAGAAAGAGTTGTAAGCTTTGCGAAGTAGTGGATGCAGGATCAGAAGAAGTGTCATGTACGGGATGTTGTCACGGAAGCCAGCATATTGAGAGTCCGAGTTATCCTTGACAAGAGTCAGATATAGTCGGGTTGCTCAAGATCGTGGATACGTACGACTTTACGACCGGGGATCCAGCCATCTGACAACAGATAAGAATAGCGAGAATAATTAGGATGAGACTCTGTAACTGATGATCAGCTAAAGGCTATAGCACTGCGAAAGGGGCAGTTTGTACCTTGAGAAACATCATACACAGCTTTCACCATAAACACGGGGATGGTGAGAAAGCAGATGTAGTAAAAGTAGAACTCTAGAGTGTTCCATTTCGATGGTTGAGTCCCTGGCAGAGACTGATCTTTTCTTGACTGCAGTATCTGTTGTGCAGGGAGTTTCGAGTCTGCGATCGAGGCTTCGGTCGTGATTTTGTGGGGAGTCTTTGTCGACGTGGTGAAACGGGTGTCTAGAGTGTCGAGAGAGTAGAGCTTCTTTATGAAGGAAAGCCACGACATGTTGAATTACACCCCATCAAGGTAGCCCGAGGTACTCGTTTGCAGTTGTGAGACTTTGAACAGTTCTCGCATCTATTGGCGGCGCCTGTAGTATTCTCACAAAGCAAGCTCGGTATGGTTCCAAAAGTGACAGAGGTCAGGGGTCCATGGTATGTGTATATGTGGAGGGAAGCGGCAATTGGTGCACGTGCCTCGAGCTTTCACGCGTGTTCGTAAAGTAGTTGGACGAGGCTGTCGCAAGCCATCTACAACACATCACATACGATCCGAGGCATCAAGGATGAATTCATACAACGCACCTGCAACGCAGGAATATGCTGGAGGTAGGACACCTCGCTCGGCCACGCGACAACCAAGCGACACCCATTGACGCGTCGCAGATGAGATCAATGCTCTGGTCCTCGATGCCGGTTCCTTCACTACTCGTGCCGGTTTCGCTGGAGAAGACACGCCTAAGTCTGTGATTCCCTCCGTCTATGGCTCAATTGCTTCCGCCGATGCCGACTCGAAGTCGCGCTACCTCTTTGGTGAGAATGCCATCCACAACCCTTACCAACCCCACATGGACATTCGCAGTCCTTACGACGCAGACGGTATCGTCGAGGACTGGGACGCTGCTTCGAGACTATGGGAATACAGCATCACCTCACGATTGACGGGCGCCAAACCGACTCCTGCCGCAAAGAACGGCCTAAACATTGACAACGAGGATGGAGACAAGCCCGAGGATGGAGACGGTGATGTTGCCATGGAGGGTATTGAAGAGCAAGAGAAACCGATGAGCGAACACCCACTGCTCATGTCAGAGCCTGCCTGGAACCCGGCGAAGCACCGCGCAAAGTGCATGGAGATTGCGCTTGAAGACTGGGGTGCTCCGGCCTTCTGGCTGGGCAAGACTGGCGTTCTGGCTGCATTTGCTTCAGGGAAACCCAACGCTCTGGTCATCGACATTGGAGCTAGCACAACCTCCGTCACTCCCGTACATGACGGTTTCGTTCTGAAAAAAGGTAGCCTGCATTCATCACCCCATTTCCATGCAAGCATGGCTGACATTGGCACAGGCGTCCAGAAGTCGTCATTGGGCGGCAACTTTGTCTCGGAACAATTGCGTCTACAGTTCTCCAAGATGGAACCTGCAGTATCTCTCATGCCCCACTACATGGTCAAGTCAAAGTCTCCCGTCGACGCTGGCCAACCTGCCAACGCTGTATACATCAAACATGACATTCCTCCGACAGATTCTTTCAGAAAGAATGAGGAAGAGCGCATCTTCACTTCTTTCAAGGAGAGCATGGTACAAGTGTGGCAAGGTCCTGGTAAGCTTGATTTGACAGACAACATGAACAACCAACCCAACGTCGATGTCATCAAGACTCTTCCTCCACGGCCATTTGAGATGCCTGACGGCTGGAACCAAGTCTTTGGCATCGAGCGCTTCAGAGTCGCCGAGGGACTGTTTGATGCTAAAGCAGCACTTACTGATGACAGCCATCCTGCGCCGGATCAGAAACATACCATTACACAGATGGTCCAAGCTGCTTTGTCGGCTGTGGACGTTGAGATCAGACCCGTGCTATTGAACAACATCGTCCTCACTGGAGGCGGCAGTCTGCTCGACAAGCTCGCAGAACGTCTCCACAACGAGCTCTCCACACTATACCCCAACCCTCGCGTCAGAGTACATGCCAGCAACATCGTGACAGATAGAAAATACGGTTCATGGGTTGGTGGCAGCATTCTCGCAAGTCTGGGCACTTTCCACCAGGTAAGCTACGATACAATCCAGACCTCCAAAGCAAGATGCTGACATGAACAGATGTGGATTTCAAAGAAGGAGTATGAGGAGCACGGTTCGAGCATCATCGAGAAACGATGCAAATAATGACACATGAAAGACAGGCGAAATGGCGTTCTCAGGCATACCATAGCAAGTCAAAGAGGGAAGCATGTTAGTTGAACGGGAAAATACCAGACGAATAGGAAGACCAACAAAGACGAAGCTCAGCTATGATCAATAGAAGCACCATTGATCTGCCACTTTATGATACACTTTGAACAGCTGTATAAGAAGTTTTGCGGCAAGAATTGGCGAGTGAGATGGCGATTCACATACCATATCTGCCAAGAGGAGCATGAGTCGGCTAGTGCGGGCTGGATGCGCGACAAGCAAGCAAGCAGCAAAGCTCAAGTGATGGTCTCAAATATTATCTTTTGTTTATCACATACAACACGCCGATCTGTACGAGCATCAACGCGCCATCGATCCGCGTCTTCTATCTTCAGCGTTGTGATCCGTGTAGAAACAACATACGCACACCCAAATCGACACACTAAAAGCACCCAGACCTTATGCGCACCGCGTGCGCACATTACCACACCGGGTAGAGCTCGCCATACATACCGCCCATCATGTCGTGGGGATTTCAGAACGTAGGACCTCAGGCGAACGCTTTGCAGGAGGCCCCAGAGATCTTCCAGGACTCCCTCGGCTTCAAGGACATTGGGAAAGCAAAAGTGCGCCTGTCGCAGCCCTGGCCAGCAGACAACCCGCCTCCGCCCTACTCTTCTCTTCTATCGATTGCCTCTGCCAAAGGGCTCATTGCTGCTGCCACCTCCGAATCTGTCATACTGGTGTCAGCCGAAGTCGTGCGCAAGACATACAACGAAGACGACAATGCAACCGACGACAAGCCCAAGGACATCACCCCTCAGCTCTCCCTCTCTGTGCCACGAGTGTCACACGTCACCTTCTCAGCCGATGAGAGCTGTTTGGTCATTGCTGCTCAGCAGGGAGGAGGTCTCGCAGTCTACGACGTGCAGGCACTTATGCAAGGAAACAAAGAGTCGGCTTTTCAATTGCCTACAGAGGGCATCTCCATTCGCGCGCTTGCACCCAATCCGAGTCCCGAAAATGCTCACCTCTTTGCTGTTGTCCTCACTGACGGCAAGTTGATGATCGCCGACTTGAAGCAGCGCTCTTGGACCACCACCGCCAATGGGCCGATCTTCCGGGAGGAGGTCAGATGCGTCTCTTGGAGTGTCAAGGGCAAGCAGCTTGTTGCTGGTCTGGCCAGCGGATCAGCTGAGCAATTCGACCCTCAAGGCAATGTCAAGGCTCAGATTCCAGCACCGCCTCAGCTCGAGCAAGCAGCTCCCATGACAAACATTGTCTGGATTGCAAACGACGATTTCTTGGTTATTCATACTCCCCACTCCAACGAAGAGGCAGTCGAGTCATCCTACCACTTGGTGCATAGAGACAAATCGTCTGGCTCATTCACATCGCAAAAACTTGCTGGAGATCCATCTCTACCGGGTTTCGATACCAAGCGTTTCCCTTCACAATTCCTGGTGTCAAGACTGAGAAAGTTCCCACCGAACCTAGAAGATGTCTTGATCCTGTGTTCTTCTGCTGGTAACGAGGCTGGACTCATCACCAATACTTCAAAAGCGCTAGCGAACGATGCACCAGTCAACACTTATCTTGTAACCAACATGGAGAAGGACTCGGCTCGTGCGATATTGCCTATGAGTTCCGCAGACGGCATGTCTGACACGGCAGCTGTTGGAATGGACCTCGATCTTTCATCAAAGGAAATAGTCATGCAACCTATCCCTGGCGACGATCAAATTCGTGAGTCACAGGGGCCCATGCCGGCGCTCATGATCTTGAATAATGAGGGCATTCTTTGCACCTGGTGGTTCGTATACAACGATGCAATTCGCCAAGGAGTCTCCTACCCTGGTCTCACTTCGAGCGCTTCCGCTCCTCCTAATGCCGCACAGCCCGCATCTACTGCCTCGACTCAAAGTATGCCTGCTGCTTCAGGTTTCGCAGCATTCGGCAAAACTTCTCTCGGACAACCAGCTACGCCTGCCTTCCCAAAACCTTCTGCACCTGTCTGGGGACAAGCTTCCACGCCTGCATCTGCGAAACCGGCCTTCGGTCAAGTCTCCTTTGGACAACCAGCCGCCGGAAAGACAACGTTTGGCTCACCTAGTGTGCCTGGTATTGGAACACCGAGCACTCTTGGAAGCAAACCATCAGTTTGGGGCGCGCCTGCTGCTCAACCCACAATCGCGACTCCTCCAAACGGTCAAGTATTTGGCTCCGCGTTGGGCGGTGCGAGTGGCAATGCAACCTTTGGAACATCTAGTGGACTCGGAAACAAAGCTCCCGTATGGGCGTCTTCCCCGGCAGGTTCACAGTCTCCTTTTGGCAAGTCTTCAGGTCTCGGTGAGACTCCCGGTTCTGGGTTTGCAAAGTTCAACGCCCCTGCCAAAGATGAGAACAAGCCATCTGTTTCTCCTTTCGCAACGATCGCGGGCAAGCCATCAGTTTCTCCTTTTGCAGCGATCGGAAACAAAGACCAAAACAAGCCACCAAGCCCGTCTGCATTTGCTGCATGGACACCCTCATCTGTCGCAGCCATTAAGCCGTCGCCCCTGTCTTTTGGCTTCGGTAAGCCCAGTGCAGTAGCTGCTACTCCTGAGAAACCAACAGAGGAGTCAAAGGAGGAAGCCATGGATGACGAAATCGAGGAGAAGACCCAGGAAGAGCCCGTCAAGGACAAGTCCTCCCCTATCGTTGAAGCAGCCAAGGCGCCACCAACCATGTTTGGACTATCCATTGAAAAGACGCAATCGTCAATTCTTGGACAAACACCTGACAAAACAAAGACTTCATCACTACTTGGAAAGATCCCGGATAAGCCTCAAACGTCCAGCCTCTTTGGACAATCTACTGATAGTTCAAAATCGCCTTTATCGGTATTCGGGCAACCCACCAAGCAGACAGGGTTCCAATTTGGTAAGCCCTCTGGAAAACCTGCTTCCCCACTCAGGGAATCCTCATCGGACAAGCCATCGAAGCTGCCCACATTCGGGGGTTTCAAGCTCAATTCCACTTTTCAGGGGGACGGCAGCGCAAAGGACGATTTGCCCGCGCCCAAGCAAGGCGGAGGATCTTTATTCGGACCCAGCTTCAGCAACATGCTCGGTGAGGCTAGCAAACAGACAAAGTTGCCTACACCTATCAAAAAAGAGCCTGAGACCGAGGCGCCGAAGATGGATGCCATTCCTTCCAAGAAGACCGATGAACCTGCTGTCGAAGCCGAGGAGGCTCCTTTACCTCCCGACTTTACATCTTCCAAGCCCAAGCAATCGGTAGAAGAAGACCTTCCTCCCATTGCAGGAAGCCCTCCCGTCGACCTTGGCGATGAAGCCTCACAATTACCTGCAAGTGATGACGAAGAGGACGAGGACGAGGACGGCTCTTGGGTTCAGGACTCTGGTGAAGAATCCGAGGGCGAAGAAGAGGGAGAAGACGAGGGAGAAGACGAGGAAGAGTACGAGGAAGAAGACGAAGACGAAGACGAAGACGATGAGGACGAGGAAGATGAGGACGAGAGCGAGACCGAAGGACCAGAGAACACTTTCAACACCGAGAAGGCCTCGAAAACCGCATTTGGATCTCGTCTCAGCTTCCCTTCCCTCTCTCATTCGACAGGCAATGCTGGCAAGTTACTACCACCAGTATCTCCAGTCGCCTCTACCACTCCGGCTGGCTTGCCCAAAGCTCCATTCTTCGCGCCTCCATCCAAATCGCAAGAATCGCCACGCTCACCATCGCCTGTCAGGCAATCATCGAGCACTCCTGCAGGTCTTCCTGCATCAAAACAACATTCGCAGCCAATCACTGTACCCTCGTTGAAAGGTCATTCTCGCAAGGATTCTAGACCATCAACCGCAAAGCGACCTGAATCACCTCAGGCTTCCGAAGCTGGAGAGCTAAGCGATGACGAAGATGTACGCGTTCGCGAGATACTCGCGTCCGAAATCGAGCCATCTATGGACCTCGAGCCGTTTGTAGCTCACCAAGATTACGCTGGTCGAGTCAACAAGCTCGGTATCGCAGGCCAGATTGAGAAGGTCTTCCGTGACATCAACAGTATGATCGACACACTCGGTCTGAATGCCCGCACACTCGAGTCGTTTGTCAAGGGTCACGAGACTCAATACAAACAAGCTGGTCGTGACCGTAGTGATCTTGAAGAGGCTGACGAATGGTGTCTTGTCGAGATCGATGAGCTTGCCGTGGTGCAAAGGAGCATTGGTGACGATCTCGAAGCCGGAAGAGTCGACGGTGTCCCAGAGAAGCTCGAGGAACTGGCCGAGCTACAGAAAGAGGCCACAAAACTCCGCACCAGAACTGTTGATATGAGGAAGCAAATCGGCGCTCGTGCTGACCCTCAGCAACGCGCAACGCACCGTGCCTCGGCGCTTAGCAACGATGCTCAGATGCAGCAAAACGAGCTTAGAGAGGGCGTGACTAAGGTGCAAAAGTTGCTCCAGGATGCCGAAGAGGCTTTGAGTGTTCTTCGCGCCGATCTCGCTGCTGCACCTTCGCAAGGACCCGCAGCTCAGCGTGTCCCTACTGTCGAGGCTGTCACCAACACGATCATGAAGATGACTGCCATGATTGAGCAGAAGTCTGGTGACGTTGACGTACTCGAAGCACAGATCCGCCGCTTACCTGGTGGTCTTGCCAACTTGAATATCTCCGATAGCAGCGAAGACCTGCTTCGCAGCAGCGTGCGCAGTGTTCGTCCTCTCGAGCGATCAATCAGTGGCAATTTCTTCGGTACACCACCTGCAACACGTGGCAAGAACGCTGCTTTGAATGGCAGTACTCCTCTGGGAATCTCGGGCATGCTCGGTAGATTCGGCGGTTCGTTGCGCAGAGACAATGGTGATGCCGAATTTGGGCGCAGCAGCCTGCTTCTCGACAGTACACCTCGCAGAAAGATGGCTGATGTGAGCATTGAGGAGGTTAGAAGATATCAAGACAGAGCCGCACAGCGCAAGAGGGTACTTGCGGCATTGAAGCAGACCGTTGAGAAGAAGGGTACCAGGGTCACTAGTTTGGACAAGAATTAAGCCTGGAAATTCGCAGGAGAGGTGTGTGCAATGGAGCATGGAATAGGTTTATTGGTTTCCTAGGCAAAGATTGCGACTCAGCGAAAAGGCGTCTTTCATTCTTGGTACACGAAGAGTTGTGTATACGGTCGATACAATCATGAATAAGCAAAATTAGTTAGCACGAATTGATCTCACATTCGTCATGAACCACTTGTTTAATATGTATTAGTTCTTGGCGATGGTCGAGTTTGTATACCGCTCGGCTGCACCTTCCCCGTGTCCTCCTTGGAGACACTTCGCAGATTGAGGCCATTGAAGGTGCCTAACAGTATAAACACAACACACCATGGCAGCTGCAGATTCAGAGGCTTCATATATCGATTACGAAGCATTCGCATCGCCAGACTTTCACGCTCCGACCTTCGCAAACACGCTGGTTCTTTCTACCAACGACGCCAACGACACTTCCCTCGACCTCTCCACACCACTTTCACGGGTCCTCTTCGACGTACAGGAAGTCGACACACATATAGATTCTCTCACCACCTCATCTGCCCTGCCTCTGCTGAAACACACATCTACCCGCGCGCAAGCCAGCACACACGTCCTCGACACTCTCGAATCTCAGGTCCAGGGACTACAACAGGCATACACAAGGCTGCATCAAGACGTGGTAGAGAGATACGAGCAAGCAGAACAAGTACGTCTAGCAGCAGACAGGCTTGCAAATACACTCCGACTTGCCAGAGCGGTCGCAAGATGTCTACACCTCGGTCGAACGCTCGAGGGCAGCATGGCCGATACGGACAAGCCACGCGAAGGCCATCGATCGCTTGCACCTGCGGCCAGACTGGTGTTGTCGCTTCGACAGACTCTAGCTCCTGAAGATGTGGCCGAGGCGAGATTACTCGCACGTGTGAATGCCATTACTACACTGCGGAATGAATTGCTCGACCCATCCGAGAGAAGCCTGCTGGGAAAAGCACAGCAAAGTATTCGCGAGTTCAGCATGTCAACCCTTACGGGCTCATCTGGAGGAGCTGGATCCGTTTTTGCACAGCACGATGACACAAGAGCGAGGACATCGGCAGCGTTGCACACGCTATACCTGCTCTCTCCAGTGAGCCTACCACCGAAGTCGTCGAACATACAAGGTGCCACGTTCAATCCGACTCTTCTTGTGAATGCTCTGCAGTCATATCTACAGACCTCTCTTACTGCCTCAGCCACTTCCTTAGCACGTGCTCTAGCTACTCTTCCAACGCTCGACCGCACTCTGCTGGATATCAGTGCAAGGTGTCAAAACATAGTAGCATTGGAGTCACTATTGTCTACTGCAAGGCCTCCAGCTCATCCTCTTCTACCTACTTCGGCTGACAGCAACACCCCGGCTCCACTCGAGCCTCCGCCTGCCTTCCTAGGTCCTCTTCTTGCAGCTCTTGACACCTCCTCATTGCCTTCTTACTTCTGGCGATCTTTGGCATCTTCTTTGGCTCCACGAGTGCAAGAGATCATTGCACGTGGAGGCGTCAGCGCGCGTACTCTGAAGACGAATAGAGATAAGGTCCGAGACGCGGTCAGGGAATGTGTGCACAGGGGTAGCCAATTGCCGTCCTCGGCAGGTTCGAAGAAGGTCGTAGGGAACTGGGAAAGAGAAGCTGCTGTTATGGTCGGTAGTATCATTGGGTCTCTGGGTCGATAGAATCAATACACACGGTGGCACCTCTTGTCGTTTCATAAAGAAGCATTAAGCACTTATCGTGTCCAATAAATGCACAACGTCGCTCATGGGCTTTATGCAGCTGTTCGCGCGACAAAGTGGGAAACTCGAGCCGAGGCCGTCGGTGCCTCGACGCGTCTTCCTGGCGCGTGCTCTCTGAACCTCGAAGTGGCGGGTCTCAAAACTTTGGAAACCAACCCAACTATGGATCCTGAGGATGATGGCGGTGACAGTCGCAGAGCAGATCTCGAGGTGGACCAGGACGATGAGTTTGATTCATCACCTCGACCTGCAAAACGACGTAGAACAACTACAGCAGCATTGGTAGCCAAGACCAAAAAGCAACCGGCAGTTCGCAAGGCAGCTGCTACCAAGAAACCGGCCGCAAAGAGGAAGGCAGTAGATGAAAGTCCCATCGTTAATGGCGAAGAAGACGCGTTTGGTCCTCCGGTTACTGCAGCAAAACCAAAACGCAAGGCACGAGTCACGAAAAAGGCTACAATCAAAGACGACGAGAGTCTGCTCGGTGATTCGGATGACACCATAGGACGGAGTGCCACCAAAACAAAGACAAACTCACGAAAACGGGCTTCTACTGGATCTGGATCTGAAGATCTCGAAGACGAGGACGACAGGAAAGTTGTGAAACCGAAACACCGCATCCATGTACCGGCTATGCAAGATCTCCTTGTGGATAGATTCGCAGACGAAGAGCCACCAGAGTCTTCTGCTCCCTGGAGTATCAGAGGTCCCATCTGGAAGAAGGATGTACTGGTTGCGAAGGCGAAGCAGTCGCCTGTGTCGCAAACACCAGCTCGTCAGCCATCACTACTGAAAAGCACCCTCAATCATTCCGCCTTGAGAAGGAACGACGAAATTCAACATCGCTCAACGCAACCTCGCCACCCATCTCCGGCAGCGAATCAGGTAGTTGTCAATCACCCAGTCGTTCACGATGCTCGACCGCCGACGGCAGCCGCTGCAACACCAACTGTGAACTCTGACTGGGGAGACATGAGCGATGACATTGATACTGAGCTTCTGATGGGTTTAGTAGCTGATCGTCCTCTTCAAGCCAACAACGTGTCAAAGAATCAGCCCTTCCTAGAAGATTCTAGTGGAGACGACTTTGACACTGAGGATCTCATCATGCTGGAGCAGGATGTTCCGAAAGCGAAGGAGGTGATACCTTACAGATCTCCGCCGCGTAGCCCAGCTCCGGTGAAGGTCGCCTTTGTCGAACCTGTCGCGTTATCACGAACAACCGCGCCTCCACGGGCAACTTTGTTATCACGGACGACCGCACCATTACGACCGCCAGCCGCACCAGTAGAAGACTTCGCAGACGAACTTGCAGACTTGCCATCAGATGCTTTCGACTCTGATGATCAGACTCCTGCTAAGAACCTTGGAGGCGCAATTTGTATATCCTCATCACCACCTAAAGTCTCAGCGGCGAGAACTGTGTCGGCATCGAAGCCAAATCTTGCTCCTCCGCGTGGGGGGCTAGTACAGAAGACTTTGTTTGGTGGAACGGTTGTACCGATGGGCCCAGCTACGCAGGCCAAAAAGCAACATGCCTGGCCATTGGCAACACAGAGAGAACCAGCGACCCATCACAAACTCAATGAAGAAGCGACTAGAACTTGGGTCTATCCTACCAATCTGGGCACCACCCGCGACTATCAATTCAATATCGTCAGCCGAGGCCTTTTCCACAACCTACTGGTTGCCTTGCCCACTGGTCTCGGTAAAACATTCATTGCAGCCACGATTATGCTGAACTGGTTCCGCTGGACGGAAAGTGCGCAGATCGTTTTTGTGGCGCCTACCAAGCCTCTTGTTGCTCAACAAGTTGATGCGTGTTTCAACATCGTAGGCATCCCTCGTTCACAAACCGTCATGCTTACTGGTGAGACCTCACCTGGCTTGAGAGCAGAAGAATGGAAATCAAAACGAGTATTCTTCATGACTCCTCAGACAATCATCAACGATCTCAAGACTGGTCTCTGCGATCCGAAGCGGATTGTGCTGATAGTAGTTGATGAAGCTCATCGTGCAACAGGCAACTACGCATATGTCGAAGTCATAAAGTTTGTACGCCGGTTCAATACGAGCTTCCGTGTGCTTGCTCTGACTGCTACACCCGGTTCTGATGTCCCAGCGGTACAGCAAGTCATTGATGGCCTAGACATATCACGTTGTGAGATTCGCACGGAGACATCTCTGGACATCAGACAATACGTCCACAGTCGTGATATTGACGTCGTTAAGTTCGATTACTCTGAAGAGCAACAACTGATCATGGAGCTTGCCGGAAACGCCATTCGCCCTGTGCTTATGAAGCTCGCAAGTCAGAACGCTTACTGGAATAAAGATCCGATGAAGCTTACTGCCTTTGGTTGCACTGAGGCTCGTAGGAAGTGGTTCATGACTGACGCTGGCAAGAAGGCACCACAGGCAGTCAAAGGCATGGTCAACAGTATCTTCGTTGTGCTAGGAAGTCTTGGTCACTCGATCTCGATGCTCAGGTTCCATGGTATCACGCCCTTCTACAATGGCATGGTAGAATTCAGAAACAAAGTCGACGGAGGGGAGCTCAAGGGCAAATACGGAGCACAAATTCGTGATGACGAGAACTTCACCAAGATGATGAACATGATGCTGACCTGGACTCGCAATCCCGAGTTTCTGGGACATCCGAAGCTGGAACATCTCCGAGGCGTTGTCTTGAACCACTTCCTCGATGCTGAGGAGAAGGCTGCCTTGCCAGGTGGGCAGCCCTCAAGCACAAAAATCATGATATTCGCAGCGTATCGCGACAGTGCTGAGGAGATTGTTCGCGTGCTGAACCGAAGTCAACCTATGATCAGACCACACGTGTTCGTGGGTCAAGCAGACTCGAAGAACTCGGAAGGTATGAACCAGAAGCGCCAACTGCAAGTCATCAAAGAGTTCAAGGAAGGCAAATACAACACTCTTGTCGCCACTTCCATCGGTGAGGAAGGTCTTGATATCGGAGAAGTCGATCTCATCGTCTGCTACGACGCCTCTGCATCACCGATTCGAATGCTTCAGCGCATGGGTCGTACTGGGAGAAAGCGCAAGGGTAACATTGTTCTCCTACTGATGAACGAAAAGGAAGTTCCCGATTTTGAAAAGGCAAAGGACAACTACGAGAAGATGCAGGGCATGATCGCTTCTGGCAAGGACTTTACTTTCCACGACGACAGATCACCTCGCATTCTCCCCAGAGAGACTCTGCCTACTGTGGACAAGCGGACCGTCGAGATTCCTGTCGAGAACTCGCAAGCTGAGCTTCCCGAGCCCAAGCGTCGCGGAAGAGCTCCCAAGGCACCGCCCAAGAAGTTCCATATGCCCGACAATGTGCGAACGGGATTCGTCGCGGCAGGCAATATGGATGATGAAGACGCCGAGGAACTTGTGCCTCGCGGCAAAGGCAAGACCAAGAAAGCGACTGCTGCTTCGATCAAGAAGATGTTCCGCGCCCCGCCAGGTATCGAGGCAATCGCCATACCATCATTGGACGCAGTCTATCTAAACAAAGTCCAAGAGCGAGAGCTTGAACGCAAATACAAGTACGTTATGGACACGGATGGTGGAGCTCCGACTGTCGGTCTACCACGACTCGATCGATTTTCTGACGCTTTCCCTGGACCGACAAAGTACATCGCTCATGGAAAAGGCTCATTGTTGGCATCTGGCTTGATGCAACAGCTAGGTGACATGAACAGCGAGGTTGTGCAGGGCTTCAAAGATAACTTCCATCAGTCAGATCTTGAATTTGATGTGTCCGAGATGCTAGGAGACCCAACTGTGGTGGAGACCTCTGATGCTGATCTACCTGTCATTAAAGCAACCAAAGCTAGGAAGGCGCCTGCGCAACCGAAAGTACCTAAAGCTCCTAAGGCGCCAAAAGAGCCGAAAGCACTCAAGGCAACTAGAGTTCCCAAGGCTTCCAAAGCCCCTAGACCACCTAAAGAGCCTCCCGCAGCTAAAACGCCTAGACCTCGCGGTCGACCAAAGCAACAAGCCCCAAGAAGAAACAGCTCGGATATGGAAGGCTCAGACTCCAGCCCGGAGCCAACACCCGCACACCTCCGCCTCGGCACCCAAGGCATTGATCTCGGCTCCGCAGATACGTCCGGCGAAGAAGGCCACTCACAGGACGACGAGCCAGACTCCGAGCTCGACGATTTCGTAGTCGGAAGTGATGCACCCATTGAATTTGCCTCTAGCTCTCAACCGCTTGCTCATAACCCTCCAAAGAAAAACAGACTCAATTTGTTTACGCAAGAGGATATTGCTGAGGAGAGTGAGGAGGAGTTGCCGGATTTCGGAGCGTCTAGTAGGAAGGATGTTGAGGTTTTGTCGGATGCGGATGAGGATGTTCCCTTGAGGAGACAATTGGGGAGGAGGAGACAGGTTGTTGATGATGATAGTGATGAGTGAGTAGTAGTCGTTGTGTAGCTATTCTTGTGCTATAGCTTTCTTGCTGGTCCGAAGACATCAGTAGCTAGACCAAAGACCATGTGCTTTACGCAAACTTACCGCTCAACACACTCCACAGTCACACTGAGTGTTGTTGGCCACTCTAGCGTGCAGGTGCTCGGCGAACCTTCTCACAGATCTATAGTGGCGTCCATTTGGCATACCATAGAGAAAGAAGTCTCCCTGTCTAACGTTGTGGCTGTTGACTGTATTTCCGCGTGGACGCCACCACAGTGTGCATTCCTCTGGAATACTGGTAAAGATATAGCGGATATTTTGTCCGTTTTCTCTGCCATATCTGCGCGCTACAGATGGTATGTATCAGTTATTTGCGCATTAGATCTATTTGCTGCTTTTGTTGCTGCCATACTGTATGTCTCGCTCAGAGTTCTTAGGTATGATCCTTCTCTTGGATCACACCAGACAAGCATCGTGGCGGTGCCATAGGCAGGACCAAAGCCATATTGGCCGTTGGCACGAGGAACGAGACGAAGATTGACGTGCTGCACCTGAAGAGGTGGTATGGCTTGATTGTTCATCTCGACGAAAACGGTTAGCGGCGTTCGCTTAGCGTGCTCGGCTAGCGCTGGCATAAAATCACCGCACGGAGGTTCTTTTTTTCATAATTCGCGGGATCTTGCGCTAAGGCTAGGTTGAGGGGGCCTGTTCGGGGCGGTCAGGCTTGTGATTTTCCATACATTTCAATCTGTAGAAGTTGCTTGCTAGTTTGTACTCAGGACAACGAACTCCGGCTAGTAATGTAGAAGTCGACGATATCGCCTCAGCTCAAAGCTCGTAGCCTATAGCTACATCTTGACCGCATGTCGTGGACTTCTATACAACTATCGAAAGGCACGATGTGTTCCGAGATCAGGGACCATATGATAAATGATGCAGTAAGCACCCGCTCTCAGTGGCGACTTCTATAGTGTCAAGATCATTCTGCATTTCCACAGCTCTGTCAGAAGGATACTACGTCATCGGGAGATCAAGCGGTGTCAAGACAGCGAAGGTAGGGTTACTTTTCTCCATCAGAAAAATCCATCTCTCAGGAGCCGTCGACATCCAGCGTACGTTCCCGTCAAAAGGCATGATCATTTGTGAAAACAGAACCTCTGCAAGTCGAGGGAGGATCGAATGTCTCTTCTCCACAGCTCAGTGCATCGTGAGTCGAAATGATTGTGCATTTTTACAGCTCTTTTAAAGGACCAGCATGCCAACGGGAGTTCAGACGAAGGGGAGTTAATGATGCTACAACCAGGCACCCATGGTTGCCCAGAAGTGACTGCATCTCAACACTGTCGAACACTGTAAAAGAGGTTTGTAAAAATGCAAGGTGATTTTGAGAGGTGTAGAGCTGTCCAAAGGGAGAACCAGACGAGACAGTATCTCAACGGCATTGGTTCATACCGAAGGAGGCTGTCGAAATGCAATATAACATCCAAGAGCTGTGGAGTCGTTGAGGAGAGACACAAAAGACCATATCTCAGTGCCGAGAGCGTATACTCATGGGAGCTCTCAAAACGCTTCGTGTACAAATCTATTGTCTATGTTGTAATATCCTGTCCGGCTAAACTTTCCGCAGCTCAACATCTTCTTCTGACTCTCTAGCTTCCATCTCGCCCAGTTTTTCGTATACGCCTCTATTATCGACCTTCTCTGTGCGTTGCTTGACTCTGTCTTTGCCCCAGGCATATACAGCACTGCCACCCAAGATACAGACCATGGCCCAGACTCTGCCCATGGTGACGGTCTCGCGAAGAATCAATACAGCAAGCCCACTCTGAGCAACACCTCTGGCGGCGGTAACAATCATGTGTGTGGTAGGACTGGTGACCGAGATTTGGAGGAATGTTGCAAGGGTCAGGAGGAAACTGGCACCTCCGGTCGCAGCAGCGGTGTACAGGAATGCGTGTAGCTGGCCACTGGCATCGACAGCAGCGGCAGCGTTTGCGACATCCACGTCCATGGCGCTGTCATACAGGCTGGAGAAGACAGTGTACTCGCCAGAGATGATGAACAGAGGAAGGTAGCAGGCCAGAGCCATACAGTTTGTCATCCATACCATCTGCCACATCCCCTCGTCTCCTTTTGTGAGGAAGCGCTTGACGACAACACTCTCAACTGCGGTTGTGAAGCTTGATCCGACACCTAGCAGTAGGCCCTTGATGCTCGTGAGCATGGCGCCCAAGTCTGTGATCATGCCAGTGGCGAAGCCCATCATGATCATACCGCATCCGAAGAGAGAAAGAGGGGGATTATACGGCGGTGGGTGGAGGAAGAAGTGTGATAGGAGGAGGGTGAATGGTAGAAGTAGTCCTCTTGCGATTTGGTATAGAGATGCGTCGACGCTGGCCAGACAAAATGTCTTTGCAAGGATTCCGACGAGGCGTGCGAGCATGAGAGGAATCAATCCTTTCCAGACCTAATCTGCGTTAGCAAGGAGTCAATCTCAAAGACAAAACACATCTGCATACAGATACAGGTCGACTGAACTTGATCCATCCCAGCGGCTTGCCAACAGCCGTCAAGAGCAACACTTGAATGAAGGTTTGCAATGCAAGCAAGCTAACAGGTGCCTCGATGCCATTGAGGGCATGTTTTGAGATCAAGGTCACAGAAACTGCGCAACTCGAATGGAACAGCACTGTCAAGGCGACTTTCGTTCGTGATGGTGATGACGATACAGACATCTTTGCAATTGATGTGTTTACTTTGACAAGGTTTCGAGGAGCCGAGGGATATCATCTCTTTTACTCACCAAGTCTGAATCCCACGCACATCGCTCGGCTGCTACCATCATTTCTCCTTTATGAATACTATCCATGACAGGCGGGTCATCAAGGAGGACCCGGTAGACTAAGCATGATGAGAGTGGCGGAATACCAAGTCCGGGTATAGCAATGATGGGTCTGTAACGCCCGAAATGCAATCATAACCGAGACTATCATTAGAGCAGTAGTTGTTGGGTGACTCTCACCGTGTATCGGAACATCAGGAGAGTGAGGACGTTCGAATACCAAGCAAAACTAGACAGGAACGTTACGTGGATGCACCCATGTCCGACTTGGCAGGCACCGACAGACCAGGGCGTTGGAGATTAAGAAATCGATTCTCTCTGTTTTTCGCTTGCACGGGAGGAAAATTACTGGAACAAGCCTCTCCTCTGCAACTACGGGATAACAACGTTGGAGGTAGGATCAGATGCGGCCAAGCGAAGTCGGCTCTTTGGTGACGTTTACTGCAGTTGCCCCCTAAAGTGGATCATATTGAACACTGAATGCAAGCGCTTGGAAGATCGATTCGGGTGGTGGATGATCTCTGAGTCTTCTGACTCAAGTTACATCGATAAATTGGTGGCCAGATGATGGCCAGATGATGGCCATAGAGAATATGGGTTGAGGATCGCCGATCACACGACTGTCCGAATACACATCCCGTCAGACAGAGACAGAAGGTTTGTTTACTCGAACAAGGTTGAATAAATTGATGGTTAGGGCATGCTAGGCATGAGGTGCAAAGTGCAGGAGCGGAGGGACGTCTGGAAGGCTTGCAAAGCTTGGCACCGGTGGAGGCACTCTGTCGGAGCCACCCGTTTTGGAAAACTTCCACCGCCGTCATTTCTCTGCTACATCACCTACTTTATCTTGTTGCATAATCTCGTCCCGAACCCTGCTCAGTTCGTGTCAGCCCTCTTGGCTGAATTCCGAGTTTGGCTTCGGCCGAATAATGACAGCAAACATGTTTCTTTGGAAGGGCCAGGATCTCCTATCTCTGCCACAGTGGATCTGCGGCAATGGAAAAAGACACCATGTGCCTGGTGAATAACCAACAACGGCTATGCACACGACCGTTTCTTGGCTCATCAGTATCCGCCATGTGTGATATCCAGATTGTCCGGCCGCCAACGTCTTTACTCGGCATCATGCCGGTTTCAGCAGTATTGTGTTGCAGTGTCGGCTGCAGATATTGAATTGCACTAAGGGATGGAAAATCGAAAAGGAGCATCATGGATAGTAAAAGGTGCTCGTCTGAGCAGGTAGGTTGAGTTATTCATCCTGACTTGATACACATTCTACAACGAAGCAATCATGCCTGCTCCCAGTCGATGCGCATACATTGCGATAGTTGTGGCTTTGTTCCTCTGCTTGATTGCACTCTTCCAGACAGACACAGTATCATCGCCTTCATCATTACATCTCGATGATGTGACGAATCTGGTCTCATCGCCATTCTCATCTTACAAGGATGAGGCCCAGAACAACAGCACACAACAGGCTACGTCCTCAGTAGCATCATCATCAAGCTCAGCATCAGCGACAGTTTCAGCATCAGTGCCTGCTGCCACCTCGAATGTACCAATCTCGTACGACAAGACCACTCCTCCGTCAACAGGTTGCGAGGCAGTGGTCAACGCTGCTCAACAACGATTGATCTCTGAGTACCAACAACTTCTCAAGGGCATTCGCTATGTCAATGTTTGGGGCTACCTCGAGACCGAGAACAAGGGCGATGCCGCCATCTGGTCCGCTCAACAGATCCTCCTCAGCATGATGGGCATCGAGACCATGGAAGCTTGTCGCTTCATGGACAAGGGCTGCAACATGACCAAGTTCACCCAAGCACTTGACGACCACAAGCCCAACTCAGCTATCATCATGGCTGGCGGTGGCAACTTCAACGACTACTACTGGGAGGACCAACCCTCTAGAATCGAGATGATCAAGCACTTCACCCAGGTGCCTATCCGTGCTTTCCCTCAGAGCATCCACATGACCCACAACGATCGCATCAACCGCACAAAGGAAGCTTTCCTATCGCACCCCAACCTACAACTCGCTGCCCGTGACGCCCCTAGCTACAAGTGGCTTGCAGATACCTTCGAGGGCGAGAAAATTGCTTCCCCTTCGACCGACCTCGCTGTCACTGACGGCATCGGCAAAGGAGAGGTCAAGACGGTTCTTACACCCGACATCGCATTCATGTGGGGATCCCGTCCGGACTTCCGCATCAACACCCCCAAGGAGTACGACGTCCTCATCCTCGCCCGTGACGATCATGAGATCTCAGCCGGCGCCTCAAAGTCCATCCCCTTCGGCAAAGGCAACCTCGACCTCGGTGGCAGCATCGGCAACGTCAGCTACTGGAAGGTGGACTGGAAGTTCACACCCACACCCGAGATCGACAACAAGGAGCACCGCGAGAGCGGCAAGAACCAGCGCGCTTGGGCAAAGGCAACAGAAGGCTTTAGAATGCTTGGAGCTGCCAACTTTGTCATCACAGACCGTCTGCATGGACACATCTTGAGTACTTTGATTGGCACGCCTCATGTGGTCATGGACTCGAAGTTGGGCAAGAACATCAATTATCATGATACATGGACGAAAGACTGTGCTTGCACAAGAGTTGCTGAGGATATCGATGAGGCACAAGAATATGCAAAGATGTTCTTCGAAAAGGAGAAGAACGAGGGAAGGTGGAATGGCGAGCTTGTCCATGGTGCAGGGTCAGAGGATGATGTCGCTTTCGAGTAATTCTTTTATTATACTCTTTTGTAATTTGTCTATACATTGACTTCATCTTCAACACTTGACTTTCCTCTCTTTTTCCTTCCTAGTATGTGTTGTGTGGTATTCCGATGCAGTCGTGCTTCTGGTTCCCAAGTGCCACTTCCCTCCCCTTTGTCTGCCTCTCCTGATCTACAGTAAATCGATTCTCCCACGCAACAACTATTTCCGCCCGCTGAAGTACTTTGCTCTTCCAAGCCACTCATCTCTACAAAGTACCTGTTGCGATCGATGGCTCCATCTATCGTCGGCATTAGACACTCCGCTCCGAAACCGATGGGTTTCCATGTCTTGGCTGCGGTGCTTCATTTTATGCTTTGCTTCTTCCCGTCCGTTCGAGCCCATGCACCCCTGAAGTCTTTATCCTTCTACTCTAGTCATGTTTCGGTACCTTTTTGCAAGTATGGGGTTGGGTTTTGTACAAGTCACGCGAGTGCTGTGCTCTTGCCCCAAACAAAATTGCTTTGAAACAGAGGATCGAGATGTGAAGTAGACGAAATGCAAATCATGTGTCTTTTGTACAAAGTAGAGTAGAGTTGAGTGAAGAGAGAAGATATCTACTCCTCTTCCTCCTCTGATCCACCATTACAATATAAACCCACAAGGCCTTCACCTAACCATTCTCCCACCCTCCTAACATTACCCTGGACAATTCTCTCTGCATTATCTCTGGCGTGTTCTTTCTTTTCTTCTCTTTCCTGTGCAGTGGCTGCTAGCATCCTTCCCACCACATCAAACTCGTTCTCTCCATTTTCTTGTAACCACACACTTTCCTCTTCCACATAACTATATGCTTCCAAAAGCCTGCGATCGGCAACAAGTGGTGTCCCCGCAATCAACGCCGCAGGAACAGAAGACGAAGCCTTTCTATCCAGATATTCCGGACTTGCGAAACCTGGCAATACAGCAGATACTTTTGACAGTAAGCCGTAGAAATCAATGTAATTCAATCCTTGATCAAAGAATACATGACTCTTTACGTCTTCGGGGACATTTGGTCTTCTGCCTTGTCCGAGTAAATGCATGGAGATGTTTCTTTCTGCTTCTTGTAAAAAGTTTCCGAGGCGTTGGAAAATGTGCGTGTAATCTCTTCTATGAGGATCGTAGTCTCCTTGCATTGCGAAACTCATGCCTTCTGGTGTTGACGAGGAGGAAGTGTTTTGAGCAGCGACGGGGAATATGGGTACGAAAACACGGATCGGAGGTGCAGGAGGATTGTCCCAAGGTTCAGAGGCGTTGGAATCCCATGCTGCTATTGTGTTGGAGAGGAAAGTTGCGGTGTGTGGTGAGAGGGACCAGAATTCGACTTTGTTGGCATCGACCCATGGGCGAATGTCTGCTTTTCGTTGCTCTTCGGCCCAGTGGTCGGAGTGGTGGGCTATGCAGATCAATCTCGTCTTTCCCAGAGCCAGCAGAGCTTCAAGTCTCTTGGGAGCGCCTCGCAGAGCGAGTTCGCAGGTTGTGAGGACGAGGAAATCAGGGATTGTGGTGTGTTTATCCGTTCCCATAAAGTCGTCTGGATGAAGGGGACCAGTGTAATTTAGACCAAAAGCGTGAAAGATCTTTTCACTGCCATAGCGAGGTTCTTGTTGATACAAGGTCAAGTTTACATTTGGTTGTGAGGCGATAGAGTGGACGAGAGCAGCGTCGACTTCATCGTGAGCGCGGACGTGTTCGAAGATGGCGACTTGAATAATTTCGGGCACATTGTCGCAGGACTCTGGCGCATCTTCTGCTTTTTGGTCTTCGGGTGTTTTGTTCCAGATGCCGGATTCGATTGCTGCGTCTGTAGGGTCGGTGGTCTTCCACCATTTGTCGAGGTGTTCTTGTCTGATTGATGCGGTTGTGGTATCAGGGGAAAACTGTGAAGATGTAGAGATTAGTCTTCTAATCCTGTATTCTCTGGATATGGCGGAGCAACATCGCAACTCACAGCAATAAAGGCAAAGATCATGAGAACAGAGACAATCGAACCAGCGATGATCCTCTGCTTCATGCGCGAACCTTTCGTCCTCAGAGCATCAAAAGCCTCTCCCAGCGACTCGATATGATGATACTTCGTCTCACCACCATAGCCCATTCTCTCCATGACGTTGGTCTTGACGAAAGTCAAACCCATCTCTGCTCTTTCTTCTTTTGTCCTCGCTCTTGTATATATACAAATTGTAGTATCCTCTCTAGTCCAACGCCATCAAGTCAAAGTCGTAAGTATGCTCAAGAAAGGAGTGAAAGAGTAAAAGGTCCGGGAAATTCGATTCAACAATAGAAGAAAGAGAGAGTGGAAAGAGGAGAAGAGAGACAAGGAACAAGCTACATCCAAAAGGATCACAATACACTGGTATCTTATCGAACCGCTCCCGCCGCCGCAGCAGCCCATCTCGTATATAATCACCTAGATCTGCCCAACCCACCAAAACGATCATCACAAAAGACCAACCGTAACTCCCCAAGCCTAATCCCGGGACTTCGAGCCTAACCCTTTGTCCCGCAGCCCCATCCATCAGCGGCGTTTCTCAAGCTCGAGGGGAGGGGGGCTCAAACATGTTTACTGCGGCTGATGACCGAACCGCAAACATCCACTCTCACGCGACATTGACCACCTACAAGGGGGAGAAAGAGAGAGGGAAGGATCCCGGCAAATGCACAAGACGTTGTGGCTATGCTAGACTCTACACTTCCTCATGCGTTGGCGAGCAAAGAAAGGAGAGACAGAAGCCGCTCACACTACTTCATCCACTTTGCACACGTCCGAGAAACCTTGACAGGGGCCTGCAAGTGTCAGCAGCCAAACCTTAATTCTGAACTGCTCTCCCCACCGGCCAACCAAAGCAACGCAGCACGCTACGCTTATCGTCAAGGCAATCAATCTTATCAGCAAAACCCGTTTTCCAAGCAACGTGGGAAACGGGAGGGATCCTCTCTAATAACACTGTTGTAATATCGAGTCATTTTCTGAGCATTTATCTAAACAGTTACAAAACGGTGCTTTGTAGGAGAAGCAGAATCCGCCATATCATGTCGAGAAAAAAATCTCCCGATCCCGTCAACGGGGGGGGGGG